CTCAATCCGGTCTGGTTATTCTGCCAACATCCCTGTATGCTTGGAGTGTAATATTCATCCTCCCAATCAACTCATCTATTAATCCTTTATTGTACACTTTCATTAACTACCGGGAAAATAGGAAAAAACCGGCGCAAACGCGATCAGAGCTTACGAATGGTAGGCGTAACGGGTTAGTAAATACTGTTTACAATTAAACCCAAAGTGATCACGTGATCACTTTGATCAGGTGACCGATCATAAGAACACATACTTATTCAACGGTGTGTTAAGCTATTTAGAAGTTGTAGTTTCGGAAAAAATAGAATTTAAAGATATTTGACTTGATGTTAAACGTAAATAGATTATGCTTGGGAATTCTACAGTGTTTTTCCTGATCTTCGCTAGAAAGACGCAACAGAGTTAAAGTCGTTGAAAAAATGAACATGTTAGTGAATAGGCCTATGTTACTATGTATATGACGCAATACAGGTGCATTATAATCTACTTTACTACTCTACTTATGCATTGCAATGATACAAATATGTGAGGACCCTATATACCGGCTTACTAATACCCCTAACATATTCAAATTTATGGATGTTTCTTTCATGGGGATCTAGTGGCCAGAGATATTCCATTAACCCGTTATTAATAAATGAACTACAATACTTTATTTCCAATCTGCATTCATAATTTGTTGCTATATCGGGCAAACCTTTGGAAATTATTCAGGTTGTCAAGAACATCCTTTGTTAAAAAAGTATGCATACCATTTGAATATGTTAGTAGACCGGTCTGTTTGATTTGATTTGATTTTCTTCTGCATTCATGTAAGTACACAGTTGTTCGATAACAATAATAAATTAAAGTGCAATAAGTATTATTCTGAAAATGAATCATAACTAAGCAACTACATATATATATATATATATCAATTTATTTATTTATTTTTTCAAAAACGAAACGTTAAACTGTCATAAATACTAAATTTCCTCAAACATTATAAAACATTATAAAATTTGTTGCGGAAGATGGAATGTCATTGTAAGCAGATTGCTTGATAATACGACAGCCCGAGAAAAAAACTCATGAAATAGATTAACATATTTAGCAACGGATAGGTAATTGAAAATACAAATTGTGATGATGGTGATATTGACAATGCAGATGAGGATGATGATGATGATGATGATGATGATGAGGATGAATATGATGATGATGATGACGATGGTGATGATGATGACGATGAGGATAATGATTCGAATGAAAAAAGAGATGACATTATGATAAAGACTGAAAATTTGACACAAACAGTTTTACCTCGAATAACCTGATAATAACATCGTTTTAACTTTGGCCTTAAGTGAGTAGAAAAAGCAACATGATTTAATAGATTCTGGGAGAGTGTTCCATAGGTCAGGACCATGGTGTCATTTAAGTGTACTTTGAATCTTCTTTTTTAAGTTGGACATTTTAAGTGCTCAAAAGTATAAACGTCTGTTATTCAACAGATGGAAGTATTAATTATATTATCTAAACCATCGTGTTATCATCCTGTTTTGTCATATTTGTAATACTCCAACGCCATGAACACTACACTGGACAATTAAAATCTGTTCCGTGTTATATGATTTTGCCTTTGTCATAGTGTATTAGTTATGAATCATTGTAGTTGTTGCTGATGTTGTTCTTAGTATGGTAACAAATGAAAACAACTTTCGGAGACTCGTGAATTTACTGCTGGAGTAAATAACGTTGTTCTAAAATGAACTAATTCAGAGGTACTCTGGTATGCACATTTCTTCCACCTCTCTATGTACAACATCATATTTAAAGATTTCTTCTGTAATTTTTTTTGTTATGTAATCAGAAATACCAAGTTGCATTTGTCATCAATTTGTTCCTAGATTATGTTAGAAAATGGATGTTTCATTCGATTGATGCAGTATATTAAAGCAATTTTATTTTTGGTTGCTGAAAACAAATGTCAATGATAATTGGGGTACTTTTGGATAAGTTTCCGTCTTGCTTTACAGAAATAAAAAAAATCTCCAGAAATGCTTCAATATGCTCCCCCCCCCCCCACACACACACACACACACACACACACACTAAGCAACATACGGTAACAAACAAGCAGCCTATATCGTAGTACCGCGATGTAGCTTTTCAAAAGAAATTTATTTGACAAATATGCGCTTCATTCTTTTTTGGATGTCTTTCAATCTTATTCTGACAATTAATAAACAAAATCATCACAGGACGGATTTCATTTCACTAAACTACCTACTTTGAGAGATCATTTTGAAATTATTTTGTTACACAGTGCGTCCCAGAAAAAACGAAACCGAGAATTATCGATGATTTATCATAACCTAATCACAATTATAAATAATAAATGACACATATGTGTAAAGCCTAGATCCTCCTCTCCATACATGAAGTCTTTCGTCTTCTTTGTTCATGGATGGAGTTTTTCGTCTTCTGTGGGTAAGGCTGATCTTCAACGTAACGGAGTTATTAGTCTTTTGTCAACTTTGTTTGTTGCAACGGCAGGTAGCCAGTGAAAACGAATTCGTTTACTAAAATTATGGAAATACTTTAAATAAACAGAACTTTGTTATTCCTGGCTCATTCTCCCGGAGTGAGGTTTCATATGAAAGGGAAGAAAAAGAACTTTTATAGATATGTGCTTTTCTCTTTGAAATTCAGATACCGTTCACCAAATGACTTGTTGGTACCCTTTCTTCAATTTTGTTTAATCACACATGCAGGAACTACGCATCATTATGAGTTGCATCGAATTCATTACACATATGTGTAATGAATTTCTTATAATTGTGATTAAGTTATGATAAAACATCGATAATTCTCGGTTTCGTTTTTTCAGGGACGCACTGTACATATATATAGGATACGAATATTTAGGTTTAATATGATCAATGCTATATTCTTTTATGCATGTTTGAATATTGAAACGTATTGTAAATAGATTAAGAGCAATCAAGCGTTGTTGTCATCAATTTTATGTCGTTCACTATTCAACATTTCGATGTAAATTCGGATTGTGTCAGTGTAAGAATGGATTGTTGTTTGATGGTGAAGTATTGCTGGTATATTCAGGTTTCTATATAAGGAGATAAAGTAGTTCATCTTTAAATTCAAGTTCAATTTTATTTAATTCCAATAAAAGCACATACACATACAAAAAAAAATACAGCACAGATGCAGATCTTATACATGAAATCAAGGGTACCATAAAAGACTAAGAAGGTCTTGTCAAGATATGCAAAAGTTATGCAAATCAAAACAATTAAAATATATATATCTAAAAAAGTATCACAATAGGGATATACCAAAATGTGCAGGTTCTTTTTTTAAGAAGAAGTCCTCTTTGATACCTACATGGTTCTGAAGTATGGATATGTGATTAATATTGCGAGTACTTCTCTCCATTTTTCTCTCCTCTCTCCCCTCCCCTCCCCCTTCACCTCCCCCCCCCCCCCCCACTCCCCCTCTATTTCTATTTTCTTTCTCTCTTTCTTTTGTTTTATACTAAAACATTTATCAATTAACATTTGCATTTGAGTTGAAAACAAATCTGATCTAGTTTAACTGACTTGATATAAAATATTTTAAATAATACATATGGGACACAAGTACGATGATATTTTTTTTTAAAATATCATTTAGGGAGGAGGTGCACGCGAGATAAATAACAGAGTCTTTTTTAATATACATTATAATAGTTTTAAACTTCATAAATTCCTTATCCTAGAACTAATTCTAAAAGATTCACTGATCTCTTCTTTCATTTCAAACAAGATATCTCTCTTATAAATATAAACATCACTATATTTACCACACATTCAAAGAACAGACTTCAGAGGAATATCTTGTCTTAATTTGAAGCGACCTACTAGAATCATTACTATGGAGATAATAAATATTATATTTGTATGCATACAACAAATATTTTCACAAAAATGTGTAAATAGATATGTCACTACATATTTAAAGAAAAATTTGATGAATGATTAACTTCTTCAATATTGCATATACCACAGATAGTAATGTCACATAAGGATTTTAGAGATCTAATAAAGATAGGATGTTCATTTAGATGGATGAAGAGACAAGTCTTATTGAGAGGAGAGAGGTAGAATGTGAGATAGCAGGAAGATAAGAAGAGAAATAAGGTAGGAGATATGAAGTGGGCGAAAGAGAATATGAATTAGGCAGACAGAGAGACGGAGTTGTTTTTGGCATTTTTTTAAATCCTACCCACAATCAAATATAAATTTGAAATGTATAGGAAGATATGTAACAGGCTTCTCATACTTGGAATAAAATAAAGTTTTCGGAATGATGGAAAGGTTTTTCAAAGGTCTCTTAGCATAAAATGTAACATTTGTCAACTACAGAGCGAAGGATAGGGATAGGGGTTAAACACAAAAGTACATACGGAATGATAAAAACAAATATCTAGAAATAAATGCAAAGAACTAATACACACAATATTACATAAGTTACGAAAGGGAAAACAAAAGGGAAAATATAAAACTTTGGGAATTTTGTTTTAATTTGGAAAACATGTAAATAGAAAAGCATACACAGAAGACGATGGAATAACGAAACAAGTAGGCATAAGCATGATAAGTAGAGGTAGAAATCATGACAACGCCAGTCTAGATTCATAGGTTGCCGGTCTCGTCAACTGTCGTAAAAGTGACCTGAAGGCCCACGAACCTGACCTTATCGGTCTCGTGGGCCGTGAGTCTCAAGGCCTGTCGAGTCTTTTTGAGCTGTCGGTCTCGTTAATTGAAGCTTTGATATTGACACAGATAATGCATAGACAGCATTGACCATGGAATCACGCATGTTTGCTCTGCCATTAGGGACTTTTAGATTTGCACGTCGACATAGTGAACTGCTACGTGTGACGTCCTTTTTATAGTGACGTTCTTTTAAGGCACTGCCACCGTCACACGTAGCAGTCCACTATGTCGACGTGCAAATCTAAAAGTCCCTATTGTTTCACCCCGAACATCTCTCGGGTAGCACGTCCCAGTCTTTTTCATGCACGAGTTTCCCCGGTAGAATTGTCAGTATGTATATGGCTTACATTGACCCCTTTGACATCGATGTTCCGTGAAATAGATGGCAGTAAAGACATGCCCCCCTTGCGTTTTCGCCTTCTGACTTGACTATTCAAGAAGGTATAGAGCAGTGGATTTATGGAGGAGTTGATTGGCAAGATGAAGATCACTGTCCAAGCGTACAGAGAACTTGGTAACACAACCAGCCCTGTTTGGGTAAGAATACCCATAATTATGATGGGCATCCAGCAGGCAAAGTTGGTTAATACGATAAACGCCATTTTCCTTGCAACTGTAATATCCCTCCCTCTCATTTTCGAGTTTCCAACAGATCGAGCGGATCTCTGAACTGCTATGAACATTGAGATGTAGCAAACTAAAATAACTATGAACAGTACCATGTTCAAGCCAATAAAGATGACAACGGAGTATATCCACGAGGGTCGGCTGTCACTACTGATAACGTCGTAGACGACAACGAATTCTTCCGACCAGGGGAGTTCTCTCTCGAATCGCAGAATACCGGTCTCTCCCGAATCCACGTGTAGTGGCAAACCAAGACACACATCGGAAAGTCCATATATGCCCGAAAGATGTGAGTCAAGCAAGAACGGTACAAGACCAACCATAAACACTATAATCCACAAAGCGACCAGAAGTACACGGGTCACTTTCAGATCAAATCGGTATTTCCCGAAAGGAAACAAGATACAAATGAGCCTTTCAAGGGTGATTAAGGTTAATGTTAGAACGGACAGTTCACTTGATATGAACGCCAGAACACTCGCTACCTTGCAGAGAATAGAATCGCGCCACCATGGCGCACTTAGAAAGAAAGTTTCACCAAAATGAATATCAGCTGATGTGATGAAAATCATATAGACACCCATAAGACAGTCAGCGACGGCTAGATTAATTATCAACAGTGTTTGAACATTAATGTTCCGGTCTTGGCGTAATCGTAGGACAAGTACGTTGATGTTACCGACCAGAGCGGTAAAACCTATGATCCAGCCAAAGGCCCCCAGTACGACGCTTGGATAGAGTCTGCCACACGTTTCTAGGGGACTCTTAGGAGACGTCCTTGCACACGTGACGTTCTCTTGGTCGCTAAGAAGGCAGCATAGCCTGTTGTCAGATGCAGACCTGTAAAAAGTAATGTAAGATCCAATCAAACATTGTTTTGTTTTTGTTTGGAGTACAAGTGGGTAAACAACTTAAAATGTCGACATGTAAATTCAACATCATTTTCATTTCATCTACGCTTGGAAATAAGTATTAATTTATCAGTACTCTAAACACAATCACCTGCAAGACGTTTGAAGAATCTCAATTCATAGAATTCTGAACTATTAAGGATCAGATTTTCAACTAAATTATATTACCGGTAACAAGAGTAAAACGTTTCAAAATCTCCAGACTGTACAGTTTCAATGATGGCTTTCATTTAACCATTTGAAAATTATTTGTTATTTATTGTATTGTATTGTTGTTTGTTTTACCGGACTGCTAAGAAAGCATGTGTATGCTTGTAAATAAGCAACCAATGGACCGATGGCTTCGGGTCCTCTCCGAGGGACTTGGTAATAAGAGTTAATACCTTATTAAAGGATAATAGCGCATCGAGTTGGTTTCAAACCCGGGACCTCCCGATTACGAAGCCACTGCTCTACCACTGAGCCATCGCGCCTCCTCGTTCTATATTTACTCTACCAATATTTTACAGGAATCACATTAAAAGAACGTTGACTTACACGGTCGTGAGAGAAGAAAGATTGCTGATGATATCTGGTTCAATGGATGGCAGGTATACTTCAACAAAAAACCTGAAGAGCAAAACAAAATGAAGAACTCACTTGGAATACATCCGTCAGCTGCCCGCAAGAATCCCGCTCACGGGTTTCTGGTGGGCACTGGACGAGGCACATAACAAAGCACATTGGAATAAAATTGGAAAATTGCCGTCATTTATTTCATCTAAATTAAGTCATTATATTCGTTCGTTATTTGCATGAAGTCAAATTTGATACGCAATACAAATTCTTACGCAATTTAAAATACAAAAGCAACCTCTCAATTCAATTCAATTCAAAATGGTTTATTAAAATACTTTCATTGCGGCAAAGCCGAATTGCAAAAATTTACAATAAAACAGTGACAATTAATAAAATGCATAATGTAGAAGATGGTAACATTACAATCAAACTATTATTCATTGATAAAAAGTACAATCAGGATGGATAAAACAGGAAAGAAATGGGAAAGAGAAAGAGAGAGAGAGAGAGAAAACGGAAGAGAGAAAGAGAGAGAGAGAAAGAGAGAGAGAGAGGGGGTGGGGGAAACTGCAACTGGGATGTAGGAATACAAGGAGACAGAAGCTGTCCTAATATGGACAGAGAAGATAGAGAAATAATGATGAAAGGAAAGAGTTTAAAAAGGAGGATGGTATAGACGGAAAAAAGAGGGGGAGAAGAGTAGGGGAACACACAAAAAATGAATGCATTTATTTATCATGATAAAAGAGATTACACTACCTTCACATATATATTCAAATACTGTTATAAACATTTCGGTTGATTTTTAATTTCAGTCTAAATCATTGTTAATTGTCATTATATAAACGGAGAATGTTTTTTTATTAGAGAAAAGAAAAAATATTGTATTTGGATTTACAAACATATTGATAAAAATTAACATTTTATAATCATTGAAGAAAACAATTTGTTTAAAAAGATTGAATCTTGGTACTCCAAATACATATATAGTGCATTCATAAATTGTTCTTATATCGTGATATTGCTTCTCATTAGATAATATTGATGACAATTTTAATTTTAAAAAAGAAACACCTAAAAATAAAACTATTGTTTATAATTAATCCTTTTAGTGTTAAGATGCCGAATCAAAGAAGGCACAGGGCTGTTTCCAAATATTTTAGATAGACATCGTAACTCTACAATGGTTATTGCGTTTCTAGTCAGATTTAACCAATATGCAAATCAAAACAATAAAAATAAAAAATAAAACTGATCAATAAATTTCTTTGCATTTCAGCATCAGCATCATTCTTTAAATCTCATCATTTCTCAGCTAATTCCATTTCGTACAACGTAATACTAGTTTATGTTTATTTAATATTAATATATTTTTAACAGAGATTAAAGATCATTAGTTTACCATTTAGATTGTTTTATTTTAAAGAAACTTTATCAATAGGTATTGATCAATAGCTCAATTAGCTATGAATAAATACATACCCTATAACTAGTTAGTTAACTACTTACAGATATACAAGGTTCCGTAAGTTGGCGAATGCTCCCTCCTCAATATGCAGTATGGGATTGTAGCTCAGATCCCTTTAAACAAAGGTTTTCGAAAGCAATCAATTAATCAATTAAAAAATGTAATATCTCTTAGTGATCTACATGAATTCATTAAGTTTAATCAGCAATTTATTCCATTTAGAATTAGCCACGTCATCTAGCACAATCTAAATTTAAGATTAAATTGGGATGCTCCGTTAAGGACCTGCGTATGTCCATAAGCTACTAATTCGATACATAGTGTATCGCTCGTGCTTCTTCCATTAAGAGTCCAACTAAAAACTAGAAATGAAAACAAAAATCTGTATAGCTGTAAACGATTGATTTGTAGAATGTAATTATGCATCAATTTTGGGGTTGTCCAATATTTCAATAATAAATGTATACATTTTAAAGTTTTTTCCGTCATCTTTCTCAGTTAGATTCTCCGTTGGACAAGTATGTAGATGCAGTTTTCAACCTACTTAAATACATGGTGTTTCGCTCGTGCTTCTTCCATTAGGAGTAAAAGACTAGAAATAAATAAAGAAAAAATCCGTAAAGCTGTAAACGATTGAATATCGGGGGTGTTCAATATTTCAATATAATGTATGAATTTTAAATTATTTTTCCGTCATCTTTGTCAGTTAGATTCTCCGTTGGACAAGTATGTAGATGCAGTTTTTCAACCTACTTAAATACATGGTGTTTCGCTCGTGCTTCTTCCATTAGGAGTAAAAGACTAGAAATGAATAAAGAAAAAATCCGACTAGCTGTAAACGATTGATTTGTCGAATGTTATTATGCATCAATATCGGCGGTGTCCAATATTTCAATAATAAATGTATACATTTTAAAGTGTTTTCCGTCATCTTTCTCAGTTAGATTCCCCGTCAGACAATATACGCAGATTCCGTGCTTATGGAAGATTCATGAATTGTAAGCATGCTCTCTTCAAATTAATGTGCAAACATTCTATATGCATCCCTTAATGCAATGACACGGCGGGATGTTCTATACTCATTGTTTGAACTTCTCAACAACGATCACCAGTACAAGGACAACGTCACGCTGTGATCCTTACTTGACACGGCAGCTGAAAACAAGATATAATAGTTCTTTGGTTATGACTAAAATTTGCCAGCAAAACACTCTTAACACGCAAAGCTTTCAGCGATTCACTGTACACACTTGTGATGGCGTCGTTAAAGGGGAAGTGAGAAGCTGTTACCTACCCCTTTTTTCTTTCATTTTCATTTTTTCTTGAATTGTTGCTAATTCAGAAACATTTACGCTTTGTCTTCTTTTTCTTTTTTCTTTTTTGTTTTGCTGCTTCATGTCTGAAAATGATTCGGAATTTTTGTTGCCTTATTTGAAAAGCTGAGGTCCAAGGTGTCACCCACCTCACTCGCTCTCCAAATTAGTATTTCGCTTCCCTGACACACGTTTAGTAACCTTAAAAGTAAAATGCTTGTGTGCAATAAAGGACTTGCGCGTATTCATCGAGCTCTGTGTTATAAGATACAGAAATGCGAAGCATATTACACTTTAAGTCATAATTTTTGTTTTAATCGCCGCGGTTTTTGCCGCGTCGTGATCTGAACAAAGGTAAAGCCCTTCAATACATTCTATAATGCTTCTCCAAAGTAACCGTATTTGAATTATAGGAGACATAAAACAGGGTGTGCACCGCCTACAAACTCAATTTCAACGTTGAACTATCCTTCATCGTGTAATAAATGAAAGTGACTTTCAAACTTACAACATTCTTAAGTTTTCTAGGCCCTCGAAGAGTCCATGGTGTAAATACTTCAAATGGCTCGACGATAAATTCCTGTTTAAAGAGAAAGAACAAAGTGGTGGTTTAACCTTTCTTATTGTTGAAGAAATCTTCAAGCAGAAAACCAATAAAATTAAAACATATTCTTTTCATTTTGCTCTCTTTTTTGTTCTTCAAAATACCTGTTTCATCTTTTTTTCATCCTGTTTAATCTTATATGACAAAACAAACAACAACAAAATATTTTAGATTTTAGATTTTAATACATTATAGAGGAAAGTAGGACAGAGCAAAAAAATGTCAAGTTGAGTATGTACTTATGATGATCTGGGATCACAATAGATATTCAAACTATCAAAAATTACATTTTTTGGTTAAAAAATAATCGGCGAACAAAAGCTCTTTTGGTGTTCTACATAATACATTCAACATGACAAGAACTACTTTTGTAAAATCGACTTCACCTGGCAAGGCAATTTCAATAGCCTTGTGTTTCTCATAATCAAATGTACGAGCTTGACAATGACATGTTAAGAAAATGATGTCCATAATAATTGAGCGATATAATAGGTGTTGAAATTGCCCTTGAGTTTTTTTTTTCTTTTTCGAAAATAGTAGCGATCGTGTTATTTTAATCATGTCTTGTGAAGAACTTCAGTGATGTACTTACAAAATTCTGAGTGAAGATAATCCTTCAAAAGTTCCCTGCTCTAGTTCTGCAATGATGTTGTTAGTCATAAAGCTGCACAAATATAATGAAATACATTCATTGCATTCATCATAATTCACAATCATATACATAAGTATGTGTATTGTCACACTTATCTAACATTTGGTTCATTTCCTTTCGTTTGATTTGATTTATTATCTCCGTTCCAATAGGAAAATGTTTGAGCATGTACATACTTATGAACTCGTACATAAAACAAATAAAAATGACATAAAACAATGTACTAAGACTGTAAAAAGACAAAACAGACCTATTAAAGAACTGAATATATACAGTGACACGGAGGGGCATGCTTAAGAACCAATGCTTGTTTGGCGAAATAAGAAAAGATGTCCACTTAATGTACCATTGTAAGGTTATATATAAATATATATCTTTATAATATGTAATGAGTGTTGCACTGGTATCACATTTCAAAAAACTGTTCAGAAACAACATTTTTGAGCAAATCAGGGAAGGAAACAATTACCAAAAAAATAAAGAAAATTAACTTACAGAAAAAGCAGGTTTTTGAAACTTCTGAAAAGTCCCGGTTGTATTGAAAGGATGGTGTTATTGTCAAGTATACTAGTTGATGGTAATGAGAAAATAATAGGAAGATATCTCTCATCATCAAGTAGTAGCTAGTCGTTATTTCATTCTGATTTCTTTTCAAGCTGATTAATACTATTCAGAGGTTTGTGCATCTGCTGTATCTCCTTATTTGGGAGAGTGTAGTTGGTTCCACAGATATTGAACAGTCACTTCTTTGATTGTTATTTTTTTGTGTAATACTCGACAAAAGAAATGACGTGGGATCGATACATCACCTTTGCTCTGACACGACATTCTCTATACCCTAGGATCACTCATATGTATAGTACTCATTCAATCACTCTATTCTGTATAATTTAAAGATTATTCACAACATTTTAATATGTAATCAAGTCATGAAGTGCCCAAATATTGCGTCACACTCACAGGTTATGTTCTATAAACGATCTTGCACTTCTAAACCTCAGTGTCATTATACAACCTGAATAAAGAAAACGTGCTTATGAGAAAGTTCACTATGTCAATTCGCTATCCCATATACACTGTCGCTCATAAAGGTGGAATATATTTTTTTTTACCCCAATTTATGGAATTATTTTTAAAATAATTTATAAATAATAGATCTAGATAATAGTATACATCCTCAGATGTAATTGAATAACAATTTGCCAATGTGTGTTTTGCGTGACTGCTAAAGCATGTGTATGTTACTATGCTTATCAACTAGGGGACCTACGCCCTTAAGTCATAAATGACAGTAACGAGGATTAATGCCCCACAAAAGGGCACTAATATAGCACATCGACACGGTTTTGATCCTGGGGCCTCACAGTTACGAGGCCATCACTTTGTCACTGAACCAGGACTGTATACGCAGCGGGGGCTAGGGTAGGGGGCAGTTTCCATAAATAAAAATAAAATAAAAAATGCAATAAATTTTCAATAATTTATTGCATTTTACCCCGGTTCCCAACATGAACAAATCTTTTTTGTGCCCATGCCTTGAGCCATAATGCATGGCCATCCAGAGGATTTTTTATGTTGGGGACCGGGGTAAAATGTAATAAATTATTGAAAATTCATTGCATTTTCTGTGTTTTTTTTTATTTATGGAAAATGCCCCCTACCCTAGCCCCCGCTGAGTATAGTCATGGTTCAGTGACATAGCAATGGCCTCGTAACTGTGAGGCCCCAGGATCAAAACCGTATCGATGTGCTATATTAGTGCCTTTTAATGGGGCATTACTCCTCATTACTGTCATTTATGACTTAAAGGTCGTAGGTCCCCTAGTTGATAAGCATAGTAGCATACACATGCTTTAGCAGTCACGCAAAACACACATGGGCAAATTGTTATTCAACAAAATCTGAGTATGTATACTATTATCTAGATCTATCATTTTTAAATTATTTTTAAAATAATTCCGTAAATTGGGGTAAAAAAAAATATATTCCACCTTTATGAGCGACAGTGTATGTTACCAAGAATAGCGACAACATAACACCTTCTACCCCTGTCATATAGAAACCTATGAACACACACACACACACTCTCTCTCTCTCTCTCTCTCTCTCACACACACACACACACACACACAGCCACATCATGTTATCATTAAAAAAACATTGATATAGATCTTCAAAATGTGGTGATCCCTTATCTAAGTGTTGTTTTATGTGAAGTTATATTTAGAGGTTTTAAAAATTAAGCCATACAATCGTGAGAATAGAAAATCAAAGACACTTACAGTTGCTCAACCTGCTCTCCGTGGAATATTCCTGCTGGGCGGTATGATGAACCTATATCCTTCCATTTTCTGTCAAATAGTAATTACAGAAGAAACACAAATTAAAAAGAAAAATTATTGAGGACAACCCTCTTTTTCTTCAACAGATTTGATGGAATTTTATTTTAAAACTCGTAACATAGGTACATGTTCATGGCAATGAATTATTAGTTTATTCATTTGCTTTGTGTGCGTGTGTATGGGTGTGCGTATTATACGCATGCTCTTGTAAAGAGATGGGCTCATTTTCTGTCTTTATCTACAATACTATGAAGTTTGACGTGTGATATTCAACGTACCAATAGAGTACCGAAGTGTGAAGTCAAACCAGCGTAGTTTACAACGTTTCTAGCTTCAAAAATTTTGTGCTAACAATGGTGTGGTGATCACACCAGCCCCGAACATTGAATTTGCCAGGCCCCAGCCCGTTGTTTAAATTTATTCGAATGAACCACGTGTGTGGGATTTTTTTTTTTGGGGGGGGTTGGAACCAGTTACCTGAGCGACGAGCGCATATGACTTTAGTATTTCGGTACTCTATGGGTGTTCCAGCTTCGCTATCGGTACTTATGTATATGAATGCAAATGCGACTAGAAAAATGATAAATTGTATAGAATTACTACACGTATCCCTCTCAATATCACCATCAATTTAAATATTACCACAGTTTTGTAATTGTACTCTTTTTGTTTGCATTAATACAACCATCGAAATATTTTGAAATAAATTTATACAGTTTAAATATAATATCAATATGACTTAATGTAACGATTATCAAAACATTTCTGGATGTCACTAAAAACCGTACCGTGTCCTTATACTTACAGGCACTTTAAAGAAACCATTCCAATATTTGTGTGATCACAATGTAACATACCTAGAAGAGGAGGAAAATGCTACAAATTTATCGAAATTCGTTTTATTAGTTCTCACTCTTTTTGTTTGTTTTTTTTTTTATTTCTCCGTTCTGGGTATTACTCATTCTCCTGCATTTATTCAAAATTTAAAAAATGGATAAGACTTTTTATTTCAATGAAACGAATGCGATTTTTTTGCACCCAATCACTTAAAACGACACAGGCATTAATAATCAATCAATCAAAAGATATAAATTATTAAAAAAAGATGTGAAAGCAATACGTATTATGAAGATTAAAATAGCATCAGCACGTTTAACGCAGGAATGCCCACAATATGGAAAATAAGTACCAGAAAATCTACTCTCATGACTATAATTATCAAATTACAAGCAAAGTTTAATATACACAAGGTCTTGCCATTCGATAATAGTAATCAATCAATAGATAAAAATGTCAAAATGGAAATACAAATACGGATTATGAAGATGAAAATAGCACCAGCACTCATACCGCAGTACACCCCTCATAAAAAAAAACGGATTGCTAGAAGACTATTGTGATTATATTGAATTTTAAACGAAATTAATAGACTACATACAGAGACTTCCCAACCACGTTAATATATCAATCAATCAATAGATACAAGTGACAAAATTCAAATACAAATATGGATTAAGAAGATGAAAATAGCATCAACACTCATAACGCAGTAATGCCCACATAAAAAATGATTACCAGAAGATCATTGTGAGATATTGAATTTAAAGCCAAAGTTAATAGCCCCATAGACACAGGGTCCTCCCAACTACATTAATCAATCAATCAATCAATCAACAGATACAAGTGACAAAATGTAAATACGGATACAGATTATGAAGATGGAAATAGCATCAGCAATCATAACGCATTAATACCCAGAAGATGAAGAAAAAAGATTGCCAGAAAGTCCACATTTATGACTATACCGATTTTTAAAGCTAGAGGTAATATACACAGGGTCTTACCATTCCACGGTAATATAAAACAGCCTTCCGTCAGTGGATAACAAATGGATCCTGTCATAACCATATAAATCAAACAGAGTAATTATTGATTGCTTGTTGATTGAATTCACACAAGAATTCACACTTTAAACTGTTGACGGTTCTATAAAATAAAAATATATATTTCTTAGACTCCACCTTTCATTTTTATCCTCAATTTCTTTTTCATCATTTGATAAAATCACTGTAAATCATATACTTATTTCATGTAAGCTATTACTCTCGTCTCGTTAATTCAATATTCTAAACCGATGTAAAAAAAAAAGTAACGTCTTGATTGCATTCCTTTTAAATCGCGAGGTCGCATGGTCGAGATCAAGACACGTGACCAAGACTCAGGACCGAGACCCGAGACCAAAACCCAAGACCAAGACCCGAACCCAAGACTCGAAGCCAAGACCCGAGATCAAGACACAAGACCAAGTCTGGTCTCGCTCCTTTACCATCTAATACCGTGTATCACTTCTCTCCCAGCTGTTTTTTGTTTATATTGCATACATTCAAAGTCCATCTTTGAACACATGAACAGTTATGGGGGGAATATGATAAACGGCATTTACCATGTTTACAAGAAAGGGAACACTGGAACACTGAATAAACTTTGAAAAGACCTACCTTCTCCTTCAGGGTCTTCTGTGCAGAGGCCTGCAAGACAACTTCTCTCTGTAAAAAAAACGGAACGGGGAGACGAGGACACCTCATAATTGTTCTAACATTTGATTGCATTTCAAAAGAGAGTTATTACAACATACTAATGCGTAAATAGAAACCACCTTCACGATGATATTTGAGGATTGTTATCATCATTATTATTATAATAAATAATTATTATCATCATTAGTAGTAGTAATAATAGTAGCAGCAGTAATACATATAGTAGGATTAATTGGTTGATTGGTCGCTTTTATTCATATTCCAAGCAAATTTAGCAAAGCACAATACATTTCATAAAAATTAACATGTCTTTAAGTTATATTAAAATGAATTATCCTGAATCATAGTAATTAAAAACATGAAAAAACGTACTGTAAACTATTAAATATGAAAATGAAAAGAGAACTAGCTTAAAAGTTAGGTTTGTTGCGTATAGGTTCACCGAATTAAGCTACTAAATTATATATACAGAGAAGAAAGGACAGAATACATATACACTGGAGTGAGACAAAAAACTACTACTACTTTTACTACTAACACCACTATCATCATTGTTGGTCTTGTTGTTATATTGTTTAAACGTTTCACAATATAAACGGGTATGATTAGTTTATACACTGTATATCATGATCAGGGAATGGGTAAATTTACCACCATCGTTTGAACACTCTATGCCAGCCGTTTTATCCAAGTAACAATTCCTTGTGAGGTTTACATCATGTGGGCAATGAAAGAGACTGGATTCATCCCCTCTGCAATCCACGTTATAGAGCACTATTTCGTCATTGATGAACTCAGTTGGTACTTCAGTAAATGATCGAATCGCCCTGGTAAAACCAAGACTCAAGCAGACGACATTAGCATCAGCCATGTCCCAGGATGCACCGCACACGTGTCCCCGGGTCCCGTTTACACAAACCTCAACGATCCCTTCAGACGGATTGGTGCCGTTTGCCAATCGTACGGTCCTATCTGTGAAGATAGGGGAAAAAGGCCATGATGATTTGATTTATTTATAAAAGAGACGATATAGAATAGCACTACCGTAAATGAACATAACTGCTCTTCTTTTCGTCCTTTTTTATGTTTCTAATTCTTTCATGTTTAATATGAGACGTTTATGAAGTCGAAATGTTAGCATGTGATATTATACAGTTATTGACTGGCAGGGGGTGTAATATAACATTATTTGGACCGCTGAAGGGAGTTATATTTCCCAAGTGGTTATATTTTCCCGCAGCGCGCAGCGCTGAGGGAAAATATGGTCACGAGGGGAAATATAACTCCCTTTGGGTCCAAAGAATGTTATATACCCCCTGCCAGTCAATAACTGTTATATTAGAAAGCCCTTTTTTGTGGGGGGGGGGGTCCAAAAATTGTTTGCCCGGAAAAAAAAATCCCCTTTTTTTTCGGAAATTACAGAAAAATAAACTGTCGAGATAGTTCAAGAAAGAAAAAAAAACCTTACAAAAAAAAAAAATTATAAAAAAAAAATTGGGGGGAAAAAAAAAAATCGAAAAAAAAAATTCTTACCCAAAAAAGCATTTTTCGGGAAAAAAAAAAAACTTTTACCCAAAAAAGCATTTTTCGGGAAAAAATATAAAATTACCCAAAAAAGCATTTTGGGGGAAAAAAAAGAAAATGTGGAAAAATATTTCAAGGGAAACAAAATTCATGAAAAAAAAATATTGAAAAAATTAAATGACCCTCGGTAATGGTGTAATATGTGTAATTGGTGACATACAGTCCTCAAGAGGGCGACATGCATTGATTAAAAATATATTCATTTCACCAGCTGGTTAATATAACACCGAAAAGTGACCGGCCAGGAAAATATAACAATTTGGATCCTCACAATTGATATCACGTGACGAGCTCTGGACCAATCACATCTCGGTATCTGTCTAAGCTATCTAATATATATATATACGAAAGCATACTGTATTATAAACCATTTGCGAATCTACAGTGGAAAAATAAAAAGGAGAGAAAGTTGTAGGGGGAAGTTGTAGGGGAAGGCAAAGTGAAGAAGAAAAAATATATTTTATACGACTCCCTCCCACATTACGACCTCGTCTTGTTTTCTAGCGCCCTGTTCTCCCGCATTTCATCCACCAAGTGAACCCGTTCTCTTCCCTCATGACACAAGCGCCCCCCCCCTCACCCCCATGACTGTGCAAACACTATGCCATTATTAAAAACATTACTCCCAACGTCTCTTTTTTGAAAACCTAAGATAAGTCTGATGTTGACATACTCTACGTACACGATCAGAAACTGATGTTCAGACCGAAAATACTCAAAGCAATTTATCAAGACTGCCTGGAACGTGTTTTTAACGGCAGTTTTGCTGATGGAAGATATTCATTGTCTTGGTTTCATTACACTGGACACGCACATCTAAAAAGGGCCGAATATTCAAACAATCTCTCCCATCTTCGAAAGGTACACATAGTGTCATCTATGCACATCTAGTGTTTATTGAGTGAGGCTCTTGACCGTTCCTATACAGCATTGTTTATCCAGAGAGACCTCTTTTGAAATGACCCATAATGTTTAAACCGAATTTCAGTTCAACCGTTTACTTTCCCAAATCGAATAGTTCTTTAAATACATGAATAGCAGCCTTCAAGATTTAAGTTTCATGTAGCATCAGTGATAGTCACACAAAGTAACAGTCTTTGTCTTTAGATATCCAGTTACGTGACATGAACGTATTCATTAGATAATTTTTTTTTCTTCTTCTTCAAATTTTGGGCTATGAAACCACCTTAATTACTTTATCTACAACTAGAAAATTGTATATGAGACGAATGACATCTAATGGCGAGTATTTCTTAAAATGCGAAATGGGAAGTAGACGGTGACATTAAACGCTAATTAAAAAGTGTGACGGCAGATTATGCTGTAGTATTGGTTCCAGCTTTAAAGGGCAATCCGACCTTTGTAATAAGTTTCTTTGTATGAAAATGAAATATTATGAGAAACAGAATGGCGAAAGTTTGAATTAAAGTGGACGAATAATAAAAGAGTTGTGAAGGTTTGAAATATGAAATCACTACATCTATGTGAATTTCAAATCGGAAATTTGGTACGATTGTGACAGTTTTAGGATAATCACTGGCAGGGCAATCCCCCCCCCCCCCCAGGACAATTAACCCTCGCAAAATTACCCCCTAATTTTTTTTTCTTGCTTTTATTTAAACCAACTTATTATCAGGGTGGACTTCTCCTTTAATAATGAACAGGGTGGTAATTTACGGGGGGGGTAATTGTCCTTGGCGAGGGTAAGTAATTTTCAGGGGGTAATTTTCCTGGGTGATTGTACAGGGATGATTGTGGTTTAATAATGCAAGGCAAAGTGACAAACAAAAGCTGAGAAGGGTTGTAAAACAAGCCAGCAAAATAATTAACCATACTGTTGACCTAGATGAAGTCTGTAAGGAAAGTAGTATCTAAGGCCCTATCCATTATGTCTGATTTAACCCACCCCCTTAATGACCAGTACATACACCTGAGAAGCGGACGAAGATTGAGATCTGTTAAAGCAAGAACTAGTCGCCGCATTAATTCATTCATTCCACTTTCCATAAGAGTTGTTAATGAAACCCAGTAAAGAGAAGAGAATGTGAAAACCATGCAAAATACCCTCATTGACATGTTACACGAATATATGTATTGTTTCAGTATATTTACTTTACTGTTGTACCCAGTGGCGTACGCAGGATTTTTTTCAAGGGGGGGTTTTAAAATCGGGCCCAAAATTTCGCAACGACTCAGCCAGCCGCTGAATAAGCGGGGGGGGGGGGGGGGGTAAGCGGACACTTTTTTTTTTTTGGTCCCCAAAAAATCGCAACGACTCAGCCAGCCGCTGAAAAATATTTAATTTCCGTTTTTTTTTTCTTTCTTAAGTACCTTCTCGACTAGGGCGCTACTCAAATATATACTTTTGGTAAGCATATTATTATAGGTACTCCAAAGAGCAAACACAGGAATACATGTTGACAAAATAATATTTTAGTCAATCTGTGTGTTGGAACAAACAGAAAAGTTGTCGGCACTATTCAGTGACATTACTTATTCAAGGTTCCATAGGTCCCGTACGTATAGGGGTTACGACTTTCATTGTTAACTTTTAGATTTGTTATCCAATTTCTTTGAAACTTACACCACTCTGCGTCTATGTTTGTTATGCTGTCCTTTAGAGTAGTTCGTTACAAAGGTTGGATTTCCTTTTTAAGCACATCTAATGGTAACCGAAGATATATTTTCCCTTGAATTAATAAAATGATGAAACGCTATTCTGCCTCAAATTATTCGAAAGGGAACAGTTTTTGCACTGTGTTCTTCCCTACAATGATGCACTTTAAACTTGGAGAGTGTTTTTATATTATATTTATATTTATTCTTTCCTCTGAATTTTCATTCTGTATAGAAGGCAAAGGCTTTATCTTTGTAGAAGACCATATCTTTAAGAAATAGTCAGCTTTGTATATTTTATTTGATAACAGTTTATAGTTTTATCAGAGAGCAGCACCGAGAACTCTCAACCACTGTCCAATTATGATACACTTTTCGATTAAAGCAGGATATGATGTAGCTTCTGCTTTATAAGCAAATAATTTCAGTCATTATCAACATTATTCACTATTAGGAGGAGGCGGCCAAAAACCAAAAAAAAAAGAACCCTCAACATAATTTTCAAACATCCTACATAAACGAATATATATAAAGTGATAAGCAAAACAATAATATTTTATTATTTTCCAGATCAAACAAAACTTTCCAGCCCAAAATGATATGAACAAAATTAATTTTAAAACTGGAGAAAAAAAAATGCTGATGACCCTATCAAAGCCCAGCAGATGAAATGGATAAAAATTAAAATTTTAAGGATAAAAGATTGTTAATGTTTTGTGGTCTCCGATAACAAATTCATCCTCTGCCTTGATAATAGCTAGGCACATGTCGTTTATTCACTCCTTCCTTCTAAAAGACCGGAAGGTACTTTTTAAAAGGTGATGATAAATCGTTTCTGCAAAGCTGTTTTGGCAATCACAATAAATTGCATAAATAATTGAGTAATGCACAAACATGATTGCATGACAATCGAAACGGCAAGGGTATAAGAGCGTGCATTCTTGTTTAGTTCTCAATAGGGCCATCATATACTTTCACAATAACAAGGTAAATATGATGCAAATCCTTTGAAGAGTAAGCATTCTAAAACAATATTTTTTAAACCTAGAGAGTATTTACGGCTAGGGAAGTTTCCTCGAACTTATGGCATTTTAATTATATATTTCCATTTGTTTTTCTAAACAAAATATGACCGTTTTTTTTTTACAATTTAAAGAATAAAGAAAAAGAATCCTTCCGGGAATATAACTTGAACAAAGCAGTTATGTCCACCTTTCCACCTTCTCACCCGGATGCCTGTAGGCCTGTCAGATGGCAGCAACCGAATTAGACCCCGCCACTCTAGTCTGTTGAGGGCCAAGGACCTAACTTTCTCGAAGATCTTCTCCTCCCTTTGGTTCATGCCTTTAATTTGTTTGTTAATGTAATTCAGTGTACATGACTGTTTTGATATAATACACTTACCTTCGCTGGCGGTACACGAACCGCGAGGCGAGTAATTCTCTGGTACGTCACCACGACAAAAGTAAAACATTTTTGCAACTATCGTTAATTTGAAAGCAATCCTCAAAACACGTAAGAGTTTCATGGTGATAATAACCAATGACTTTAAGCATTCAAGTTGTCCAGTACTAAAATCGCATAAATGATTTTAAATGCACGTACACAATGAAAGTTAGTAAACCACTTTCTTTCTTGTAGATTGTTGGGTGTTAACTAAAAACGTGGATAAATGCAGTTATTGATCCGTGCATGTCGACTGAAAATATGAACTTGACGTTTGCACGATAAAATCTCGAAACGCTAGAACGACGGTAACAAATATCTCATCGAACTAATTAATTTGCCGTCTCCATATTAATAGGAGGATGACCTACTGGGCTGTGGTTTCTCCATCGATCAATGAAACAAATTGATTCTTAGTTCATGACAGTATGCACAATCTGGCGGTGGCAGAAATCAGATTTGAAGTGGGGCGGTTCACATCAGGCACGTAGCCAGAGTTCGATGTTTGGGGGGCACATACATGTAATCAATCGATGTTTAAAAAAAAAGGGGGTCTTAAAAAGTTCAACCGATCTTGGAAATTTTAGGGGGCACGTGCCCCCCCCCCCCCCCCCCCCGTGGCTACGTGCCTGGTTCACACTAGACATCGTAACAATGTCGATTTAAAAATTGTGGATCCGTGGCAAATGAGTTGACCAAAAAATAATTGAGGTTGAATTGTACAATTAATTGACAAAACAAAAACAACACAAATATTACAACTATATATATACTCATAGGCAATTTGCGGTAGCCTATTGGCATCCCAAAGAGATCATATTGGGATGACGTATTTACTCTATTACATAATTTTCGCTTCTTTCAAATGTTTTTCGGAAGTCTTTGCGACCGTGTTATTATACAGGGCGGTGTTCTCGCTGCACTGTCACCTCCCCACCCCTCCACAACGATTCCAAGTTTCCCTCTGGAATCCCAACATCAAAAAGTGTAAGTTACTAATAATATTAATATTGATTTATCTAAACAGAGACTATGACAGGAGTAGATTGGAACGAACAAATTAGCGCGGTTGTTCATCGGCGTTAATCATTTAATTGTAAATATATATATACAAATTTACATGAACATTTTATATTAGTTACATACTGTTAGCCTTTCGATAAATGGCGACGATGTTTTATTCTGCAGAGAGAGTATGTATAAGAACAATTTTCTGATTAATGTATTCCCGTTGGTCAGTTGCTCCTTTTTTTCCTTTGTGAATGTGTTGTGAACGTGTGTACGTGCGTGGTGTGTGTATGTGTGTATTTATGTGGCTGCGTATGTGCACTGACGTACCGATGAGGGGGACTTGGAGGCAGTTACCCCCCCCCCCCCACCCCTTAACAAAATTCGAACGTGGTTTATTTCTAATTCGATACCTGTGATTTACAAATTACATGATTTTCCGGGGGGTTTCTCACTTTTTTGTGAATTATACTTTTTCTTTTTTCTGCCCCCCCCCAAAAAAAAATTGCTCATTACGCCACTGCGTGTGTTTGCCTTGTACGTTTAATATGCCAGCTGCACACAAGACATCAGTTCCATGCACTATCTAGGATATTCAAGCATTTTCATACACACGTATGTGCAAACTCTAGACTCCAGTATACAACTGCGTCAACGCCTGGTGTGGACTTTGACTTTGACCATGTGAAAGTGACATTGTACAAGATGTGATCGAAACGCTGTCACATGCACTGATTTGTTCGATAGGCTTGATTAGAGTTAGCAATAATACATTATGCCCGTCGCACGCGAGACGTCTCCTGCTGACGTAAGACTGCCTAAGCGACTGCTACGGTTTGTTATTCGTCGTATGAGTGTGACATTGTATACCAAAAAATTAATTTAAAAAAGAAGAGTGCAAATATTGTATTAACTTGCTGAGATTATTGCCTTCATAAATTTTGATTAGCAATAATGCAATCGAAATGACCCCTCGTGTGCTACAGGCTAGCGAACGATTTCGGAATTATTTGAAAATTGGCGTTGACGGAACACTGAGCTGGCAAAAATTGTATTGCATTGTTTAATCCCAACAGTGCACAATAAACACATGACGAAGGGTATTTGACGTTTCCATCCATCATTCATCTACAATCACATTTTAAAAAAGGACTCGATAATCAAATTAATCGGATCTCATTTCAATTTCACTTTAATTGAAATTATGAATGACGCATATAGACTAAATAGATTGTATAGTAACATGTTCAAATATAAATATGATAACTACAAAGTGTTTTCTGTATATGTTTAATGGCAGATACATGGCATGTTTTTTCGATACATCCTTTGTGCCCGAATCCATAGATAAAATTCGTTAAATTAATTCTGAACAAATTGTAAATCAAGATTTATTTCGTTATAGGCATGATGACTAACATAAGTCTTGCTATGTCTACAAAAAAAACACGCAATATCAGTACAAACGTTTTCATTACCACTAAACATAACACAAATATTTCAGTTCCTTTTGCAGCGATATATCATTAGAATTTAAAGAAAATATAAGGTCTCGTTTTTACGAAACACACGATGCAATTAAAGTCTCTGAATCATCAAAAATAAAGAGCTGGTAGTGTAATTGCCTGAAGAAAAAAAAATAATTATATTATCATAAAAGATAAACAATAAACTTTCAATTCATATACTTTTTAACATACAAACGTAACGTTATATATTTTCATTTAGTTTTTTTTTTAATTAACAGTATATACACAAAATAAAGTCCTTACAGATATAACAGCTCATGCATTAGAATTATGAAATCCGTGAACATCAAGGTGATACTTGTAATAAGAATAATCATTCGGTTGTCATCTCCAATATTGGAACTCACCAAAATCACAATAATCTCTAACTCTAAACATTGACAGGAAACTAACTTGTTAATTGCATCAATTTCGATATCCATTCTACTAGCGTTCGAACACATTCAAGTCTGTTTTAGAGGTTTTGTTTGTGAGTTACAAAGCACAAATCTATTTTAAACGGATTAATATACAAGACTTTAAAAAGTTAATTTGAAGCCACAAGTCAGGATTTGTTTCAAGAGTTTATTCAAGACTTTAATCTTAAAATCTGTTGTCTGTCGTCTTTAGAGTAGTTTGTTGAACACTTCATGACAAGTTATTTGCTTAGAAATGTGACAAGTGTTTTATCACGTTTTATCATGCCCACAGAAAGTGATGTATTTCTCTCAATGTATACTTTGTACACTTTGAGTCATTGGCCTAGCTTTTTCTTGTTCCTTCTTTTAAATAGATAAATGCGCTTTAAAAAAGAATTCAGAAGGCCTGTATAGCGTTACAGAGTTAGAGCAATGAACCTGTATATATTTCCATTCATGCATATGTTTCTCCGTAATGCCTAGTTACCAACTACCTACATGTAGTTCACCTGCTTTGCATAATGGCATCTCTGTAGATGGAATTCTCTTTGCAGATATTGTTGCTATTGCGGATAAGCCTCTGGTAATTTTTTACAAAGTTGTCACGAGAGACTTTTGTTCATTAAAATAGTATGCATGAAATTAGCAAACAGGCCATAATTCTGCTATAATGCCCGGTCCATATTTTGTATCATATATCATTATCAAATAATGGGCTTTTGCAGTTCCTTTATTCCTTTATCTCTCACCATGTACATTGCAATCTCGGGATTTGTATTACTCGGCGCCTGCTTATCGCTTATCTTTGAGCTGTTTGAGTCCAAGCGACTCATCCTTTTCGTACTTCCCTCTTTGCTTGACCGAGTGGACCGAGCTTGGAGAAAACCATTACACTTTTCTTTAGTTTTCTTACCCTCGAGATAATTAATGACAGTATAGAGGACAGGATTGATCGAGGAGTTGATGGGGATGATGAAAATCACACTCCAGGCATAAAGTGACGTTGGTAGGACCACCAGACCAGTTTGGGTCAAGATACCCATTGCTATGATGGGCATCCAGCAGGCGAAATCGGTCCCTACGATGAACGCCATCTTCCTGGCGACTCGAATCTCGCGTTTCCTGAAAGCTGAGTTATGGATGGCCTCCGACGAGCGCTTGACGGTCACAAACATCACGACGTAGCAGGCTAGGATAATCAGGAAAAGCGCCATGTTGATACCGATAAAGGTCACGATGGAGAACACCCAGAAATTCCGTTTTTCGCCATCGGTGGCCACGTACTTAACGATGAACTCAGAGCTCAGTTCCTGGTCCCAGATGATATCCAGCCTACCAGTCTCTCCCAGTTCTACATGGAGCGGTAAACCGAAACAGACATCAGATAGTCCGTAGAATCCGGAAACGTTGGATCCGACTAAGAATGGAACCGAACTAAACAAGAACGTGAAGATCCAGGTAAATACTAAGGCGACGCTGGCAGATTTGGACGTTATCTTGTATTGTCCAAACGGATAAACGATGCTGATGTATCTATCCAGTGTGATGAGGGTCAGTGTGAATACAGAGAGTTCGCTTGAGAAAAATGCAAGAAAAGAGGATAATTTACAGAGGTAGGATTCTCGCCACAACGGGGCACTCAGGAAATAGAGTCTGTTGAAATAGCCATCTGCAGAGGTGATGATAATCATGTAAACCCCCATCAGAGAATCTGCAACCGCTAGGTTCATGGTGAGGATGTTCTGAACCGTCGCGCGTTTTTTCTGAGTGGCGCGCAGAAATAAAACGACCACGTTGCCGCAGAGAGATGAAAGACCGATGATCCAGCCGGCAATACGCAGGACAACGCTCGGGTATAGGCTGCCGCATGTGTCCAGAGGGCTGGGTGGAGAGGTTCTGGCACAGGTGACGTTTTCAGAATTGCTGAGAAGACAGCAGAGGCGGTTGTCTGATGTGGACCTGTCAAAAGCAATTGTCAAACTTTGAAAATTAATTACTACAAATTCATCATCGATAAAATACCTTCTTAAGTTGATGATTCAATACAAGTAGTTTTAGCTTCTACCAAACCCAATATTTAGTAGACAAGCTTTCGTCCACTCCTGTGTATTTCTCTAGCCAAGTCATTGTTAAAACAGTTTCATCAATATGACAATTATGTGCTGGAAGGTTTTATGAACTATTTCCAAGGATGTTAAACATATTTATGTAGACATGCAAAGGAAGTTAGATTGGAAATGGGAGGGCATTTACAAATCCATCGTTTCATACGCAGTCTGACACGACAGGTGAACTGTTGAATATGTTATAACTTAGGAAATAAACAAGAAATTGATATATTAGTCTGATAAACAAAACCATTAATCTTTTCATCATAACTTTGACTTTAAAATTAAGGAAACTATTTCAAGTAATTACCTTTCCTACTTCAAAAAACCAATATGTCATTAAACATGTAATAAGATTTTAATGTATGCACTTTACTGAGAATGTATGTCTTAAAAACTAAACTTTCAACCTTCAAACTCAAAAAACTTTGAGGCCAGGTTTAAAAAAACAGTATACTTGGTATAATTTGGTTTGACAACACGATGCGAGAAAGATATTTAATCTTTTTATCTTAATTATCGTCATCTTTTCATCTTCTTTAAGCGCTGAAGTAACATGGCTGTGAATTTTCATGAAGAACTTTGAACTATTCAACTTACATAGCTTTGAGTCCAGTTAGACCACTCATTGTGTTATAAAAAATAGTGTCCAGCTCAAGATCTAAAAGAAATCTGCAAGGATGATCAAAACATGTAAAAAGGCAAGAAATATCTCACTTTATTATATGCTCCCATAAATTCACATTATATCTAAATCCAATCTGGTTTAAGTAAATGGTGTCATATTCTTGACATTACGTTTTTAATTTAAATGCTAAGAAATAAAGTAATTTACTTCAATACTGAAGAGAAATGGGATTTAGATTTATTTTTGTTTCATTTTCAATCGATTTTGTATCATTAAGTGTGCTTTATAACCCTTTCAAAACAATTCCGCATAAATAACTCTGAATTGCAAAAAGAAATGCTTAATCACAGGTAATGCAGGTTACTCAAGTTGGCGAATGCTCCAGCTTCGATGTTCTTTATCCGATTGTTTCCCAAGTCTCTGTTTGACATAATCAGAAAAAGAAAGAGTAGACATGTCAGTTATACATTGTACATTTTAATCATTTGTTATACAAAGGCATGCTGTACTTTCATTTTTGTAAACCTTTTTCTTCATTTTCTATGTATCAGTGTTCATTAATTTTTTTGGAAGAATCATTGTCACTCGTAATTAAGTGTAATCAGTTCTAGTCGTTCATCTTTGGAAATGCACTCCCTTGTAAGATTGTTTTTTAAACGTATGAGATTGTTATTTTTATGAACTTAGCGAACATGAAAGCATAGAAATTTCGTATTTGTCAAAAATGTATGTGTTTTTGTAACTGTAATGTATACTATACGAAACTATATTGTTTCACTTACAAATACTCTAAATTGTCTTGCTCCAGAAAAGCATCATTCTGCAACTGAGTGATGGAATTAGATGACATATTTCTGTACAGAAAAAAGGACACAAATTAATGTATTAATCATATTTTATTCCTCAAATATTTATTATGAATTCGTTCATGTTACAGTACCGTTCCACGGCTACAAGTGGGCACCAAGGTTTTTTCTTTGGACTCTCCGAACATATAAGAATCCTCTGGAAGATGGGAAGAGGTCCAGCGCTGAAGCTCGAGAACATTTCCTAGAAGAAATAGCCAATCTTGAAGAATGAAATACCAACATGGATGTAAACTTTTGTTATAAAAATGGGGTAAAAAATTATTATAATGTGGCAAAACATCGAACATTAACTAAGCTTGTCTTACATTTACGCGTAACCGTTTACACTCAGGTAAGCACAAACAATTTCGGACATGTCAACGGTTTCCACGTAGAAACGTTAATAAACGATAGATAGTGTGCTCAACGACATGACTTGGTGTAAACATTTTCTTTCAAGTTGTATTAAAGGAATAAACAATGCCATTATACCATCAACCAACTGTCGTGGAGTTGACCATGATTCAGATTTTGTGTGCAATTACACACGTTCGGTAAACAGATTTTATTTTGTCTGTTTTTGTTACTATGGCAATTTGTAAAACATAATGCAATATGCCCGTGAGAGTTTAATATTTTCTAGGAAGAAAATATAAATTATGAGATGGGATGAAAGTCACTTCCCCATTCTCATATCCGAGTAGAGCGAAAGAACAAAAAGACAAAGATGAACCAAAGGATGTCCTCGTATTCTTGTATTTCATGTTCAAGTCCAAGTTCAAAGTAACATTTATTTCATTCCAGTTCTCTTTTCCTTATCCACAAAACATTCAAATAAAAAATGTGTACATAGATCGTGACATGAGTTATCTTTATTAAAGATAAACATAAGTTCTGGAGAGACAAAAATGAATTCTTACAGAATCGAACGAAACATGCACTGAATGTTCAAGATTACAAATAAATGTCATTTGCCAAACAATTTTGGTAGAAAATGTATACTGGCTTAGTAATCAGTATGGAAAGATAAGAGAGTCAAGGTAAGTAGCCTGACACCATTGTGTAGTCCGTTATACGTCTTTCTGTGTACAGTGCTTGTTACTTTACCAAGACTGGGCCAAATTTATTATGATTTTGATGACTACACAACCTTGCATTTAATACACACCAATACTTACATGCTACATGATCAACTTGTTATGATCCATTCCACACCTTTTCTTTCACAATGAAATCGCATGACCAGAACTCAACTTTATCTTTAAGAGCATTAAAATGTATACACAACAAAGAATGCAGAACTCTTAATTCTTCTTATTGACCGATATACTTTGACCTAGACTTCATTCAAACAGTCTATTAAAAAAACTGGTGCCCCAATTAGCGAGACAAAAGGAAAAACGGAAAAGGAGAGGGGAGAAAAATAGGGATGCCCATCCAGTTATTAAGGCCGCCGGATACCCCCCCCCCCCGCCTCCACACACACACGCACACACACCACACACAGCACACATAATATACACACACGCTCGCACACACACATACCAGTAAGCCCCAACGGCCAGACTCTCGGGTCGCTACGTCAGGTAATGGGAATACTTACAAGGTTTTAAGACGAGACAGATTGTTGAACATCCCGTCTGGTATTTCAGTGATGTTGTTATTCTGCAACAATCTACAACATAGAAACATGGCGAAACGAAGCGGTAAAAGAAATGTTTTGCTCATAAGTATAAGCGGAAACATTAACAACTAAGAGGCTTTTTATAAATCCGACAACAAATTTTAAAGACTGGTCTGAACATTTAAGGCCAATTTTCTCATTTGTACCTTTACCAAGAATGTACGGATGTAATTCTGTTCCTTTACATAGTGAATATACCCACAAACTCTCCGAAAAATTTATCAAAGGATTCCTGACAGGAATTCCGAGGGGGGGTCCATTCAACCCCTTTCGCAGCGCACCTTCTCATGATGATTGTGATGATAAAGATGGGCAATTCAACATGATGACAAAGACTTTCGAAAATATCAAACTAACACAATTTCTAACCCTTTCCCATCATGAATGTTTCAATGCATAAATGTTCAAACTTTTTAAAAAACTTGATGTTAAATGCGGTTAATAATAATGACGATAATAATGTTAACAATAATGATACCTTTACATTATAATAATAGTAATATTAATACAAAATAATGATAATAATATAATGATGATGATGATGATGACATTAGTGACAATAATATTACTACTAATAATAATGATAATAATAATTATAATTAATAATAATAATAATAATGATAACATTGTAATGGATCGATGATTATGAGTTCAGAGACAAAATAAATACAAAACAGGTTCGGAAATACAGTTGAGGTCCAATTTATTATTTATAATGTCGCTACCAACTCAGCCGAAGCTCCAGTATTTTAAACGAAGATTATCTTTTTAATGGCATTTTATATTAATTATTCTCTCAAAGGCTGGGCTGCCCTAAAAGATCGAGAGAACTCAGCAGCACATCCTAATACGCAAACGTAAAAAACAAAACTGGGGTACGAAGTCATGCACATGGTGCTTAAATATGCATGCGCCCGACACCGCTTTAATGTCACATGATCTTACTAGCCAATCGGGAGGGCCAAATACGAAGACAACCAATTACAAGATAGGATATATAGAATGACCCGTAAGCCACCCGACCTCGAGATTAGTTCAATCTACCAATCAAGAGAGCAGTTATACAATCAATTAAATATAACAAATGGCAAAGCACAATAAATGGAGTGGTTCTGACTGCGTACCGCAGAAAGTAGGAGGAGCCTATAGCCCGCAAGAATGTTAGATCCCCGGGAAAAAACAGTTTATTGTCTAACGTGTTTAATCGGAAATAAACACCTGTAAATCTAAAGCAGAAATTTAGGTCCAGTGGTTGTTTACCCGTTTCTGGCATACTATCGGAAACATAATTAATTCTGTACAATTTTATATGTATACAAAGTCCAACTAACAACCATACAAATTATCAAATTAACCCAACTCCTCTATTGCTATAGCGCCCCCTTTAGGTCAATGTTTTGCCTAAATCAGCGTACCACTACAGCAATAAGACTATAATAATGTAATACATTATTGATACTTGTAAAAACTTATCGTCACTCCACCTTACTTGGTATACATTTATATTAATTTCGATGCATGACTAAATCTTTATTTGATTGTTTATGGTTTTGGTTTTGTTTTCTGTCAACTCGAAAACTATCTTATTGAACTTTTCTATGAGTGTTTATGTCATATATGTGTATCTATATACAATGTAACACGACGAACTTCCATTTTTAAATAGACAATAAATATGAACTTTGTAAACCTTATCATCCAATGAAATGTGCTAACTTTACAACAAAAAACTACATAATTAGGCCATTATTTTTTATAGGAAGAGCAATAGGATATTCAAAGTTAGCTTGAGTGCTCTTTGTCAAAGCATTCACGCTAATGTTAGACCATTATTGTGATACTGGAGGTATCTTACAGGGTCCTCAACGTCTCCATTTCAGACAAAGCACCTTCCGGGATTCCATCAATCTGGTTATCTTGCAGGTATCTGCAGAAAAATCCAACATAAAATGTGTATTATTTAAAGAAGTTTTGGCTCGCACAAAGTAAATTCAGATCACTTGCTCGATCTTCAAATTAAAAAAACATATCAGGAAAATTATTGAAGCCAGAGGGATATGGACCTGTAAACTACTGATTGTCGGGCAGCGACTCTACCACTAGTCTATCACTGGTCTACGGCACAGTCACGATGAACTGGAAACAAATATTATTTTGTGTATTTACAAGATTGAGCATATTTATTTACTGGGTGCAAGCCGAAATTTCGTTATAAATTCATTTAAAATAGTTCTAGGAAACCCAACATTCAAAGCTTTAAAGAAATGATGTAGAGTTCATACAGGTAGAACGGTTAAAATTTAGTAAAACATGTAAAAGTATTACACACACACTTTTAATGGTACAAGTGATTATTTGTTTACAATAAGATTGGAAGTAGAACAACATTTTTGATACGGGTGTTAGGAAAATGTGTCTACAATTTAGCAAATGATATATGTTTTCAAATTTGCTTTTTAAGGTATTTATGATAGTAAATATTTATAACAGTAAATAATGTTTTAAGCAAGCATGGCGGAGACTCATCTCAATTCAGATTATCTCCGGAGTTCGAAAAAAAATCACAAACAATAGGAACGAGCACATTAATACTAATTAGAAAACTGAAAGTCCATAATAATTATAATATTGCATTATCACTTACAAATAGAATAAGGCGTGCAAATCTCTGAAAATCATTTCTGGTAATATTTTGATCCTGTTGTTCCTCAGATCGCTGAAAGAAAAAGAAGAATGGCATGACGTTTATGTTAATTCATTCGAGGCAGACATTTAAGAATCAGAAATAATGCAATATTCATAACTCTATATTCCTAATACAAAATTTCGAGAATTTAAAGAATTACACTCTTTTGTTAATTATATACATATACTCTAAAAGCTAATCTTCGATAAAAACCACAACTCCCGTTCGCACCTCGTGACCTGTGTTAAGCACATGGTGTCGGGCCTACTTACCCGGATTTCCTTATCTTTCTATGCTCATTACTCAGCCACTATACATTTTCTTCCAAAATCGTCTGGCACTTGTCATTGATTTGTAATCTTGAACATTCAGTGTAAGTTTCGTTGGATTCTGTGAGAATATTTGTTTTATGTTTACCAAAACTCAAGTTTATCTTTAATCTGAAATAAATCTGTTCGGAACAATATGATTTCAAAAAAAGAGGAGGAAATGAGCAAAAATATATGAAAAATACCATCATCTAAATATGAGCTAGTAGGGGGCAAAGTAGAAAGCAGCTTGATGCTGGTAATGTATTTTTCTGTATTGATTTGTTACATTTATTTTATTGTCACTGTGAAAAAATACAAAAGCAAGCTTGAAATACAAAGGTTTGCCATTTCTAGTTATTCGGGTGTTTAATTCAATATTGTTACTCACAGTTGGTCCAACATAAACATATCGGCGAATGCACCCGGCGATATGACTTCGATGTTGTTGTGAGAGAGGTCTCTGTTATATAAACAAGATATTACAATTAAAGTGCAAATATTAAATTACATTAAGGGCATGTAAAACGATCAGTGCTGGCAGAAATAATCTTTTTAGATTGGTCAGCCTTAAAACCCAAGAACAACAACAACAAAAGAACTACGTACGGACAACCTTTATTTAAGGCATGTATGAATTAGATACTAAAAAGTAAAACTAATTATGTGAATATGCAAGGAAAATACGAAATTCGAAATATTAAATACACCTTTAATCTATTTCTTTTAAAAAAAAAATCAGGTATTTCAAATGTAGACATTTAAATGATATCATTGCATGTAAGAGGTAAACAAAAAAAAGTTCAACAGTAAATACTTATTTCTGTATAAATATTAAGCTCTCGTGCTCCTTAAATGTGCATGCTTACATGCTTAATCTATCAAGGAATTTTAAGTTGTCATCAAAATACCATTCAAAACATATAGAAAACTACAGAAAACTGACGAAACCACCTATAGAGCTTCAGTCTTTCATATGCCCTGTCTTATTATATCATGATCACTAATGACCTAGGCACATAACTGCAATATTGATTATAGATTAAAATAATGAAAGTCTACAAATTGCATTACTTACAAGACAAATAGGTACGACAATCCGTCAAAAGTGCCATCAGTAATTACTTCAAGTCGATTCTGATGGAGATCTCTGTTTGAAAGTTTCATCGGAAAGTTACGTAATACCGCTCGTAAAATTTTCATTAAACAAATCGAAACAATAATGTCCTGCATCCAAAACTGAAAAAAAGTTGAATTACATTGTAACTTCATGTTAATCAGTTCCCTGTATGAAGGCATAGGTCTGTGTCTTGAGTTATAATCATGTTTATACCCATTTGATATTAATATCATACTCATAAACGAAGTTTGGTATCATCATTATCATAATAAAGTACGTCGTATACTGCATTATTGATAGATAGTGTTGAACCACAAAATATCAGAACAGAATTTACATGAATGAGTTTAAATGCACATGTCCTTCGTGACCTTAAACTCTACAGTGTGGAGTATGGAAATGATGCGGAAATTCAAAATGATACACTCACAGATAAAACAGAAGCGACATACTGCTGAATGTCCCATCTGGAATTGATCTTATTCGATTTTCATTCAGATACCTATAAATGGAAAGAAAAAGACAGATTTGCTTTAGGTGTTTTATAAGAGTACAAAAAAACTTTCGTCAACCTTTAATGTTTCCCGATGTAGCAAAAACCCCTTGTTTGGTCATAGATTGTGATAAGTTGTAAATAATTTACGAATATTTGAGAATTGTAGGCTTATTACTGACAGTTTCATTGCTTGTATGTACACAGTGATTTTTTTTTATGAGGTACTCTGGGTCTGAAAATGCAATCGTGTTTCTAAATCATAACTATTAAAATGGAATAAACTATCGTGGTTTTGTGTAATAATGTAGAGATTCGATTTCCGAATATGTTCATCATGGATAAGCTACTTACAAGTAATTTAAGCTGGATGTTCCACTGAAGATGGATACTGGTAGGGTTTCAATCAAGTTTCCATCCAAGTACCTGTAAAGCAAACGGACAGACATTAACAAAAAAAATCGATCCAAGCAGTTCTTTGTTAGCGATTTATATGAGACAGTGTTATCCATTAAATTTTATCAGATTGTTGAATTTTGCCATCCTAAAGACATATATATATGTGCGTGTGTGTGTGTGTGTGTGCGTAAGAAGTTGATCGATTTGGTGAATAACATAAGGCTTTGAACGCTTATGATGAATATAGCAAAATGGAAATGTCTTAGAATCTATTAGATGGGATTAATGCAAAGATCTCTGCAGAGGGCGTACAGGATGAAAATATGAAAGACGTTTTACAGTGACGGAAATTAGCAACATTTAAAGAAAATTATAACTGCTATTCACCACCAATATATGAAATAGTTGTAAATTAAATATTACTTAAGTAAACTAAAATAAATTGTTATCATCAGTATTGCTATGTTTTAAATGCCAAAGAGCTGAGTGTATGACCCTAAGAAAAAAATCATGAGGCAATAAATTAGTTGTAAACAAGTTTAGTTAAAGTGACTTGATAACATCGTTGAAGGTTGATGAAAAAATTGCTTAATTTTTGTATAAAATGTTGCTTACTATTATTCCTTCTACTGTACTAACCCTCCGACATGCACAAATTCATGAAAAAATTCTCAAACCACGAAGATATCTATGGTTTTCTCTGAAGGAGTCGATGTATGACACCCTCTAACAGTGATTAACAGTAAATTCTCCCAACCATTTTTTAATTTTCCTAACCGTTTTTCCATAAAAAAAAAAAAACATGAACCAGGCTATAAAAAAATCTGTCAACACTTAAATGTCTGGAATGGATTGTGAAGCCATTTTATTGCTTTGTGACGATTTCCATTCACCTAAAATGTAATTAAATTGTAATAATATAGTAGGGAGAATTAAGGAATCGATCAGATTAGTTTTTCCCAATTTGTTCCATGAATAATGGTCCGTTTTCACTCAAATTTTCAGATTATCTTTAATCAAGCATTGAAGTCACTACCCTAGCACCACTATCTCACATCTGAACAATGTTACCAAGTCCCTTTAAGGTTAAGACTTACAGATGCTGCAAGCTATAAAGCCCGTCAAAAGCAGACGCTGATACAGTCTTTATCCCGGCCTCGTTTAGTTCCCTGAAGTGTACATTTAAGAGCAAGAACAGGACATTTATTATTAAATCATCCAGAAACGAATGTACTTGGTAAAATTACATAGTTTACAACAACAAAAACGTTATGCCAATGAGCTCGAGTCTTCTGACAGCGTCACAAAATCGACATCTTTTCTAAGTTTACGTTTCTATACAAACTTAAAAAGGCACCGTCCCTAATACATGATAATTTATAGCAATTTTTATTATTGAATTCAATAATTATTGAATCATAATCATTAAAGGTAGGTTTCTTCTGTGAGTGATGATAGCCGAAATCGAGAGGATCTTCTAAATTGTTTTATTGTGGAATTGTTAACAGCTCTGGGCAAATAAACAGTGTACTACTCGCTTACCGCAGAGGCGAGGGACGTCATTCTTTCAGGAATTGTAGGGGGATCACTTCGTTTTGGAGTTGCTTCAACTCTAAAATATAGTATAATCCACTTTCAAGTAGTCGTTTGAATTACTATTCTGACAGTGAATTTCAATATTTTCAGCTTTTTCAATGTATTTCTACTACAAGAATGGATTTTTGTTCCTGTACATTAGAATGGATGCACCTGAAGATTTGTTGTTTGTCATGGAGAATACAGTGTCTTTTCCGTATTACTTACAACCAAACTAAGCTGCCAAGTTCGGAAAAAGCTCCATCAGGAATCGTATCAAGATTATTCTTAACAAGGTACCTGCAAATATAATCAAAGTAGAAAATGAGATAGACGGGTGTCTGTCAACGAAAATCACAATCAAAATAGGCATGGGAATTATATATTCCATTCTTTCGCCATTTAGTCACAGTAGACAAGGGGAAGCTAGAAATACTTTCGTTCACTGGATTTTCAAGATAGACAATTTCATTATATTAAAGAAATAACAACGTCCAAACTTTATTAATACTTTCCATCAGCTTGATTCGTGTATTAATTTGAGGTTGACACAGTAAATAATAAATTTGTACTCACAGATATAACAGTTTGCTCAGCCCAGAAAATGTGTCGGGGTAAATCGTTGATATATTGTTGTCATTTAGGTCTCTAGGATTGAAATTGGAAAGGAGAATTAATTAAGCCCGTCAAAAGCAGACGCTGATACAGTCTTTATCCCGGCCTTGTTCTGTTCCCTTAAGTGTACATTTACGAGCAAAACGGGAAATTTATAAATAAATCATCCAGAAACGAATGTACTTGGTAACATTACATAGTTAAAATAACAAAAAAGTTATACCAATGAGCTCGAATCTTCTGACAGCATCACAAAATCAACATCTTTTCTAAGTTTACATTTCTACACAATGCTGTACGATACGAGGTGAAATTTCTATTCAAAACAATGTCTTTCATAAAATTGCCCACTCTTTGACGACCTTTGACGTCATGGGTAGGATGGAAAATAATATATACATTTATGCATTGCCTAGATAAAAAGTATATATATATTATAAGTAAGATTGTACTGATTTACTTTTCATATACTACAATTTCTATAGGTTTACCTCCTATAGCCCTATAATTTAACATTATTATGTCAAATAGTACATCTGTTAAGCGCTTGGAGATAATGTCGATGTATTATGCCATATATTAACCTAGAATATTCTCATTATTACTTTTTACTTAATAGACATGGTACGTTCTTCGAAGAAAAAACTATAAATCATTTAAATCAGCGATGAGATTCGAATCTACGGAAGGGTTTTCAATAGATATTATAAATAGATTAAAAAACTCACAACCATTCCAAGCCTTTGAGTCCATGAAAGACCCCACCAGGTAGCACCTCGATAAACGTTCTATTTAGATACCTGTAATGCAAAGAGTTGAATGAAATAGTTGGTGTTATACATTTATATAGCTCGAGTCAACTATTCACTAAATCCAATCAAGGGATTTTTTAATCATGCACTGAGGAACATGAACAGCAAATGAGATTGTCATAGTTTTATCAATTCAGATTCAATTGCGATACCAATATTTGAATAATATTGACTGCCAGAGAATTAGATGGCATACTAATAAATGTAACCAAACGATCCTATTTTCTCACCAATTAATGCAGCAAATATAAACGGTTAGATGTAAGAATTGATAAACCACACATCTTAAAGTTATTTAAAAACAAATACTTATTATATTTTTAATCATCTAGAACTTACAAATTTTTGACGTTTCTTTGGTGATCTAAAATTATCTGTCTCGTCATGTTCTCCAAGTTGTAGTCTTCAATGTTCCTGTAAAATGTATACCGAAATGGGATGCTTCTTAATATTTGTGACATGATATTTACAAACATCCATTAATTATGTCATATTAAATAAATACGCATGTACGTATATAAATCTCAAGACCTGAAGACCTGAAGCATTTAGTGTTTTATCTAATTGGATATGTGGGGAAAAAACTACGTTGTACAGTTCTTTTTTAAATGACCTGAAAAAAAACACTGAATTATGGAAATTTTATCTTAGTAAGAGTATAAATATATTCTTATATATATATAAAACATACATTTCATGAATAGAACCATTTTGTTTTAATTCTTTTACATGCATTTTCAAAATATTCGTGAAGTGTGATAATAGGCATGTCATTAATTTGTATTTGTTCGTATATCAATAAATAAAATAAAAATATCTGAGTATCTTACTATGCGCGCTGTAAAACATTTTAAAGAAAAAATGCTCAGAGATGAAATCATTTGGACACAGAAAAGCCGTAAGAAAGTTACTAAACATGTTAAAAGGGAATATATAATTAAATTAAACAAAAATGAGAAATATACTGTATGTAATTTACTCACATGCATTCTACTGTAGCCGACTCATGCAGGGAAGGTCTCGGAGGCATGCAAAACAGCCCTAAATTTAAACAAAAAACGGGATGACATATTTCACTGGCTGTCAGCTGTTTGTGCGATCAAATTTTATCAATGTTATACAACAGATATCTTTATTCATCAAATGTTGTGATATAGATATACGTCAGGTAATAAATTATGACATCAGTTTCTATTTTATTTTTCTATCTATGAGACGAAGTTAGACCTTCAACCTTGGATTTGAAAGTATTTGGCACAAACATTATCGTCACATGTCCATTATTCTAGCCTTAGGAGAAATACACTATCAATAATAAAATTGGTTCAGTAAGGTTTTTTTTTGGATCCGTTCAGTATTCATTGATACACCTTTTTTCAGTTGAATTGTAGATTTAAAAGAAGAAACCTTATCGACAGATTTTGCATAATATCTGTAGATTTTTATTTTTTAATCTTATTCTCATCACTGTTGTGCAATGCATCCATAATTTCTAATACAGTTATAACTATTACATTATACATTACATGTACTCCATTCTTAGCTTATATAATCTTATATAATTTGGTGCAGTATCAATATGGCAAAAGGAGCACCCTCTAAATGATTAGTAGAGAAAAAAATGATATGATAGTCATACATGCCAACTGTTCAGATTAAAGAGGAACATTCCTCTTTTTGGGAGAAGATAATTATCATTTTAATGCAGGTGTTCCTCTTCCTGTACAAATTTGTCTGTAGTATTGAATGGGAGAGTTAGGATTGTTCCTCTTTTTTTTTTTAAATAGCATAATTTGTACAGATTTCTGATTTTCAAATGTTGGCATGTATGGATAGTTAAACTTTGATTCAGCATCTCTTACCCCAAGTTGGCTCTATGAAGCAGTCTTGAACTGCTGGAATGCAAATACCAGTACCTGTGGATTTCAAAGAATTACGTATAAAAAACATTAGTTTGCATCTAGCTTTCAAGACCTCAATCTGTTTCTTCTCTGAGCTCTCTTTTCCCTCTTTCTTCCAGATGAATACATTCGTAGCGATATGGGTACCCGGTAGGATGCGAAAGTTAATGTGCCCTAGATTAGCAAGTGTGCTCTTGTAAAAAAAGACGCCTGGCTGGAATGCTCCCCAGGGAGTGGAGAATGTGCATATATTGTGTGCGGGTAAGCCTGAATCCGATGACCGGGGTAATAATATATATATCTGTAAAGCGCTTTGAGAGGGCCTTCGGTCCTGAAAAGCGCTATATAAGAATTAGCTATTATTATTACTGACTCACTTTCGACTTGTCTCGAGCTCATTATATATAATTTTTAAAAATCACAATTTTCTTTTATAGTGACACAGTGAAACATTCATTCACAAGTCATAAAAAAGCCGTTACATACAGTATACCGATCAATATACAGGCTTTAATAATGAAGTTTGAATGTAACTTTTATTATCTCCCGTTTTTGATTAAGTCATATCTTCCTACCGTTAAGAGTCTCCTTTCTCTCACATAGTCCAGTAATACAGACATCCTCTGTTGAAGAAAAAAAAAGAGATACATTCAATATCAAAGTACAATAGCTCGAACTACATGGCACATTGATAAAATCTAGTGATTAGAACAGCCAGTAGGCCATAACCTGACCTGTATTTTTTGTTGTCAACAATTCAGGTTAAACAAAGAAAACTGATTGCATAATATAGTGAAAGGAAAGATCACCTCCATAGCAAGTAACTCCGACGTCTTGCGAATGATTACAGTCATGAACTCCGAGCCCGCTATGAGAGCAATTAAAGATAGTGCTCTCGTTGCCGACGCAGTGGATGTCGTCGAGGATGATCTCGCCGATACCCTGGCCGAAGTCGTCCGCGCCATGGACGCTGACGGCGTGTCCGAAGCCGAGACTTCTGCAGATGACATTGGCGTTGTTCAGGTCCCAGGAAGTACCGCAGAGAGTTCCCAGGTAACCCTGATAAGCCACCTTCACACGGCCTTCCAGATAGGTGCTCCCGTTGACGAGAAAGACCGCGTAATCTGTATTGGCAGTATGCAGAAAGAAGAGAACCTCTTCATATTTACAAAATCGTGCTTTTTTTTCTTTCTATAAGCCTAGATCATAATACTTTTACTCTCTACATAACAGTCAATTTGTGATTTTTTCTTAAGCTCTAGAAACCACTTTTAAGGCTCGTTCAAATATGGCGCGGCTAAACCACGGCGTTATTTGTTTTGTTTCGTTTTCGATAATGTAGTTTGACATTATTTGAAATATAAAGAAAATTCGGAAAAAATGGGCTAAAAAAAATATTTTCAATGGCATTTAATTTTACCGTCAGGCGAACACGTGACACCCGCATCCATTCGATGAAAACATTTGAAGAAATTCGTGTCGTCGTTTTTGCAGACGTAGATATTCGTTTCGCCGCCGGTGCATTGGAGACCACCCAAGACGATGTCGCCCGTTCCTTGCCCGAACTCCGCGTACGACGACGCGCTAAGGGCGTATGTGTGGCCGAGACTCCTGCAGACCACGTGAGCGTCATTGATGTCCCAGTGATGGCTGCAGACCGTACCCCAGGCACCGTCGAAGAACACCTCAACCCGACCCTGAAGGCTGTTGCTGCCGCCAACTAGACGAACTGTTCAGAGACAATAATGGATGACAGTGAACTATCGGCGCATACAAATTGACAAATTGAGTTCCCCCACAATATTACAAGTCATGTATAAGATGGTATTCGGACTTTTTGTGAGAGTAAATTTACAAGAACGAAATTAAAATAGATTTTAACATCGGTAATCATTATAACACATAATGGCGCATGTGGAAGTAGAAGCGTTTTGAAAAAGAAAGTAGTTTACGTTGCTGATATTATTTTTTGACCGCTAACGTGAGTTTTCAAGTGTGTAAGAGATCATTTTATAAGTGAATAGTTTTATCAGTGAGTTACTATATCGTTCTGTAAAATAGTCAGTCCTTTATTAAGTGTATAGAGTTGAGTTTAGTGTTTTAGGTAGAAATTCGGTCATGCAATCTCACTTGAACCTTTTTAATCATTTATAAAGAATTTCCTACCGCCAGTATTGCATGTCACTGTTGCATCTTGTGTATGATTACAGTCGTGAACGCCTAAGGCAGAGTGTGGACAGTCTAGCAAGATGGATTCGTTTCCAATGCACTGGACTTCGTCCAAGAAAATATCATCAACCACCTCAGCATCATCTGGGTAGTCCTGGTAGTAGTCCACGACGGTTGTTTTCTCGATGGCCTCGCCTAGGCCTAGACTTCTGCAGACCACATTGGCATCGTCTATATCCCAGTTGTCCCTGCACACAGTTCCCCAGGAACCCGCGTTGAACACTTCGACTCTTCCCTCCCATGGGTATTTTCCGCCCACAAGACGAACTGTTTATCATTAGTCAAGAGAAAAAGAAAGAAATGCTAGGCCTACAACTTTGTATTCTATGACACGTTGATGACAAGATGTGTTTGTTCCTGGAAAAACAGTTGTACCCATTCATGAATTATGTGAGGTCCTACAAATAATATATCTATGTATAATTACATAATTATGTTCACAAATCCGTGACTAAATTTTAATCCTTTCATTGCCAATATTAGGACTTTCTGTTTATTGTATTTTAGAAACATTATGCTTCTTCTTCTTCTTCTTCTTCTTCTTCTTCTTCTTCTTCTTCTTCTTCTTCTTCCTCTCCTTCTACTCCTCTTCTTCTTTTGTATACATCATCTTCTTATTCTTCTTCGTCATCTTCTCCTTCTATGGTTTGTTAGGGACTATTGAGGGTCATACAAGAGTTGTAGCCTTTGCCATAATGCCTCTAGTCCACATCTTTATGCTATATATAAAAGCTTTAAAACATGTAATTCGGTTACATGTTACGAGAAATTTCCTTTCTTTTTAATTGATACCTGCACTAGTGGAACATCGAACCCCTGCATCCTCGTCGTGATGGCAGTCTTGAATCCCTATACCACCGTGACGGCAATCCAAAATGGAGGATTCATTCCCGTAACACTCTACTCCATCTAGAAGAATGTCACCTAAAGACAGAAATAAAAACAATATATTATTGTAGATAATTAGGCAGAGAAGGCAGAGAAGGCATAGAAGCATGGATTTCTAATAGTCTGAGACCTAACAGCAACAGTAAATATAAATGTAAGTCTCTCGTACTGTAGTAATGTCAGTGTTTTCTAAATATTTTCTAAACAAAATAATTGCAGAATCATGGTCTGAAAAGGATTATTCCAAAAGGTCGGTAGCGTCGCGTCGCGTCACGTTAACTTGAACGCGACCATTCGTCCAAAGCCCCCCCCCCCCCGGTTTTGCCAAAAAGGTGCGTTGTACCGCCTTAACGCACCCTTTCGGGATAAGCGGGGGGGGGGGGCTTTTCTCGAAAGGGTGCGTAGACTTGTCTTCCACATCAGTCGTTTACAATGGAATTTAAGGAATAGAAATTTAAGTCGTTTTAAATTCAAAGAAAAAAATTAATAAAACTATTTTTTACGGAGTCTTGAAAATTAGGCGTTTATAAGAGTTAAATGAATAACAAGATATACAATCAAATAATTTACAAAAATATTTTTTAAAAATATGAAATAAAGGTGTTTACCTAGTGTTGCATGTCAGTCGTTTATTTATCAAAATAACAACAACAAAAATCCATTTCTTTCTATGTAGTCTACTCCGTTATTTATTTATTTATTTGTAATTTCATTTGCAATAACAAGAAACACAATCGAATAATTTACTTCAAGCCTGTCTGCACTAGTTTGACCAGGGGGGATTAGATCTACCTTCGTGGTCACTGACAGGTGGTTATCTCATCAAATCAGCTCTCATGTAACATAAAAAAAGGGGACCATGGGGGACGTACAACAGGTAACGATTAGGTATTATTTGCTATATAGAGGGTGCAAGTAGGTACAAGTAGTGCAGTGGGGTTTTAAATATTTAAAAATGTCAAATAAAAAAATATTCATTTCTTTCTATGTATACAGGGTGAGTCAGAAAGAATGTCCCACTTTTTAAAAGTTGTATTGTTTGAAGTATGAATATTTAATTAGGGGTTTAATGATATGTCTTGATAGAGTTATCCTCCCAGTAAATTTAAGTACCATTTTCATTTGAATCCGTTCACGCATGACTGAACATCAGACAATCTACAAGACTGCCATATTTCACTTGAGCCAACTTACTGGGTGAGGAATAAAACAGTGCATTGAACAAAGACAGGCAGACAGACACACACACACACACATATGAAAATACAAATAAATGAATAAATAACGGAGTACATAGAAAGAAATGTATTTGTTGTATGTAAATGACTGGGTACCCGGTAAGAAGAAGAAAAAAAATCACATCATCCTCTAGAAAAGAGGACTATTCTTATGCCCCCCCCCCCCGTCCCAACTCCCCCTCTCCTTTTTGCCACCCTTCTATATGATGTCGTACCTGTGCCTTCGCCAAACGGAGCATTGCGTAGAGCCGCCACAGAGCTGGCGTAGCCAAGGCTCATACAGACAATGTTGGCATCTACAAGATCCCATAAATCATCACAGATCGTCCCCCATCGTCCAGCATGTAGAATCTCAACTCGGCCCTCCGAAGGTGTCGATCCGCCTACAAGTCGTACCGATGCTTCTGTAAATTTGAATTAATAGTGAAATTACGTGAAATACGATTTGTTTAAGCTCTTATCAATCCCTCTTTGGATGTTGTCACATTAATCCAGTTGTATTTATTTCAGTGCCATTACACGGAATTCCATTTGGCTGTATTTTGATTTCTTCTTGATATGTTTTCCATTATTCAGGTGATGGTAAAAACGAAAGAAAAAAATCAAATACGAAACCAATAATTTAGAAATTATTTTAATACTAAAATCAAGAATTAAGGTTTAGAGTGTTAAAAATGGTTTAATCTGGTTTAGACGAGGAACCCATTTCACAAAGGTTTTTTTCAATGACAAATGACAAAAATCAGTGACGAGTTATCTGATAACCAATCAGAAGCAAGGATTTCAGTAGCTTTTAACAAAAACTGTAATTTGTCACTGATGAAAAGTTTTGTGAAACGCCTCCCAGGTTTGTTTTTTAAATTGCATTAAAATTATTTGTAAACAAGAGAGAATTAACCCTTTGTGATATGCAAACATACGATACTGTATATTACTGAACAAAAGCCCTTAAGCAAACTTTAATTAATATAAAAAGCTTCTTTTTTTTTTACAAGACTGGTTATGCAGGTAGTGTAGATATACAGTGCGTCCCAGAAAAAACAAAACCGAGAGTTATTGATGTTTTATCATAACTTAATCACATTTATACTTAATAAATGACACATATTTGGAAAGCTTATATCCTCTTCTTTCATTTGATGCAACTCATTATGATGCATATTTCACGCATGAGTGTTTAAAATCAATTTGAAGAGAGGAAACCGAAAAGTCGTTTGGCGGGCTGTATCTGAATTTCAAAGAGGAAATCACATTTCTAGAAAGTTGAGTTTCATATGACACCTCAATCAGGAAAAATGAGCAAAAAAAGACAAAGATCTGTTTGTTTAAAGTAGCCCTTACATTTTCATAATTTTAGCAAACAAATTCGTTTTCACTGGCTGCCTGCCGTAGCAAAAAGCAGAATTGACTCCATTTCGTTAACAATCAGCCATGCATGAAGTCTTTCGTCTACTGCTGATTGTCAACGAAACGGAGTTAAGTCTTTTGTTAATTTCGTTTGTTGATACGGCAGGCAGCCAGTGAAAACGAATTTGTTTGCTAAAATTATCAAAATGCAAACACTACTTTAAACAAACAGAACTTTGTTATTCCTAGCTCATTTTTCCGGAATGAGGTGTCATATGAAAGGGCAGAAACTCAACTTTTTAGAAATGTGATTTTCTCCTTGAAATTCAGATACCGCCCGCCAAATGACTTTTCGGTTTCCTCTCTTCAAATTGATTTTCATCACTCATGCGTGAAAAATGATAAAACAGAATTATCGAAGGCACCTTCGAAATACTAAAGACATATCACATGGGAAGAGATATAAAGAGATATGACATAGAGTGTTGACAGAGAAAGCTGGTCAAAGAGGAGAAAGAGAGAGAGAGAGAGAGAGAGAGAGAGCAGACAAAATCAAATACTCTTTTGAATATAGGACATTTTATTGCACGATTCGATTTTCGCCTTTCGCCGCCTTCCCTCGCCATTGGTGTATTCAGCAGCATATATGGAAGAGTTGACTTACGCCCTATTTCAGAAATAATTAGCTTTAAAACAACGTTCTCTAAATTAAAAGACAAACAGGACAATTTGGGGACCTACTTTTATAGTGACCTACTATATTTTCGCTCTATTTTTTATCCAGCTTTCCAGATTGAGTACACTTTTTGTGTAATCCTAAACCCCAGTAGGTCAATATTGTGGAGTTGCTTGTGATCATCTCGTTACACCAATTATAATGAGAATTCACAGTATTATAAAGCCTCGTATTATCTTACAAGAAAAACCTTGCATTCTGTTCCATGCACCCGCAGTTTTTCGCATTTTCCCAAATCAAATTACCATGCCATTATGAGCATATCAACTCCACTGTCACATAATCCGTTAAAAAGTTCAGGGTCTTCTGTAGTGAAGTGCTTTTCCATCACTCGCACTTCTTGTAATGGTCAAAACAAGATCAATCCTCCCGGCGGAATCGACCGTTTAAGTAAACTAATGCCTCAGTCACACTGGCAAGATGACACCCAACTGAAAGTAGACCGAACAAGACTTTATATTAGACCGAATGGCCATAAATGGATCGATTTTGGAATCGGTTTGGTGTCAATGTGGCAATTAGATTGAGGTAGTAGGATAGATAATGGACCATCAGGGTGGAAAGGCGACGCGACGCCTTTCCAACAAGAACTAATTGTTGGTGCATACGCCCTTATGAGCATGACGGACAAAGAAAGAGGACAAATTATACAGTTCCATAGGTAGACAAAGGAACATCCCTTAACTGCTTTTATGTAAAAATGTGTAGAACAGGTGTCACATGCATATTCACCTGTTCTACACATTTTTACATAATAGCAGTGAAGGGATGTTCCTTTGTCTACCTGAGGAACTGTATATTTTGTCCTCTGTCTTTGTCCGTCACGTCATAGTGAATAATGTGAATATCATCAACTAAAATTCATTTTCAAATTTAATTCATCCGCATTAATTTAGTTTGACACTACCATGACTATGCATATAATCTTCTATTATGGACTATAAAACTGCTATATTTTCGATTTATTAAAACAATAAAGCATACATTGTTGTTTTCACAACAATCACTGATAGAGACCGAGTGTGATTTTTCGCATGGTAGGGGTATGATATTTGTAAGATATAAAGCAAATGTCCACAACGATATGTTTGCTGATTTGGAAGAAGTTCTATAAAACTGTACATACTCGATTGTTGTCATCACCAATAATTTTGATATCAGTATATGATACTTGTCCTGCCTTTATATATTGAACTAGCACATCCTTTTCATTGAATCGAATTTAAAATAAGGAACTTCTTTCTTTTCTCTCTCTCTCTCTCTCTCTTTCTTTCTCTCTCTCTCTCTCTCTCTCTCTCTCCTTTCTCTCTTCTTCTTTCTGCATCTCTCTCGCTCTCTCTCTCTCTCTCTCTCTCCCTTTCCCTGTCTCCACGCCTCTGTCTGTTTATCTCTCTATTATCTCTGTCTATCTATTTTCTTCTCTTATTTCTCTCTAGTTTATTCAATACATTCCTCTCGCAATGTCAAGATACGAAAATATTCATAAAATATTAATGGTCTAATTTCGTTTAATTATAGATGTACATCACATATTATTAGGTAAACATAGTTCACTGTGAAAGTCGTTATGAGAAATTTACAGTTATAAAAAAAGAAATCATCTTTAAAAAGGAATACACGCCTGGTATCGAGACAAAATTATCAAAATTGCATACACCGCTATTAATATCAAGTATTGTCAATATGCCTGTGTCGGTGTCTATCCTTTGTGTTCCAAATGTCCTCGTTCTTTCACCACATGCTGTTAATAATTGTTATGCCCATTCATTTTTTATTCAAAATGTTCTAACATATTTAGAAAAGCTGCCATCTGTAAAATATTTTCCTTTACATATTTGAACATTCGACATTTAAAAAAAAAATGTTAACTTGAATTTAATTGATGATGCCATCTGTCATGTTTTCTTAACATCAATGAGTCAAAATATTGAGAATCGATGGTATTACATTCGCTGTGACACTAATGTATGATATTGAAATTATTCGTAGGTAAAAAATCTGTATATAAGGCCCTGGAAAAAAATTATGCAAACGCTTTTCGTCCCCGTGTTCACTTTCAGCTTTTTAAATTTAAGATTTTGGATATTTTGCTGCGATTACGTTTAAATGGTAAGATAAGACTGTTTGTCTATACATATATGTTTTGCTTTGTGATAGTTATTTGACTCCTGTGTTTATTTTCCACGCGTATTACATTATTCTGAATGGAGGGAGCTCATTAGTTAAATCGTCATGATAATATTCTGTAAGGAATTCCTTTGGAAGTAATGCACTGGGAAATTAATTTTCATATTTACAACCTCGACCGCTGTGGCAGCAACCGTGGGTGCAAATATTGAATCTTCCACCCCATCCTGGACCATTAAAATAATGCGCTTTTTAGTGTTCAATGTTGCTTCCTTCTCCCTCACGATGGAGATTCGCAATGGAGATTCGCAACTTGTAAGATTCACGACATTTAAAGTTCAAACTTGCATACGTGTAATAGCTTGATGTTAATGAAACGACGATATTAAAAGGGGGAATGGTACATGCTCACAATACTCACCTCTTTTTGCACTATTCAGAGACAATGATTCGGTAAACTCTCCTGCTGACAAATAAAAGTTACCCGCGCAAAACACCAGACACACGGTCATTGGTATTAAAAGAACCATGTCGACTGAGATAGACGATAGAAATGATTCTAAAATTCAATCGCTCATAATAAGAACGAGCGAGGTCGAAACAGTCACTTCACTACCAGCAACATGATGGTTGGAGGCCAAACCTGGTTCAAGTAGACATCATATTCACACTGAAAAGTTGCAAGATTGTCCGTTTATAATCCATCCTCTTTTTGTAAAGGAGATTCACAGTCACATGCTTTAAGACTGTAAAGCCAAAAAAATGAAAAAGAATTATATTGTTGTCCGGCCCTTTCCTACTGGCTGCTTACTTTTTCCCCACAATACCATTCTGCATGACATGTTCGTGGAGAGGAGGTAACGTTCGAATATGGCTCCAGTGCTGGAAGGAGGGAATGAGATGTCAATATGAACAGAGTGGTATCAGACTGATCACTGGCCATGGACCTCGGATGTGTGCACTTTTCCCCGCTCTGACACTTATCCCCTAATTACATGCACCATCATATTGATGTATACGAATTTAAACTGTCACTTAAACCAAAATCCGTGCATGTTTCAAACCCGGGGCGACAATATGTGTTTAATATTGCCAGAAAAGAGGGGGTGCGCCATCCAACGTATGCAGTTGTAGGGAAGGGAGAATCTGATGTTTTCTTTATTATAGCAATGTAAAATTTACTACAAAAAATAAATGACTTTTTTTCTGGTAAGTAAGTGCATCTTCGAGCAAATTGCCGGCGAATCTTCCCGCCTCGCTCAGTACAAACAAGAAGTCAACCATTAAAGCTTTCAAGCTCAACTGGACGATTATCTGCAGCGCCAGAAACAACAGTATCGCAAAGTGAAACGCTCGAGTGACAATTAAAATGCGTCACTTGCAAAACGCTTCCGGGGTCGAAAGTTGAGGATATGTGCGACCCAGCTATCAAAATTACAAATAACCTACATCCCGAAGAAATCATCCATCATGTTGGTACTAATAACATCAGCAAATATGACCCATACGAAATAGGGCCTAAAATTGAATCAGTGAGTCTGCATATTCATAACATCATGCCCCTCATTGAAAAAGATTAACCTGAGCTCTATCATTCCACGGAAATCCTATGCCCCCCCCCCCCCCCCCATTTCCATACCAAAATTCAGGAAAGTCAACAGAAAGCTGAAATCATTCCAGGCCAAGCACTCACGGGGATACATCGATCACACGAATATATCATCCCTTATCATCACATCGGCCTTGATGGAATTCATCTGAATGACGGAGGAGTTCGCGTTCTGGCGATAAAACTGATCAACCATCTTAAAGCGGCTCCCTCAACGACGGAACGGATTAGACAGGACGATGAGCTGCCTGTGGCTGAGAAGAAACATCCGCCAACAATGCCTGACCTCTACAGTGATGTAGTACACGTACAACAATAATTTCAGTTGGGATCATCGATTACCTGCACAGTGCTCTCCAAGATCATCGATCTTACAGTATTCTGGGTGTTTCAACTTCGGTGAAATGAATCACAACAGGGAAAACTGCAGATTCAACACAATACTACGATGCCATCAATGTGGCAGGTTCGGCCACAAGGCCAAGCATAAATGTCCGTCAATTTTCGTGTACTAGCTTCCAGGCCAGGAAGAGGATGCCGAGACATCAGAATCCAGAGCGCATATATCAGCCATTTTCATCAGATCCATCAGAGTCGAAATACAAGCAGAAACACTGATGATGAAAGCAATGACTTTATCTGTGATATTAATAATGATCACAATGTCAGTGAGTCTTGCCAGCGCCACGACCCTCACACCACGAATACAGAAGAAAATGAGGCATACTATAGTCTCGAACACAGACATATCAAGCCATTTAGTGGAAAACGTCTAAAAATTTGCCATGTCAATATAAATTCGTTACCAGCCAAGATAGATGATCTAAAATATACTCTAAAGTATAATCCATTCGATATTAAAGCCATAACAGAAACTTACTTTGATAAGACCGTACCAGACTCCAAACTATTATAATAATAGAGGAATACAACATTATTCGTAAAGACATTTATTCTACGAACCCAGACAAATATAATGTCACTGGTGTTTATAAAACTTTCTTTGGCGATCATTTCTTAACTTTTACAATTTATGGCTCAGGGTTCAATCCTTGGGCCCATCCTGTTTACAGTCATGCTAAGAAAGTGTCTTTAAAGGTGAAACAAAAGCTTGTTTTCATAAGAAGATTAAAAACATATTTTTCTACCAAACAAAATATTGGGGGTACATTATACCCCATGTTCTATACTGCTGTAATGTATGTTCGCGCAGAAGTACCGGGAATGCAATACCTTAAACAAATTACACAAAAGGGCTGCTTACATAGTTTCAAAAAAGTCATGGGATATACCGTCCCTGGATGTTATCAAGTTACTATGCTGGCCAACTCTTGATAACTTGTTCTGGAAAACAATGTGCTATTTAATGTATAAATGCGTAAATAGAATAACACCCGAAATCGTACATGACAGATTTATATATAATGCAAGGTTTTTCCACCTCTGGTAGATTTAATGCACTTTTCATCCCAATAGATTTAGTTCTTACATGTTTATCAGTTTCTTTCTCATTATCTATTATGATTCGGTTTTTGTCATGTTACTTGACTCCATTACCATACCATGCTTACAATGTGCTGTTAGTATAAATATCATTAATTAACTGTTGTTCTTTTGTGTAATATTGATATGTACTTATTATATTCAGTTAATGTGTTCCCATGTTTTGTTTAACTTATTTGTATAGTTGATTTTTTATCATTATCTAAACCATGCATAAATTGTGTTAAATGTTATAATTTGATATTTTGTACCATGCTAATTGTAAATTATGTATTTTTCATGTACAGTTTTCCTAAACAGGGCTCTGTGGAAGACCAGATTTTTTTATTTGTGTATAATGAACAGACTACCCTGAATAAAGAAGTGAAATAAATATTATAAAAAATCTTGTATCACTATCATCTCATCTTAAGGTAATCTGATCATGTAAGAAAGGGGAACTCCCGAGATAGGAGGCCACCTGGTTCTTTATCCTCCTTTTTTAATAATGGTTGCTCTGAAATGAAAATATTAAAACAAAATTTCAATCAAAAGGGCCGTATGTTTTTTATTGCCATAAGGGAAAATGACACATGGCGCAAGGAGGGGGTGATCCTTGATATTCATGAGAGGATTTTTTTTTTATCATCATCAGAGGGATAATTTTCATCACAGGAGGGGCATTTCCTTTGTTTGCATGGAAGGGGTGACCCTCCGAACCCCGTTTTATCCGCTCATTCTTTGAGACGAGGAAGATTGTGGAGATCCAGACTACCGTGTCATCTATCATGTTACGCGATGCAAGTGGAACTATGTAAATGGGTAGCTTAATTATATTCCAATCTTTGATCCATATGTCGCTTCGCCAGGCTAAGAATAGCGGTAACTTAGAACTTTTCACAGCGTAGCCGAAGCTAATATGGTAATACTGAGCAAAAAGGATAGAATCACAATTTCGACAGCATGTTAATGAATAATTAAATGGGTGGATGAACACCGGATTAATAATAATGAATGAATGGAGGAAGGAAGGAAGGAATGCATGAACGAATGATTAACTCAACGTGTTTGACGTTTCCATTAAACATTCGTCGACAATCACATTAAAAAAAAAGACTCGATAATCAAATTAATCGTTTTTCATTTTAATGCCACTTTAATTTAATTGAAATTACGAATGACGAATATAGACTAAATAGACTGTATAGCATATTCAAATATAATTATGATAACTACAAAGTGTGTTCTTTATATGTTTAATGGCAGATACATGGCAAGTTATTTCGATACATCCTTTGTGCCCGAATCCATAGATAAAATTCGTTAAATTAATTCTGAAATAAATTGTAAATCAAGATTTATTTCGTTATAGGCATGATGACTAACATAAGTCTTGCTAGGCGTACAAACAACACGCAATATCAGTACAAACGTTTTCATTAGCCACTAAACATAACACAAATATTTTAGTACCTTTTGCAGCGATATATCATTACAAGTTAAAGAAGATGTTAGGTCTCACTTTTACGAAAAACACGATGCAATTAAAGTCTCTGAATCATCAAAAATTGAGAGCTGCTAGTGTCATTGCTTGAACAAAAAATTAATTATATTATCATAAAAGATAAACAATAAACTTTCAACTCATATACTTTTAAACTTACAAACGTAACATTATATTTCCATTTAGTTCTTTTTAATTTACAGTATAAACACAAAATAAAGTCCCTAAAGATATAACATCTCATGTACAGGCGCGCCGGAAGCAGTTTGGGATTGGGGGGGGGCGAACATTCCATGGGGCTCACCTTCTGGGGGCAGTGACATAATGAGCAAAAACTTTTGGAGGGGGGGCAGAAGATAAATCTGCATCACCACTTTTACACGTTACATGCAGGCCCTGCGGAACGTTTTTCAAAGTGGAGTATTAACAATCAGGTACGGCGTAAATTTGCTTGGAGTCCAGGGCCTGAGCCTCAGCAGGGGGTCAAGAGGCTGAGCACCCAGAAGCTCAGGGTGTTTAGGCATTTAATTACAGTTAGATAAGCACCCAGGGCCCCGCCTAAGGGCCCTTGGTGGGGTCCAGGGGGCAGAGCCTCCGGAAGCTCAGGGGTTTTCGGTATTTCATTACGGTTAGATGAGCATCCAGTGTCCCTCTTAAAGGTCATTGATGTGGTCCAGGGGACAGAGCCCCCGGAAGCTTAGGGATTTTAGGTATTTAATTACGTTCAAATGAGCATCCAGGGGCCCGCCTTAGGGCCCTTGGTGGGGTTCAGGGGGCAGAGCCCCCGGAAGTTAGGGGGTTTTAGGTATTTAATTACGATCAGATGAGCATCCAGGGGACCGCCTTAGGGCCCTTGGTGGAGCTCTGGGGTTTTGGGCATTTAATTACGGTCAGATGAGCATATTTTGATACCTCATTTGTGACATTGGCAGGTCACTTATTTTTTCTCTCTCTCTTTCCTTCTTTTCCTCTGTAACATACTTTTTCAAAAAGTGAGGGGGCTCGAGCCATGCAGACCATGACATAAACGCTTCTTAATAAGCATATTTTTCGCCCGACTGTAAATTTGAGAATTTCAATTTTTTGAAAAAACGCATAAAAAGGTATGACTTTCAAAAAGATTGAGAAAAAATACCGGAAAATCATGTCATTTCATTTTTGGTTGGGGGGCAACTACCCCCCCCCCCCCCCCCCACTTCCGGCGCCTATGCTCATGTATTAGAATAATGAAATCCGTTGTCATCTTCAATATTGGAACTAACCAAAATCACAATTATCTTTAACTCTATACATTGGAAGGAAACTAACTTGTTAATTGCATCAATTTCGATATCCATTCTATTAGCGTTCGAACACATTCAAGTCTGTTTAAGAGGTTTGGTTTGTGAGTTAGAAAGCAAAAATCCATTTTAAACCCATGGTAATACAAAATATTACCAAAAAAATAATTTAAGCCACAAGTCAGTATCTGTTTCAAGAGTTAATTCAAGTCTTTAATCTCAAAATCTGTATTCCGTCGTCTTTAGAGTAGTTTTTGAAACACTTCATGACAAGTTATTTGCTCAGAAAATATGACCAGTATTTTATCACGTTTCATCTTGCCCACAGAAAGTGAAGTATGTCTCTAAATGTTTACTTTGTACACTTTGAGTAATTGGTCTAGCTTTTTCTTTTTCCTTTGTTTAATATATCATTATCAAATATTGGGCTTTTGCAGTTCCTCTATTCCCTTATCTTTTACCATGTACATTGCAATCTCGGGATTTTTATTACTCGGCGCCTGCTTGTCGCTTATCTTTGAGCTGTTTGAGCCCAAGCGACTCGCCCTTTTCCTACTTCCCTCTTTGCTTAAACGAGTAGACAGAGTTTGGTGAGAACTATTTCCCTTTACTTTAGTTTTCATACCCTCGAGATAATTAATGAAGGTATAGAGGACAGGATTAATGGAGGAGTTGATGGGGATGATGAAAATCACACTCCAGGCATAAAGTGACGTTGGTAGGACTACCAGACCAGTTTGGGTCAAGATACCCATTGCTATGATGGGCATCCAACAGGCGAAGTCGGTCCCTACGATGAACGCCATCTTCCTGGCGACTCGGATCTCGCGTTTCCTGTTCGCCGAGTTCTGGATGGCCTCCGACGAGCGCTTGACGGTCACAAACATCACGACGTAGCAGGCCAGGATGATCAGGAAAAGCGCCATGTTGATACCGATAAAGGTCACGATGGAGAACACCCAGAAATTCCGTTTTTCGCCATCGGTGGCCACGTACTTAACGATGAACTCAGAGCTCAGTACCTGGTCCCAGATGATATCCAGCCTACCAGTCTCTCCCAGTTCTACATGTAGCGGTAAACCGACACAGACATCAGATAGTCCGTAGAATCCGGAAACGTTAGTTCCGACAATAAATGGAACCGAACCAAACAAGAACGTGAAGATCCATGTGAATGCTAAGGCGACGCTGGCAGATTTGGGCGTTATCTTGTATTGTCCAAACGGATAAACGATGCTGATGTATCTATCCAGTGTGATGAGGGTCAGTGTGAATACAGACAGTTCGCTTGAGAAAAATGCAAGAAAAGAGGATATTTTACAGGGGTAGGACTCTCGCCACAACGGGGCACTCAGGAAATAAAGTCTGTTGAAATAGCCATCTGCAGAGGTGATGATAATCATGTAAACACCCATTAGAGAATCTGCAACCGCTAGATTCATGGTAAAGATGTTCTGAACCGTCGCGCGTTGTTTCTGAGTGGCACGCAGAAAAAAAACGATCACGTTGCCGCAGAGAGATGATAGACCGATGATCCAGCCGGCAATACGCAGGACAACGCTCGGGTATAGGCTGCCGCATGTGTCCAGAGGGCTGGGTGGAGAGGTTCTGGCACAGGTGACGTTTTCAGAATTGCTGAGAAGACAGCAGAGGCGGTTGTCTGATGTGGAGCTGTCGAAAGCAATTGTCAAACTTTGAAAATTAATTACTACAAAATCATCATCGATCAAATACCTGCTTATTAAGTAAATGATTTATAAGATTTTTTTTAGCTTCTACCAACCCCACAATTTAGTAGGCAAGTTTCCTTCCTCCCCCTGTGGACTTCTCGAGCCAAGCGATTATTTAAACAGTTTCATCGATAAGACAACTATGTACTAGAAGGTTTCATGAATTAATTACCAGGATGTTAAAGATATTTTTGTAGACATTCAATAGAAGTTAGATTGAAAATGGGAGGGCATTTACAAGTCAATAGTTTAAGAAGGAGCCTGACACGACAGGTGAGCTGTTTAATATGTTATAAGTCAGGAAATAACCAAGAAATAGATATATTAGTCTGATAAACAAAACCATTGATCTTTTCATCATAAGTTTGATAAAAAATAATTCAAGTAATTACCTATCCTACTTTAAAAATCAATATGTTATGATACATGTAGTAAACTTTTAATTTATGCACTTTACTGAGAATTTATGTCTCAAAAAGTTAAACTTCGAAACTTGAAACTCACAAAACTTTGAGGCCAGGTTAAAAAACAACAGTATACTTGGTATAATTTGATTTGACAACACGATGCGAGAAAGATATTAAAACTTGTTATCCTAATTCTCGTCATCTTTTCATCCTCATTAACGTGGCTGGGAATTATCATGAAGAACTTTGAAATATTCAACTTACATAGCTTTGAGTCCAGTTAGACCAGTCATTGTGTCATGAGAAATAATGTCCAGCTCAAGATCTAAAAGAAATCTACAAAGATGAACGAAACATGTAAAAAGGCAAAGAATAACTCACTCCTTTGCTATAACGTTTACCTTAAACAATAACTACTTCACATACTCTTCATTCTATGATTATCAAGTTCAATATAATGTATCCATACTACTTTCAATTCTATTGAAATTGCACAGCAATTTTAACGTCCGTATTAGCTCTATCAATAATTTCTATCGACTCGTTCTTCGGGTTTTAAAACGTATGTATAACATGTGAAACCAACATATCTAAATCCAATCTGGTTAAAGTAAATCGTGTCATATTCTTCTCGTTATGATTTTAACTTACATGCTGAGAAATAAAGGAATTTACTTAAATACTGAAAAGAAATGGGATTTAGATTTATTGTTGTTTCACTTTCAATCGATTTCGTATTAATAAGTGTGCTTTATAACCCTATTAGAACAATCCCGCGTAAATTAACTCTGAATTGCAAAAAAATGCTTAATCACAGATAATGCAGGTTACTCAGGTTTGCGAATGCTCCAGCTTCAATGTTCTTTATCCGATTGTATCCCAAGTCCCTGTTTGACATAAACAGACAATTTGGAAGAGTAGACATGTCAGTTACATTACACATTTTACTCATATAAAGGCATACTGTACTTTCAATTTTTATAAACCTTTAACTTCACTTTCTATGTATCATTGCTCATGAATTGTCTTATAGAATCGTTTTCACTCGTGTGACAAAAAAGTTCAGTGTAGTCGTTTCGTGCTTTCATCGTTGGAATGCATGCCATAAAAAATTGTAAGGATAACTGAATTTCATATTATTATTTGTATGAATTTAGGAAACATTAGAAGCAGAGAAATGTCGTATTTTTCGAAAATGTATGTATTTTGTGTAACTGTAATGGTTACTATACGAAACTATATTGTGTCACTTACAAAAATTCTAAGTTTTCTTGCCCCAGAAATGCGTCATTCTGCAAATGAGTGATGAAATTAGATGACATATTTCTGTACAGAAAAAAGGGACACATATGAAATTATCAATCATTTTGTTATTCCTCAAGTAATTACTATGATTTTATCTACATTACAGTGCCGTTCTACAGCCACAAGTGGGCATAAATTTATTTTCACTGGACTCTACGGATCTGGGGGTAACCATCTGGACAGATCGAAAGAGGTCCAGAGCTAAAGCTAAAAAACATTTCCGTGAAGAAATAGATAACCTTGAAATATACAACAAAAAATAAAATGGATTACAATTCGGTTCTTGAAAAGAAATAAAGTTATTATATGTTTGCAAAAAATCGAACTTAAAGGTTGTCTTACATTCACGTGTAACCCTTTATCACTCGGATAAGCGCATACAATTTTTTGAACATGTTAAACCATTAATGTACTGCTATTGGAGTACGCTATGTACACAGATTTACACACTTTTATCAACGGTTTCCTCATTGAAACATTAAAGGGATAGTTGAGTTCTTGTTTAAAACCGCAAATGCCTTCAAATGCATGGTTATTGCTCTTATAATAATAATAATACATTAATAATACATACTTATTCTTATTCATGACATTTCTAGTGCCCTTTTAGGACCTGAAATGGCTATGAAGGTAATTTTTAGACCGCAAAATGTGTGAAATATAGATTAAATAAGAGTACCAATTCAGCTCCGCTTTCAGAAAAATATGGTGTCCGTTAATTAATTAAATAATTAATAATATATAATACATCTGGCCGGCTGGTTGTGCGTATCACGAGCCAATAAAAAGCGAACGGTTGGCATTGGCGGGAATTAAAACGTATGAGGTGCTATCTCATTTTTCAGCTACTAGTTCAAAATTATCGAATATTTGTGGTGATATTAGAAATTGTTATATTTATGGATGTTTCAAACGTCTTTTAACCGAATTTGATCTGAATTGTATATTCTTTCAACATTTGACACTCAGTTTTATATTATTTCACACACAAAATTGAGTAGCGCCCTCTGCAACAAACTCAACTATCCCTCAACAAGAGTTAGTGTGCTAGACGACATGAGTTGTTGTAAAGATATTCTTTCAAATTATATTAAAAGAATAAACTATGCCATTATACCACCCATCAACGTTTCGGGGTTGACTTACATAATCAAGGTTTTGCGTGCAAATACACACGTTCAGTAAACTTCTTTTTGGGGGGGTCTGTTTTTGTTATCAAGGCAATTCGCAGAACATAATGCAAGACGCCTGTGAGAGTTTAATATCTTTTCGGAAGAAAATAAAATTATGAGATGGGATAAAAGTCGTAGCCCAGGGAGAGTTGGGAGTGGGCTCAATGTCACTCTCTCAATCGCATTTGTGAGTAAAGCGAAAAACAAAGAGATAGGGGTAAACAAATGGATATCCTCATATTCTTGTATTTCATGTTCAAGTTCGTGTCAAGTTCGAGTGCAAAGTAACATTTATTTCATTCAAATTCTTTTTTCCATATCAACAAATTACCCAACTTAAAAAATGTTTACAAAGAGATTAACATGATCTATCTTTATTAAGAGCATTAACAATTCGAACACAAGAAAGGTTGCGGAATTCTTAAACCATAGGCTTGTGTGGGATTCGCCTTATTGACCAAAACACTATTATGTGGACATCATTAACAGTCTTAAACAAAACTGTTGCCCCAAATAGGGAGACACAAGGACAAATGGAAAAGAAATGGGGGAATAGGGATGCACATTCAGTCATTAAGGCCGCCGAATTATCCCACACACACACACACCACTCCACACACGCGCACATCCGCACACACTTTTTTGTAAATTTGTGTTATTCTTCCAAATGTGTAGTACAAATAAAAACATACAATTGAATAGAATAAATAAACGTTTTCAATATTGATATTAATTATTTATACATAAACATGATTAACAAAAAAGAAATCATTCGCAGTATACATAATAGCAATGAAGTAAACTTAAAGTACATAAACATAATTTAAAAATCAATTGTACATGTTATTCACTTATTTATTTATTTTTTAAATTAGACAAATCTGGAGGTTATTTTACGTACAATGTCTGCTCCACTATGCCCCCCCCCCCCTCCATCACACAAGCACACAAACTCACACACACGTACACACAACAGTAAGCCCCAACGGCTACGCCGTGTCATGGGAATACTAACAAAGTGTTAAGACGAGACAGATAGTTGAACACCCCGTCTGGTAGTTCAGTGATGTTGTTATTCTGCAACAATCTGCATAAAAGAAACATGGCGAAAAGAAGCATTAAAAAAAATGTTTTGCGTATAAGCGGGAACATTAACAACTAAGAGGCTTTTTATACATCCGACAACAAATTTTAAAGATTGGTCTGAACATTTAGGGCCATTTTTCTCATCTGTACCTCTACCAAGAATGTAAGGATGTAATTGTGTTCCTTTACATACTGAATATGCCGACAAACTCTCCGAAAACTTTATCAAAGGTTTCCTGACAGGAATTCCGAGCGAGGGTCCATTCAACCCCTTCTCATGATGACTGTGACGATAAAGATGGGCAATCCAACATAATAACAAAGACTTTCGAAAATATCAAACTAACGCAATTTTAAATCCTTCCCATCATGAATGTTTCAATGCATGAATGTTCAAGGTTTTAAAAAACTTGATATTAAATGCGGTTAATAATAATGACGATAATGATACCTTTACATTATAATAATAGTAATATTAATAAAAATAATAATAATAATATAATGATGATGATGACATAAGTGACAATGATAATACTAATAATAATAATGATAATGATAATTAATAATAATAATAAAAATGATAACAGTGTAATGGATCGATGACTACGAGTTCAGAGACAAAATAAATACGAAACAGTCCGGAAATACAGTTGAGGTCCAATTTATTATTTATAATGTCGCTACAAACTCAGCCGAAGCTCCAGTATTTTAAACTAAGATTATCTTTTTAATGGCATTTTATATTAATTATTCTCTCAAAGACTGGGTTGCCCTAAAAGATCGCGAGAACTCAGCAGCACATCCTAATACAGAAACGTAAAAATCAAAAATGGGGTACGAAGTCATGCACGTGGTGCTTAAATATGCGTGCGCCCGACACGGCTTTAATGTGACATGATCTTACTAGCCAATCGGGAGGGACCTTATACGAAGACAACCAATGACAAGATAGGATATATAGAATGACCCGTAAGCCACCCGACCTCGAGATTAGTTCAATCTACCAATCAAGAGAGCAGTTATACATTCAATTAAATATAACCAATGACAAAGCATAATAATTAGAGTGTTTCTGACTGCGTACCGGAAAAAGTAGGAGGAGCCTATAGCCCGCAAGAATGTTAGATCCCCGGGAAAAAACAGTTTATTGTCTAACGTGTTTATTGTAATTAAACACCTGTAATTCTAATGCAAAAATTTAGGTCCAGTGGTTGTTTACCCGTTTTTGGTATACTATCGGAAACATAATTAATTCTGTACAACTTTAGATGTATACAAAGTCCAACTAACAACAATACAAATGATCAAATTAACCCAACTCCTCTATTGCTATAGCGCCCCCTTTAGGTAAATGTTTTGCCTAAATCAGCGTACCACTACAGCAATAAGACTATAATAATGCAATACATTATTGATACTTGTAAACATTTATCGTAATTCCACCTCACTTGGTATACATGTATATTAATTTCGATGCATGACTATATCTTTGTTTGATTGTTTATGGTTTTGGTTGTTTTCTGTGAACTCGAAAATTATTTTATTGAATTTTACTATGAGTGTTTATGTTATAGATGTGTATTTATATACAATGTAACACGACGAACTTCCATTGTTAAATGGACAATAAATATGAACTTTGTAAACTGGAGGTATCTTACAGGGTCCTCAACGTCTCCATTTCAGACAAAGCACCTTCCGGGATTCCATCAATCTGGTTATCTTGCAGGTATCTGCAGAAAAATCCAACATAAAATGTGTATTATTTAAAGAAGTTTTGGCTTGCACAAAGTCAATTCAGATCACTTGCTCGATCTTCAAATTAAAAAAACAAATCAGGAAAAATATTGGAGCCAGAGGGATATGAATCTGTATACTGCTTGCCGGGCAGCGACTCTACCACTAGGCTATCACTGGTCTACGGCACAGTCACGACGAACCGGAAACAAATATTATTTTGTGTAATTACAAGATCGAGCATATTTATTTACTGGGTGCAAGCCGACATTTCGTTATAAATTAATTTAAAATATTTCTAGGAAACCCAACATTCAAAGCTTTAAAGAAATGCTGTAGAGTTCATACAGATAGAATGGTTACAATTAAGTAATAATGAAAGAGTATTAAACACACACTTTTAATGGTATAAGTAATTGTTTTTTTTTTACAATGAAATTGGAAGTGGAACAAAATTGTTGATACGGGTGTTAAGAAAATGCGTCTTCAATTTAGCAAATGATACATGTTTTCAAATTTGCTTTCAGGATATTTATGATAGTAAATATTTATAACAGTAAATAATGTTTTAAGCAAGCATAAAAGAGACTCATGTAAATTCAGATTATCTCCAGAGTTCGAATGAAAAACACAAGCAATAGGAACGAGCACATTAATACTAATTAGAAAACTGAAAGTCCATATTGATTAGAATATTTCATCATCACTTACAAATAGAATAAGGCGTGCAAATCTCTGAAAACCATTTCTGGTAATATTTTGATCCTGTTGTTCCTCAGATCGCTTAAAGAAAAAAAATGGCTTGACGTTTATGTAATTCATTCAAGGCAGACATATAAGAATCAGAAATAATGCAATGTTCATAACTCTATATTCCTAATACAAAAATCCGAGAATTTAAAGGGATAGTTGAGTTATGTTGCAGAGGGCGCTACACAAAATAATTTGTTTGTGAGATAATGAAAAACTGAGTGTAAAATTTGAAAGAACATACGATTTAAATAACAAAATCATCTTTGTTTGATCAAAATCGGTTCAGAGACGGCTGAAATATCCATAAATATAACGATTCCTAATACTTGTGTACCACCACAAATATTAGATAATTTGAAAAAGACGTTGAAAAAAGAAATAGTGCCTTCCACGTCGTATTTCAGTCAATGCCGATGTTGGCTCTTTTGTTGGCATTTTCGTGTTGGTTATATTACGCACAACCAGCCGGCCCATGTATTGTTATTTTTAATTAAATAATTAATTAATGGTCACCGTATTTTTTTAAAAGTGGAGCTGAAAGGGTTTGATCGTATTGGCTAAATTTCACACATTTTGGGGTCTAAAATTCCCTTCATAGCAATTTAAGGTTCTAAAAGGGCACTAGAAACGTCATATATAAGAATAAGAGCAATAACCATGCACTTTGAAGGCATTTGCAGTCTGAAAACAGAACTCAACTATCCCTTTAAAGAATTACACTCTTTTGTTGATTATATACATATACTCTTAAAGCTAATCTTCGATAAAAACCACAACTCCCATTTGCACTTAGTGACCTGTGTTAATCACATGGTGTAGGGCCTACTTACCCGGATTGCCTTATCTTTCTATGCTCATTATTCAGCCACCATACATTTTCTACCAAAATCGTCAGGCACATGTCATTGATTTGTAATTTTGAACATTCACTGTAAGTTTCGTTGGATTCTGTGAGAATTTTTTTGTTAATGTTTACCAGACTCAAGTTTATCTCTTATCTGAAATAAATCTGTTCGAACAATTTGATTTTTAAAAAAAGAGAAGGAAATGAGCAAAAATAAATGAAAAATTCCATCATCTAAATATGAGCTATTCGGAGCAGAGTAGAAAGCAGCTTGATGCTGGCAATGTTTTTTTTCTGTATTGATTTGTTACATTATGTTATTGTCACTGTGAAAAATACAAAAGCAAGCTTGAAATACAAAGGTTTGCCATTTCTAGTTATTCGGGTGTTTAATTCAATATTGTTACTCACAGTTGATCCAACATAAACAGACCGTCGAATGCACCCGGCGATATGACTTCGATGTTGTTGTGAGAGAGGTCTCTATTATATAACAAGATATTAGAATTAAAGTGCGAATCTTAAGTTACATTAATATTACATGTGAATATGCAAGGAAAATACAAAATACGAAATATTAAATACACCTTTTAATCAATTTCTTTAAAAAAAATAATCAGGTATTTCAAATGTAGGCATTTAAATTATATCATTGCATGTAAGAGGTAAACAAAAAGTTTTGAACAGTAAATACTTATTTCTGTATAAATATTAAGCTCTCGTGCTCCTAAGATTCACATCGCTATAACAAACCTAAAGCAAATTACATGCTTAATCTATCAAGGAATTTTAAGTTGTCATCAAAATACCATTCAAAACATATAGAAAACGGACGAAAACTGACGAAAACACCTATAGAGCTGCAGCCTTTCATATGCCATGTCTTCTAATATCAAGATCAGTAATGACCTAGGCACATAACTGCAATAAGGAAGATAGATTAAAATAATCTAAGTCTAGAAAAATATAATTTAGGAACCAAATTGCATCACTTACAAGTAAAATAGGAACGACAATCCGTCAAAAGTGCCATCAGTAATTACCTCAAGTCGATTCTGATGGAGATCTCTGTTTGAAAGTATCATCGGAAAGTTACGTAATACCGCTCGTTAAATTTTCATTAAACAAATCGAAACAATAATGTCCTGCATCCAAAACTGAAATGAAGTTGAATTACATTGTAAGTTCATGTTAATCGGTTCCCTGTTTGAAGACGTAAGCCTGTATTTTGGTATCATCATCATCATAACAAAGTACGTCGTATACTGTGTTATTAATAGTATTGACCCACAAAATATCAGAACAGAGTTTACATGTCTCAGCTTAAATGCACATGTCCTTCATGACCTCAGACTCTAGATTGTGAAATATGGAAATGATTTTGAAATTTAAAATGATACACTCACAGATAAAACAGAAGGAACAGACTGATGAATGTCCCATCTGGAATTGATCTTATTCGATTTTCATGCAGATACCTATAAATGGAAAGAAAAAAACAGATTTGCTTTAGGTTTTTTCTAAGAGGGAAGCAACAAAAATGTTGTCAACCTTTAATGTTTCCCTATGTAGCATAAATTGTGATAATTTGTAATTAAATTACGAATATTTGAGAGTTGTAGGCTTTTCTGACAGTTCGTTGCTTGTATGTACACAGTGATTTTTCATAAGGTACTCTGGGTCTGAAAAGACAATCGTGTTTCTAAATCATAACTATTGAAATGGAATAAACTACCGTGATTTTGTGTAAAAGTATAGAGATTCGTTTTTCGATTGTGTTTATCATGGATAAGCTACTTACAAGTAATTCAAGCTGAATGTTCCACTAAAGATGGATACTGGTAGGGTTTCAATCAAGTTTCCATCCAAGTTCCTGTAAATCAAACGGACAGACATTTAAAAAAATCGGCCCCAGCGGTTTCGTGTTAGAGATTATGAGACAGTGCTATCCAGTAAATTTTATCACATTGTTAAATTTTGCCATCCTATAGACATAAATATATTGTGGGTGTGTGTGCGTGTGTATGTGTGTGTGTGTGTGGTATAATACGTTGATCGCTTTGGTGGATAACATAAGGCTTTGAGCGCTTATGATGAATATATCAAAATGAAAATGTCTTAGAATCTATTAAGAGCGGATTGATGCAAAGATCTCTGCAGAGGGCGTGCAGGATGAAAATATGAAAGGCATTTTTACAGTGATTGAAATTTACAACATTTTAAAGAAAAGCCTTGTATTACTGCTATTCTCCACCAATATATGTGATGGTTGTCAAGCAAACAGTGGTAAAATTCAGATAAATTGTTATCATCAGTATTGCTATGTTTTGAATGTCAAACACAAGAGGCAATAAATTTGTTGTAAATAAGTGTAGTTACGGTTTAGACTTACAGATGTTGCAAGCTATAAAGCCCTTCAAAAGAAGACGGTGATAAAGTCTTGATTCCGGCCTCGTTCAGTTCCCTGAAGTGTACATTTAAGAGCAAAAACAGGAAATTTATAAATAAATCATCCAGAAACTAATGTACTAGGTAAAATTACATAGTTACAAAAATAACAAAAAACTTATACCGATGAGCACGAATCTTCTGACAACATCACAAAATCTATACAAATTCTATGTTTACGTTTCTAAAGAAACTTGAAAAGGCGCCGTCTCTTATACATTATAATTTATAGCCATTGTAACTAGTGGATATAGATGGACATTGTGCAGCATATCATTGAAAGTGGGTTTCTTCTGTAAGTGATGTAAGTGATGTATTACTCTCTTAGTACAGAGGGGTGGAAAATCATTATTTTAGGAGTTACATTATAGGGATCACTTCCTATAAGAGTTGATACTACTCCAAAATATAATGGATTCTATTACAATTTCGTTGTTTGAATAACTCCAATGGGGTTGATTCCCTTTTTTTCAAGCGTGGATTTCCACTGCAAATTGTAACGATTACAAGAATGAATTTCTACTCCTGTACATCAAATTCTACGCCTTTCAATGGTGTTTATCATACACCCACAACAAAAAGTGAGTCATTTGACACATTTAAGCATAATTTTCGTGAGTCAGGTGTAAATTGACTCATTAGTAACAACCAATGAGTCTCTATTGACTCATTTATATTTCACCAGTGTGTCAATCATGAGCTGACGCATTTGCAAAATGCTTCGACTGACTCACATGATCGTAAAAAATGAGTCAAGATCGACATAAGAGCATTTTAGAAGAAAAAAGTGAGTCAACTTGAAAGTGAGGCTGTATGCATGTGCGCGCATGCTTTCGTGACGTCATCCAAAATGCGCATTCTCGAGCCATATTTGAATTCCCGATCGACGACGCGACGTCGCCATCTTATATCTTGGATTCAGAAGAGTTTTGACTGCAGCTAGTGAAAAATTGGTACGCATAATTATTCATATGGTTTTAAACGATGATTTTTATGACTGGATTCGTGGGCTGAATTTTCTGATTATTATACAAATGATGCATGCGTTCATTTTACGATATCCGCACTCGAGTTGATGAGGCTGTGTGTAACTTAACTATATAGATTCTACTGTATCGCACGAAGCCGTGTCGAATGAAAACATGCATGATCTTGCATCATTGTTTTATACAACGAAACTCCTAGATCCTTGTTATTTGATGTAAAACGAATTAATTCAAGATTGTTTCGTGACAGTATGGGTGACAAATAAATCTCAAGTTAAGGCTTAATTTAGTGCGTACAAAGTAGATTTTTCAGATTCGGGTAGCGGGACCACCGATTACATCGCTAAAATGTGATATTTTAGGATATATTTTCCATTGCAAATGTGGACAGTGACTCTGGCATGGTATGGTATGTGTGTGATAGGCCTAGGGAGTAGGGGGGTATATGTCATGATGCACCCACAACAAAAAGTGAGTCACCCTTACTCAAATTGATGAGTCACTGGTTTGTCCGTACAGCGAAACACTTGAAGGATCATGTGAGTCACTATGACTCGATACAAATGAGTCTTATTTATCTGAGACTCATTTGTATCGAGTCATAGTGACTCACATGATCCTTCAAGTGTTTCGCTGTACGGACAAACCAGTGACTCATCAATTTGAGTAAGGGTGACTCACTTTTTGTTGTGGGTGTAGAGAATACTCTGTCTTTTCCTTATTACTTACAACCAAACTAAGCTGCCAAGATCAGAAAAAGCCCCATCAGGAATGGTATCAAAATTATTCTTAATAAGGTACCTGCAAATGTAATCAAAGAAAAAGAAATGAAATAGAAGGTTAGATGCTGCTTATGTAGATAGAAGGTTGTTTGTCAACGAAAATCACAAGCAAAGGAAGCATGGGAATTATACATTCAATAATTTCGCCATTTAATCACAGTACACGAGGGGAAACTAGAAATACTTTCATTCACTGGATTTTCATGATAAATAATTCCATTATATCAAAGAAATAACAACGTCCACACTGTATTAATACTTTCCATTTGCTTGGTTCGTGTATTAAGTTGCGTCTTTACAAAGTACTTAACATAATGTGTACTCACAGATATAACAGGTTGCTCAGCCCAGAAAATGTGTCAGGGTAAATCGTTGATATATTGTTGTCATTTAGGTCTCTAGGATTAAAATTTGAAATGAGAATTAATCAAGAGGTACATGATCAGTATTCAAAACGATATTTATAAAAGCCCCCCTCACGAACCCTTTCATATTTCCGTTTTCACCTCTTGTGCTATAGTAATGCTGTATAATACGAGGTGGAATTTCTATTCATAAAAATTGCCCACTCTTCGGCGACCTCTGACGTCATGGGTAGGATGAAAAATGATACGTATAAATATTACTAGTTATACAATATATATATATATATATATATAAGATTGTTCGGATTTACTTTGTATATTTTACTATATATTTAGTTATGTTTACCTCCTATACCCCAAAAATTGAACATATATATGTAAAATAGCATATCTGTAACGCGCTTAGAAACATCGTATATATATCAAGCGTAATATAAACTAAGACTATTTTACTTATGACTAACAACTTTATAGATATGATACGTCCAACGAAGAAAAAAATAAATTATTTAAATCATCGATTGAATTAAAAACCTGTTTGACCATTGAAAAGTTGTCAATATATATCAACAATAGATTTAAAAACTCACAACCATTCCAGGCTTTTGAGTCCATGAAAGACCCTACCAGGCAGCACCTCGATAAATGTTCTATTTAGATACCTGTAATGAGATTGTTGGTGTTATACATTTATATAGCTCGAGTCAACTATTCAAATCCGATCAAGAGATTTTTTAATCATGCACTGAGGAACATGAACAGCAAATGAGATTGTCATAGTTTCATAAATTGCGATTCAATTGTGATACCAATATTTGAATAACATTGACCGCCAGAGAATTTAGATGGCATACTGAAAAATGTAACCGAGGGATCCTACTTTCTCACCAATCAATGCACCAAGAATAAATGGTAAGATGTAAGAATTGATTACCCACACATGTTTAAGCTATATGAAAACAAATACTGATTATGTTTATAATCGTCTGAAACTTACAAATTTTTGACGTTTCTTTGGCGATCTAAAATTATCTGTCTCGTCATGTTCTCCAATTTGTAGTCTTCAAGGTTCCTGTCAAATGTATACCGAATGTGATACTTTTTATCTATGACATGGATATTTACAAACATCCATTAATTCTTTCACATGAAATACATACGTTTGTACATATATAAAACTCAAAAAATTCAGCTCTATAAAATATCCTAGACCTGATGCAATTAGTGTTTTATCTAGTTGGATATGAGAGGAAAAAAATTACGTAGTACAGTTTTATGTACTTGATCTAGAAAACACACTGAATTATGGAAATTTATCTTAGTAAGAGTATAAATATATTGTTTTATAAATATATATATATAACATACATTTCATAAATAGAATCGTTTATTTTAGCTATTTTACATCTATTTTCGAAACATTCGTGAGGAATGATGATATAGGCATGTTATAAGTTTGTATTATTTGTATATCAATAAAAAATAAAATATATCCGAATATCCCACTATGCGTGTTGTAAAACATTGTAAAGAAAAAATACTCATAAATGATATCTTTGGGATACAGAAAAGCCGTAAGAAGGTTACTAAACATGTTTAAAGGGAATATATGATGACATTATACAAAACAAATGATAAATATACTTTACTCACATGCATTCTACTGTAGCCGACTCATGCAGGGAAGGTCTCGGAGGCATGCAAAACAGCCCTATATTTAAACAAAAAACAGGATGACATAATATTTCACTGGCTGTCAGCTGTTTGTACGAACAAATTTATGGCTTTTACAACAGATATCTTTATTCATCAATTTTTGTTAGATATAAGTTAGGTTACTTATTATGACATCCCATCTTTGAATCAATGTTAGATCTTTAAGTTTGATTTTTTAAAGTGTTTAGCGCAAACCATACGTCATTATGTCGTACATTATTCTATCCGTGAAACGGTATATAGGAGAAATAAACTACCAATAATATGACTGCTTCAGAAGTATTTTTGTTCTAATCTATTCAGTATTCATTAATGCAAGTTTTTAAGTTGAATTGTATCTTTAAAGAATAAATCTTATCGACATATTTTGCTTATATCTGTAGATTTCTATTCTTTGATCTTATTCTCATCACTGTTGTGCAATGAATCCATATTTTTCAGTTATAACTATTACATCCTTCATTACATGTATTCCATTCTTAGGTAATATAATCTAGTATTATTTAGTACAGTATTAATATGGCAAATAGAGCACCCTCGTCATGATAAGTCAAGAAATATATGATAGCTAAACTTTTATTCAGCATCTCTTACCCCAAGTTGGCTCTATGAAGCAGTCTTGAACTGCTGGAATGCAAATAACAGTATCTGTGGGTTTCAAAGAATTACGTATAAAAAACATTAGTTTGCATTTAGCTTTCAAGACCTCAATTTTTTCTTCTCGTTTTAAAGATAAATACAAAGTTTTGGTATGGGGTCATGAAATTTGTTCAAATGAACATATTGGAAGCATATGCGATCCTACAATATTCAGTGATCGTTGTCACGGTTAAAATGGAGTCTCAAGTAATGAAATTGTAAATAATTAACTCTTTATGTTGTATAGCTCCCTCTCAAGGTCAAGATATTAATTTAACTATAAAACAATGTTTATTGACTATAATCGACCGATTGGCTTTTCGTTAGGAAATTATATATCACAACTACAATTATCCTGATATTTTCATGGTCGCAGCTACCGTTGTATGGCCGTAGGCGCTATTTGATATTCAATTTTTCTCAAAAGCAGAAGTGTTTTAGGAGCTAAATTTTTTAGTGCCCATAATACATCTACATGAGCATCCAAATGTATCAAAATTGTAAAGAATCCCTATCCAGCCAATTTTCTAAATTTACGAAAACTTTGTATTACCTTTAAGATAAGAAATAAACTCTCTTTTCCCTCTTACTTCCAGATGAATACATTCGTAGCAATATATATTACTGACTCACTTTCGACTTGTCTCGAGCTGATTATACATAATTTTCAAAAGTCACAATTTCCCATTTTAGTGACACAGTAAAACATTCATTCATAACTCATAAAAAAGATGCTACATATACCAATCAATACAGGCTTAACGGATTTTTCGAATGTTTGAATGTAACTATTATTGTCTACCGTTTAGGTTAAGTCATATCTTCCTTCCTAAGCGCATGTCCCGAAGGCTCCAACATGTTGCGTAATGCCATGGCAACGAATGACGCGTCGTCTGCTAACGATCATAACGACCATCGCGATCATGACGTGGCAACGCCACAAGTTGACGCCGAGGGGAAATCCGCACCGCACGATCAAGCTAAGATGAGCAAGGAACGTGAAGCGACGCGACAGACAAGTCTCGAGGACTTTATCGCCAACGTCCGCCACGGAGTCCAAAGAAAGGACAAGGCTCCTGAAGCAGATGCCAGCACGAGTAGCGTTGCAACCGGTACGAGATCGGCCAGCAAAGTACGCGACGCATCAAATGTGACATCGGCAAAAGTTAGCGTAGCTAGTACGTCACATGTCAACAGCAGCGAAGAATGCGACAGCAATGCATCAGGGAAAATCGATTCGGGTGGCGATGAGGAATCTTCAAGCGAGTGCGATGATGAGCCGATACCACATCCCAAGAATCAGCGCAAATTGAAGAAGAAACCAGCACCCGTAAAGCCAAGAAATTCAAGTAAGAAAAAATAGCAAAGCTACATAATACAAAGATGACGAAATACTGTTGAAAAAAACAAACAAGAAACGATGAATGAAGTATCAAGAATACTTTTTGTGTCCCTCAATGTAAGAGGAATAAGAGACAAGACTAAAAGAGGCAAAATATTTCGCTGGATTAATGATCAAAAATGTCATATCGCATTTTTACAAGAATCATTTGTAACAAAAGATCTGGAATCAATAATAAAATCAGAGTGGAACGGAGCATGTTACTTCAATAATGGAACAAATCATTCAAAAGGAGTCGTGATTCTAATACACAACCGATTATTTAGTTCACTGATATCAGTAAAAGCTTTCACACGAGGAGACGGAAGAATTCTTGCATTACAGTTTTGCTTGTATGGTAAATCATACTTTTGTATTAATATATATGCACCAACAAAGAGTACGCTGAAAGAAAAGTTTTTTAAAACTTTAAAAATATGGTCAAATAAGTACAAGAACCATAATGATGTGCTTCTTGTAGGTGGTGATTTTAATTGTGTCCAAAACCGAAAATTAGATACTAGGGGTATTTCACACATAAATATACGTAAGCGTAATCTTTCATGTTTTCAACATTTGTTCAATTTGATTGATGTATGGAGAAAGCAAAATCCAGATAAAAGACAGTTTACATGGAGACAGGTTTCTTTAAAGATGTTTTCAAGATTAGACTATTGGCTTGTTCCAGCTGATTTTATGCACAGGGTTTACTCAACCGATATCAGACCTGCATTAAAGTGTGACCACAATGCTGTTTCACTTACGATTAAGGTTCATGAACAGAAGCGTGGGAAAGGTATTTGGAAACTAAACTGCTCTCTGCTTGAGGACGAGACATATAGAACAAATGTCACAGATGTTATTCGAAAACTAAAACTTGAATATAGACACTTAGATTTGCAACAAAAATGGGAACTTTGTAAAATAAAGATAAAGGAATTTAGTATGAAATATGCAATAGATGTGAATAAAAAGAAAAAATGTTACATTGTTAATTTAGAAAAAGAATTAAGAGATCTATGTGAAAATGAATGTAACCTATCTGTAGAGGATAACGATAGAATGAAGAAACTAAAAAATAATATTGACAAATGGTATACATATCAATGTAGAGGTGCTTTTGTACGTTCAAGGGAGAAATGGTTAGAAAAGGGTGAAAAATCAAATAGATATTTCTTGCAACTCGAAAAGAGAAGGGGCCAGAAAAAAGAAATAGACTCTTTAGAAGTTAATGGGAAAATTCAGAAAGATAATATTTTAAAGCACATACATAGTTATTATACGAATTTGTATTCAATCGATGATCATCAATATAGCTCTCACGACGTGTTTACAAACATAGATATTCATTCATTGTGCGAAGAAGAAGCAGACAGCTGCGAAGGTTTACTTACTGAAGCAGAATGTTGGAACTCATTAAAAGGCATGAATAATAATAAATCGCCAGGCAGTGATGGCCTAACAGTGGAATTCTATAAATGTTTCTGGTCAGAGATAAAAGACCTGGTGTTGGAAAGTCTGAATACGGGATTTTGTAATGGGGAGTTGTCATGGTCACAAAAACAATCTGTTCTTACTCTTATGTATAAAAAAGGTCCTAAGACGCGCCTTGGCAACTGGCGGCCAATATCATTACTCAATGTCGATTACAAAATCGCTGCTCGTGCCTTGTCACATAGACTGAAGCGTGTAATAAATACTATAGTATCGGTCGATCAGTCGGGTTTTATGAAAGGAAGGTCAGCTACTGAAAACGTACGTCTTATACAAGATATAATAGACTATTGTGAGTCAGAACATGTTCCGGGTATTATTATGTTTATCGATTTCAAACAAGCTTTTGACAATGTTAATCATTCTTTTCTTTTTAAAACGTTGGAAATATTTGGGTTCAAAGATACATATATAAAATGGATTCGCACACTATATCACAATGCATGTGGTAGTGTTATGAATTATGGATGGCTCTCAGAAAATTTCACAATTGAGAAAGGTGTAAGGCAAGGATGCCCACTATCAGCATTGTTATTTATTATTACTGCAGAAATCTTAGCGTTAAAGGTGAATCAAAATAAAGATATTAAAGGTATACAAGTTCTAGATAAAAATCATCAAGGACTTGAAACAGAAATTAAAATTGCACAATATGCAGACGACACGGTAATGACACTCAGTTCACTTGCGTCAGTGAGACATGCAATGGACGAAATAAAAAAATTTGGCAGATATGCTGGTATTTTGGTGAATTGGGATAAATCGAAAATAATGCAGCTTTCACAAAGATGTGATGCAAATGAAATTGAAGGATTGGCTTTTTCAAACGATCCATTTAAATTTCTTGGGATTTATGTAGGGATGAATATAAAAGAAGTAGAAACACTAAATTGGGAAGGAAAAATTGACAAGATTAAAAGAATTTTAGATTTGTGGAAAATGCGTCATCTGACGTACTACGGGAAAATCACAGTTATAAAGATGCTAGCTGCATCACAAATAGTATATGTGGCTACTGCTGTTCCAGCACCCAAAGATGCCATCAAAAGAATTAATAAGTTATTATACTCCTTTTTGTGGCGCTCAAAAACAGAAAAAATAAGAAGAAATATTTGTATTAATGATGTTACAAGTGGGGGGTTGGGAATGATTGATCTGGAAGCTAGAGTTAGTGCATTGCGTCTTTCATGGATAATGAAATATTTGAACTGTCAAAATACCTCATGGAAAACATTGTTTTCCTATTGGATTGACAAGGTTGGGGGAATACCCTTAAGTTTAGAATTTAACTGTCACAAGAAAGACATGGAAAAATTATGTAAAACAGCAAATTTGCCATATTTTTACTTTGATTTGCTTTGTATATGGTCTGAACTAAAATATGTAAATATTGAAGGGACGAATAACATAATGAGAACGATACTATGGAATAATAGTAATATTAAAATAAGGAACCGAATGCTTCATTTTAAGGTGTGGGAGAGAGGAGGAATAAAAAGAGTACACCATGTTCTTAATGACGGTCGATGGAAAAACTCTGACGAAACTGCCCAAAGATATGGGTTACCCAAAATGTTATTTGCTTTTAAGTTTGCTATGTTGAAAAAGGCTTTCCCCTTGGTATGGTTGCGTAAATCACAGGATGTAGAACGTGATGAAGTAATTGATTTACAGACCATTGAGATTTCGACAGGGGATATGATAGATTTGTCAAAACTTAATACGAAAATAATATATTCACTGATTGTGCAAAAAAATAAGAAAAACCCATATATTTTAAACGCATGGCAACAACGACTACACTTACATGCGGATTTTAATTGGTCATCTGTTCTACAGTTTAAATTTCATGTTGTACGGAATAATAAAATCAGAGAATTTAACTTTAAACTTTTGCATATGATTTTACCATCACGATACAATTTATGCAAATGGAAGATCTTAGATTATAATACATGTGAGATATGTAATACGCTAGAAACCACTAAGCATATGATGTTGGAGTGTGAAAACGTAAGATTGTTTTGGAGAATTGTTTCAGGTGTAATCTTCAATTTATGTGGTCTAAATATTCAGATGACTGAACAGATTTTAATACTTGGTTATGAAGTTGAAAACTCAATTTGTCATTTAGTAAATTTAATAATAAATTTTGCTGAGTATGTAATATATAGAAACCACATAAAGAATTTACAATCATTTAATAGAACACATGCGAGAACTCTATATCGTAGTCTTAAATATGAGTTGACATTTTATTTGAACTGTAAAAGTATTAAAAGAGAAAATAACAATATGGTACAGAAATTAATTGAGATGCTGTAGACAACGAAAACAGATGTACTCATGAACAAACTAATGGGACGTTGCAATATTTTATTTGTTTATGATTGTATATGAGTTGAATTTGTTTATTTGAAGGAAAAGAAACAAAAAGGAATGTCAATTTGAATAATAAAGTTCCTCTGATTGAGGTTAAAGAGAAAAAAAAAAAAATCTTCCTACCGTTAAGAGTTTCCTTTCTCTCACATAGTCCACTGATACAGACATCCTCTGTTGAAGAAAAGAGAATATGGGATACGTTCAATATCAAAGTACAATAACTCAAACTACATGGCACATAGAGAACATTTGCTTATTTGAACGGCCAACAGGCCATAACTTGACCTGCATTTTTTAACCATTCGGGTTAAATAAAGAACGGATCGCATGATATAGTGAAAGGAAAGATCACCTCCATAGCAAGTAACCCCGGCGTCTTGCGAATGATTACAGTTATTAACTCCGAGCCCGCTATGAGAGCAATTAAAGATAGTGCTCTCGTTGCCGACGCAGTGGATGTCGTCGAGGATGATCTCGCCGATACCCTGGCCGAAGTCGTCCGCGCCATGTACGCTGACGGCGTGTCCGAAGCCGAGACTTCTGCAGATGACATTGGCGTTATTCAGGTCCCAGGAAGTATCGCAGAGAGTTCCCAGGTAACCCTGATAAGCCACCTTCACACGGCCTTCCAGATAGGTGCTCCCGTTGACGAGAAAGACCGCGTAATCTGTATTGGCAGTATGTAGAAAGAAGATACATATTTACATAATCGTGTTTTTTTTTCTATAAGCCTAGATAATAATATTTTTACTCTCTACATAACAGTCACTTTAGGATTTTATTTTATTTTATAGAAACCACTTTTGAGGTTCGTTCGAATACGTCGCGGCTAAACCGCTGCGTTATTAGGTGATACGTACGTAGACGTATCACCTTTTGATTTCGTCAAGATTTTTATTATTTATTTATTTATTTATTTATTTATTATTATTCTTCCTCGAATTTGTTCGCAAGATATCTCAAGACTGAATGAAGCCATTGTCATGAATCTTTTAATGATGATAGATCTTAGTCTAACTTAGAACTGCGTGAATTTTCAAAGACTCAAAGTCATCGTGACGTCATCCAGGCGCCATTTTGTGAAAATCAACTAATGATCATATCTTCATAACGAATAGTAATTTCTCATTCATATTTATCACGATTTAGATCAATATCCGTCCGGTCAATTTCAGGTCAATAAATGTGCGTAAATGCGCGCGTGCGCGCTCGTCCGCGCGTTTACGCGCGCGCAAAAATTTAAAATGCTCTAAATCATCCCAAATTTTTTTTGCATACGTTTCAGGCCATATGGAGCATTTGATAAAAAAATTACGCACACGCGCATGCGCGCGCGTTTTCGCGCGTACTGGCATTTTGCAACTTAGAATCGCCGATTTTTTTCTGTCATCATATTCGGTACATTTTTCCAAGCATTTTGATAAGTTGTTCACCTTTTATTAACGCAATGAGCGTCCGTCAAAGTTGACAGCACGCGCGGATTTGCGTTATCTTTATCCACAATACATGGGCAAAAACATGCCTATATAAAATTCATTGTAACTCTTTAGAATAGATAGAAACTCCTAATATTTTGTCATATTTGGATAGATTATGAGTCGGAAATATGATTTCATGTCTCATTTTATCCTCAATTAACTCATGACGTCATCATAATGGCCTCCAAACTCAAAATTTCAATTTGCATATTATGACGTCAGCATATTTTTGGAAAATTAATTGTATCTCTGTAAATATTGATCAATTTTCTTTTTAATTTTGATATGTTCTAGCTGAGACAATTTTCTACAAATGTAGTATTCACAATTTTTATTTTTGACAAAAGTATCATGGTGTATTTTTGCGATTAAAGGAGGCATGTCAATTTTACGCATTTTGCGTGTATTCTCTATAGGACATGACTTTTTCTCAAAACTGGATTCTACACTCCTGTCTTTCGCGAGCAAAATCTCCGTTGTTTTAGCTTCGTTTTCGCTGAACTTTGGATATGTTGTAGCTGAGACAATGAGCTATCAAAAGTGTGCCTTTTATTTTTCGATTAGATGCCGAGATCATGCTCATATTTCACTTGCAAAGTAGGATTTCTGAATTCCATTTCCCGTTTACGTGTAATCGCAATGGGAGATGTTTTGGTATATCGGTAACGCACTTGACTTCCAACCTCGAGATCCCTGGTTCGAGTCCGGGTGTCTCCAACACTTTTTTTTTCACTTTTTTTTTCCTTTTGACCTTCACTGTACCATCTCCTTTGATTATTTAAACACGTAGATTCGCAAATAATGTCATAAATAACCCTTTTTACTTTATTATTACCCTATTTTCACTTAATCCATTACTTTTTGCGTGTAATCCCTATGGGAGATGACTTTTTCTAAAATCTGGAGTCTACATTCCTGTCTTTTGCGAGCAATATCGCCGTTATTTCGGCTTGGATTTTGTTGATTTTTGAGTATGTTGTAGCTGAGACTATATGCTATCTAAATCAACCCTCATTTTTTCAATAAGATGTCATGATCGCGCTCATGATCATGATCAAGATCATCATGATCATCATTATCATAATGATGATAATCATTTATCAATTACATTTTCATTTCTTTGAATAAGATAAAATCGTCAAAAAGTGTTCTTCATGATGTAAATTAGAGTCAAATGTGTAACTGGTTACTGCACAGGGTCAAAGGTCATATATTGTTTCAATCTATCTTCCCTAGATCCACGATGATCAAGGAGACACAATTTAATCTTGACATATGAATAGTTCACAATGGGAGAAGCATATGAAAGGGAGAAGCATTTTACAAAATAATATATCGTGTAATGCATTATTCGTTATGTAAACCATTATCATACGTATCACCTAATTCGTCTAAGTGACGAATTAAAGTCTAGTTTTCTTTTGTTTCTTTTCTGATGTTGTAGTTTGACATTATTTGTAATATAAAAGGACTTCGGAAAAATGGGCTTTTCAATGGCATTTAATTTTACCGTCGGGTGAACACGTGACTCCCGCATCCATTCGATGAAAACATTTGAAGAAATTCGTGTCGTCGTTTTCGCAGACGTAGATATTCGTTTCGCCACCGGTGCATTGGAGACCATCCAAGACGATGTCGCCCGTTCCCTGCCCAAACTCCGCGTACGACGACGCGCTCAGGGCGTATGTGTGGCCGAGACTCCTGCAGACCACATGAGCGTCATTGATGTCCCAGTGATGGCTGCAGACCGTACCCCAGGCACCGTCGAAGAACACCTCCACCCGACCCTGAAGGCTGTTTTTGCCGTCAACTAGACGAACTGTTCAGAGACAATAATGGATGACAGTGAACTATGGCGCATACAAATTGACAGTTGAGTTCCCCCACAATATTACAAGTCATGTCTAAGATGGTATTTGGACTTTGTGTGAGAGTAAATTTACAAGAACGAAATTAAAATAGATTTTAACATCGGTAATCATTATAAGACATAATGGCGTATGTGGAAGTAGAAGCGTTTTGAAAAAGAAAGTAGTTTACGTTGCTGATATTTTTTTTTTGACCGTTAACGTGAGTTTTCAAGTGTGTACGAGGTCATTTTATAAGTGAATAGTTTTATCAGTGATTTAAGAAATCCTGCTGTAACATAGACCTTTAGGTGTAAGGAGTTGAGTTTAGTGTTTTAGGTAGAAATTCGGTCGTGCAATCCAACTTGAACCTCTTAAATCATTCATAAAGAATTATCTTTACCGCCAGTATTGCATGTTACTGTTGCATCTTGTGAATGGTTACAGTCGTGAACGCCTAAGGCAGAGTGTGGACAGTCTAGCAAGATGGATTCGTTTCCAACGCACTGGACTTCATCCAAGAAAATATCATCAACCACCTCAGCATCATCTGGGTAGTCCTGGTAGTAGTCCATGACGGTTGTTGCCTCGATGGCCTCGCCTAGGCCTAGACTTCTGCAGACCACTTCGGCATCGTCTATGTCCCAGTTGTCCCTGCAGACAGTTCCCCAGGCACCATCGTTGAACACTTCAACTCTTCCCTCCCATGGGTATTTCCCGTCCACAAGACGAACTGTTTATCATTAGTCAAGAGAAAACGAAAGAAAATGCTAGACCTACAACTTTGTATTCTATGACACTTTAATGACAATATGCGTTTGTTTCCCAGAAAAACAGTTGTAGCCATTTATGACTTATTTGAGGTCCTACAAACAATATGTCCATGTATAATTACATAATTATGTTCACAAATCCGTGACCAAATTTTAATCCTTTCATTGCCGATATTAGGACTTTCTGTTCATTGCATTTTAGAAACATTATGCTTCTTCTTCTTCCTTTCCTTCTTCTCCCCTTCTTCTTTTGTATACATCATCTTCTTATTCTTCTTCATCATCTTCTCTTCCCTCTGTGGTTTGTTAGGGACTATTGAGGGTCATACTTTTTGTCTCACGCAAGAGTTGTAGCCTTTGCCATAATGTCCCTAGTCCATATCTTTATGCCATATATAAAAGCTTTAAAACATGTAATTCGGTAACATGTTACGAGAAATTTCCTTCTTTTTTTTAATTGATACCTGCACTAGTGGAACATCGAACCCCTGCATCCTCGTCGTGATGGCAGTCTTGAATCCCTATACCACCGTGACGGCAATCCAAAATGGAGGATTCGTTCCCGTAACACTCTACTCCATCTAGAAGAATGTCACCTGAAGGCAGAAATACAAGATAATTAGGCAAAGAAGGCATAGAAGCATGAATTTCTAATAAGCTGAGACCTAACATCCCGTATCTAGACACCTACCCCCTGGACATCCACCCCCGGATAACCACCCCCTGTCAACTACTTTCTAGGACTACCCACCAGGTCAATTACCCCCTAGGATAGTCGTCCAGGGGGTATTTGTCCTAGAGGATGGTTGTCGTAGGGGGTAGTTTAACGGGGGTAGTCGTCCTAGAGAGTGGTAGCACTAGGGGGGTAGTTGTCCTAGGGAGTAGTTGTCCTAGGGGGTAGTTGACTGGGGTGGATGTCCAGGGGGTAGGTGTCCTAGAACCCCAACAGCCATGTGCTTTTTAAATATTTTTTTCTAAACAAAATAACTATTGTACCTCGGAAAAAAAGGCCTATCTTTACATAGTCCCCTGTAGCAACGTTAGAAACAGGTTGTATAATATTCATTAGTAATAGTAAATACCGGGTAAATGAAATTGTTCCTTCTGATCCTCTTTTTAGGTTCGTCGATAACACTTATGGTGCTATGCATCGATTACTTTCGTCTTTTTATTTTGCTTTTATTTTATCTAGAGAAATATCACGGTGGAGATATCGTGGTCTAATGGACACGTCACCGGACTATGGATTACATTAATCACATTTCGAGTTCTGCATCGATATCAATATCCTGTGGCATTTCATTAATATACATTTGCAACTCTCTACCCAAGTAAAGTAAATGGCTGGGTACCCGGTAAGAAGAAAAATATCACATCATCTTCTAAAAAAAGGGAATATTCATGGCACCTTCGCCGCCGCCCCCTCCCCCCCCCCCTTCTCTCTCTCTCTCTCTCTCTCTCTCTTGCCGCCCTTCTATATGATGTCGTACCTGTGCCTTCGCCAAACGGAGCATTGCGTAGAGCCGCTACGGAGTTGGCGTAGCCAAGGCTCATACAGACAATGTTGGCATCTACAAGATCCCATGAATCATCACAGATCGTCCCCCATCGTCCAGCATGTAGAATCTCAACTCGGCCCTCCGAAGGTGTCGATCCGCCTACAAGTCTTACCGATGCTTCTGTAAATTTGGATGAATAATGAAATTACGTGAAATACTTCAAATCGATTTGTTTCATCTCTTATCAATCCCCCTTTAGTGTTGACATATTAATTTAGTTGCATTTATTCCAGCGCCATTACACCGAACTCCACTTGGCTGTATGTTGATTTCTTCTTGATACGTATTCCATTGTTCAGGTTATAGTAAATAATTATAATAATCAAATACGAAACCAGTAATTTAGAAATGTATTTAACACTAAAATCAAGAATTAAGATTTCAAGTGTTAAAAATGAGTAAATCTGGTTTAGACCACATTTTTAGATGGGGGTTTGGGCATTTAAATGATTTGTCAACGAGGGAGAATATTAGCCCTTTGCGATATGCACGAAAAGAATACTGTTTAGTATTTACACATTCTTATGCTAACAATAATTAAAACAAAAAGCTTTTGTTTTTACAGGACTGGTTATGCGGGTAGTGTAGAGATATAGAAAGATGATCTTCAATGATAAAACAGAAATATCGAAGGCAGCTTTAAAATACTAAAGAGATATTAAATGGGTAGAGTTATAACAAGACATGAGAGATAGTTGACGGAGGAAGATGGTCAGAGAGGAGAAAGAGAAAGAGATTAACAAAAAGGGGGGAGAGAGAGAGAGGGGGGAGAGAGCAGATAAAATCAAAAACTCTATTAATATGGGAAATTTATTGCACGATTCGATTTCGCCTTTGGCCGCCTTTCCTCGCCATTGGTGTATCGAGCAGTATAAGGAGGAGTTGACTTACGCCCTATTTCAGAAATAATGAGCTTTAAAACAACGTTCTCTAAATTCGAAGACAAACAGGATTTGGGGACCTGACCTATTGTATTTTTAGCTCTATTTCTTATTCAGTTTTCCACATTGAGTACACTTTTTGTGTAACCCTATAACCCAGTAGTTGAATATTGTGGAGTTGCTCGTGGTCATCTCGTTACACCAATTATAATGAGAATTCACAGTATTATAAAGCCTCGTATTATCTTACAAGAAAAACCTTGCATTCTGTCATGCACCCGCAGTTTTTCGCATTTTCCCAAATCAAATTACGAGGCCATTAATAAGCATATCAACTTCACTGTCACATAATCCGTTAAAAAGATCAGGGTCTTCTGTGGTGAAGTGCTTTTCCATCACTTGCACTTCTTATAATGGGTCAAAACAAGATCATTTCTCCCGAAGGAATCGACCGTTCAAGTATACTAATGCCTCAGTCACACCGGCGAGATAACAACCAACTGAAAATACACCGAATAAAACTTTACATTGGACCGAATGGCCATGAATGGGTCGATTTGGGAATCGGTTTGGTGTCAATGTGGCAATTAGACTGAGGTTCGAGGATATAGATAATGGACCATCGGGTTGGAAGGTGGCGCGGCGCCTTTCCAACAAGAACTAATTGTTGGTGCATACGTACATTGTTCCTCTGATCAGATTGGTCCATGGACGAATGCTTCAACACTTAAATTTCACCAAGTAAATTTCATTTTCAAATTTAAATCATCTGCATAAATTGAATTTGTTACTACCATGACTATGCATATAATCTTCTCTTATGGAATATAAAACTGCTACATTTTCAATTTATTAAAACAATAAAGCATACATTGTTGTTTTCACAACAAACACTGATAGAGACCGAGTGTGATTCTTCGCATGGTAGGGGTCTGATATTTGTAAGATATTTATGTTGTTGGTACAATCAATATTCTACATTTTTGTTTCCTTGGATACGGCGGTGTATTGATTTTGAAATAAAGCTGTTCTATGATGAGAGATCTGCAGATATTTTTTCTATTTACTGACCATCTATTCTATTTGACGAAGACTTTAAAATTTGGCCGTACGATTGACACAGCTGTGATTGACATGTGGTAGTCAGATCAGACCGTTTCCATTTCATTTCATTTCGTTAAAAGGTTAAGTACGGCAGGACCACGGTAGGAAAAATTTGAGAAATGGTCAAACGATTTCATTATGAAAGAAGCCGTGTAGAACTCCCGAAGGGATGCATATTTCATATTTAAAATTGATAACGTAACTATGTAGTAAGCAAGAATTATCATATATTCAATTCAATTCAATTCAAATTTATTGGTCCAGAAGGAAATTCGTTTCGTTTACATGCATTGTTCACAGAGAAAAAATAGATAAAATGTACCTGTGACATGATACATACAACATAAAACAAGTATTTGGAGGTCTTTGGATCATCAGAATGATTTTAATAAAATACTCAACAAACACATAGGTTCTCTTTTTGCCTAATATCGGGTAAATTTTTAACCAACTTATTTTCGAGTGCGAAAGGAGGGAAAGGCACCGCACAAAAAAATATGGGTGTGGGATTAAAATTCACACACACACACACGCTAGCGCACATACCCTCACACACACGCACACGCACATGTGTTTTTGTTTTAATTTGGTCCAAAAACATAAAACCTTTTAGTTATATCAGGAATATGAGGATATTTCGTGAGTAATCCAAGTTTTTGTCATTCTGCCATTGCGATATTTTTGTCCAAAAAATATGGAAAAGAATTAGAAAGTTCAGAAATGTGTTATAACTATTATCACACGTCAAAAACGTCATAAAATTAATGAACAAATATCCAGTTCTTTGCGGGTACGTCTTGCCATGTTCATCTCGACACAAACGTTTTGCAATTATTTTATACTATGCAATTTTTGAGGTTGTCTTGAATTTCAACCACGAGACAATCTGTTCTTGAACCAAGTAACTATATAAAGCTTTGGCGCCTATACATGTACATCCACCAATAGCAGTAGAAGAAGTGATTCTTTTTCTTCTTCTTTTTCATCTCTTTTTTATTGTTTTTATTTTCGTATTCATCTTGGGTTTTTTCTTATTCTTCTTCTTCATTTTCTTCCCATACTTGACCTGCTTATTTTTCTTGTTATACTCCTCTTATTCTCTTACTACTTCTTCTCTTACATGGTTGTTCGATGATTGGTATTTTACCTTATCTGATATTTTAAATAATTAACTTTTAAAGCTGCATGTAGGCCTGTATATTTACTTCTCATTCTACTCCTTTTGAAAAGGCAAACCTGTGGTACCTGGATTCTACAAATTGTCCAAAGTAGTACATTCAGCATCTTTCATCCGCTATTCAAGTCGGGAAAATGGAGTGAAAATTGCATTTTTCATCAGCGAAATACATCTCTTTTGTTGATTATTAGTGGTCAATATAATGCGTCCCATTGTATTGACCATTATTATACTAATGGACTCGATCTTCGCTTTTAGTGATTCTCTTTACCATGTCTACCACATTGTGGTCCAATTAGAAGTTTTCTCCTAAAGATACTTCATGTACTCGCTATCAAATTCGTTTCTTTCAGAGGAAGCGTTTATTGATTTTGTTGCTCGGTGAAGAGTTTTTCGTTTTCCATTAATTCAAAATTGGTTTCTTGTTTCGTTTCTTTTCGCTTTGAATCTATCCTTCAAGTTGATGCGTGTCAAACACAGTATCATAAAAATAGTTTGGCTCATACTTCAAGGACTATAGAGTTCGAAATAGAATCTTCTAAAATAGTTTTTGATAATTATTGATTTTTTTTTTTATAGAAAAATGTGCCACTACCTAACGATAACAACACAAATTTAATTTATAACTACTGCAATAGAGGGGTAATAATTTAAAAGGTTAATTTAAAAGGTCTTTATAGTTGTGCTATGACAATGTGATAAAAATGATTGCGATAAAATGGAAGAATTTGAATTACTGAATGCAAACACTGACAGAGAATGTAATTGATATTGGATATAATGTCAAATATTTGTTTTCTTCGTAGCATTGATGAAATGTATTGATATATCGTGCGAGAGTGAAGGAATCACCACGATTGAAATGTGAAACTCTCAAGCAAGACAATACTGTTCAGGTTATATAAAGGGACTGTTTTGCCTTCTTCTTCTTTTTCAAACTGAAGGCTATCGTCAATACTTTGGCGTACGAAAATCATAAAATGGGGTAGTAGTCATTTGCAAAGTTAATTTGGGGGAAATACTTAACAACTTATTTTCCTGTAACTATACATGTATTCTCAATTGACATCAGAGCTTCCCTCCCCCTACCCTCCACACCCAAGGAAACTGTATATTAACTATTTTCTCTGCTAAGAGTTTGTTCTGATTTGTTACAATCGACTTTAGTATTAAAAAAACTGCGTTAGTTTTTGTTTTTTTGTTGTTTTTTTTAATTTTCCTTTCTAGCCTATGGTTCTCTCATGCTTCCAATCGAGCTTTTAATTTCAGATCCGTATTTCTTGTGCATTATGTCTAAATATATTTTCCATATGCCTCAGTCTCATGTAGAAGTTCTTTTTTGTTATCTACCGTCTGTTGAATTATCGACAATAAACGCTTCCTCGGCATGCTAAGTGAAATGCTTCTGGACAAGTCGAAAGTCCATATTGTCGATGGCTAATGGTTTTGACAACCTTTATGTTTACAACCGGGTGAACAATGTAATTCAGCATGTACAACAGAACATGTAAAGTGTTTTTCTTTTTCAATGCTATCAAGTTAACAGACACGTGGAAACACTTAAAAATCAAAAGGCGTATTTTCAAGCCACAAAATATAAATATGTGAAATACTTCAAGGTGCAATTTGTATGGCGGAAATAGTTCAATATTTCAACAGTATCTATTATGTCATGTGTTACGTTACATCACTAATCACAAATTTTCACCGAGAATTGTTCTTAATTAGAAATTAGTCCATACATGCACTGTCCCTAATTCAATACACGTCAACTCCTATTGTTTATATAATATTCACTGACTTTTCTTGTTAGTTCACTATTTTGTTTTGTAACTTTCTTTAAATCACCAATCTATTTCCTACATTTTCTTCCATCATTTAAAAGAAAATTGTTTTAAAAAATGGTCATCTGCATTACAACTTAAATTTGGGGGATCGCTTCAATTTGCATTATTCTCAATTTGCCACTTGATTATGATGATTATGTCCACGATTGGAATACAAGAGTAAAAAGAAAGGAATCCTTAGAAATTTTACGATTGGAATACAAAAGTAAAAAGAAAGGAATCCTTAGAAATTTCACGATTGGAATACAAGAGTAAAAAGAAAGGAATCCTTAGAAATTTCACGATTGGAATACAAGAGTAAAAAGAAAGGAATCCTTAGAAATTTCACGATTGGAATACAAGAGTAAAAAGAAAGGAATCCTTAGAAGTTTCATGTTACAATTGAATGGTTTAGTGGTACCGTTTATAATACTTCGCTACGAAACTGCTGGATTAATGCATGATAATTCTAGGGATTCATGTTTACTCATAATATGTAAGTAACCAGCTTTGACGTAGGCATATGCATGCCGCTCGTATTGTTGACCAAACTATGAAATACGTATGTAAGATCAAATCTTGCTTGCGTACATCTCTCTATCACCATCAATTCGTTTCTCCTTGTAATATAGACTGATATCACCAGATATATAATTTGATTAATTCTTCTTCACCGTATGCTTCCCATTGGACAAAAAGAAAGCCAAGTATTAATTTTCCTATTTTTTAAATATTTGTTAACTTTTAATAATTATTTGCATGGCTTTTGTTTGTCCTCTGTACATACAAAAAAAAAATAGGTCTTGCCCGTGACATACGAATATTTTTCTGCATAAAGGCTTTGAAACGCATTGTACATGTATAAGATGGTAGTGCGGCATACTTTAAAGATGTACGATAATTTTTCCTGTCGCCTATCATGTTAGCCGCGGTGTGCAGATCTGCCATCACAATATATATCAAGAAATACAATTGTAATTCTATATTGCGCTACCCGAGTTCACTTCTTCTTCTTCTTCTTCTTTATAATAATAATAATAATAATAATAGTCATTTCTAAAGCGCCGTCTATCTAGATAATTCTATTCCGAGGCGCATTTATTATTACCCCGGCTTTAGCCTAGCTGCCGTTTATACAGCGCTCCAGCATTTCAATTTCAAGGAATTAATTCCTGCCAGGTACCCATTTACATCACCTATTCTTCTCCTCTCTCTTCTCCCTCTCTCTCTCTCTCTCTCTCACTCTCTCTCTCTCTCTCTCTCTCTCTCAATCTTCGTACCCCTTTCTCTATCCTCTCCCACCCTTCTACCTGTTTTCACCCGGTCTCTCCTTTTCTCTCTCTCTCTCTCTCTCTCTCTTCCTCTCTCCCTCTTTAAAAGTTAAGCAGATGTTACTGGGTAAATCGAAGTTGGGCAAATTTTGTCCGATAATTGGGTTATTTTCTCCCAACCGTTTACTATAATGAACTTACCTAATGAAAGGTTAAAAAAAAATAGGTTGGGTAGGTGTTACTTGGCAAATCGATGTTGGGCAAATGCTGTCCAATATTTGGGTTATTTCCTACCAACCATGTAGTAACCGATGAAATAATTGGGTAATGTCATTGGGCAAATTAGAGTTGGGCCGGTTTTGTCCAACATCTGGGTTATTTTCTCCCAACCATTTACTACATGTATTTACCCAATTAAATGTTTAAAATAGGTTGGGCAGATGTATCTGGGCAAACGTAAGTCGGGCAACATTATTATCGAACAATAGGGTTGTGTTCTTTTATTGGAGTCCCGCCGCGGCACTAATCTCCTTTTGCATATATAATATTTTATCCAACTTATTTGCCCAACTATAGTGTTTAACTTATGCTACACATTATGGTGAGAACTGGGTGAATTTCTGATTGGATAATTTTTTGTTGGTTAAATGTTGGGTATTTTCTTTTAATCCAACACTGGGTAAATCATGCTAAATCTTTAATTTACCCAATAGTTGGTTGGACACATAATCGCCCTCATGTTGGGTAAACTTATTTTTAGAGTGTAGCGTTCTTTCTCAAACGCTCGGAACCCGACATTGAAAGAAATCATCCGGAAAGACAGATAAGAAATCAAATCAACCGAATGTATAAAATGGAAATCAGCATATGTAATCATAGACATCATTAGAGATCATTCAAAATTGACATCTTGTAAAAACGGAAAAATTAAGAATTTCAATGATATAAACTAACCAAGATTGTCTCATCAATCAAAATATATCATCATGTAATTCCAACAGCCAAAGGGAGTGCATGCATGCTGATATTCGACACAAATCGAATTCTATTGCAAATAGCAAAGGCGACCGTGCTGATGGGACTTTGTTTTTTTTTACGTCTACTAGGCCAGTTGCTCGACAAATATTTTTTCAGTGGCGGCCAAAATCTGCCTCTAGTTATAAATACATCCCCCGAAAATATTAAAATGTTAAGAACATTCGGCGAGGATAGCGTGATCATGTAATTAATTTTTGACAAAGAATCCTGGATCCATCACTGCATTATTTTGTCACAATATCGGTCGAATACATTTGCTACATGAGCCTCTAATAAGCCTTCTAATGTAACGCACTACGAAAGCAATATTCTTTCTAATGAATTACCATTAAATCTTTCAATTCACTGCAACGGTTCGAATATGATGCTGCATATGTTTTCATTTTTTTCTTTTCTGTTTAGTAAACTAAAGCTACCAAAATCACCCTTGTAGTTGTTAAATCATTTTCTTATATTAATCATTACGAATTGTTTTTCAACTGACATAATAGTTTACCACTACTTTTGTCTCATAATTAGGCAATACATTTATTTTCCACATAAACAAAATATATGGCTGATATCTAGAAACAATGAAAATGATTTGCTTGTGATCTTATATCGCTATTGTTGTCAATATACATATATATATATGTGTGTGTATATACAGTATAAACATGAATACCATTCTTGCAACAATAGCAGTTCATTACACACAGAGGAAGGCAATAAGAAGGAAGAAGGAATTCAAACCACGCGTTTTATGTTTTCTCCATTGATTTTTCGTCGTATACTACAAGATAATAGAGTGCCTTCACGAAAGGATGATATCAGGATATCATCGTCATCGTCCACTTTAGATATGACAAAAAGAATTCCAAGGATGGATGTTTCTCCGGGATGTTTCTCCGGGATGTTTCTCGATGTCATTATGGCACGACCTCGTGTAAACTGATAAACGAATGTCCACAGTAATGTGTTTGCTGATTTGAAAGAACTTCTTCAAAACTGTACATACTCGATTGCTGTCATTAACAATAATGTTTGTCTGTTACCTGTCATTGTTTTTATTGAACTGACACGTCTTTTTCATTGAATCGAAATTAAAATAAGGAACTTCTTTCTTTCTCTCTTTCTCTCTCATTCTCTCTCCTTTCTCTCTTCCTCTTTCTTCCTTCCTCGCTCTCTCTCTCTCTCTCTCTCTGTTCATCCCTCTTTCTCTGTCTGAATATCTCTGTTTATTTATCTCTCTCTCTCTCTCTCTCTTTTGGTATTATCTCTGTCTATCTATTTTTTCTCTTATTTCTCTTTAGTTTATTCAATACATTCCTCTCGCAATGTTAAGATACGAAAATATTCTGATTTCGTTTAATTATAAACGTACATCACATAAGATTAAGTGAACATAATTCACTGTCAAACTTATTACGGGAATTCGATAGTTATAAGAAAGAAATCAACTTTGAATATGAATACAAGCCTTCTATCAAGACAAGTTATCAAAATTGCGGATTTTTAATACCTTTTTACACCGCTATTATTGTCAAAGTATTTGCAATGCCTGTGTCGTTGTTTGTCCTTTGTGTGTGTGTTCCAATGTCCTCGTTCTTTTCACCACATGATGTATTTAATTGTTTTCCCCATTATATTTTTTGTTTAATGTGTCGACATGTTTAGAAAACTTGCCAATTGTAAAATATTTTCACTTTTCATTTTAGAATTACGAAAATTTGGAAAAGAAACGTTAACTTGAATTGAATTGAAATGCCGCCTGTCATGTTCTCTAAACATCAATGAGTCGAAATATTGAGAATCGATCGTATCACATTCGCTGTGACACTAATGTATGATATTAAACTTCCTGGTAGGTAAAAATCTGTATTATATAAGGCTCTGGAAAAAAGTTAAGCAGACGCTTTTCGTCCCCGTATTCACGTTCAGCTTTTTAAATATTAGATTTCAGATAAGTTTTTGTAATAATGTTTAAATGGTAAGATCTGTTTCCTGCATTTGTTCAATCATTTAGAATAAAATTGTAAAAAATTGCCATCTGCCTTACAACTTAAATGTTGGGGGTTGCTTCAATTTACGTTAGTCTCGTTTTGCCCCTTGATTGTGAAAATTATGTCCAAGTTTTGAAATACGATGAGAGTAAAAGAAAGGAATCTTTAGAAGTTTCATGCTACAATTGAATGGTTTAGTGGGTAAAACCTTTTTTCGGCTGATAAACTGCTGGATTAATGAATGAAAATTCTACGGATTCATTTTTACTCATATTATGTAAGTAACCAGCTTTGACGTAGGCATATGCATGCCGCTCGTATTGTTGATCAAACTATGAAATACGTATGTGAGATCAAATCTTGCTTGCGTACATCTCTCTATCACCATCGATTTGTTTCTCCTTGTAATATAGACTGATATCACCATATATATGATTTGAGTATTTCTTCTTCAACATATGCTTCCCATTTGACGAAAAAAAAACAAGGATAAAATTTCCTTGTTTTTTCAAATAATTATAAGCATGGCATTTGTTTGTTTCCTGTACATACAAAAAGAGGTCTGCCTGTGACAAACGAATATTAGTATGTATAAATGCTTTGGAACGCATTGTATAAGATGGTAGTACTGGATATATAAATTGGTTTACTATGTCGCCTATCATGTTTACCGCGATGGCAGAACTGCCATCACAATGGTCTATAACAAGAAATTTAATTGAATTGTATATTGCGCTACCGCTACCCTATGCTTCAGTTCTTCTTCTTCTTTCTCCCCGCACACTTTCTCTTTCTCTCCTTCTTTTTCTCCATCTCTCTCTCTCTCTCTCTCTCTCGCTGTCCTCTTTTCTCTCCCCCTTCCCTAGACTGCACCCTTATTCCTTCATTCATCCCGTCTGTCTTTGTCTCTCACCTCCCTCTATCACTTTTTAGGTCTCTAGCGTTCTATCTCAAAGACTATATCACTGAAAGAAATTATCCGGAAAAATACAAAAGATATAAAATCATGACTGATTGTATATACCTAAATACCATTCTTGCAACTATAGCAGTTCATTCCTCACAGAGGAAGGCAATAAGAAGGAAAAATGAATTAAAACCATGCGTTTTATCTTTTCTCCATTGATTTCTCGTCGTATACTACAAGATAATAGAGTGCTTTTGCTAGGATGATATGAGGATATCATCGTCATTGTTCACTTTAGATATGACAAAAAGAATTCCAAAGATGTTTCTCCGGGATGTTTCTCGATGTCATTATGGCACGACCTCGTGTAAACTGATAAACGAATGTCCACAGTAATGTGTTTGCTGATTTGAAAGAACTTCTTCAAAACTGTACATACTCGATTGCTGTCATTAACAATAATGTTTGTCTGTTACCTGTCATTGTTTTTATTGAACTGACACGTCCTTTTCATTGAATCGAAATTAAAATAAGGAACTTCTTTCTTTCTCTCTTTCTCTCTCTCTCTCTCATTCTCTCTCCTTTCTCTCTTCCTCTTTCTTCCTTCCTCGCTCTCTCTCTCTCTCTCTCTCTCTCTCTTCATCCCTCTTTTCCTGTCTGCATATCTCTGTTTATTTATTTCTCTCTTTTTATCTCTGTCTATTTTTCTCTTATTTCTCTCTAGTTTATTCAATACATTCCTTTCGCAATGATAAGATACGAAAATATTCTGATTTCGTTTAATTGTAGACGTACATCACTAAAGATTAAGTGAACATAATCACTGTCAAACTTATTATGAGAATTCGATAGTTATAAGAAAGAAATCAACTTTGAATGTGAATACAAGCCTTGTATCAAGACAAGTTATCAAAATTGCGAATTTTTAATACCTTTTTTACACCGCTATTAATATCAAAGTATTTGCAATGCCTGTGTCGTTGTCTGTCCTTTGTGTGTGTGTTCCAATGTCCTCGTTCTTTTCACCACATGCGGTTTTTAATTGTTTTCTCATCATTTTTTTTTTAATGTGTCGACATGCTTAGAAAACTTGCCATATGTAAAATATTTTCCCTTTGCATATTTGAACATACGACAATTTGGAAAAGAAACGTTAACTTAAATTGAATTGAAATGCCATCTGTCATGTTCTCTAAACATCAATGAGTCAAAATATTGAAAATCGATCGTATCATATTCGCTGTGACACTATATTCAAATTCCTGGTAGGTAAAAATCTGTATAAGGCCCTGGAAAAAAACAAGCAAACGATTTTCTTTCCCGTATTCACTTTCAGCTTTTGAAATGTTAGATTTCAGATATTTTGCTGTGATTACGTTGAAATGGTAAGATAAGACGTTTGTCTATGAATATTCTTACTCGTATAATGTTTTGCTTTGTGATAGTTGTTTGACTCCTGTATTTATCTTCCACGCTTATTAAATAGTCATGATATTATTTTGTAAGGCATTCCTTTGGAAGGAATGCACTAAAAAAAAATTTTAAAAATCAATTTTCATATCCAATCCAAAAGATATTTTATATGGCGCCTTTTCCTTGCAGTTACAAAGCGCTGCACACACGCTCCACAATGTTTGGGCCACTTAAAAACGAAAGTTAGACACTTCTCAGAGATCAGCAAAGTATATGAAGGCTGGTAAAGAGTAATTTCTAGCAGAATAGATGTGAAAACATCGACCGCTGTGGCAGCACCCGTGGGTGCAAATATTGACTCTTCCACCCCATCCTGGACCATTAAAATAATGCGCACATTTGCACTTTTTGATGTTTAATGCTGCATCCTTCCCCTCACGATGGAGATCCGCAACTTGTAAGATTTCGTGACATTTAAAATTAAAACATGCATTTGATCGGAGAGGTGCTGCCAATGAAACGGTTTGGCACAAATTAAAAGAAAAGCATTATATTTCTCAATGTGCAGGCCAACCCAATGTGTAATAGCTTGATCTTAATGAAACGCCCATTATTAAAAGAGGGAAATGGTACACGCAAGCAAAACAATATACTCACCTCCTTGTGCACCATTCAGAGACAATGATTCGGTAAACTGTCCTGTTGTCAAATAAAAGTTTCCCGCGCAAAACAAGAGACACACGGTCATCGTAATTAAAAGAACCATGTCGGAAGATAGATGGAAATGATTTTAAAAATCAATCGTTCATGATGAGAACGAGCGAGGTCGAATCAGTCACTTCACTACCAGCAACATGATGGTTGGAGAATTTGGAGGACAAACCTGGTTCAAGTAGACATCAGATTCACACTGAAAAGTTGCAGGATTGTACCTTTTTTGTAAAGGAGATTCACGGTCACGTGCTTTAAAAATGTTATGAAAAAGAATCATAATTTGTCGTCCGGCCCTTTCCTACATGATGCTAACTTTCCCCTACGATACAATCCTGCACGACATTTACGTGAAGAGAAGCGTTTGAATATGGCTCTATTGCTGGAAGAAGGGAATAAGCTGTCAATGCGAACAGACTGATATCAGACTGACCAATGACATTGGACCTCGATCGTGAATGCATTATGACGTATGCAATTTTCCCCGCTCTAACACTTATCCCCTAATCACATTCACCATACATTGATGGATACGAATTATAGACTGTCACTTCAACTAAAATCCGTGATTCAAATCCGGGGACATTGTGTGTTTCTGCCCGAAAAGGGGGGTGCACCACCCAACGTATGCAGTTGCTTTGTTCTAATGCCCATGTGATTTATATTCGAAAAATCAATGACCTGTTTTCTGGTAAGTGTGAACTCCAAAGAAAGGAGGCGACCTAGTTCTTTATCCTCACATGCATTTAAATGATCATTGCCCTGGAATGAAAATATAAAGTAAAATAAATTCAATCAAGAGGACCGTATTTTGTTATTGCCATAAGAAAAAAGAACACATGGCGCAAAAAAAGGGTTAATCCTCGGTCCTCATAAGAGGGGCAACTTTTATCACCAGGGAGTGGAAAATGTGCATACATTGTGTTGCGAGTAAGCCTGAATCCGATGACCGGGGTAATAATATGTTCCGCGCCTAGAAACAAAGTATTAGGCGCATTATAAATGTGAGCTATTATTAGTATTATTATTATAAACAAGATAGACATTTCCTTGCTTTGCGTAGGGGTGACCCCTCCGTGCCCCTTTTTCTTCGCCCATTTTTTAGATGAGGAGGATTGTGGAAAGCCAGACTACCGTGTCATCTATCATGTTACGCGATGCCATTGGAACTAAATGGGTAACTTAAAGGTGTACCATGTCGCATTTGCAGCCATCATCATATTCTGTAGAAATTTGCAGGAATTATAAACATGTCACGTATGTTCTATCTGTGAAATTTAAACGTGAGCAGTGTCCATGCCGTTTCAATTTAACCTTTTCATTTTTGGGGCCTGCAAATGGGACATAAATTTATTCTATCCCAATGTTTGATCCATCTGTCGCTTCGCCAGGCTAAGAATAGCTGTAACTTAGCATTTTTATAGAGTAGCCGAAGTTAATATGGCAATACTGAGCAAGAATGATACAGCATGTTAATGAATATTAAATGGGTAGTTGAACATCGGATTAATAATAAGGAAGGAAGGAAGGAAGGAAGGAATGAACGAATGGTTAACTCAATCGTTTAATTAAATCAATGAATGAATGATGGATAACTTTGGGCCTGCCATGAAGGTTGAAGATCTCTTTTCCTCCTTCTCTTGGACAACTTCTTTGAAAAGATCAAGCATGCCTTTCATTTAATTTCGAACGATAATGATTATATGGCAATAAATTACATATTTTCTTATCTCTAATCATTATTTTGTTCGGGGTTACAGTTTCATTTGTAGACAGTTACTGAAATGTCACATCTAATTACAAATTGTTGCAATATCTCTAACATCTATGCAGCATGAGAAGCAGGAGAACAATATTCCTCGTACGTCCGTTTTTGTCGGTTATGGCATTGTCGAAAAAAATCTTCTTCCTTTTCTTCAAATGATGATATCAAATTTTTAGATTCCTTCTAAAAATGTTTCGGCTAACTTGCCGGCAAATTTGGCTCAACGGGCCTGGCCTTTTCAACATAAACGCTCTCTACCGTTTCGGTTTAATAAAATTTGGAGTGGACTATTAGGCTATTATTATTATTATTATTATTAAGCGCATGGTATTGTTTTTTAATATCTTCACTACTGTATAGGCCTGTGGAGTGGAGATAAAAAGAATAATTTCTGCATGTGTTTGCCTTCATGCTTGGTCAATCTCCAATAATCCTTATCCTATTAGATCCTCATAATACATCACGTGAGTGCCGCAGCATATTAAGGCATTATTCACCTCCATTTTTACATGAGGAGAGCAAGATGCATAGGCGCCACTCACGTGGGACGGTCCCCAAAGACGTATACATGTCCCGTCCAAAATAAACGGTGTATAATCCGTTTTGTGAAAAGATAATTAAGAGCCCGGTCAAAACACTAATCTCTTTTTGGAGAGATCAGGAGAGATCAGAGGGTCAAAACGACGAAAGCGAAACCAGCCCGACGGCCAATCGACCCCCCCCCCCCCCCAAGAAAAAAAAACCGTCGCGAAGCTTCCCCGAATGGCCGATTTCGGTTTCGTTTATGATGAGTTACTGGCATTCAAATAGTTTATAAAATCTCATTTACATAATGTCGTTATCTTTCCCTTATAATTCTCCTTTAGAAATGAGGGTTGGTGAGAAGTGTGGGTGTCTAAAATGGTGGCATAGAGGACTTACGTTCCATCATAACTCTCTTCTCTATACACTTCTCAAAGTTCTTCATGGAAGCAACACGTCAATTTGAGAATGTCGCCTCTACCACAATTTGCTTCATGCATACACCAGGAGCAAATCCATTTTCAATTATAACCTAATTCATTTTCAATTGGAGAATTCTTTTCCGTGCCTATATCACCTCTTGTATGGCACATCAATTCTTTCTCTGCCGTCTTCAAAGGACGGGCAGTCTTGCAGTGGAACGTTTAAATCAGGACCCGACATAATGGCTCTTGATTCTCCGCTGGGAGCTGCCAGTTTCTTCGTTCCGGTAGCTCTTTTCACACACGAGCTCGTCTGAACTTTCATCAACGAGTCCGTCTCACTGCAACTCTGATGATTTCACTTCAAAGTCCGGCTCATCGATCCATCGAGCGACCCACTGCTCTTCTTCACCACCGGCTTCATGTCTTCAATACGCTTCAACCTTGGCCTTCGACATCGAGCGACTCGCTGCCTCGTCGTCGAGCGCCACATTTCTTCTCTCTCTCTCTATTCTCGCCCGAACGCTACATTCATCATCATCATCATCACGAGCGTCGGCATCGACATCGTGTTCTTCTCGGCTCTTCAACCACGTCAATGAAGTCGCGTTTCAACCATCAAGCCTCGGCAAAATCATCGCGTGAGCCCCTTTCTTCGTTTTATCCACCATCATCTTCATTGGACTTTCGACGTCATTTCTACCATTGTCGTAAGCTCTATTCATTCACTGCATTTATTCATGTCCATCTCATTCTTGACAATTTAAACTCCGTGCAATATCCACGATCACGATCCTCATTCATGTGATTCTCATTCTGAATCATTATTTATTTGCTTTCATGACTACGCTTTGCAAGTGTTTAGTCTGCAGTTTATTCACCTCAATAAAATAATGAAAAGGGAATACAGTTTATCATGTATTTTATTGCCAGTGCAACTTTGTTTCCTCGTAGTTAAATTAAAAAGAGAGTTATGTTATGTGATTAGTGAACACGCATTTACAATTTCCATTCTCAATACTTACCCCACACATAATTCCATATCAATATAGGCAAACTTAGAAAGCATTTTTAGCCATTACTTAGTGGTATTAATTAAACAACTTTACAATTTCAAAGGTGTTCGGATTGTCATGGCAATAAAGCAGAACTGCTAGACTTTAAAAAGCTGCTTAAAAAGAATTTGACATTTTGACATTGTGATTGTGTGCAAACAGTGCAATATATTTTATGAAAACTAATAATGGTTCTACATACATGGTAATAAGCCTACTCGGTCGGCCGATCCGAGCGCTGAATGACATCACGTGACAATTTACGCGGTCATGTGATTTAAATATCTCTCGTAACTGTACTGTAGCTGTAGAGGTCGCATTATAATCACATGACATCCCGTGACTTGCGCTTGCTGCACCTTTTGTCTTCGTACGGTACGGGCGTACGTACGCGTATACGATATCACTCGAGAAGCGACAGCTTAAGTCAGCTGACTGCAGAAGATCAAAGTAAAAGGACGTTTAGTTTCGAATCTGTGGGAAGTTGAAGTGTATCAAGTTTACAGTTTTACAAGTTTTACAGCAGAGGGATTGGAAAAATGAAGACATTTTTGGCAGTTTTGCTGCTTGCTGTTGCGGCACACGCTCAGCTTGTCAGGTAAGTTGGAATTGGGGAAACGTAAAAATTGTAAGAACTAGAATCTAAGAAGTAAAAAATGAGAAGTCCCAAGGCCAAGGGCAAGGGCCATTTAACTTTAAATTTAAGCCAAAGGCAAAGTCAATGACAAAGTTAACTTGGCTTGGAGAATGAAGAAGCATGATTAAGTCACTGTTTGGTAAGTGTAGAAATCGGGGCATTGTTTCACAAGGTTTTCAAAAGTACAAGTTCTGAATTCTCCAACAGTCCATTGCAACTAGATCTAGACCTAGACAGTGACAGTTTCATAAAAGTTTACGATGCCCTGATTTTCTGCAAGCTGCAGTAACTAAAGTAACAGAGGTATCAAAATTACTAAATATTAAATTAGACTAGCGAAATTCCACACTTTCGTATTTCAATTTACGCACAGCTAGCTAACATTAATCCTAACTTTAAGTTTAATTATTAGACCAGAAATTTCAGTCTGATATCAGTGGTTGTTTTGCTGATTGACAACCTCGATCTAGATCTATGGCAAATGTCAGTTTTATTAATTAATTCTGCATGCCAGACAATTATTTCATTAAAAAACGCATGTTGATTTTATTACACACAATTCTGGGAATGTTGTGTCATTAGCTCTGCCTTATGAAAACAGATAATTCAATAAAGTGTCGCTTTGAGAAATTTTGTCTGCACTAAAACTCCAACCTCTTTCAACTCCTGTCTTACTGGTATTTCAAATTTCAATTGCAGGGTTCCTCTGTACAAGATGGAAACTGTACGTCGTCAGATGGCCAATACAGGTCTGCCTTTCAAGGACTTGTCTCAGCTCTCCAACAAGTACAACATGATGAACAACAACAGGCTGGGCGCCCCTTGGCCCATCAACATGAGTGATTATCTCGATGTAAGTATAGAATGTTTTTTATTTGCCTTTATTTAGGCATTAGTTCTTTGTTTTTGTTTTAAATCACCTTTTTAAATAACAATATTATACTGTATTTTTGTTTTGGTGGCAGCATCGATAAAGCCTTTAATTGGCTTTTCTAGCTGTCCCCTCATTCATATGACATTTTTGTTGTATTCTACTTGTGCATTATGTTTTTTGTTTTATATGTTTTTATGATGAATGAAATAAAGATCAATATCTATTTCAAGTTCTCCTGTTGTCTACCGGAACCATGCAGGGACATGTTTCATGAAACTAGTTATCAATAACAAATGCTAAATTTCTATGACAAATGTGCTCTCGGCCAATCATATGCCACAATTTCAGTAGCTTATAACGGTCATTGTAACTTGTGATTGATAATCTGTTTGATGAAACAGGGTCCTGGTGGTTCCTGTTTTAAATCTATGGGAAATGTGACTTTTCATTTGTCAACTGGTTAAAGAGTACCAATCACCGGTCACTAGAATTTATTTATAAATCAACCTCAAAAACCTTCACCCAGGATAGTTAAAAAGGAGTATGAAGAAAACAATGAATAACATAAAAACTTGTATGTTGCTTTCATGGTTTCTTTTGCATAGCTTCATTTTATATTTAACTTTTAAAATTACTATGTACAACTGAGTAAAATTTTTATATTATTCATAGCCTAGATATGATTGGAGAATGAGTGCTTGATGCTTGTTCATTTATATACTATTCTGCAAAGAAAGTTAGTGCAATCGGGGAGCCTACAGCTACAAGTCCTATATGAGGGACTTGGTTAGGAGGATTTAAATCAATGCCTTACCAAAGGGCACTAGCACAAAGACTAGGCTTCGATACCCGCAATAATCCAGTAATGATACTGCTCCACAACTAAGCAATCACACTTTCTTTTTTCTTGTTCTTATATACCTGGTAATTGATGATTAATGCCTCATCAGAACTTCAGAAGGCATTCGTGCATTTACTATTTTTATGTTTTAAACTCCGGGCACCTGTTAAAAAGACCACCATCACACTTTTTCTTTCTTGTTTTCATTTCCCAGGCCCAGTACTATGGACCCATCTCGCTGGGCACACCTCCCCAGGAGTTCACCGTAGTCTTTGACACAGGCAGCGCTGATCTTTGGGTTCCATCCTCGCAGTGCGGTTTCCTTGACATTGCCTGCAGTAAGCTCAATATAGACCCATTCACCCCTTTTGATTTGCAATCGGTCATTTAATTAATGTTGTCAACTGTATTCATACATTTATGTCTCTGTGATGCGCCTCGTTACAAATTAGTACAATTACTTGGTACAAATATTGGGTATATTGAATGCAAATTGCATAGATGACTATACTTTGAAATCATTAACTGACAGAATTTCATTGCAAGAATTATCCTCTAAGAAAGAGTACCGGTAAGCAGTATACTTTGAAATCATTATTTACACTTCTCCAACTGTCAAAATGTTATCACAAGTATTATCCTCTTAGAAGGAAGAGTATGCAGTAAACTTTGAAATCATTAATTATACTTCTCTAACTGGCAGAATTTCATCGCAAATATGACAGCTCCAAGTCCTCCACCTACAAAAAGAACGGAACTAAGTGGGCCATTCAGTATGGATCAGGCTCCTGCTCTGGGTTTGTCAGCAATGATGTAATAGAGGTGAGTAGGATGGATACTTGAGGGGGAGGAGGAGGAGGAGGGGGCGGAGGAGGAGGAGGAGGGGTGGGGAGGAGGAGGAGGGGGAAACGGAGAGGAGGGGAGGATTGTGATAATAATAAGAATGGTAGTAATGATAATGATGGTAATTATAAAATCTTGTCCATATATATGCCACAGTAAACTGCCAGGGCAAATAAGCATAGTGGATACAAGTTCCTTGATTCTTTCTCACAAAGAAAAGTGTAAATTTTCATAGTCTTATCACAGTTAGATTTATCGTCCTTGTGCAGCATCCACTGCACACTATGGGCTAAGTTCACAAATTATATTTATGCTTGCATCATTTTTAGGGTCAGTTGCTCTGGTCAATTTTTCATCAAAGGTGTACATGTAGGGATAGGGTAAAGTTGCAATTGGGTTTAATTGAGGTGTAGGGTTACATACCTGCCAACCACCCCGATTTAGGCGGAGTTTCTCCGCATTTTTCATACCAACTCCGAATTCCGAGTGCATGCCTCAAAACTCCGATTTTTTTTAATTTTATTTTATTTCATTATTTTTTTTTTTTTAATAATTTTTTTTTTAAATTAATATTTTGTGTGTGCGTCCGCCATTTTCAATGGCAAAATGTCCATTCTGTCCTGTAAAGCATCCTACAAGCATCTCACATCAGCAATTTGGGGATGTTTATTCATACCTGCGTATACATGTAGCCCACGTGTATTTATATTACATGTGCAGTTGATACGCCGTGCATAAACACTGTATACATTGGCGTGTTTTCTTCAATGCTTGTGCGATGACTGCGATCGTGGAAGCTTGTTATTTACCGGACTTCCTCGGATTTATTTTGGATTACTACTACTATATACCTTTTCAAAATAGGGCTCCTATAACTGAGGTGGGTAGTGAAACATGTAGTTTTGTGAGTGTTCACATTTCAAAAATTGTTTATGTGTGGGGCGAATAGGTTGAAGGAAAAGGCCCATTTGCACCATTAAAATGGAGAGAAAAAAAAACAGACCCTAAAGTCCTGTGTACCCCCCCCCCCCCCCCCCCCCCCCAATCTACGGGCTACTACCCCAATCCTTCGGTGGTTCGCGACCTCGTAGTCCATCCAGAAAAATTTACTCCTAATTTCTCTTGTCTCAGGTTGGCAGGTATGGGGTTAGTTACAGTGTTTTTTCTAGGGTCTTCTAAGGAGCAATATGGTGGACCATCGTTCAAACAACCTTTGTTCATGCTTCCATCATCATATTTATTTTTGTACTGGTGTGTCTCAATCTTGCAGCTGGGAGCTCTGAAGGCAAAGAACCAGAGTTTTGGCGAGGCAACCGCTGAACCCGGTTTGACCTTTGTAGCAGCCAAGTTTGATGGTATCCTTGGACTGGGTTACCCGACTATCACCAGGATCAGTAAGGTGCCTGTCTTCGACAACATTGTCCAACAGGGACTTGTGACGGATGCTGTCTTCTCAGTCTACCTTGCAAAGTAAGTTTAGTCTAATTCTCATATATGATATGGAGTTCTTGTCAAAATCAAAAATTATTTGAGCTTATTCTTTTGATGATAGTTTGGAAGAATATCATATATAGGTACATGCCTGTGGCACCTCAAAATTATTGTTCTTCAAATGCCCTTCAAATCAAAATATGGAAATACAACTGAACTTTTTGATCAAATTTTCATGCCACTTGTGTGTATGTACTGTAGTCCCATATGATCATATCTATGTACAGTCCATGTGAATACCAGCAAGATCAAATTCATTTTTTTTGTTAGTGATTCCAAAACCTCACCTTCTACCCCAATTCCTGAAAGCACAACTTGTGTTGTCTCGTTTTTTTTTCTTTTTCTTTTCTTTCAAGAGGACTAATTGTACAACACAGTCAATATTTGTATAGCAGATAAGCTCTTGAAAGATCATGTTAGAAGAATACCAAACGGGTTAAAATCATCTGAAAAGTTCAGACGTATTGGGTGATCTCACTTGCAGTGATAGAAAATATGAAACCATGAAGAAATACAATTACAGGACATGTTTGTTTGTTTACTGCAGTAATTAGGGAAACCATTAATCATAACTCACATGTTGAACAGGATAGAAGGTAGTAAATCAGACTGTCATGTGATCTCTTTTGGAAACCAAGATTTATTAGTTTTTTTTTTTTATTACTTTCTCTCTGTCTTTCTTGCTCTCACTCCCTCCATATCTCTTTCTCTCATTCTCTCTACCTCTCTCTTTCTCTCATCCTCTCTTCCTCTCTTTCTCTCATTTTCTCTCTCTCTCTCTCTCTCTCTATCTCTCTATCTCTCTTTTTCTCCTGCCTGAACAGGGATGCAACAGCTGCAGTTGGAGGTGAGATAGTCTTCGGCGGTGCAGACCCTAAGCGCTACACAGGAGATTTCAACTACGTACCGGTCACTCGACAAGGCTACTGGCAGATCAAGATGGACAGGTAAGGACGAACATTTTAAAACATCTTAGAAAACAACCCTCTTCATACTTACCCCTATAACAAACATGTACCTGCCATCCCTTACGAATAATCCAGAAAATTCTGATTTACTGGATTTTTGGGGACCTAAACATTTGGAATACTCTGACTTTTCAAAATGTTGAATGTTCCGCGATTTGAGAGTTCATGTATTGCGTGGGTTGAATGGCAGCATGATCAAGCGGCGAATTTGTATTTGCTTTTTTGCACAACTGCCGCTGCATGTGCGAACGCCTGTTAAGGCATGCTAGAAATTCCTAATTCTTATTTTCAAATGTTGGCAGGTTTGCTATAATATTTGTGTTTAGAAGAGTCACCACTTATGCAAGTGAGGAACCCAATGCACTATTAAAATACCGGTAAGAGTGGGAGAAAGGCCAGTGTAGAGGTCCACCTGCACATTGCCACAAGCAGTCATATCAGAAGGAGAGACCTAAAGGTTACTTTGATTCAGTTCGCTTTTCCTCTCGACAGCACAGGAAATGCCAAATACTTAATAGTCATTTGATCACTCCCTAGATACATGTAGTTTATCTCTGGGGATATTTGTGGTATTTTGTTAAGAGAGATAGCTGTCTGGGCTGACCTTCCTTGGGAGAAGGGTAATATATGGTAATTTTGGGGGTGGGGGTATGTTGCACACTTGAGCATTGAATCACTTATTTTCTACTTGTTTAGGAGCTTTCAAGTAAAATCAGACACAAATAGCTTATAGAAAAAGAAGTAGGTTTTACAGAATGTAAAAATTGAAATGAAATATACAATGTGCTATGTATGTATATACATTATAATTTGTGTAGGAAACAGGTTTTTGGTCGTATTTATTTTGCAATTCATCTCATACTGTATTGCCACATAGCCTGTCGGTGGGCAACAATGGAACCTATTGCACCAACTGTGCTGCCATCGCTGACACCGGTACCTCCCTCATTGCCGGACCCTCTGCCGAGATTGCTAAACTCCAGCTACAGATTGGTGCTGCCCCCTTCGCATCTGGAGAGGTAGGAAGCAATATTAAACCTAAGAAGGGCTCAGGGATTAGATTGGGATAATTTGCAAGGGAGGGGGGGGGATCATAGACACCGGTACCCTACACGTTGCAGGGGCTTCTGGGAAGATAGCTTAACTCCATTTTCAGATTGCTGCTGCCCTCTTTGCATCTGGAGATTTAAATGATAGAGAACAATGATGCTCTTTTCACAAGACACACAAACACAAAGGGGTTAGAAATTTAACAGCTTATTTGATATAAATGTAATTCATCTTTTTTTTGCTACAGAATGCAAAGATTTGCATGCTTTGATTATGTTTTTACAAATATACTGCTTAATAGTTAATATATTTTATCATGCCCCTGCACTTGGATCATCCAAATATTAAAATTGTGTGATACACCTCTTTTTGGTACCAATACCATCAGACAATTTTCATGTCAACAGAATTTTATTTTTTAATGTAAAAAGGTAGATGAGAGACTTCTGTCTTCCAGGACAGATACCTAGCCTCAATTGAATGAATAGATGTAATGTTCATTAAATATTTTCTCTTTGTTTTGTTCTCAGTATATGATTGACTGTAACCTGATACCTACCCTTCCTGACGTATCCATTGTGCTCGCTGGCAAGACCTATACCCTGCAAGGCAAAGACTACGTCCTCAAGGTATGTGGCCATGTAAATTGTTTTATTCTCGAATATTTTGTTGTTAATGGGGCAATCCAACCCTTGTAATAAGTTCACTTGCATGAAAGCAGTAAAATAAGAAATTTTCAACAGAAAGGTGAAAATTGATTTATTGGTTCAATAATGAGAGAGTTATGAATGTTTGAAATATGAGATCACTTAATTTAAAAACAGTGCAATACAGAATTATTCTGCACCTTTCTCAATAATGTGTTGATGGTTTCTTTCACAATGCACTAGGTGAGCAGTATTATAAAGATTTAGAAAAATATATCAAAGATGTGGATAAATAGTTATCATAATAATTAAGGCAATGTCATTAGATATTCAACAATAAATCCAATCGAGCATGTTCAGGAATATAAGGCTTATAATATTGAAATATCGGAGTAGAATTAATAGCCTCTCATATTATTTTTTTCATCCACCTCAGGTTCAGCAAGGTACAGTGACCCTCTGCATATCTGGATTCATCGGTCTGGATGTCCCACCCCCAGCTGGCCCCCTCTGGATCCTGGGTGACCCCTTCCTCCGCACCTACTACTCCAAGTTCGACCGCACCAACAACCAACTGGGTTTCGCCACGGCCGTTTAGACCAACGCCAAGCTCTTTCTCTCCTTTAGCACCTGCCTTTCACTCTCTATACTGTAAGACCAGAACTGTTTTTGGATCCAAGAAACTTTCACAAATTTTCTTTTTCGTAGCCTAGATTCACAAAGTTTCATGCTTTGAAAAAATTGGTGCCATATCAACATTATATTTGTTCAGTTCCTCAGTATTTCTTCTCATGAGAACCACTGTCATTTGACCATTAGAAAAAGATGCAAGTCTAACCCTAACCCTAAACAATTTCTGATCATGCAATAGTCATTTTGTCTTTCCACAGGATATCTCAACAAGTTGAGTTTTAAATGTAATCAAATAAAGCTGATCCAAAGTGTAGAATCTATCTTTTTCTGCACAAATGAAAGTTCATACCAACTTTTTATTTTAGTTTATGTATATGTGAGCAAAGATGGAGAGCCAATTTGTGAAAACAAATAGTTGGAAAATAATCAGAGCGTATTTTGTATCAAGCTTAAGGTCTTTAAATTATTTGTTCGTGTCCTGTACCGCCTTTATCTTGTGGAAGGTTGATATGATTTATTTTTTAAAAGACAAAAAGAGCTCAATACGAAAGAAACAGTTTTTTTTCACACTATACTTCTTTATGTGAGAGCTTGTTTGTAGTAGAACTACCTGTTTAACAATGCCTTCTGTTATGTAAAGTTTGTCACCTCATCTGAACCATTCTATGGAATATTCCATTTGTTATTATCAATGTGTTGCCGTTTCCCATTGCAAATGTGTGTCATTGTGTCATATTTCTATTTTCTAATTTACAGATCAGATTTTTTATACAAAAGAAAAAGACATTTGGTGCATACTAGTACTTATCCACAAGTATGTCATTCTAAAAGAACTGTATATGAATGGTATAATTACAACACAAGATAAGTTGAAAAGGTCAAGTTACCACTGTCATGTTGTCAACTTATTGTTTAAATTTGAAAAGTTTGTAGGTTGTATGGTATTTGGTAAGAATCCCATAAATTGACACGACTCATTTTGTACGAATGGCGAGGATCAGCACTTCAGTGCACCAATGCCCCCTGATATCAATATGAAGAACTGATTTTTGTCTTTCTTTCTGAAAGGTTTCACATTATCAATTATCTGTAAAGATATACTGTAACTGAACTATTTCATTACAATTGGAGCCTTTTCCACAATATTTTTCACTGAATGGGCACTGTGGTTGGTAGATAAATCCTATTAACTTTTCGTCATTCCTTGTTATGTGTAGATATCTTGTTTCGTGGGTTAAGATGGGAATTCAATGTTTGTTTTTTTATGTCACCAGTCATGAGAAATAATGTGTTGAAAACACAATACTTCATGTAGATCACTGCACTATCAGTCTTAAAAGTGTAATCTTGATCAAGTAAATATGAGATGAAACACCTGTATTCATTTTGATAGTTCTTTTGGCTATTTTTACCTGTATGAATTCATATAATAAATTATGGTCTTTGTTTCCTTGTCTGTAATTGTTAAGACAATACAAAATTTACTTAATATGTTGGAAGTCATAAATGAGGTAAAATAATTTTTAGAGTATTTCCTCAAACAATATACACATATTGTCATATATTCAGTGGAAAGATTATAAGATTTTACAGATTTGATAATCAGGAGCAATTTTACTAATATCTTTGAATAGTTTTGTTTAAGTAGAATTTTTCATGAGAACAAAAAATAATACATAGATTTTGTTTTTTGGTTACTTGAGATATACACTGACTAATATGCAATAATTGTGATGTTCAGGATATTTTTATGTAAATGTAGTCTGTTTGTGTATTGTGTTGTCAAGAAATGAAAAAGAATTAAAAGTTTATGTAATAGTAAAGAGTGCCTATGTGTTCCTCCTTTTTAATTTTATACTTTAATCTTTGTAACTTATCCTCATATCTAATCATAACATCTCATTGCAAATGTGGTTTCAGCTACATGTATTTGGAGGTTATCACAATTCTAAACCAAAGTTTTATTTCTGCATGTTATTCATTGTGTGCGGTTTTAGGATCAAGAGCCACCGTTTTGATTGAAAATCTCAGCAGCAGTTAAGAACTCTTCTGAATTCAGCTTTAAATTAGAAGCATGCTCCAGTCGAGTCAACTGCAAGTCGGGCCAACATACCTATATATACACACTTATGAGCATTCAGCACATCTTGTGTTATAACCGCTAAGGCAGTGTCCTAATGAAACATGTATATTACAATCAACACGCATTTCACTTTGGACGTCAGCGGTATCTTAATATTTGCTTGTATGATGGTTTAGTGAAACAATCCCCTGTGAGACAAAACTTAATCATTGCAACACAATAAATACACTTTAACAAAAGAGGTGCATTAAAACAATTTGTTTTATTACTATTATACTGTACAGTCCATTGCTTTTTGTTGAAATGGATAATGACATCTATGATCTTCTGACGGCAATATATAATCTGAATTGGTCTCTTTACATAATATATTTTCAATATACATGTAGATTTAATTGAAATTGTCTAAAGCACCATTACCAAGAACATTATTTACACAATAGCACATGATCATGTTAATCCTGATTGCTTTAAAAACACTTTGAACAAGTAGAAATCATACATTAAAGAAAAACGAACAAGTACGAGTGTAAAAATTAAGATTGACCTTTCTAAACGACAGTAAAAGTATACATTCTTTAAAATTGCATGGCATGATCTTTCTACAAAAGCATGGGAATACACCACCTGAATTAAAAAAAGAGAGTACATGTATGTGAAATCCATACAATGTCACGATAAGCTCATGAAGCAAACACCACTGGAATTAATGTGCTAGCAACACATTTGACCCATTAAACTTGTGTTGATATCATGTAAGTCTCGAGACGAGACTAGGAGTTCTCAAGATGGATCATGACATTGAATCATGACGAAAATTTGTTCAAATAAAGACATCTGTAAATATTAACCTCCAAGTCTCTATATCATGACTTCTACAGCAGAACGACAACCAAAATATAGTATAACTTATGCATAAAGTACACTCGGAGGAGACAGTGGCAGTGTTTTCATTTGTTTTCATGCAATTCTATCGGCACTGCCATTTACATAAACATGTATATTGGTACTTTGAAATATTGGTGTTTGGGGATATTGTTTCATCACCCTATCTATCAACATTGACCAGAAAACAATTACATTTTCACTGGTAACTAACTTTGGTAACTTTGAGTCCTGTGTTGACTCCGCAGTCAGCACTAGCCCAATCCCCAAACTTTACCCTCAACATAACACTTCATGTAGCCCTACCCATAACCTTCTACCTCCCCTAAAGTTTTAATCACAACTCATGGCTAAATCCCTTCTCTTTGATGAAATAAATCCTGCAGCGAATGTCTGTTCGCTTTGTTGTCAGTATATTAAGAAGTTTGAACAAGAAGGGATTTCATTTTCGATATCATGGTCCATGTTGGCTTAGGCTAAAAACCAAAATAATGGAACGTTCAGATGAAAGGCAATTTCGCACAATAATGGTCCCGCAAGTATTCACTGAGCTCTGTGTGATAAGCTACAGAAATGTGATGTGTATTTCACTTTACATCGGTCATAAAAAAACAATGTTGCAGATTTGCTGCGTCATTATCTGAACGAGCCTTTATGATGAAGGTTTAAAATGTTTTGACATAGCCTCTGGTATACTTCAAGAATATAATTTTGGTCCTGTTGCCAATGTCCTCACTGTAAAATCGAAAGAGATCAAGATGTTGGTCACCATAGCAATCACCCTTTTCTCATCCTCCCTCTCCTCTATCTCTCTTTCTTCCTCAATTAATACATGTATAGCAATTTATTTTATTAAAAACTTTGTCAATAGTACTGCATGCTGCACACAATGATAATACCACAGAGCACAAATAATATCTCAACGTCAAGACAATAAACCAATTGTCAAATCTTAGCTCAGGCATCAAATGGTATCCATGAGATACACATTTATAAAGAGATTCAACAAAAGTTATTTCATTTGAAAATCATCATACTGAATTAACTCCATCTCAGAGGCCCAGTTATCAACAAGGTCGTCACAAGTCCTGCCAAAGCAATTTCAACTGCAGGCTTCTTCAAGATGTTGGTAACCGTAGCAATCACTCCTCCTTCATCCTCGCTCTCCTTCATCTCTCTCTCTTCTTCCTTCTCCTCATCTTTCCTGTCCACTCCCTTGTTGCCATGATGATAAGAGACAGGAGAGAGGCTCTTGAAGTCTGGTGAGTTCTCGGTGAAGACGATCTTCTTGGGGACGAGGTCCTGGGGAGATGGTGTGAGGGTTGGGGTGGGGACAGGACTGGGGGAGTAAATCTCTCGGACGGTGGTCAGGTTGGATGCAAAGTGGACAGACTTCCTGGGTGGCTTAGGGGCAGGTATAGATGGGCTATCCACCTGGAATTGATAATATTGAAAAGCAATTGGCCAATGTTCTTGAAACCACACTAATTTAGATCTGGGACCCGTTTCACAAAACTTGTCATCAGTGACAAATGACAGTCTTTGTTATAAGCTACTGAAATCCTTGCTTTTGATTGGTTATCAGCAGATTTGTCACTGAATTTTGTCATTTGTCATTGAAAAATGGCCTTGAGAAACAGGTCCCTGGTTTAACCTACTCCATTGATTTATCATGGCAGTCAAGTGTCAACCTCTCCTTTCCCTTAAAATTAAAATTAGTTCTGTTACAAAAATGAACAAATAAATTGAATTCAATAATAAAATGACAATGAGAAAGTGGTCATGACAATATGGTTTTCATTTATTATTTAGTTAGCAAAAATGTTATTATCTGTTCAGAGATTATTTTTAGCTCTGCAAATGGCAGGACTAATCAACCTACTCAAATAATCAGAATTTAAACCTAGCCTAAATATAATCAAGTCATTATTGAATATCCAAATTATTTGTGCATCTTCATTTTATCAAGATATTTCCCCTATAATTCATTCCCTTTTTTTAAATATTCAACATCCTTCTGTAAGCCTTGATTATTTTGACTGGTGTTTGTTTACCTTCTCTTCTTGTTGTTCTTCCTCCTCAATGTCCTCCACATAAGCCTCTTCATAATCATCCTCATAATCTGATGCATCCAGTCTCTCCTGTCTCTTCTTGAACAGGTAGTCCAGCATGGCATGCTGTATCACCCTAGCTGCATGATCCATGATCTTAATGGCATTGCGCACTCTCCAACCTCTGTAGCCTGGTGGAGAATTTGACATTTAAAAAATATACGGATGGAAAATACAGATAAGAATACATGTATGCACATGCATTTTTTTAATAATGTGATGCCAAATGTAAATGTATAGCTGTTCAACTACAAAATTAATAAGAATGACATATGCTCCAACTTCTGCAGAGGGTGAAATATTAAGACAATTTCCCCTTCTATTCATTCACTACACGATTATTACACAAGTATTACAATGAATATTGTTTGAGAACTGGCAATAGTCTCATCCAGTGTACTGTTTGAGGCATATCGATCATGGTATCCTCTCACAGCTTGGAGGTTGATTGCAACATTTGCCAAAGACACACATGCAAAAACTTCGCCCCTTGGCCATTACAAGAAGTGGGTTATTGATGTAGACAAATGCTCACGTACCCTTTACAACTCTCTTCATGTATGTTATTACCAAAGAAGAAAAAAAGCCAGTCAGTCACTCAATAGTGTCTGACAGTGAAGTCTAGCAAGTAAACGGGTTTCCTTGCATAATTTGAATACCGGTATGAGGACACTGCTAACGTTTCAATTTCACAGATAGGACATACATGACATATTCATAATTCCTGCAAAGTTCTACAGCATTTGAGGTTGGCTGCAAAAGGGACATAGTACCTTTAAAGCAGACTTCTTATATGTGTGTAATGCAAAATGGGGCGGGATGACAGAGTATCTTTCTTTTAATTAAAGCATTATAGTTATTGGAATATTTTTCTTATCATCTAATATATGTCTACACACTTCATGAAGACTGCTGACCAGAATGATGATGCTCAAAAGCATTTTAAGCTGTGATTTTCAACAACAAAAAACAATGTCAATTAATATCAATTTCTAAGTGACGGATAGACGACACTATCTAGAGCTTGGGTTTGAACCCCGAACCTACCAGCCTGTATAACAGAAGCAGCCCATTCTCTCTCTCCTAGCACCAAAGCTCTGTGTAGTCTCCAGGCTCGCTGGATGATGTTAGCACACTGGGAAAGCTTCTTGAGACGTTGACTCTCCAGATACTCCAACTAGAAAATGAGAATATGTGAAATGTGGGGCGTTTTCTTTTAGATAGGTGGAGTAGATAGACAGATACATGATAGATTAGATATAGACAACAAAACAGTCATAAAGATGGAGGAAAACATGAGACACCACATTCAAATAATTATGACCTGTGTTGACCTACCTGCCCTTCTCTGAGAAAGATCTTAGTCTTGCCAAGCTGCTGAGCAGAGCTGCTATCTGCCTGGTTCTCCTTATCATCATCACCACCAAACAAACTCCTGTAGATGAGTCTACACCTGTCTCGGACTGACCCCATGCCATTCCTGTCTTTCCTTGGAAGAAGCATGCTGTATCTCTGACAGAAATCTGCATGTGATAACCTGATGATGATATTAGAAATAAATGAATTGAAGAAAAAAAATATGAATATCCACCAAAAAAAACATGGATAAGTCTACCTAACTATCTATCAGAGTCACATGTATTCCTCCTTTTGGAAGAATGCCCTTTCTCATGTAGAATTCTGCATGGGAGGGTAGAAGAATAACTAAAGGCTCGTTCACATAAAACACAGAAAAACTATGCGTTTTTCTCTTTTTTTTTCTTCAGATGATGACATGAGCATAATGTGCTTCACATTTCTGCATCCTGCATCATATGTGAATAAGCCATAAGATCAAGAAAGCAAGCTAGTAGTACCGACCAAGAGACACAATACACAGTCTGTATGTGTAAATGACTGAGGGTTAATCGTCCTTTTCAATGAACAGCTAGTTTCCAGTAGTTTGATTACACCATGCTCATCCAGACAACTCATTTACAGCATGATGAAGAATTTAGAATCAGTTTCTCTGAAGTGTAATACCATTACCAGGGCCCCATCTTATAATGAGTTGATATTAATTGCAACTTATTTGTGATTAATATCAATCGCAAATATGTACATAAGAGATAGGAGACTGCAAACTTGTTACTGATTGGAGGACATACAATTAATTTGGATCGATTGCAACTCTTTATGAGGCAGGGTCCTGATCTCAAGATTAGTTTTGTTAAATTTTTAAAGGTTAATTTCTAACTTACTTTGAAGGGAAGCCCGCAGCACTGATGGCCACGGTTTCCAAGACACCACACGCTCTCAGCTGGGAGGCGACAAAACGGCTGTCAAACAAGTCTGGCTGGCACTGCTGGTTGGGTTTGATGCATCGGATGTAGTGAGGGGTAGTAGAGGTCAATGTGTTCATTAGACTCCCTAAAGACTCCTGATTAATTAAATCAATGAGAAAAATAATATAGTCAAACCTGCTTTAGTGACCACCTGTCTACATAGGCTACATATTTGCTTTCCCTTGAAAATGGTTTCTCATTGAAACATGTACTAAAGGAACCTGTCTACAAAGACCACTTTTTGTGCTTTCCTTGGGCAGTCGCTATAGACATGTTTGACTGTCACAATGAAAATAGATAGATGGGCGAGTAGGTGGTTCTTATGATCTGTCAAATATTTTATTTTCGTGTAATCTTAGGATTGAGCGTTTGAGATTATTCCCAATATCTGTCATTAAGGTTATGCATGATCTATGCCAAGAGTACATACCCCTTGTAAAATATGTTTTTTCGTTTTTTATAACTCAAGAATAAAAGGTGGACTGGTTGAATTTAGGGCCTTTGTTGAATAATTTAGATGTAAGCTTGAATATGTCACATCCTCAAGAAACATACATGTACTTGGGACAAATCAATTTTTCACATTCATGAAAAATTACAAATCTTGGTTAGGGTATGAATAGTTTAGTTGCTATTGTACATGCCACTACAGTAATACCTTGAATCTTGAAACAACAGTCATGTTGACTTTTGATTTGGAACCCTTGCTCTGAAGTTCCTGTTGAAATGATACGTTTAAAAGGAGAAACCAAATTTGAAAAACAGAAAACTCAAATATTATCAATAGACACTGTTTGGAAAGGAAATCTGAATAAATAAACCTTGTTCAACAGACCTTACACTTCATGTCACATTAAACAAAATTCCAGCTCGTAACTTAAATAATAATGCAGACATTTATAAAAGGCAAAATATCCACCAAGAGGGCATTTCGGGCACTTTCCTTGCTTTGCTGTTATCATAGCTAACTGCCAAAGTATTTACCGCATTGGCCTTTTACCATTCCAAAGCAGGGAGCTGCCTTTACTTAAGGGCGTCTGAATAAACAATGAAGATTCATTACATCATGTCATAATGTCTCTAAAAAAGTAAGGCAATGGAAATGTTGCCGTACAACATGTACAGATATTTCACAATTTCAAAAGTATGGGTAGGAGCTCAAAATTCAGAATAAGCTGTTACAGTGAAAGAAACTGCACAAATTACAAATGGCTGTAAATTAAGTGAATTTTTAAGGTCTGTAGTCATTACCTGCAACCTCTCTTGTTCAGGCTGAATGATCTTGGTCACAAACTGATTCGTGCTCGCCATCAGGACTTCAATCAATTCCATCGGGATCGGATCCTGATAAGAAAGGGAAAGAAAAGGCAAATTTAATAACTTGTCATTGAAAACAAGCCTTAATTGTGTTCTTGGAATGGATGGTAATTTTCTTGTGGTCCTGGAAGAATGTCAACAAAACAATTTATTGTCATTCCAACTACTGTATATCTGGTATAAACACAAATTGACCCAAAAATTCATGATACTACATACAGTACATCATAACTGGACCCCTTTCCACTTTATTTATCCAGCCATGTTCAAAGATGGCATAGTAAAACAAAACTGCCACAGCAAACTAATCACCATTTTAATTATGACTGAATTGCAAGTGAGGGTAAAAACAGAAGTTACATGTAAGTGCAACAGAGGTCCTTAGGGTTGCTCATGTGTGTCATCGAGAATTTGCAGTGTATAATGCTCAATGCTCATGTCACTTTACCTGGCTACAGCATTTTTCAATCTTTTTCTTTCTTTTTTTTTTTTGGGGGGGGGGTAGCAATTTACAGTATTATATGTGAACAAGGCTGGACTGGTCCCATCAAGCTTCCTTACGAGAAAGTTTCCTTTGGAAGTGTTAAAGCCTATCTACACTAGTTTGGCCAGAAGGAATTAGACCTCCCTGCATGGTCACCAACAAGTGATTATCTCATCAAATCAGCACTCAATTAACATAAGAGAAAGGGGGTCAAGGGGGACCAACGGGTATCGCTTAGGCATTGTAGAGGGCGCAAGTAGCTACAAGTAGTGCAGTCTCGCTTTAATGTAAACTGACCTTGGTCTTCTCGATCAAGCCATGAGAGTCATAGGTGACCATTCCTGCGAAGTGTTTGATGGTGAAGGCTGACTGTTGGTGACCCATAGGAGCCTTGGTCAAGAATGGACTTTCCACTGCTGCTAAGAGCTTGTCCTCAAAAGATGTCGGGTCAGATTGGCGGTTCAGCCGACACTCCTGTATCACAAAAAGGAATACAATTCAAAGTGATCAAACATTACATCAATCATGATTATTAATTAATGAATTTACTGGATATAAATAACAAGCAGGTATCTGACTCGATTTCACTTGCATTCAGCATAATAACACAATGAATAGGGTCAGGACCCTATTACTCAAAACTTACCGTATGCAACAGGGCCCAGAGGTTATAAATAAGAAGAGAAAACCATAAGATACATCAAATAATGTAATTCAAACAAAGTCTCTCAACTTAACCACTTTATTCATGTGGTATAAATGCTGTAAAAAGTCTATTCAGTGAGATTTTACTTCATGATCAGACGATTGCTCCAGCAATGTTTCCTTTGGGATGTATTTCGTCAAAGAACGAATGTTAAGACTTGGGGATGCAAGAGGGTTTTAGGTTAGGTCTAGGGTAAAGTGTTTGATCCCAAGTTGAAGTTAGCTAGAATTCAGGAAAATCAGTTAAGAATTACCTATTCAGTTAAGGAAATTAACCACTGAGCAATAGAGAATGCAGGGTACAATAATTGTTATTACCCTCAATGCTGTATAACCCAAATACATCATAAGGTACCATCTGTACAGACACTCACCTCATTCATTAGAGAGAATACACTGAGCTTGCCTTCAATGGTCTCCAGACAGGGCTGGTTGTCACTGAAGGTGCAGAAATCCCAAGAAATTCCTTCCTTCTCATATTCCTCCTGCAAAAATTGAAATGAAAAAAAATTCAAACGTTATCAACATCAATACCTAATTTTTACTCAGTTTTCAGTTCGAAACATACAAACATTAAATTCAACCATAATCTGATGAAGATGTAATGTAGAGGTGTTGTGGTCGAGTGGATAAGTCTCCAGACTGTGAAACATATGGTACAGGGCTTGAAACCCTGCCGCAGCACTAACATCCTCTGGCTAGACATTAATTATACATTTCCCACACTCGACCCACATGTAGCAAATGGGTACCTAGTAGGATTCATTCCTTGAATGCACTGAGCGCTACAGCCGCAAGAGCTTAAGCCAGGGTAATAATATCCAAAGTCTTGTTCTATCACAATGCGATATTTGCTATACAAGAAAGGCATATCATTTTAAAGACTTCTTCCTACACAAGATCTTCGTAGACTTACTCCTACTTTGGATGACATATGGCAAATGGAATTAATTGAAATCTATATCTCAATCATGTAGTAATCATAAACTCCTGAACAAGTACATTAGCCCAACATTGTAGGCGGGTGTCCTAAAATGCAATTTGAGGCCTTAATTTGAAATGTTGTTTTGACTTCCGTAGCTATCTTACAAATTATCTGTTTGCATCCAGAAGGGCATTAACTCATGTCAGTCATTTTACACAGAGACAACATCCTTCTGGCTCCAAAAAGACAAAATCTAATGTAGAGTACCTGTTGTGCTCTGAGGAAGTGTGTCACAAAGTGTTGCTGTAGTTTCTCGTTGGCATAGTTGATGCAGAGCTGCTCAAGACTATTGCTGGCAAAGCTCTCAAAGCCGTAGATGTCCAGGAGACCTATGAAAGCATGCCACTGATTGGCTGATGTGTGCTTGTTTAGGAAGGCCACTAGCCAATCAAAAAGCCTGTAATCAAAGTGGTATAAAATATACAAAATACAATACAATAAACTTTTAAATTTTTGCACAAGAATAAACTGTCATGAACGAAGTTTAAGATATTATCTTAGAGATATAATTGTATTGGTGTGGTGATCCACAAGCACTTTACTATTCACAGCAAGGAGGAAGTAAATTTGTCTGAAAGGCAACTTCCCAATCAGACTATAAACTGTTATATAATATTTGACAAAACACTAGTAATTTTCATATCCCTTCTTCTAGCATGTGTGATAACACAAAAGGTAAATTTGTACCCTTCGGAGCCTCATGCCAAATATGTTGCTTTTATCCGCTGAGTAACCCCCTGACTAATAGGACACATATTTCTCCCATAATTTGCAATGCACTGTACTGCTAATGACATCTGCATGTACCTGGCATATATGACCTTTGACACACAATCCCTCCTCACACCAGACTCTTCCACAGAGCATGGTTTCATGAACACACTTTGGCGCTTGTTGTGTGAGGCAGTGATGCGACGGTAGATGAGAGATGTGGTCAGACTGGTGGGATCCAGACCTAGCAGTCTGCAGGCATGCTCCAAAGAATCCCGGCTCACTGGAAAGATGATGTTCAGGAAATCATTTGTTTTTCATCTTTTCTAATTGCAGGTACCAGTACTATAACAATCAAGGTTAGTAACTGTAGCCAATATATCTGGGCATTGTTTTACGAAACTATCATAGGTTCACCAACATCCCATTGAAACACGTGTTAATTATATACAATACACGTTTCAAATCACACAAAAAATGTTCATGTTCATAACACAAAAGAATTGCATTAATTAAGCCACTGAGTTTTTGCAATACCCAAAGGTTCTGGCCCCAAAATGGTCATGGTGAACAATATGCAACAGTTTCTGGCCATAAAAGTTTCTGATAATACAACAGCTAAATTATTAAAAATTCAAAGAAGTATACACTGACAAATTACAACTCTGATTATGCAAAAAAAAAAGAGATGGGACAGTGTATTAAACGGGTGGGAGTTTCATTTACCTTCCTCGTCTAATTCACAGGGATCAAACTCCTCATCACATGTAAACTCCAGATTGCCTAGATGAAGAATTCCACTCAATACCTAAAACAGCAAACATAAATATGTACTACTTATACCATAGCTAGTAATGTAAATGTACATGACAGAGCTAATGAAATGATGAAAAAATGCATGTATAATATAATAACAGTAACAAAAGATAAAAGTCTGTTATTTTGCAATATATTTAAACTTACTTGCATCTTTTTTTATCAGTTTACATATCCTGTTTCTCCTTCTTTTCCCTGATACCCATCTCTTTCCCCGCCTCACATCATTTTGTTTACATAAAAAGCTTATTTCCCTTTCTCCAATTTAGATAAGATCTCTCTCCGTCTTGTCTATGCTTATGCCTGTGTTTATACAAGTGTGTGTAATGAGAGATTGAGCTATGACCCCAACCTCCCTCTCTTCCCCCTCTCTATCTCTCTCTCTCTCTCTCTTTCTCTCTTTCTCTCTATTTCCATCTCACCCTTCCTCCTATTTCCCTCCACCCCTGTCTGTCTCTCTCACGCCCTCCCTCCAACCCCCCCCCCCCCCTCCATCTCTCTCTCTCCCCCCCCCCCCTCCCTCTCTCTCTCTCTCTTTTTTTTCCATCTCTCCCTTCCTCCTCTCCTCCATCCCTTTCCCTCTCTCTCTCTCTCTCACTCCCTCCCTCCCTGTCTCTCTCCCTCCCCACCTCTCTCCCTCCCCACCTCTCTCTCTCTCTCTCTCTATTTCCATCTCTCTCTTCCTCCACCACTTTCTGTCTCTGTCTCTCTCTCTGTCTCTCTCTCTGTCTCTCTCTGTCTCTCTATTGCCCTCTCTCCCTCCCTCCCTCCCATCTCTCTTTCTCTCTCACCATTTCTCTTTCTCTCTCTCTCTCTCTCTCTCTCAATTTCCATCTCTCCCTTCCTCCATCCCTCTACCCCTTTCTGTCTCTCTCGCTCTCTCTCTCTCTCTCTCTCACTCCCTCCCTCCCTGTCTCTCTCCCTCCCCACCTCTCTCCCTCCCCACCTCTCTCTCTCTCTCTCTCTATTTCCATCTCTCTCTTCCTCCACCACTTTCTGTCTCTGTCTCTCTCACTGTCTCTCTCTGTCTCTCTATTGCCCTCTCTCCCTCCCTCCCTCCCATCTCTCTTTCTCTCTCACCATTTCTCTTTCTCTCTCTCTCTCTCTCTCAATTTCCATCTCTCCCTTCCTCCATCCCTCTACCCCTTTCTGTCTCTCTCGCTCCCTCCCTTTCTCTCTCTCTCTCTCTCTCTCTCTCTCTCAATTTCCATCTCTCCCTTCCTCCATTCCTCTACCCCTTTCTGTCTCTCTCGCTCCCTCCCTATCTCTCTCTCTCTCTCTCCTTCCCTCCTACCTGGAAAATGTGTTCCTGGTGCATGTGAGTCATGCCCACATTCTCCATAGCCTGCTGAGTCCTGCTGAATACTTGATTCTCATTGGCTCCCTGGGGGCCACCATCATCCAATGGGAGATAAGCAAATATGACATCATCACCTGTGTGCGTGGTCAGACCCCACTCTGCTCTCTGTTCCTCTGTTGCCTCCTTCACAATCTTAAGAAAAGCAAAACAATGTGTGAAAACTTATATTCTAATTACACTATCAAATTTATTCTCTTTGTACAACTTTACTGACAAAATATCTGTTCCTAATAAATTTCGATTCTTTTTCTACTTTTTTGTTGAAACTTACACAATGGGTTATAACAACCTACAAAATAAATTGTGAAGAGCAAGAAAGTATAAAAGTCAACTTAAAAATGTATGTGGCATACTAAGGGTTAATGGTTAAGGATTATGAAGAGAACGAAGGACAACAGACCCTACTGCACAAAAATCAAGTCCAACTAGGGCACCATGCATGCCTTATTATATGGAATATGAACTCACAAGTCGCCTTAATGTAGTTTGATAGTAAACTTAAACTTTGCAATATTACTTCATGAAAGTAAATGTTGATGTTCATGTTTTCAATACAGTCAAGCCACATGGAACCCCTAAAACACATAGTAAAATGTGTTTAGTGATTGGTACCCTTTAATACCAGGGTGGACATTCCAATTTAATTAACCCATCGCATACAAGAACAGGATGGCTCCTGTGCTAAGCCTTTGGGGAATGAAACGATTCAGGAGTCAACGGGTTGAGAATCATAGTTCTAGCTACCTGGTAGAAGATGTGAAAGTTAGTCTCCCCATCAGCCTGGTGAACAAGTCTAGTCTTCTCAAGGAGGTAGGTCTGTATAGATGCACCAATGATGTGAGAACCCCTGGGTGGAACAAATAATTAAAGTCTTTATACAGTTAGCTCTGGAAAGTTTATAATTTTAGCGGTTTATTGCAATGCAAGTTAATATGTTTTTGTTTACAAAAATCATATCTGAAAAAAAGTATGCATAGATATCTGACATCTGTTTCTTCTTCTTTTTTAAATCCGTCTAATCTCTAATTCTTGTTTTATCTCATTGTCACTTCTCAAATGTTTTTTCTTATTCGTTCATGTATGTATTTTGCCCTAAATCATTTCCAATCGTATTGGTGTTCCCATTTTATCACCATCTTCTTCCTATCCCTGTTCTATAATTGTAGGATTCGGTGTGATTCATATATCAAGGCATTTTAAATAGCATCTATGTACTCATGCACTGTACATACCTAATATCAATTTTACTGTGAAATGACTGCATACTCCAAATCTTGCATACTGCTAGGGCAATAACTATAAAATAATAAATGCATGTACATGTATATCATTGGACAACAATTATACCTGTCAAACTGTAGCTGAATGTACTTTCCAAACCTACTGCTGTTGTGATTGCGGGCAGTGCCAGCATTGCCTGAGTGCAAAATGATGGGAAGAAAATAATGAAATATAACATAACATTCACATGACATTGAATTTTTTTCCCCAAGTACACGGGACAATGTATAGAGATATCTGTGTTAGATGCTGTTAGAATTAATTTTTTCACTTTACAAGAACTTAAAATTGCCTTTTATCTAGTCTTACATAGACATTTGTCAATTATGAGGACAGACAAAGTTAATATGAATATTTTAGGGTAATCAAAAAGTTACTTACCAAATGCTTCAAGGATAGGATTTGAATCCAATATCCTCCTCTCAATGCACTTCACAGGTGGAGGTGAAAAGCCCCTGGAGAAAATGACATCAAAGAGATGTAGAGCAATAATGAATATTGTTAATAAGCTATTACATATAACTGATATCATTTTGAATAGTAATAAAAATCATCACGGTATGAAATATATTTCTGATAATTTTCCTCAAATTTGCAAAATCTTACATAATTTGTATCCTTGTGCTAGAACCCTTTTTCAGCAAGGATAGTTTTCAGCAATTGCCTTTGAGAAGCTCCAGAACCATGGGAAACAGTGTAATCATCATTTTTTTTATAATGTGTTTTTATTTTTAATATGTGAAATGGAAAATACATCAAATCAATTAAAATAAAATATTATCAGAAATGGTTTCACTTACCCTGGATTTTTGTATAGTGCCACTGAAGTGAGATATTTCATCAAACACCTGGTGTTCCAAGTCTATAAATAAGAAACAAAAAGTTTTTTAAAAAATGATATGTTATCATTGAATTGCTAAAGTAAATGACAGGACATTCAATTTCAAATAATTTCTCAGCAACTCTAGAGGGAGCCATTGATATTCATGTAAATAACTTCACAAAAAGACAAGTTAGAATTATTGGAAAACTACAATTAAGGACACAGAATATCATTTCTGAATTACCTTTCCAGCTCCACTCTCTCCACTGACGATGATTGACTGGTTGGGGCTACCTATAGCATAGCGCAGGCTGGAGAAGGCTTTCTCAGCCACTGCAAACACATGGGGTGCGTCGGTCTGTAAAATTGGCAACATTGGTAATAAACATCTCAAAAGTTATAAAGGAAGCAACTGAACAGTAATCTCAAACAAATCAGTAAAAAAAAAAAATCACCAATGGGATATAGTATGTATGAATTCATGAATTGTATTTTAAAAGCAGCATGGTTAAACTGACATAATGAAATTGAGTTCGACAAGCATGATATACCGGGGATAAGCCTAAAACATTTCTAAAGTTATTAAAAATACTACTATGACCAATTCAAAAAGTATAATACAACTGTATATTTGTATTCACACATTTATTTTTTTAATCGCAAATATTATATTAGAAATCACAATTTTATCACATAAATGCAGAACCACATTTTAGGATACAGAGCTATTAAATACAAGTATGACTTTGATTAGCTTTAATATGTTCCAAACTTTCATGCAGATGTGTCAAATAAGAACTTTTAGTACATAGACATCACTAAAAATCAAGCCTTTTGCGCTCTGGATGCACCTATTCATGCCATTAAACTTTGCTAAGCCATGAAAGAGCATACATATACTTTGCGCTCTGGATGCACCTATTCATGCCATTAAACTTTGCTAAGCCATGAAAGAGCATACATATACGTGTATAGGCAACTGCAGGAAAACAACCAGTTGAGAACTTTCTGGCATAAATAGCACCAAAACCTTTCAAACAATCTTGAAAATTGTAACAATTCTAAAGGCTAAAAATGTCCCACCTTGGACGTTCCATCTTGATGGCAACGCTGGACGGCGGTGTCATCATACAGACCAGGGATCTCCTTGAACGGGTTTAGACTGACTAGGGTGATACCTGCTTTACTGCAGATCTGACCATTCTGAAATCTGCATTCAAGACTCTCCAATACTGTGGGTGTGATAGGAAAAAGGAACAAAAAAGATCATGAGATCAAATTGGATGAAAAATGATTTGATTATTTGTCCTTCTTCTTCTTCTCCTTCTTCTCCTTCTTCTCCTTATTCATCTTCATTTTCTTCTTCTTCTCTTTCTTCTTCTTCTCTTTCTTCTTCTTCCTTTTCTTCTTCTCCCTCTTCTTCTTCTTCCCCACAGTTCCTCCTTCTCCTACTTTTTCTTCTTCTTCTTCTTCTTCTTTTCCTTTTCTTCTTTTTCCTTCTTCTTCTCTTTCTTCTTTTTCCTTCTTCTTCCTAATGATCATTGTTTGGTAGAAAGGCATTAGCAAGGAAAAATGATATTGTCATTGCTATGCCCTTTTGTTAACTACATATAAACAGCATGCATTATATACCTTCTGCTTCATTGAGAGATGAAAGATTTGTGAGGTCATCGACTTCTGCGTAGTTGTTGTTGCCAGCTAGCAGCAGTGAGTCTTCTCTCCTGGAGACTTCAATGACCTGATTTATAATAACAATAAAAGATTATCAGCTGTATTGAACATTTTCAAATTTCACAAACAGATCAGATTTGTGGCAGTTGATGAACAGCTGAAGAAAGTGATAAATGAGTAAATAACAGAATAATTCATAATGAATATAATCTTGATTTTTCTTTTTTGATAGACAAGATTAAGAAATCCTTGTTTGCCAACATACCACAATAATAGACTTTGCTTTTGTATTTGTATAAGTATCATAAGACTTGAATGATTTATCACTGCAAGATTTTATTTAGTGTACCATATATTTTGAATATTAAAAAGTGTCAGTATATCAGGTTTAGGAATAAATCTGGATGAATCTGAATAGAATAAATTGTATTCCAATAGACTGCACCATTCTAAATTCTAAATTCTAAATACAAAATGTGGTAATGCACCATAATGTGTTCTAGAATTCTTAACTCTTTTATCTGTCTTGATCTATCAATGGTGGATGTTTTCTCCCTTATTTGTCTTCCTTACCTCGCCACTTTCCAATCTGACGCCCACTTTCCCATTCTTTCCTGATGCTGTGACAGTAGCTCTTAGCCAGCGGCACTGGTCTGCTGTATTGCTGTTTGCAACCCATACTCTCATGCCCTGCAAAACAATCAAAAAATAATTTCAGAATCAATACTTGTTTTTGTTCATTTCACAAAGAAATCTAACTAGAAACAAACAATTAGGAGATTCTTAAAATACAAGACCTGTGTGGCAATATAATGAAGCTGGGATACTTGTTAGAATTAGGTTGGATTGCATTGGTCTATGCATGCCTGGGAAATGACAGCAAGTCAAGCACTGCAAGTGTACAAAGGTTGTTAAATACAGTAACACAGTTTTAAAGCACTACATGTGCTGTTAATTGAAACTGAAAAATGCTATTAAAACAAGTTGAAATTACTGTTATTTCAAAATCTTTTTCATTGTTTATACATTCAATCTAGATGGTCCACGGATTCAATGCTTCAAGCAAATGAACGATATTGATAAATTTGGTGATTGATTTGATAGAAAAATTATGAAATATTATTTTTTAGTAGAAAATAAACGTATGACACCAAGTTCAAACTTACCTCATGAAAACATCTTTTTGGTCGTTTCACAGGTGGCGCAGGAGCTTCACCCTTTTTCTTTGTCGGCTTCTGCGGGATCAATCAAGAAACAGAGAAATAAAATAAGTCTGTTAAATTCTCAAAAGTTAAATACCATAATACATATGCAGTTATGCACACGATGTTGCCCATAAATGTTTATAATAACCTGACTCTTGACTTAAAGAGAAGGTTGAGTTCTGGGAAGAGGTGAAAAATAATTTGTGAGCATTACTCATTCTTATTATGCAAGTGTGGAAGAACATCAGTTAAGACATGTTCCCTGAAAAGCATGGCTCTTCAAATGCCTTCATATTCTAAATATGCATGTAACATCGTAAAAATCGGGGGCCGGCTTTTTACGCCACGTGTTCGTGTAGTCCCATATACATCTTTCTGTGCAAGTGTTTGTAACTTTACCAAGACTTGGCCAAATTTCTTATTATTTTGATGATACCAGAACCTTGCAATACACACAAATTCTTATATGCTAGATGATCAACCTTTTTTGGTCGGTTCCACACCGTTTCTTTCACAATGCAATCGCATGACCAGAACTCAACTTCATCTTTAACTTGGCTCATTTGGTGCCAAGAAAAAGTCAGATAATCAATTGATTTTTTTTTAATGAGCATCGATTATCGAGAGTCAAGACAGAAGACAGAATGAGGATGGTCCTCAGATGTAAAACAGAAACAGAAACTATGGGTCAAAATCGACATCCATGTTGAAAATCTTGCAAGCCGTGTTAAACTCTTGCTGCCGTCAATCTCATCCCTTCTAGTCTACGCCGAAGGCAAAAATGATTATGAAGGAAAAACTGTGATAACGCCATTACGAACGTGTAGATGGCGCACAGTTTTTCCTTCATAATCATTTTGCCTTCGGCGTAGACTAGAAGGGATGAGATTGACGGCAGCGAGAGTTTAACACGGCTTGCAAGATTTTCAACATGGATGTCGATTTTGACCCATAATTTACTTAATTAAACGGATTATTTCAATCAAGTGAGTAAGTGGAACCGATGTATTATAGCCTAGGCCTAATGTAAAATTGGATATGCACGAGGTAAAATGACATTTTGGGGGATTTTGGGGGCATAACAATACGGCCGTGGCAAGTTTGTTCATGTTTGTGGGAGGGGCCTAACGGCTAAAATCTAGCCGTGATATCTTCAACATAGGCTGGCATAGGCGATCGTTCAGTCTCTATAACCGGAGGTCTAGTGGAGCCAGACGTAGTCTCAGTGGAACAACCGACGGTATAGAGACTGAAGCTTTCGGTCTACACGCAAACAAGCAACAATAACAAAACAGCTTCAGCCGCCCAACAAAAGAACAAGTGAGATCAGATGGATGGAGTCTAGTATGAACTAACAGCAATATTCATGTATGGGACTGTAAGGGAAGTACCGGATAAAGATTTCCTCTCCATTTCATCAAAATTACAAATAAAATGAATAGATTTACCTTCTCAATAGTTTCATGACTCTTTAATTTCCTACCGTCTTGAATAAGAGGCACATTTGAGTGTCGCTCACGTAAAATACCTGCCATTTTGTGAGATAGTAGTCGCTGCGTAGATCTACAAAGTATTTTTTTAAATCTCGCATCACTATCAATTGTCAAATATAAACACATGAGGGCGACATATTTCAACAGTTCTGTACCAAAGGTCGGCACCAAAACTCCTCGACCTCGGCCTCTTGCTCACAGCCCAAATCACGATCTAGATTCAAGGTTCAAGATTGATTGATTGATTTCCACAGACATCGAAAGGGGCAGGGGGGACCAGTTCCCCCACACTTTTTCAAGTACCCCAAAAGTGCCCCTTTTTACATAGGAAAAGTGCCCCTTTTACTTTAAAAGGGCCCCTATTAAATTTATAAAAGTGCCCCTTCCCCTTTCCACCCATAAGAGCCCCTCTTATTTTGACACGTACCCCTTTTCCTTTGACAAGTTTCCATTTTCCATTCTCATAAGTACCTTTCTTAATATCTAGTAAGTTCGAGAAGCGCCCCTTTTCACTTGTGTTAAGTGCCCCCTTCACCTCTGATAATTTTTCTATTCAAATCTGAGAGGTTCCCCTTTTTCTTTGACAATTTCCCCTTTCCTTTGTAAAAAGTGTCCCTTTCCCTTTTAATAACTACCCCTTTTTAACTGGGATAAGCACACCTTATATTTTCACATGTGCCCCCTTTCATTTTTGATAAGTGCCCCCTTTCCTTATGATAAGTGCCCCCATTTAAAAAAGAGCCCCTTTCCCTTCTCATAAATGCCAGTTTACATCTATGAATAAAGTTCCTTTTCATTCTCATAAGTGCCCCTTTTCATCTCTTGTAATTGACCCTATTCAATTCTAAGAGATACTCGTTTAACTTTGACAAGTGCCCCTTCCCTTCCTGATAAGTGCTCTTTTCATCACTTATAAATGCCCGTTTTATTTTGACACGTCCCCCTTTTCCTTCCTAATAAATGCTACTTCCCTCCTTCTCATAAAAACCCCCATTCACCTCCGATGAATGCCCCTATTAAAATTTGATCGGTGCCCCTTTTCTTTCAACAAAAGCACATTTCCCTTTATCATTATTGCCTATTTTACATTCTCAAAAGTGCCTCTTTTCATGTATGGTCAGTGTCCCTTTTCATGTATGGTCAGTGCCCCTTTTCAAATGCGATAAGTGCCCCTTTTCACCTCTGATAATTACCCTTTTAACAATGATTATGTGCCCCTTTTTTGGTCTTTCTAATAAGGAACCTATCCCTTTTTCATAAATGCCCCGTTTCAATTTTTATAAATGCCTCTATCAAAATCTGATGGGTGCCTCTTTTCCGTCGACAAATGCCCATTTCCCATTCTTATAAAAATCCCTTTTCATCCCTGGTACGTGGCTCTTTTATCAGTTGTAAGAAGTGCCTCATTTTCACCTCGGATTATTAGCCTTGTCCTTTGACATTTGCTCCTATTTCTTTTGTCTTAACCATTTCGATAAGTCTACCCTTTTCCTCTCATCATTAAGCGTGCCCCTAATTTCAAGCGACTATATAAGAACAATTTCCCCCAAAGCTCGCTCGATACGCTCGTTCGTAGTTATAGATGTTATAATTATGTAACTTATCAAAGGTCTTTTCAGTCTTCCGTTATGAGAATGTGCTAATAACCCCATCATGATTTGGTCTTTCCTCTTTATAAGATGTACTTTTTCGCACTGCGACCTCACAAATCTTGAACAATGTCTGCAAAGTATGATGCTCAAGCAAAATCTTATATGATGTACAAAGATAAACAAATATTGAAATTAATCCCTGATAATGTAATCACAATATACGGATATATACCAATGTCTAAAAAAATTGTATATTTTCGCTCAGAGATTTTCCTTTGAAGGTGCCCTTTTTCAGAAAGTGTCATTTTTGTTGGTGCCCCCCCCCCCCCCCCCACTTTTCAAGTCGCTCCACCGCCTCTGCATGAACAGTAACAACAAGTTCATCGTCAACAAGAATAGATACATAACAAGTAAGTTATAAAGACATTGAAAATGTGGAAAAGAGGTGGTCTGTAAAGTGTAAACACATATCACCTTTACAAGAACAGCAACAACAAAAAATTGAAAGTACATTAATACTAAAATAGAATAGAATAGAAATAGCAATAGACAATAGACAAATTGACACATTTTCAATGAAATATGTTTTTTCCCTTGAACCTAATTCAGGCAAATATGGATTAATTGAGAAGTGGTACCAAGCAGACTAAAGGACAATTTGAGATTTGGCGAATTAATATCATTGTACCTAACGATTGGGTTCCTTTTTGAAACCCCGACCTACCCCCACAATTTACCTCAATAGAGTGATTTTTTGTAAACATTATAACAATAAAAAATAGAAGAAACAAAATCTGAAGTAAATTAGTTACTGGTTCATATAAATAATGGAGCTCCGATCCATTCACATTAGCAGTCAACAGACTAAATTGCTGAGAATGACATTATACGTTTTTGGGCCCTACATAAAGTTCAAGTTCAAATTCAAGTTTTATTTTCCACATTCCATTAAAAACATCATAATGATAATTTTGTTCACACATGCAGGAAAGCCTCATCAGCTTCAGTGCTGATCTTGGTGAGGGTTCAATTATTATCACCCGGCCAAGTGATTGCCAGGTACCCAATTGGGGCTCCGTTGGCAAACTTAAATGTTGATTAATGCCTCGCCAAAAGATGTTAGTGCCGGGCTGGGATTCGAACTTACCACCCTTGAAATGAGGGTCAAGTTAATGAACCACTATACCACAACACCCCAAAGATCATATTGGATCACATAATAATTATAGCAGAATGTTATTTTACAAAATCATATCAAAATCGTATCAATTAAGAAGCGAAAGAAAAAACTTGATGGCGTGGATAAAATATGAATGGATTATAAATAATCATTCAAGAGATTACTTTTGTCTGGGCCTAACTAGCATGTCGATCATCGAACTCATGTAATACCTTGAGGTAACTAAAATTAAGACAAAATTATTTGTACCGGGTCAGAATTCAAAAGGAACAGTAAACATTTCTGGGACATTGTCGTCGTATGATATGTAAAGTTAGAATTCCCAGATATCTTGGTGAGCTAGCATATTAACTTAGCTGATTTTGTTGCTATGTCTGGTGAGTCTCGGGAAAATTAATTGACAATATAAATGCAGAATCTTCTTTTTGTACTGTACCATCCCTCGCGAATGCCTCTATTATTTCATTATTGGTACCGCGTCATCTGCAATGCAAGTAAGTACGTCATCACCTATTCTGTTATGCAAATTTCCTTTTAATTCGTAAGGCGTTCCGATCCCAGGGGTTGGGGACCAATCCACGCATTGCGATTGGTCGATGATTGCACCATAGCTTGCAAAAACAATTATGTAATGGGCTATTTTGGGCTGCCATAGAGACGCGTGTAATACGAGGATAGGCGCGTATGCGAATCCGGAAGTATTGGCGGTTGCATACAGAAAATGCAATACTCGTAACCGTGGTCAATTATCTGGACTTGGACTGTACAGGGGATTGGAGAGAGCCGAATTATCGAGGTGAGTATAAAAGCAGAAGCAAAATTACATTTTAATTTAGTTTATCTGAAGATTGAAAATGGAGAGACTATAGACACATTCACAGGCAGACACTGCACAGTGGTAGACGAGTGGTAAAATTGAGTGAAAAAAGTGAGGAATGATCTACATTTTTTCGGCCTGGTGAGAGCAGTGCCCATTATTATTGCAGGTGAGTTGAATTAAAATTAGCATGCATGCGCGGTTTTGTTTTTTGGGGTTGTGGAATGTGGATAGATCTAGGAGAATTGTGTGGATAGGAGGAAAAAGACTTTGACCTTTGCTTTCAGTATTTCATATGAATTAATTTTAGTGTGCCACCCTTGCAGGTTGAGCAGTAGACCAAGTCCAGAAAAAAGGATTGAATTTCTTTTTTGCTTGAATTTATTATTTTAAAAAAAAGCTGATGTAGAAACTGGAACCTATTATTAATTCTAGAGTCTAGGCCTTATTGCATTGTTGTCTTGATATTTATTTTCTACTGTACTCTGATCTGTACGTATATACTGAGAGGTAGATCTAAGTTGTTAAGGTGCTGTCACTTTTTCCCTGACAATTCTCCTCGTCTTGTATGCATGCCATGTAGTCTACATACTGTTGCTGCTCAACTGTATATTCATCCAATTTCAATCAAACTGTCACAAGTTTTCTTTGACCAGTATGCGCCTCTTGTATGTATGCTTTCATTCAAAGCAAATTCCCATCGCAGTTGGAAGCCATGATGCATGCATATGGGAGGATATTTTTACAGAGAGCAATAATATTGGAGCATTGAATTTCATGAGACGTTTTAATTCTGTAGCTCTAAGAGCTGAGAGAAAAAAAGAAAACAAGAAACGCTTTAAGTTAAACACATCCTCCTGCATTTCTGAGCTACTGTGAATCAATAGGAAATCCCAATGCTTCATAATAAATACTTAGAAGATCTACATGTATCTAAATGATAATGCAGGGTTTGACACTAACTAACTAAAAAAAATATTTAAAAAAAATAATAAAAAAAGTAATCAGAACCTTAACCTGAGGCTCAAGTTTGCAGGCCCTAAAATTTCAATCCAGGCCCCGCATAAAACTATTTCATGTGGATCCCTAGCTGATTTACATACTGTATGTCATGGGGCTGGTACATGTAACGGATTGTGAGCCAATTACCTGTGACATCTCTGAGAGCCCCGAGTCTAATACTTTGATAGAGGCTCATCATCATTTTAAAATCAACCTTGACAGCTGTATGCAGCCAGTCACAGCCTGCTGGCATCTTCCCTGCATGCAGTGCAGTGATGTCTCATCAATAGTCATCTAATCTTCTCTAAACAACACCATGCATGGTAATGCATTCGCTTAACTTGTATTGCACCACAATACATCATTGACCACTGGATGAAATTGAAGTCACTCTGATTCGAGATGGTGCAACAAGAACATCTGATGTAAGATTGTGCAATCCACAGAAGATTCCTGTTGGTCTCCAAGAAAGTGCTTCCTCCACCCCCCCCCCCCCCCTTCTCTGCTCTTCCTTTCTTGGCTGGCCAACTGGATTTCATAGTTCTTGTACAGTTGTTTTAAAACTACACTGTGTACATGCTACATGCATTCACACATTTTATTCAATGTTGGTACTCGTGCTCTAGTTCCCCAGACAAATATCTTTATACTTTTAAAAGGCTCATATATATACATGATCTGGTATTAAATTACAACATTTTTTTTGTTAAATTCTTTTGAGGGGGTGATTGCTCTGGGGTAGTTTTTCTTTAATGTTATTAAATGGCACATGGGGAATGTAAAAAAAAAAAAAAGAGGTGCCTGCAAGCCTGCAAGGTCTCTGCGTACTCACTTATCTGTATTTTATAAGATACATTACAGAGATTTGAAGTGCATGCTTTCATGAAAGTAGCACCCTGGATGACACGCACCACTGTTTCAAGTGTAAAGGTAGGGTCTTGATTGATGAGACCTTGTTATCTTCCTTCCTGACTCAAGCAAGTCACTGTAACTAAATGATTTTCCTGTTGGGACACATGCAGGTCATCATCACAGTGCTTTGTCATGTTGTCTAGCGTTAAATTGTCTTCTGACTTGAGTTGTATTGCGATGCATTGTGTTGCATCATGTTGCATCGTGTTGTGGTGACATGTTAATGAATACAACAGATTAAAGCAGTATGATGTAGGATGGTGCAATTCATTGTAACTTCTGACATAATCAACTCCTTATTATGCTATTTTTCAGCATGATGCTAGGTGGTGCAATACTTTCTTTCAGTGTCCCCCCCCCCCTCCCCACTATGTTGTAATGATAAATGAAAACTTTAAAATTAAACTTGACTATATTCCTCTTCAAATTGAAGCTGCTTTTATATTTTTTCATATTTTTGTAATTCCAATATTTATGCTAAAGGACAGGGAGGTATAGACATAGGGCTTTGCTGTTGGTGTTTGCATTCACCATTATAAATCAATCCCAAAACATAGTTCATTAAACAACATGTGAAATAATAATGATAACAATCATATGATAATAATAATGGTGCTTACACGTGTTGGTCCATCAGGCATGACACTTATGGTGCTAGAATTCACACTTTATTCAGTTATAATAAATTAACCATCCTACACAAGTGCATTATCAATTTCATTACAGTTGGGGCCTAGAGATTAGCAGAGGGTGGGTTCGGAAGTAAATTTGCAGATTGCACAGGAAACTCTTTGCCAAAATTTAGAGCACAGTGGAGGAAATGGCCTTTTGTTCTAATCGAGAAAACAGGATGTTTAAATTAGTTACCAAACTTACCATTTACCAATCAATTCCCTCACTCAAGTTCAGTTTTAAAGTCATTCTTGCATACCAATTATCATTTTGGGGGCAAGGCCAGGTGGGTGGATCAATTGATAAAACATCGGCTGCCTGCAAGAAGGTTCAATAAGAGCTATGTATTGTAAATGGCAGTATTAAACATCCTTCTTGTTGGCAGCCGGCAATATAGACAAATTATATGTGTAATAATAAAATAATTGATTCTTATTGAGCACCATTACAGAAAGAAAAAATGATCGGAGCGCTATTTCAACAGAAAGAAACATAAAAATCATAACAATAAAATAAGGAACAGCAATTAAGATATTATGAACGAAATGGAATTCAGATACTCAAAATATACAATTATGGATTCAAGATGGAAAGAGTTGGGCTTTAAGTTTCTTTGTGAAAGAATCTTCTGTACTGGTACTATATAGGCAGAGGTCTTGTGGTAAAGTGTTCCAGATGGATGGTCCAGCAAAAGAGAATGAGCATTTGGCTGCCGGCCTTGGTACAGGTCTGTAGTGTCTGACAGTATTTGGTACAGTTAGTCTAATGGTCGAGGGTTGAAATAGAACTGGCTGGCCTCTAGAATCTAGGCAATGATTAAAATCTGAATTATATGGTTAGAATAGTGATCCAACATTTGCCTTGGTGACAATTGCTCTGTGCTTAATTTCTTCGAAAATATACATGTTGTGTTAGGGTCTGGGTTGCTATAGGGTGTTAGGTTTAACGTTAGGATTAGGTATATTGTTGGATTGAAGTTAAGAATTTGGTTCGTGTTGAAAATTGTCATATAGGAGCATTTTGTTTTGAACCTTTTTAAACAGCTAGGCGATGTATATGGGAATATGACTAAAGTACAAGCTCTGTAGGACTTAGGACTTCATTAGTACGAGCTGCATTGTGCATTCATACGTCTGCACTTGTGTGTCACACATGTATGAAAACACAACCAGTCATACATGTAAGACATCAATATTACAAAAGATCAATATTTGCAGTATAGCTTGAGCTGGATTTTCTGTTTGCTCAATTATTCATTGGTTGATATTAGTGATTAGCTTACATGTTATTGTGAGTTTTTTTTAATGTAACATTGTACCTTGTACTTCAACGATAATTTTGTATAGCATTACAAGTAAGCATTTATAGAAAGATTTCCAAATATGCACACTTGCATATACATGTATAAATATATTTTGATGCATGTACATACTGTACAAATCTTAGATAGAATGCTGCAATAAATCAAAGAAGATATTTTTCTTTTTAATCAGAGCTGATCTGGATCAAATGTAGCCTATAATCTAGGCGGAGTGCCAAGCTTTTTTCTTTGCTGCTAGACTAACCCTAAGCAGAACGTCTGATACGGCGAGACTACGAACCGTGAGTCGCGAAGCGGCTCACCGCCTATAATCACTGGTCTAGCTTTAGTCATTGTTTTTTTATTATCGACCATGAATCCGTGGCAGTTTTTCGTACGAAAAAACCTCATGAATATGAAATGAACTCAACCAATCAGAAACACGTATGGAGAAGAGTCTATGCATATGCATATTATAAATCACGTGACATTACGTCATTTTCTTCATCCAAGATGGCGGGTAGTTCATGCGACGACGATCTTCTGCGAGAAAGTTTATCATATGCGGCCAAGAAACTAGGCATTCCTAATGGAAAATTCCGAGAACTGCAGGAATCCGCTATTCGTAGCGTTATTGAAGCCGGCAGGGATATTTTTGTTGCATTACCTACTGGTTTTGGAAAGAGTGCAATATACCAAGCAATCACTGGTCGAACGTAACATAGGTGTACCTTATTTGGTAGGGCTGTTGAATGATTCATAGATCCGCCATTTTGAATATATATGAATATTGATTAGCTAGACCAGTGATTATAGGCGGTGAGCCGCTTCGCGACTCACGGTTCGTAGTCTCGCCGTATCAGACGTTCTGCTTCTAAGGGTTAGTCTAGCAGCAAAGAAAAAAGCTCGGCACTCCGCCTAGATTATAGGCTAGATCAAATGTAGTACCAGTATGCTTTTATCTTCAGATTATAGTGCTTTCAATTTGATATTGAGGAGAGTGAACAAATAATGAATGTGGTCCAAGTATTGGAACATACATGTAATTCAAACGACTGATTGCATGGTTGCTTGATTTTTAAATTGAGCTTAATTATTGAGCACTTAATCTTTGAGAGAGTTGTAAGCAGTAAAATCTGGATGTGACTGTTGAATCGCTTGATTATTGATATGACTGTTTATGTTCAGTTTCTCTTCTGTTCATTGTTTTTGTGTTTTGTTTCAGTTTTATATATTACTAAAATTACAGTCAGCTACACACTTTGGATTTAATTGAAATGAATTCTCTGTAACTTTTTAATTGGACTTGACATAGTAAGAACAACGAAAAAATCTTGTCATTTTGTGACTAAAGATCACTTCACAAAGACTTCTTTGTTAACTTTCATGAGTTGTGTCTAATTACTTGTTATTTTTATCTATTTTGTTTCAGTTTCACATACTTTTTAGTTGCAGTCAGCTAAAGGTTTGCATGATTGATTTTTTTATTTTTTTCTTCATTTTTTGCTTTCCAGAGTCACTCTGAGGTATATCCATCCATCGCCAATTTGACCTTTATTCCTTAAGAAGAAGTGATTGACCTTTGACCAGCAGCCATGGCTTCTAAGAGGGGTAGCAACCAGGACGAGTCCATCTTCCGTATCCCGCCCTATTACTACATCCATGTCTTGGACCACAATGACAATGTCACCAAGGTCGTGGTGGGTCCTAAGACCTACATACGCCAGGACCATGAAAGGTAGGTCTAACAATTAGTAATTTCTTTTCTGGGGTCTGTTTCACAGAGCCCTTTTTCAATGACAAATGACAAAAATCAGTGAAAAAATCTGCTAATAACCAATCAGAAGCAAGGATTTCAGTAGCTTATAACAAAATCTGTCATTTGTCACTGATGACAAGTTTTGTGAAATGCCCCCCCCCCTGGACTATTTGTAATTGTTACTTATATAAATAGGAGGGAGAGTAGAACAGCTGCTATTTTCGTCATATTTGTAGATAATTTTGAAAGAAATTGCCACCAGTTTGGCATATTTTAATAAATGGAGAAAAAAAATGTTACAGGGAAGGTTTTCATGAATTACATACTTTACCATCCTGTTTCTGTATTTTTGAAGAATATTTGACAAAGTTTTACAAAAATACTCTATGTTTAGAGATAAAATATTTACTTCATCAAAAAGAAAACGAAAAATCATTCAAAAAGAGAACACAATGCAACTAAAATTGAATTGAATTGAATTTATTTACCACTTTCATAAAAACATACAAAGGCAAAGAATACAATACTTTTTTGCAAACATAGATAAACCACTAAAATGGAAAATACATTAAAGGAAATTACGAAGTGGTTGGATCATCAAAAAAGTTACAAAAACTTATAAGTAGATGATCCTAAAAATGTACACAAAAAACAAACAAAAAGAGGACAAAGAAAATGGAATTACAAATAATATTCTGTTGCCTTCTTTACTCTTTTGCTAAGTTCATATTGAGCTATGTTTCTCTTTTACAATATTTGCATGAAAGATTTTAGCCAGAATTTCAAAATTGGATTTCCAAATGGAAAAGTAGTGGCTAAGACCTGCTAGCAAGTAGAGATGAAATAGCATCTTTACATCATTAGGGTTAGAGTTAGTGCAATAATTAACTTTTTGCTATTAATTTTATCAAAGTTAAGTTATGTGGTGATAATATGTTCAAGCAGAAACTGATTGATCCTAATCTCTCTCTCTCTCTCTCTCTCTCTCTCTCTCTCTCTCTCTCTCTCTCTCTCGCTCCAGGGTCATCTTCGGTCCCGAGAAGATGATCACCATCCCTCCCAGGCACTACTGCATCATTGAGAACCCTGTGGTCAGGAACGATACCGACCAGGTGGTCTATGATAATCTCGGACAGGTCAAGCTATTCCACGCTGACCAGGAGATCAGGCTAGCCAGGGAGCCATTTCCTCTCTACCCTGGGGAAGTTCTGAAGCAGGTAAGATTGAATCCGCAATGAAGCATTCGGTCAGGGCTTGACCTCAAGGGGGTCTGACCACAACCCAATCTCAAAAGTGTCAGTCAGGTTCCCCAAAATGTCAAAAATAAACAGGGACCTGGTTCATTCAGACTCCCAATGTTGTGGTGTAGATCCCCTTGAAAAACAAACAAAATGTTAGTTGGAGACCTGGGACCTGTCTTATAAAGAGTTGCCATTGATCAGAATCAATTGCAAGTTTGCACTCACCTGTCTCTTATGTACATAGTTGCAATTGGTATCAGGTATAAATAAGTTGCGGTAATATCAACTCTCTATAAGACGGGTCCCGGGTTAAATGGATATTGCATGAGTGAACTTCGTTATATTTTTATCTCCACATCAATAGATAATGCTCAATATTTTCTCAAAACATTGGCATTAAAGATGTTTGTTTGTCCTACAGGTATGATACTGGATATCAAAATTCTTTGTACAGTTTTGGAAAACCCCAAAATTGTGTTCTAATTTTGTGCTGCGTAAATGATATCTCTGTCTCTTATTCTGTAAAGGAAAAGTCAGAATTTATTTTCAAAAATAGCAACATGCTCATAATTCTGAGCTACTTTGAAATTCTAAATTCCTATTTGAATTATAATGTATTATATATGTTTCAATCGGAGCATAGCATCCTCAATGGACAACCCAAGATTACCTTGACAATATATCTGTTTGGTTTTACAGTAAGGATGTCCTGTATGTAAGTTGAGTAACAGTGAGGAAATATATTGAAGTCATGTTATCATTACCGTCATCTTACGAGGTTCTTACAATCTTACGATGTTCTTACGATCTTACAATGTTTTTTTATATAAAATAAGATTGTATCTTGTTTATGCGAAGTACTTATTTGGGGATCATTCTCATCAAGCCAGTTTTGGCTTTCATGATTCCCCACTTCATTTTATCTTATGTTGATAATGAACATACATGTATATACTTTTGATGTTTTTTTAAAAGAGAGTGAAATAAAATAAATGAAATTAAATAAATCTCTATTCTGCATTACCCCCATACAGGCCGTCACTGCCTTGAAGGTAGTCCAGGCCAACGCTGCCCTGAGGCTACGAGCCATTCTTGACTTCGAGGATGGCACCCAGAAGCGCGTCGCCGGCGACGAGTGGCTCTTTGAGGGACCCGGGACCTACATCCCCCGCAAGGAGGTTGTGGTCGACGAGACCATCAGGGCTACCATCATCAGACCCAACCAGGCTATCAAGCTCAGGGCTCGTAAGGAGACCAACGACAGGGAGGGCACCGCCAGGGTCACCGGTGAGGAATGGCAGGTCAAGAAGGTCGGAGCATACCTACCTGGGGCATACGAGGAGGTCGTCGATACCGTCAATGCCTACGTTCTCACAGAAAAGAATGCTCTTCACCTAAGAGCCACACGCACATTTGTAGATATGAAGGGCAAGACGAGGAAGAATGGTGAGGAGTGGCTGATCAATATGGCTGACACAGATGCACACATTCCTGATGTATATGAAGAGGTAAGAAACTACACCATTCTCCTCAACTAGGTGCATTGTCCTCATTGGACCAGTATTTTGTGACATATTGCAATAAATGTTATTATTAACAGATAATGTATTCAACATCAACATGATGTGACAATATTAGTCTCTGGACTTTTGCCATGTTCTTTTTTTACAATAAATCTGAAACTTAATTGAATTTCATTGAACATTAGCATTAAAAAAATGAATATTTGCCTTGAATTTCATTGCCTTTCGTTATAATTGCCAAACGGTGAACATTAAAATTTATATCTACACTATTTGGAAGATTTGGCCTACATGTATGTTCCATTAGATGTGTAAAGTAACTGGTATATACTGTAGCAGTTCAAATCAGCAGTCAAATTTCTTATGTGTACCTTATTTCAATTTTTGTTTAAAGCCTAACAAACATCAGTAAATAAATTCTTATGAAAGTGACTAAAATTTGTATCCCATGAAATGCCACTGATAATCATGATAATTTTATGTGCTCTCATCTCTGATAGGTTGTAGGAGTTGTGGACATCAACACATTGACCAATCGCCAGTACTGTGTCATCGTGGACCCTGTCGGGCCCGATGGAAAGCCACAGCTTGGACAAAAGAAGCTGGTCAAGGTAAGTGCTATTGATACAATGTTTAAGCCTGGATCTTCACTAAAAAACTCATTGTTAAATTTGCAATACTATTAAACAATAATGAGATAGAAAATGTGCAAAACTCCCCTGTGTGTTTAAAAACATTTTTTTTTTGAAGTACTCTTTATTGACTGTTAAGATATATATAATTTCCATTTTAAGTTTGTTATTACCATGGAAAACAAAGATAAGATTTGTAATACTTTTTAATGATCTTTTTGACATGCATTTATAAGAACTTGAATTAATATCACTCTATGATGCCAAAACTACATGGGTATGCTTGATAATACTTACAATGTAGTGAAATTGTGATACAAAGCCCACTGGAGTGCAAGGAGGAGAGTGGGCATTACATGTTTCAATGAGAAACACTTTATTAAGGAAAACAACAATGCAACCTTTCTATATATGGATTAATCAAAGTACATGCACATCAATGAAATAAATAAAATGTAGATTGTATTATAGTATATTTCAAAATAGTCTGAACTTTTATTTTTCTTTCATCCTAGTAATCTTATCTGTTTGACTGGGGTATTAGAATCAATTAAAATATCAATATAAGTTCATTTATGGAAATTTGATATTTAATTATCTCCTTTAATTCTTTGATTCCTTCCTTCAGGGTGAGGTGTCCTTCTTCCTCCAACCCGGTGAGACTCTGGAGCAAGGCATCCAGTCTGTATTCATCCTCGGTGAAGACGAGGGTCTCATCCTCAGAGCACAGGAGTCATTCAAGGATGCCAATGCTGTAAGTTACTTTGGATGATGCAAACACAAAAAGTGGTCTTTGTAGACAGGTTCCTTTAGTACATGATTCAATAAGAAACCGTTTTCAAGGGGAAAAAAATGTGGTCTTTGTAGACAGGTGGTCACTGAAGCAGGATGCCAATGTTGTAAGTTACTATTGATGATTCATGTACAGTCAAACCTGTTTATAGCGACCGCCCAAGGGAAACACAAAAAGTGTTCCTTGTAGACAGGTTCCTTTAGTACATGTTTTAATGAGAAACCATTTTTAAGGGAAACAAAAAATGTGGTCTTTGTAGACAGGTGGTCTTTGTAGACAGATGGTCACTAAAGCAGGTTTGACTGTATTATGAGTGTGTCTAAATGCTGAAGTAAACAAATGTGCATTTGAGAACGTAAACTAACATATTTTTATTATACAAAAATGCATTAAATTAGACGATTCATTGGAACACATAAATGTGAATGGACATTGTGCAGTATGCTGCACCACCAAAAATGTACATGAATGAAAGTTTTGTGATTGGTCCAGCCATGACCATTGCCAAATTTTACAGATTGTGTAACTTTCTGGTTTTACAATAAATACATGTACAGTGAAACCGGTCTATAAAGTCCACCCAATGGAGACAAGAAAAGTGGTCTTTGAAGACAGGTTCCTTTAACACATGTTTCAATGAAAAGCCATTTTCACGGGAAACACAAAAATGTGGTCTTTGTAGACTGGTGGTCTTTCTATACAGGTGGTCACTAAAGCAGGTTTGACTGTATTGTTGTTATTCTCTTTATCAATGTGGACTCATTTATGGTTTGTTTCTTTTATAGGCTGGAGCTGTACGTCAGCCAGGAGACAGGTGGATGATCCGAGGACCGTGTGAGTACGTACCTACCGTGGAGCTCGAGGTCGTCACCAGGCGTAAGGCTATCCCTCTCGATGAGAACGAAGGAGTCTACATCAGGGACACCAAGACCGGAAAGGTAACTTTTTGTTTCAAAAATCACATACAATTATTTTTGTTTCTCTTAGATCTTTTCTTTTTCTTTTTCCTTCATATTTTGAAGAAGAAAAGATTTCCTCTGAAAGGAATTCTAGAGGCTATTTGGAGGCCCATGCAGAGTATTGCATAACTGTTACTACAAGCAGACTGTAGCATATTTATGAAGGCTCATTAAACATGGGTTTTACCTGTACCTAGTTTTATTTTAACTGTTCAAAATGTTTTGTGTTCATCAGAATTGTCTTTTGTATCATTAAAGAGCAAGTCCACTCTAAAAAATAACTTTCTTACAATAGAAGCAGAAAAATCAGACTTGCCCTTTAAGGAATAAGGAAATGTGTATTTCAGGGCATTTAACTACCTAGTTTGCATGTATCAGTGTTTATTTGTAGGTATTACTGGCATTGTACTTCGGATATTGTAACTCGGTTTCAACTCCTTCTGTATCTCCAGGTGCGAGCAGTGACAGGAGAGACCTACATGCTCAGCCAGGATGAGGAGCTGTGGGCCAAGGAGCTGTCTCCAGCCGTGGAAGAGCTCCTGCAGAGCGCCAAGGACCCTGTAGCAGAACGTAGCGACAGGAGAGGAGATAGAGCAGCCCCTAGGGCCAGGGAGAAGACGAGGGTCATCTCCTTCCGTGTGCCTCACAATGCTGCCGTACAGATCTATGACTACAAGGAGAAGAAGGCCAGGTGAGAATATGGACATTATTTTTAGGATATGTCATGCATTAATGTGAATTTCTGAAATGGAAGCCATTAATATATATATATATATATATATATATATATATATATATAACTTTATGCCCCTTGATACTATATCATACCCTAAACCTAACCCTAATAATATAGCATACAATTATTACAAAGGAATTTATGATATACTGCAGTTATGTTTTATCTTTAGGTGGGTGTGGTAAGATATTCACATTTATGTAGAACATGCAAATAGTAGAAACAGGTTCATGAATACATGCAATGGATTTTTTCAGTTTACCTCTGAAATCGCATTTTGATCATTGTAATTATTCCCTTATATTTCATGGAGGTATGACTTTCTGTACAGCTCACACATATTTGCATAGAGAAAAGTGAGTTCACGATATTGAGCATGTTTCAAATTTATACTTAATTTTTTTAAATGATTCTAACATTGTGGTATCAATTTCTTCAATCCAGGGTTGTCTTTGGTCCCGAGCTTGTCATGCTGGGACCCGATGAGCAGTTCACCCAGCTCAGCCTGTCGGGAGGGAAGCCTAAGCGTCCCAACGTCATCAAGGCCCTCTGCCTACTCCTAGGTCCAGACTTCTGCACCGATATCATCACCATCGAGACCGCTGACCACGCTCGTCTGCAGCTTCAGCTCTCATACAACTGGTGAGCATTCCAGGGATGATTTATATCTGTGGGTTTAGTAGTCATTAGGGACTGTTATTTTATCTGGTGTAAAAGGATATAGATGAATATCCGTGGTTTCTTTAGCAATGAGCAATGGGGATATGGATGTTTCCTTTAACCATGAGTATTTAGTTACTGAAGAACAAAATCCTTTTGCACATGCAAAAGGTAAAAAGTACAGGTGTTCTGTATTTCTTTGCATTGTGTTCCAATTTTGCGCTGCGTAAATGATATCTCTGTCTCTTATTCTGTTACAGAAAAGTCAGAATTCATTTTCAAGTACACCTAGCAGCCTAACAGCACAAGAAACGTGAAGAACTATCAAGGTTGTAGTACATTTATTATTTGATGTTATTAATATTCAGGCAATCGGGGAAAGCTTTTGTATATTGATTATAGAAGGATATTGTCCCATTCCCAAAGAATCATTTCAATTGAAAGAACTTCTTCTCATGTTTATAATTATATACTCTTTTTCTTTCCTTGCGATAGGCACTTTGATGTTCCAGACAAGACCGATGTGGCAGCCTCAGCCAAGCTCTTCAGTGTACCTGACTTCATCGGTGATGCCTGCAAGGCCATCGCCTCCAGGATCAGAGGAGCTGTCGCAGGAGTCCAGTTCGATGACTTCCACAAGGTACTTTCAATTCTTTAAAGCCCCACTGCACTACTTATAGCTACTTGCGCCCTCTATTTTGCAAACAATGCCTAATCAGTGACCATTGGTCCCCCATGAACCTCTTTTTCTTATGTTAAGTGAGAGCTGATTTGATGAGATAACCACCTGTCAGTGACCTTGCAGGGTGGTCTGATCCCTCCTGTAAACTAGTACAGATGGGCTTTAATATGAATTTATGAATTCTATATATAAAAGTTTGTGTATCAATTATAATTATAATTATCAGACTATTTTTGTTGTTGATTGGGCTGCAGAACATGGTATGGTATGGTATGGTATTTATTTCATTCTTCATAAAAAACATATACAATACATACAGAGTATTAAAAAAAAAGAGAAATATATAAATACATGTAGAAGGGTAACATTACAGATAATATGAATACAATAAAAATAACAAGGAAACTAGTTAAGAAAGAAAATTTATGTCGAATGAGGGGTCAACAAAAAAGAGCATTTAGCCTTGTTAAACGTTGACCCCTAAACAAGTACGTAATTAACATAACATTAAGAAGAAAAAGAAAGCAGGTAGAAACAGTAAAACGGAAAAGGAAAACATTATACAAAAAAAATAACATATATATATACTATGATATTCAGGTTGTTGAGTACAAATTTGATAAAAACAATCGGAAGGAACGTTTAAAACTATTTAAGGAAGGTTGATTCTTTAGATGGTTTGGAATCGTGCTCCATAGATGAGGACCTTTATAAAAAATAGTAAACTTTGAAATATTAGTTCTAACTTTTGGCAGATGGTATTCAACAGCATTACGTGTATTATAATTATGTATGTTACTATTTAAAATAAATTTTGATGTAATTGGAGATGGTAATAAGCCTCTAGAACACATAAACATAAATATTGCAATATTCAATCTATTAATGTCATAAACATTTAGGAGATTTAACTGGGAAAAGATTGGCAAAGTATGAGCATGATATGGTGAATTAGAAATTATTCTTATGGCTTTTTTCTGCAAAACAAATAGTTTAGTAATAAAATAATCATGATTGTTTGACCAAGCAATATTACAATAATTGACATGGGAGAAAATCAATGCATAATATAACATAACTAAAATATGTCTTGGAAAATGTCTCAAACGGTAAATAATACCAACAGCTTTGGCAACACGATTGCATACGACACCAACGTGTTCATGCCATGTTAAAGAATGAATTTCCAGAGTAGTGAGAGCCCTTCCCCTCCAAATGGCAAAACTAGAGGAAAAAAAGAGTGAAGGTCCCTCTCCTATGTTGCACTAATTGGTACTGCTCACAAGCATTTCATCCTCTTATCGAAAACCAACGTCCACCTACCTGAGACTACTAGTGCCCTCTCCTTATGCCACAATGAATAAAAATATTCTGGTTTGGGTACGCCATCAATTAATGTCCTTTGGCAAGACATTAAGCTACATTTGCCATACTCCACCCAGTTGAGGTAAACAGGTACCTGGTAGGAAGAAATTCCTTGAATGCTTGAGCAACTTTTCATGGTAGCTCGGCTAAAGCTGGGGTAATGATATGATTGCAGGGCCCTTGGGGAGAACAGTATGAATACTGATGAGGCTACCCTGGGTAAACAAGACATATTATTATATTATTATTATTATTACTAGTATTTTTCTTTCTTTGCATCATTAGAACTCGGCCAAGATCATCCGTGCCTCCGTCTTTGGCTTTGATGAGAAGAACAAGGTGAGGGAGCGGTTCCTGTTCCCCCAGAACAGCCTGGTCATCACCTCCATTGATATCCAGTCTGTAGAGCCTGTAGACCAGAGGACCAGGGATGCCCTGCAGAAGTCTGTCCAGCTGGCCATCGAGATCACCACCAACTCACAGGAGGCTACTGCCAGGTAAGGGGGACACCAATTTATTTTTTTGGGGCAGTTTTGTAGAGGCAAAGAAAGTTCCCTCTTTAATTTGCCATGTTTAGATAATGCAGAACAGCAACCTTGTAAAATGACTGGGAAAAAAAAATTAACATACATTTCTTCTTCTTCCAGTGTAAGTGCTGCTTCAAGGTGATGAAGATAAATGCACTGATTGTGTTTGTATATGTGGAGACTTTCACATATCCTGTTATTCCACATTTCAACATTTTAAGTTTTTGTTCTTGTTGTGCAGTGGCATAAGAAGAGACAATCAAGTAGGATTAAAGATACATTAATGTAGGCATCAATGTTCCCTATGTATACACACTATATTACAAGATACAGAATTTTGAAACACGCATTTCCTCATTTTAATTTGCTACAGGGATTTTGAAACAATTAAAACCACTTGAACTTCTTTATGTCTGAATGGCCTAATTGGTGAAATAAAGTGGAGCAAAATATGCTAATATGTGATTGTTTACAAGTTGAGTTTTGTAAATGGATGTTTGACTAATTAAACACTACTTCTACACATTCATTGAGAAAGGGTCCTTCTACAGCTTGGGAGGTACAACAAGTTGTTTATTGACAGGAGAAGCATGTACAAGATAGTCCATATTTTAATCACAACTTTGGGGCCAAATAAGTGGTGTGAATCATTAAAATAATAAGAGTTGACATAGGGTTCATAAGGTTCATATTTATTGTCCATTTTTACAACGGAAATTCTTCATGTTACATGGTATTGCGATACACACAAATATAACATATACACTCATACAAAAATATTGTCATGCATCAAAAATAATATACATGTATATCAAGTAACGTGAAATGGCAATAGGATTTTACGAGACGGGTTTTACATACATGTTGACAAATGTTATACCCCAAAAACATATCACAAAACTCGAAAAATAGATCACAATACTAGGAACGAAATACCATGCAACAGGTCGCCGCAGAACAGCGCCCTCACGAACTGAATTTTAATCAAACTCTAAACTCTACTTCACTTGTAGGCACGAGGCCGAGCGTCTGGAGCAGGAGGCCCGCGGTCGCCTGGAACGCCAGAAGATCATGGACGAGGCGGAGGCTGAGAAGTCTCGCAAGGAGCTGCTGGAGCTACAGGCTAACAGTGCGGCCGTGGAGAGCACCGGGCAGGCCAAGGCAGAGGCACAGTCCAGAGCTGAGGCTGCCAGGATCGAGGGAGAGGCTGCTGTGGACCAGGCCAGGCTCAAGGCTGAAGCAGCCAAGATTGAATCGGTGAGTCTTTAATCATATGCTATGTTGTATTGTACTGGATGCTGTGTTTTATTGCATTATGTTGCCTTGACTGGTCCTTTGGAAGTGATATATTGTTGTTTAAAGCCCCACTGCACTTCTTATAGCTACTTGCGCCCCTCCATAAAACAAACAATGCCTAATCGGTGACCATTGGTCCCTCATGATCCCCTTTTTCTTTAAGAGCTTTAAGAGCTGATTTGATGGAATGACAACCTGTCAGTGACCATGCAGGGAGGTGTAATCCCTCCTGGCCAAACTAGTGCAGATAGGCTTTAAAAGAATACACTTTGAAAGACGGCACAAAGAGATTAAAATAGTGTGTTTATTAGGATGCTCAAGCTTTGTTAGAATATATTTCATATTATTTTGTATTCTAGTAGAGAGGATGCCCAAAGCTTTGAACTATATTCTAATGTTGCAATTTTTTAAAATCCTGACCCTTCTCATTTCCTAATACAGTATAAATTGCATACATCTGAGTTATAAAGTACAGTCACACTATTGTAAAGACTTTTTGTTCCGTTCTAGTGAAGAGGATGCCCAAAACTTTGAACTATATCGTAATTATCCCGACCCCTCTCATTTCCTAGGAATCTGAGCTGCAACGTCTGACCAATGCTCGCGAAGCCGAGACCAAGTACGTCAGGGAGCAGAACGCACTGGAGGTCAACAAGACCAAGCAGATGTCCGACATCGAGACAGAGAGGTTCAGGAACATGGTGCAGTCCATCGGAGCTGACACCATTAAGGCCATGGCCATGGCTGGACCAGAGATGCAGGTACGTGAATGGTTTCCTCACCGGTTTCAATCTTCATATAAAATTCATCATGAATGTATTTCAGGGAGAGAAAAAAATGTAGCTATTGTAAGTCTATTGGAACATTATAGTCTAACTCACAATGAGATTACATATATTTTGTATTGTTATCGAGTTAAGTGTATGAGGCATAACAAGGCACACAATTGTATGGTCACATGTATATAGTGAAAACCTGAAATCAAGGCCATAGCTATGGCTAGACCAGAGATGCAGGTATGTCAATGGTTTCTTAACCCCTTCCCTGAAGTGTGGGCATTAATTCTTGCCCAAGAAAAGTATGTGAGCATTGGACAATGTGTTTTGGACTTACAAAAACTAATTTTTTTCCTCCCTGAAATACCTTCTCGGTGAAGTTTGATGAAGATTTGAATTTGTCTAATTTATTAATGAAATAATGCACAATGTGTTTCAGGTTTCATGTAAAGGGATGTCACTTTTGATTTTCTTAATGCTGTAGTGGTTGATTTGGTCTTGAAGTGCTTGGATTACATAAAGACGCACCAAAAGAAATATATGTGAAAGGATTGTCGCCCTCTAAAATCAGTATCATTTTATCTAATTTTGTACAGTGGAACTTGTATTTAAAGACCACTCAAGGGAATCATGAAAAGTGGTCTTTATAGGCAGGTATTCTCTATGTGCAGGTTCCTCTAGTTCAGGTTTCAATGAGAACCATATGAAAGGCAAATGAAAAATGTGGTCTTTATAGACAGGATGTCTTTCTATACAGGTGGTCGCTAAAGCAGGTTTGACTGTATTTCTATATCTTTCTATTTCTACTTATTCGATAGTACCTTTGAGATGAGTACAATCTGGGGCCAATTTCACAAAGCCTCTTTTCAACGACAAATTACAAAAATCAGTGACAAATCTGCTGATATCCAATCAGAAGCAAGGATTTCAATAGCTTATAACACAAAGTGTGATTTGTCACTGATGACAAGTTTTGTGAAACACCCCCCTGATCAATCACATTCCTCTTTGTATTCATTTTATAGGTGAAGCTGCTCTCTTCGCTGGGACTGAAGTCCACCCTGATCACGGACGGCTCAACCCCCATCAATCTATTCAACACCGCCCAAGGGCTCCTGGGTGGCTTCTCAGCCAAGCGAGGCATTGAGCATGTCGAGGAAGAAGACTAAGCTATCTTTCGCTCTCAGACTCTGTTCGCCCTCTTAAAGCAGGAGAGGGATGAAATGTTTAATGTTTACGAAGAAAAAGGGGTACATGTATCTTAAATGAAAGTTATTGATCATCGTATGAGTGGGTTGGGAAAGATCTAGTCATGTTTTGCTCTCCTTAATCCATCTCCTTGGGGAAGGGGGGAAGAGATTACATCGACTATGGATGCTTTACGTTTATGAACAAAAAGGGAACATTTATCATTCTTAAATTGAAAAGGAAATGGGTACCTCTTTGAAAAGCATTGTTTATTTTTAGTGTTTTGAGGAAGATTCAATTTTGCTCATTTTGTGTTTTTTGGCTAGAAAGAAGTCTGAAATATTTTGTAACTAGGTGATTATTCAGACACACAAACTTTAATTGTAGATGAATTTAAATGGCTGTTTTATAGATATAGGTATAGACATTAAGAGTCAGGTAAATAATTATGTTGCAAATAACTATGTTAATTGTTTTGAAGTATAATATAAATAATTATATTTTTCAGTGTACTCAGTGCAAAGAATTGTTTGAAAAGAGAAGAAGATGGTGATGCAATTATGTCATTTTTTATAGTTCCTTTAGAAGTCTTTCATCTGAATGTTTAAATGTTTTGTCAAGTGACTAGAAAAAAATCATGATTATTTCACCTTGAGAAGGTGAACATCATAGTCTACTCGACAAATATATTACATATATTTTGCATTGATTATCGAGTTACATGTACCAGGCATAACAAGGCACACAATTGTATGGTCACATGTATATAGTGAAACTTAGCATTTCTATTTGGATATATCTTTGTCCCGTTCATCGATTAGATGGTTCTCTTACGATGGGTGTATCTTAGGAAATATTGTTGATTCATTCTGGCAGCTTCCATCATTACCAAAAAGTGATCTTACTTGTTCGCAATGATTCTAGCCCGTGCTGATGTCTTGTTTCAAATTAAATTTTGTGCCTCTGAACAGTTTCTTGGTTCTCCTTGTAGTTAACCGTTTAGACTTTAGGGATATTTCTGTTGTCTGTGCTGTTACAGCTCTAATAATGTGATATTAATGAAGTGCAGTATATTAGAATCCTCTATATTTTATTAGAATCCTTTATATTAACATTACCAGATAGCCAAAGTCCTGCAATTTCTCTTATAAAGTTTATACAAGTATTTTGAATATGTTTATCATGCAATTGAATATTTGTACCCGTGTCTTAAAGATATTTCTTTATTGTCTGTATTTTTCTATATTCATCATTAGAAATGATATTTGCAAAGGTTCATTAAAACCCAACCAGATGGTTATCTTGTACTAAAATTTTATTGTGGGCATTGCTGTTATTGTTTGCTTCGTTTTGTTTTTTTTGTTTTTGTTTTTGTTTTTGTTTTTTTTTTGGGGGGGGGGGGGGGGAGGACTTCGGGTCTTCAAGATTTTTTAATTAGCAATATTCATTGACATACATGTATACATTTATATGATATTCAAGGCATTTGTGTATGCAACTGGGTCAGATGTCAGACAGTAAATAATTTCATCGCTCCATTTCAGAACGAGGCTGTACAGTAATAGTACAGAGTAAAGACCTTGAAATTTTGCACTTCATGAATCAGTGGACTCATCGTGTTTAACCCTTTACTGACAATTATTCCACCTATTGTGGTTTGGCTCAACTTTTGATTCACAGCCCTACAATATATGCCAAATACAAGAGCAGAAAGGGCCAACATTTCTGTACACACTGCACCCAAAAGTTTCTTAAATCCTGGTTGAGAACTTAGAAATAATATTTTTTTGATCAAATCAACATTTTCACCCGTGTAAATTGTTTTCTGAGAATTTGTGTTTTATGCTATCATTGTAGCGTACAAAGTTTTGGTATGGGTCATGAATTTGGTTCAAATTAACATATTGGAAGCATATGCGTTCCTTCAATATTCATTGATCGTTGTCCCGGTTGAAATCGAGTCTAAAGTTATGAAATTATAAATAATAAACTCTTTGTTGTATAGCTCCCTCTCAAGGTCAAGATATTAATTTAGCTATGAAACAATGGTTCTTGACTAAAATCGACCGATTAGCTATTCCCATTTGGAAATTATATATATCACAACTACATATTCCGAGATTTTCATGGTCGCAGCTACCACTGTACGGCCGTAGGCACTATTTGAAATTTATCAACATTTACCGGGAGCACCGGTAATTTTTTATATTCAATTTTTCTCGAAAACAGAAGTGTTTTGGGGGTTAATTTTTTTAGTGATTATAATACATCCACAGGGGCATCCAAATATATCAAAATTGTAAAGATTCACTATCCACCCAATTTTCAAAATTTCCCAAAACTTTGTATTAACTTTAAGAGACAAATATCATTGTTGCCAATTTGAAGAACAATAAGTAATGATCAATTTAGCTCTAAAAATAAACCCTGTCCTGAAAAGGTTAACTTGATCTACCTTATTGAGTACCAACCACACATACACACAAAGGATACAAACATCTGAATATTTAAACTTGTGAGCAGATCATTTTTCTGCTTCATTTATTGTATGAGCCCACATCATATGCCCAATGTACACATCAGTACATCAACTCAAATCACCATCAAAAAGAGATTGTAGAATAAAGCTTGAAAAGAACAAGAAATGTGACAATTTGAAAGAAAAAAACCTTCAAAATAGAAAAATCAAATTTTTGACTCTTGATTCATTATCATTAATCACTTGATGAAATGTTTAAAGAATAATATATAGAAATTAAACTATAAACTAGAATATGAGAGTAGTTCTATTTACTCTAAATAAATCAGCTCTGATATAGTTGCAAGTTATATATAGGACCTACAATTACAAAATATTTACTGGTAGCAAGAGCCAGAAGCAAAATCCATCCCAAAAGCTATTTGTGTAGTATATGTTTATTGAAGCTGCACAGGAGCCGAGTCCGTTCAAAAAAACATCTGCAGAATTTTCACGCACAAATGATTCGAGGTTCTTGAAGAAATCAAAATTGTGGGTTTTGTTTAGGATGTTCATAACAGTCTGATCTTTGGGGCTTATCTGTCCTGGTATGGACACAACTGACAAACATATCCTGATCTAATTCTGGTACATCAATAGCAGCTAAACCAGTATACAATGTATGTTGCATCCGGTTCTTTGATAATCATAATCTGGCTTCTGTGAGACATATTGTTTGTTTATCAAGACAGGGCCCCCGTCTTATCAGTTGCAAATGATTCATATCGATCTAAACCTGATATCAATCGCAACTCTGGTAACTCGGGAGATACATGCATGAGTTTGAAAGTTTGCAAGTGATTGAAAAACTTGTGATCGATCCCATTCAATCACGCCTTTTCAAGAAAGGGCCCAAGAGCTGTTAATTTGCATGATTAATTCACACAATACCACTTTTAACTGCTTTACTTTGGTGACAAAAAAAAGATAACATCTGAAACTCCTCGAGGATAAACCAAATAAAATCCAGTCAAAGAAGCAAATCTACAATATTCATGAATAAGATGTCATCTGTCTCTTCAAGAACATCTTGCATGAAAAGATCTTTGTTTGTAGCTGTGCTAAATAGTTTTGTAACGCAAACAGGATAAATATTTCTTGAAAATTGCAAAATTTAACGACTTATAAAATAGACAATGATGGTACATAGCACAAATTTCATCTTGTAGAAATAAAATAAATTTAAAAACAAGAAGTTCAGTCAAAACAATGCTGGCCATTTGGATGATTAGTGGAAAGTAAAAGATGCAATGAATAAGGATAAAAATAATTTTTAGTGCAGTGTTCAAAACAAGTTCTGCAATTCATACACACATGCATACATACAAACGAAAAAGTGTCATTAACAAGATAATTGCGTGAAAAATGCTGAAGAAACTAAAAATAAACAATAAATATGCATGGCTGTTACAAACATACCAAATAACAAGTGAAATTACACTGCAAAAATATCAAGTTTTAAAAAACAAACATGGTGTTAGACAGAGAAGCTGAATGGCATTTTCATCATACTTTTGTTTCTGTATCATCAATATCAAAACATAATCACCAGAAATAATGTAATTTTATTGAGTTGTTGATCAAAATGACATTGCTCATAACCTTTTCCTGATAAACAGTGCATTTCAGTCACTTTGAAAAACAGTAATATGTAATATCACAAAGAAGGCAGGAAGCGTAGGTTCCATTTTCACAGCAGAGTTAGAGCTTGGAATAATGGCTTGTGTATTCAAAGGTACATGAAGACTTTACAAAGATGGCCTAACAATTATTCAATAAATTGTATTTTTTCACATCCCATCACAATTTTTTCCTGGAAGCATTTTTTAAACATGTTTCTTTCTATATTATTTACACAATATGGGATTTCATACGGGGTGTCAGTTCCAATGAATATTTGCCAGAAATGATTTCTCTCAAGCCACATGTACAATGTACAAAGTACATTCATGTACAACAACATGGTCACCTTACTTACCATCAAGCAAAATCGAAGAGCAAAATGTTTTTGTTTTTTCTAGCAATAGCAACGCATCTAATACTTGCTTGAATACTGACAATTACATTGTAAGCAGGGCATACTGGTATTCCAAGAATTCCCAATTTCAACGCTTCATAAGAGAAAATAACTTGTTTGCAACAGCTCAGGCAGAAATGTTATGAAATCAAATACATGTATTAATTACGTAAATGACGATAAGAATGAAATCCTGTCTGTGGTAAAATATCGATGTTCTTGACATTTATCTTAGTTTTTCATGAACCACTGATCATAGATTATGATGTGTACATTACGGCAAGCTCGTCCCTTAAATTCCTCAACTTCAATACAATATTTCCAGTTTGATGGCCAATTTACCAAGCAAGCAACTGGTAATGATTGAAAACTTTTTTTTTTTTTTTCATTTTTTTTTTCAAAAGCAAAAATGTTTTAAAGACATGTCAATATTCAAATTTAAAAAAATGAAACTACTTTTTTTATAATTCTAATAGTAGAGAAGAGTAATCTATTAGTATAATTATAGAAAATTAATTCAAAATAAAGAGGTTTTTGTTTAAAAAAAACAAATCATACATGTCTGATGTGCATGAAAATTCATGGGGTTGCACACATAACTAACTTTATCACAAGCTCCAACTCCATAAAACTTTTTTTCTTTAAATCTTCAGAAGAAAACATGGAAATGGAAGGATTTTTCATTATTTAAAATGAACTGACTTAGACTTGGTTATTACATGTAGCCGACTCATTTATTAACAGTGCAATATTGTACAACTGCACAAGGAAATACTTGTGCATGCAAGTATTTTTAACATTGAAAAAGAATGGCTAAACATTCAATGTGTTTCAGAGTTTTCTTCTTTTTTTTTATAAATCAAAAGAGGTTTTTCATATTGTTTTTTTTTTCTCGTCATATACTCAATGCTTATGAATCATATTGATGATTTAATCATCTTAATCAATTTGCAAGATTTATTTCACATCACAGCTCTCAGTAGTTCTAGTAAGAATTTATTCAGAAACCTTTTTCACAAATCCATTCTCCTACTACCGGTAAGGACAATAAAATAAAGCAAATGAAACAATGTTCTTAAACCCTGATTTGCCCCTGATTGTGCTACTATACACATAATAGCAGAACTAACACAATGCGCACAATTTTCAACCGCTTCTGTTCACTCATTTTCTTTAACAATTTAGTGCTCCCATTATGCGAGCTTGAGGGTTTGTGAAAGGGGCAGAAATTACCTTTTGATCAAAGCTTTAAAATCCTATATAACATAGCCATGTTGCATGCACTCAGCTGAAAGAAATTTGTGTAACATGTACATATTTTTTCAATCCATAATGTGCATACACAATAAAGAATAAGAATGCAAGACATGCAAATTGTTTCTTCACTTTTTCTCTTTTTTTTTAAGGCTTACAGATTTACGCTCCATTCCTCTGAAACTTAGAAAAGATTACAAAGCAAAGCCACCAAGAAAAGAAACAAGATCTTCCCCAAATTAAAAATAAGCTATTTCAATCCTAACTTTTTCACAATAACTACGAACTATAAAGATAAATCTATTCTTCTCTTGCAAAATCATCTCTTACATTTTCCTTTTTTTTGTTTCAGCTTCTTTGCCGTTTATGGAAACATGTATGTAAAGCTGACAATGTACAAAAATAATAGTTTTTTTTTCTTCAATCCCTCTCTGATCACACACTTCTCTCAACACTTCTTAGTTTTATATTTCTACATCTTCTACACCCGATGTCATTGTCGTTAACTCCGATTTAAATCTATTGGGTGCAGATAAACCTGTACAGGTGTCCACAAGAAAACATGTACAATTTACAGAACATATTGCAACATGTCAGAAGATAAAGATTCTATGATACATAACGCTAAAGTTTAGCTTTTTTTTTTTCTTGCTTACTAACATTTTTTCCCCTCAGTAAGCGAAATCTTATTAAAATCTACACTTTAATCCATTTCTTCATATACTACAATTAACTTTCTTCCTTTCATGCAATCTTTCCAGTCGACTATCGCAAGCTGCATAATGCAAAAATAACGCAAGTCCAAGCTAGTCCCTCTACTTTCGTATATATACATGAGTGTGCAAACCTACTTTTAGTACTTTCTTTGTGTAGTGAAGAAATAAAAAGAAAGAGAAAATACATCAAATCAGAAAGGAAGAAAGAAAAAAGAGAATTATCATTGCTATACGATTCAAGTCACTACGATTACAGATGGGCTAAGGAGACATCACTAAAGCCTTGTTCAGATATGATGCGATTAAAGGTAAAGACCAGTTATGGTCATGCGATTGCATTGTGAAAGAAACGTTGTGGAATCGATCAGAAAAGGTTGATCATCTAGCATCTAGCATCTGCAAGGTTCTGGAATCATCAAAATGATAAGAAATTTGGCCCATTCTTTGTAAAGTTACAAGCACTATACACAGAAAGATGTATATGGGACTACCCTATATCTCTCACAGACCATGAGAGAAACAAATTTACCAAATATATGAATTAGTAGGCGGTTTCCCGGCAAATTTGTTATCATCATGTATTAGTCAAAACATATTCTTTCACATGATTGGTAATGAGAGCTTCCATTTCATTTTTTGAAATTGGGGCGTTTCCAATACTGGTCTTTACCTTTAAACCGCAGGTTTTATAAAACGACGTAAAGTGTTATAGGCTTCACATTTCCTGTCTTATAACAAAGAGCTCAGTGAATATGCACAGGACCTTGGTTGTTCACACGTAACAAAACCACTGTGGCGTTTTTTTTTGTACAGCAGTTTACCGCCATCATATCTGAAAGAGCCTAACTGAAACTATAAATGGACTTCAATGTCTCTGCAGCATGCCACGGTCTGAAAGTTCCGGCAATGGATGAAATTTGGCAGAAGGAGCAACACAATTCCAAAATACAGCAAGGAAGGTGATATGGGTGGAGCACATGTATCAAAACGGTTAACATGTATATGAAAGTTTCCATTTTTAGTCAGGTAACAGTTGGTAAGAAAGCTCTTCGTCAGCACCTTTTCATTGTAGTATGAGCAGCAGTATGATTCCTGGCTACGACTATGAGGGTTGGCATAACTATAGTGGCACTTCTCGCGTGTCAAAGACTACATCCGATACTGTACTGATGTTGGGATGCTCGTATCCGATTCCTACTTTATAGACTCACTGCTCGCATTAGAAGTACTGGCCTCAATTGGGTCATGCTCAGAAGGACCATGGGCTATTTCATCTCAAACCAAAATGGAAGATTTCTTTGGCATTTAACAAAAGAGATGGTAAAACACAACATAATTAAAACAAACGCATTTCCATACAAAATCTGAAACAAAATGTACATATAAAGGTCACTTGCACTTTAGCCCGCAATATCCAAGAGAATTATATATACTTCTGAAACCCCTTCACATTACATAATAATGTACATTTATACACGTAACTTAATGTGAAAATCAAGAGAGGGATTTAAACTAGACATACTTTTTAATTAAGGGTAACCTTATTGTGAGGGGTCCAAAAAGAGACCAACAATCCTGTCATCATTTTTTTTTACTAAGTTTACTTTGACAAATAATGGCACTAACTTTAAATATTATTCCTTAACAGAAAAGAGAGGGATTTCCTTGTTTAAAGTACTATGTGTTCAATCAAAACAGTACCACATTAAATGGCTTGTATAATTAACTTGTGAAACTCAAATGCCAATGCACATGTACTACAAGTGGATTACAGAAGTATTGATCTGTATTCCCATTCATAACTCCTACCGAAAGAAGAAAACATGTCAAAATATCAATCTAAATGCCGAAAACACTACAACAGACTTGATAAAGCATACAAAATATCTGTAAGAAAAGGGGAAACAGTTTTTTTCTTCTTTTCAATAGAGTTTGTACAAAATGTACACACAAAAAGAATGATGCATTATAAATGCATCTGGTTCACTACAGTACGTTTGACACCTGTGGGGTGTTTCACAAAGATCCCAAGTCAAACTTAACTCAAGTTGGAGAGCCATTTGTAGCCTCAAAATAAAAAATATAACTGATATTTAAAGGCAAAAATTCAAGTATTTTAGACTTTTCATAAATTCCACATTAAGAACATGAAATCTCCTTGATAATAGACAATATGATTGATTTGAATCAACATTTTACGCCTTTTTAAAATGACTTTTACAAAATATTTTCGATGATGTTAAACTTAGGATCTTTGTGAAACATCCCCAAGTCTTGGACAGTCCTACTCTTCTTCATAGACGACGACCTTGGATGACTGCTTGGTTAGCTCAAAGTTCAGCTTCTCCCATTCTGTGTGGTAGAAATAAAACAGACAAACTCATGTAAAATGGCGACTGGCTGGAATTCTACCCGGGAAGTGGAAAATGTGCATACATTGTGTGCGGGTAAGCCTGAATCCGATGACCGGGGTAATAATATATCTGTAAAGGCACATCCTTGTATCGATGTATTGGGCGCCATATAAAAGCGGATTATTATTATTTTTATGTAACAGATTAAAGTGAATAAATCATTTCTGATCAGAAGGTGCAGTCTGGATAATACAAGGGGAGGCTTTGTCTTTTTTTGCACTTACCGATATATTTTAACATTATATTGAGATCTTGAAGTATTGGAGTCATTCCATCTCAGATCTTCAAATAAAATTTGATAAATTTATATCACAACATATTTGTAAAACATGCAAAAAATTGGATTTGGATCCTTCTCTTAAAATTTTGCAAAAAATTTGAAGACTTTGATTTTGAGAATGGTTTGTATGTGGTATCACCAGGCCTTGGTATCACTACAAGAGGCTCCTAAGACGTAAATGAACCATTCTTACCTTTCAAAAGCATATCTGCCAATTCTGAATGGTTGAATCTGGCTGCCCAATACTGCTGTTGATCCAGCGGCTTCTTCTTCAGGTTGTTATTCTCTCCCACTGTAGCATGTGGGGTATTGTTCTTATTGCCACTTGCAAGAATGGCAGCAAGGCTTGCAGGTACTGATGGCACTGTAGAGGTACTGTCCGGAGTAGTCTTCCGGCCATGGTGATTGTCACTTTTGTCATTGTTCTGCGGACTCTTGGCAATCCAGGCCTTTTCCAGATCAGCACAACTGACCTGATTAGGAGGGGTAGGGGAGCTGGCACTGGTTCGGTTCTCATGGTTATTGACAGGAGAGGGTCGAGGCACGGGCTTGGAATCGGATTTACCCTTCTGCTGTTGGTTGCTTTGCGTCACATCGTCGATCAGTTCGAAATCGCTCTCGCAGAATTTCACTGAGCCGAACGTGATGTCAAAGCTCTCTGCTGGCTCCGCTTCAAAGGGAAAGGAGTTGTCCTGAATGACAGGAGTGCCCTCAGAAGTTAGGTTAAGGCTGGTTTCAGATTTGACTGTCCGCATACTGTCCTTGTCTTTACTATTGGCACTGGATGATTTCTTGGGCACCACTGCCTGAGCAGGTGGCGCAGAGTCAAGGCTGACAGCTTTATGGCTGATCTCTAGTTTACTTGTCCTGGCTGGTTTCACATCATCGCTAGCTTTTGACGTTTCCTGCTGGGTACTAAGTACTTTACTAGGTGTTTTAGTGTCTGTTGTTGACTTGTTAATGCTTTGTTTAAGGCGTGCTGCATAAGTGTCATTGGAACATTGCAAGTCAAGATATTGCACAACATTATCTGCACTCGTATTGTCCTGTTTTGGCAATTCTGCGTCCGGTATACGGCCCATATCGCGTGGGAGACTTGCTGATTTGGCAGCTGTAGCAGCACTGACTGCACTACTACTGTATGCTTTGGCAGGAATTTCACTAAGATCAGTTTGACTGTCCAATTCTCCTGTTGTAGACGATGTAGAAGACTTTGTTTCAAAATTGTCCTTGGCTTCTGGTGGTTTTATCAAAGGAGGATCTTCTTGTTGTTCTCCACTATCTGTTGCACCAGACTCAAGAGAAACCGAAACTGTTTTACCATCTTCCGCTTTGCTTTCCTGATGGTCTCCTACAACGGGCTGACTTTCCTGGCTTTTCCTTCCACTTGCACTTGGAGGAACAGGTGGTTTGGCTTTCAGTTTGGCTGCATAAGAGTTGGCAGAAACAGGTGGGGGAGGTTTCTCAACAATCTCGTCAGCAGGTAAATTGTCGGCTTTACGCGAGTAGCTGTGAAACTCCTCTCTCAGATTATGGTGGCGTGAGAAGGAAGCATGCCTATGTACTGGTCTGTTATCACTCACATCCATCCATTTGGACATGCCAGAGGGCTCACTACTGGATTTACGCAATTTAGGGTCAAATGGTCCACTGTAATAAGAGCGTCGCAGATTATCTGCAGGTGAAGGTCTCAAACTGTACCTATCCTCTGCAGCAAGAGCTCTCCGCTTGCTCTTCTTGATTCCATATGTTTGCCACTCATTCTCATTCGACTCATCTTCATCTCGAAAATTCTCATCCATGGAACTCTCTTGGCTTGCCTTCACACTTGTATCCTCACTGCTTTTTTCTGCATCATTTCCGCTTTCTGAATTAATATCAGATGCATTGTCTTCCTTTGCAGCACATCTATCACCATCTAATTTAACCGCCTTATCGTTTGAAAGCTTTTTATCACTAGAGGATTCATATGTAGTCCTTAGAGCATCATCTTTATCTGACATGTCAAGTGATTTAGGCCTGTCAGGCTTAATAGAAGATATACTTTTGCTGACAGGTTTACTGTCTTCAACTGAAGATTCTACTTGTTTCTTTGCATTATTTGTTTGTTTCTTTTCATTTTTATTTTCTGCCTTCTTGGTCTTCGTCGGAAGTGCTGATGTTTTAGATGGTGCTCCACTAGGCCCATTCGTCGGAGGAGGCTGGGTTTTTAACTTGGGCAAAGGCTGTGAGACTGGTTCTGTAATCTTATTACTGTCTTCTGCCCCTGATGTGCCTGGTGATGTAAGCCCTTTGTTCTCATGGTCAGATGAGTTGGCTGTTCCGGCTGGATCCGCTTCGGCATTACCTGAAGACCGTTGATAAAAGTAAGAATATTAACAAGTGAATGCATTGATCGAATGAGAGAGAACGTATAAATACAAAGAGATACAATGAAAAGGTGCTGAGGAAGAGCTTTCTTACCAACTTTTACTCGACTATAAGTAAAAAGCATCTATGAATACTTAAAAATGAATAGTGGAGTCGTTCAGAATGTTACCCTGAGCAGGACTTCACACTATCTTTTGCAGAGGGTATAAATATAGATTGTCAAGGTCTGTATGCATACATTCCTTATCATAAATTGGAAATTTTGGGGTACCCATGTATCCTGTGCACCTGTGAATGTCGAGCCCTGCCTGAGGGAAGGATTGGATATTTCTCAGGTCGTTTCTCAATTGTACTGAAAGGAGCATACGTAACAATTTGAAAACTGACTAAGAAAGATTTAAACACTTGTTGTTCAACACACAGGTGGGGAAATCATATACATGTAGGACACTGTGGAAAAATCCATAAATGGATCTCTTTGGGTATGTGAGTGAATGTTTAGGAAAGTCAAAGAATGAGGAAATAATTATGCATTTCTGAGAGTCCTAACAACAGAGGAAATCTCTTAATGGAAATGCAGTCACACAAGAAACTGATATCAATGAGGGACAAGACCCTCTACTGGTTTTGTATACAAGATCATCCAAAGCATACCTTTTCTCATTATTTGAGAAATTCCAAATTTTAATTTGAGAAAATTAAATGTTCAGAACTAAAGGACTCTAGTGCCATATTTCTACTGATTCATACTCCAGCTACTACACTCTACTGACCTTTCTTTTTCTTTTTTCTTTTTCTTTTCTTTTTGGTGGGTTCGTCTTGCACCTCAGAACCCCCTGCACCGCCAACGCCACCACCATCATCACGAACTTCAGTGGTACTGCTTGCAGTGGGGGAGTTTTCGTCCTCTGGAGATGATATTATGCTACTACCAGTGGGTGGTTCAGGGGAGTCAATGCTTCCATAGTTCTTTGGCAGCTTGCCACTGCTACTGCTGCAGCACAATCCCTCCTGCTCCCTACTGCTTTCTAGCTTCACAGGCTGCATCTCCCGCTCCACAGGTTTCTCAATAGCATTATTCCCCTGGGAGCGGCGGCTAAAGTTACTAGCGCCTGACACATAGTTCAAGGCTACGGCATCAGCATGATCAAGGCTCTCATTGTCAATGAATTCAGGTTTAGGACACGTTGGACTTTCAGGGTATTCGGAAGCATCAACTATATCAACGGCACGATTCATCAATTTGTCTATCGTGTGCGGGGAAGGGCTTGAAACAGAAGGCTTGCTTCCTTGAGTACTATCACCAGATTTGTTCTTAGTTGAAAGCAATCGATGTGAATTGGTATTTATAACAGGGATCTTTTCAGCAAGCTTTGGCTTATTCCCGACACTGGTAGTTGCATTCCGTTTTAGTCCAAACGATATGCTAGCCCCAATATCAACGTTGCTGTGTTGAGCTTCATTTTCAACTTTAGAGTCCTCACTTGATGCTGCTTCATGTTTCTTCACAGTCACATCATCTTTCTTTGCCTGAGAAATTAAATTGTTCGCACCTTTATCATTAACTGCATGCTTTAATTGTAAATTAGATTTTGCTCCAACATCGTTACAGTCCAAGTGCACTGAGGATTCGTTGGGAGTTTCAAACACGGATGCACTTTTGATAGCAGTTTCTGAGGGTGCTGTAATCTTGCCATCTACCCCAGCATTAATGCCTACAGTTTCATCTGTGGCAGCCATGTGGCAAGAAACAGTCTGTGCTTTCGGGGGATCACAGGATTGCTGCTGCTCCAACACTGAAGGCTGATAATCAGTGACAGAGCCGGCCATCAAAATATCAAATTCCTTCTCCGGTAGTTCAGCAATCCGTCTGGCCGTTTCTTTCAGGTGCTCAATCTGTATGGAATGATAAACAAAAGGTTTCACTACACTGACCTGTGAACATTCTGCATTTCATCAGAAAATATTTGTTATCATGTTCTATTTTCCAAGTAAAAGAGAATGAAAAGCATGAAAGGCATTTCAGTACACTACAAACATATTTGGTATAAAATGCTTTAAAAAATGCTTCAAAGATTCACACGTGTTGAGCACTACATTTCTTTAATTAAGAGATTAAGAACTCAAATGTACAGTATGTGTAAGTAACCATCAAGGTTTAGGGCTTTTCCCAGTAAACACAAATGTTACAATTTTACTGTGAACGCTGTTATTTTTGCATGATTGATTTTTCGCGCTGAGCAACCCCAAAACATATTCATGGGTCCTTAAATTTGCGTTGCAAGCAATTCAGCCCGTTCAAAACATGCATAAGAAGTCATGGTTAAATATTGGCGAGTTCTAAAATTCCCACTTGTCGATCTTAGCGCGAAATCCGCGAAACTGAATGTACCGTGAATATTTTCGCAATACATGTACATGTACATGTATTGTACATGTACAGTATGTAGTATGCAAAGAAATAATTTTATCCTGCAGATTCCCTTTGGCATCAAAGCACTCTGTTTCCTGATAGCCAGAAGGATATTAATTTCTAACACCATTCTAGTTCTCAACAGGCAATATGGTACATGTACACTACACTGCATTTACATACTGTGCATAGGCCTACCCTACATGCAGTTGTATATATACATAATGTATTTTAACACAACCATGGCTGACTGAAGTACATGTATTACATACACAACTTCAAACACTTAAACACTGTATACCAGCGTGAAGCCATATGGTCAGAAAATGAGCAGGCAAACATATTTTTACCATAGTGTTGTTTTCTATAAATCGAGGGGTTAGTGACACAAAGACGGAACTCCATTTTGGCCATTTTGAGAAAAAGTGGTTTATGTGTCACTGAGCACTCGAGTTGTTTCTATGTTTTACTAGCGATTGACTTCAATGGGGTGTTAGGTGGAGTTACCGATAAGCCTTTGTGTTTCCTCGAAAGTCCACATTTTTCTGAACATTTTGATGTCAAATACTCATTTTGGGAAAATATGGAGTTACGTCATTGTGTCACTGAACCCTTGAAATGTGTACCAGTGAAGGGATTATTCGGTCTTGAAGGCTTTAGAGCCATTTACATGTACATACTGTACATAGTACTTTGCAGTACAATGTATTGTACATGTGTACATGAATGTGTACGATGTGTCAAGACTTTTATATGAGAATTAACAAGAAAAACATGATAGCCAAAAAAAAAAGAAGGTGAGCGAACAATGTTTGTTTGAGTCTGTTTGAGATATCTATAGTATCTGACGCAGCAAGAATTGAAAGGTCATCCGCTTCTTTGCAGCGAGTTGCTCTTAAAGGGAACCAAAACCTTCATACCAAGTTACTTTTATTGTAAAGTTTAAGATATTTGAATAAAATCAGTGAAAATTTGAACAAAAATGGGCAAGGAATAAGGAAGTTAAAGCTTTTTGAAATGACTAGTCACTAGAGGGCGATATTCAAATTGATGACATCATTTGTGGACAACTCTCCATGCCTTTTGTACATCAAATTTCACAATTCTTTCGTTTTCTTCGTATTTATTTGTGTTCTTGATCCAACTTCATAACATGTGAAGTAGAATATCATTTTTCATTCTATACCTTGCTTTCATGGGAGTAGATTATCACAATCACAAGAAAGAAGGAAAAACATGAAATTTTATGAACAAAAGGCATGAACTTAGTATGAAGGTTTTGGTTCCCTTTAATGAAAGTAGATAAATCAAACAGATTGCTTAAAGTTTGAATGGAAACTGATACAGTTAGAATATTTTTTTAAGTTTGAGATTAAGGTACATAGGTCTACATAAGGGAATTAGAAAGTGGCAAACTGGTCACTGTGATATATTGCTCTACAAACAGATGAAGAAAAAAAAGGGTAATTCTTCTCAATTTTAAAGCAAGACATACAAAAACATGCCATCCAAATTACCCTGAGGAAGATGGCAATAGTTATACTAACATTTTTATGGTACAAATTACAACATACATGTAGAAGAGACTTGTCTCCAACTACATGTATTGAGTGAACTTTCCAACTTGTTTTTTTACCATCTTCAAACAGTTATCTTTTTTCTCATTGGTCAAATTTTTTTCAAACTTTCATCATCATGTATCCCTTAAAGGTACTATGTCCCATTTGCAGGCCAACAACATAAAAAGGTTAAATTCCAACGGCATTTGAAAGATAATACTAATTTAGAACTTCCCTAAAAAAGGGGGCCTTGAAAATGTCTTTAAAGATACTGTGTTCCTTTTGCAGCCGACATCAAATGCAAGGAAACCCGTTTACTTGGTCTGCAAATGAAATGGGACATAGTACCTTTAAGTGGGAAAATAACAACTATTAATTGTCGAATCGACTTGAGAGCTATAGAGCCAGTAGGTAAATCTGATTTTCAGAATGGTCGTAGGTTTTATGCTGCGCAAAGATTCAATCAGTTTAATTTTGGTCATTATAAGAAGTGGGTTATTCTTTGATGTAGACAAATGTACCCTTTACAGCTCATTTTATGTACAGTATGTTATTACCAAAGAGGGAAAAAAGCCAGTCAGTCACTCAAATGACTCAATAGTGTTTGACAGTGAAGTCTAGCAAGTAAACAGGTTTTCTTGCATAATTTGGATATTAGGACACTGCTAGCGTTTAAATATCACAGATAGGACATACATGACATATTCATAATTCCTGCAAAGTTCTACAGAATTTGATGTTGGCTGCAAAAGGGACATAGTATCTTTATAGGACCCTCAGCCATTTAATTTAATGCAGCAACTGACATTAATAAAGAGATTGATAAACAGTACAAACCTATTGCTAATTGCTTAGATTTTACAATGTCAAATTTAATCCATGTTTCTAATGTTCTACCAAACAAAAAACATTTAAGAATGTGAATGGGTGCTAATAGAAATTTAGTTGACTTAGAATTCCAGAGATACCAGGATCTCAAAATATGATATATGGGATTGCCTACACAACAACAAATAAGTCACAAAAACCAGCGCCTCCAAGCTTAAAGATAAACTTGAGTTCTGGTTAAAAAAAAGAAAAGAAGTCTCACAGAATAAACTTACACTGAATGTTCAAGATTACAAATAAATGTTGTTTGCCAAACGATTTTGCCATACTGGCTGATTAAAAAGCATAGAAAGATTTATAAGGAAATCAAGGTAAGTAACCCAACACCATTTGTGTAGTCCCATATACATATTTTTGTGTATAGTGCTTGTAACTTTACCAAGACTGGGCCACATTTCTTATCATTTTGATGATTCCAGAACCTTGCAGTACACACCAATACGCTAGATATGCTTAGATATGCTAGATGATCAACCTTTTCTGAGCGGTTCCACACTGTTTCTTTCACAATGCATTTGCATGACCAGTACTCAACTTTATCTTTAAAGTGAATTTACAGATAAATTTTAACCTCAATAGCAATCCATAAAAAAGTCTATGTCTACATCTATGCTACAATGTAGTACTCGTCAAAAACCTTTTCAGCAACTCAACGAGGGTATTGTGGTGTGGTGTCTCTCAAGTGGTAAAGTACATCATACTTGTACATGTACCGTATTAAATACCATTAATTGCAACCAGATATCACACAATGAAGTTTATATCAGTTTGGATGACATCAATTTTGGTGACATCTTTGATGACATCTTCTCTATTGACAAAGAGTTAGAAGTTAAGTATAGATCCTACTACCTATTGTTAATTTATCAAAATGTAAAATACCGGTAATTGTCAAACTGCCAATGATTTCAATATTTTTATAATTTCTTATCTAGGGTAGCGCACCCGGTATTTGGTCACTTAAGGGGAAATCGCTCATATTTTGAATTTGTACCTCCTTTATTTGGCAATCTACACATCAAAAAATGAAAATTAATCTTCTAACAGGATTTTAAAGTCACTTAAAATATAGAATGATGCTAAGCAAACTATTTCCAAGAGAAGGAGGAGCAGTATTCGGTCGCGCCGCCTGGAATTTGGTCATGCGATTTGTGCGTGGTATCTCCGTTGATAAGGAGTGAAGCGTATTTGCGCACTATTATCACATAATTGCGCGACAAAGCACTGAATGTCAGTGTGTTGACCGAATACTGGACGAGCGCTACCGCATGGCAAGGGTAATGTATAAATACCTCTTACACATTGGCAAGTGCGTCATTTGCAAATTCGCTGCGATGGAGCGAACACGGAAGAGCTCCTCTTCACACACATTGAGGCTGTGCATTACTGTGTAATGAAGTACACGAGTACACTCCCAGGCTTACAGGTGAATACTGGGAGGCTGTGTTTTTTTGTTTTTTGTTTTTTTTAATGTTTAATTTTTTGTTTTTTGTTTTTTGTTGCCACCACCATACTTCGCCAGCAGTATCCCAGGTCTGTCTACAAAAACTCACATGATTTACTTTGATTTGCAGTTGAAGACGCCGATTTAATAATAATAATAATAGTAAACAATGCTGTTTTAAAAACTAAAAATGACAGAATAATCCATTTTCCTCCGAGTCCAAACAGAAATCCGGACATTTGGTCCCGGTTTCTGAGTGGTGAGTGGAGAGTGATTGAGCTGGGAAACATTTTTACCCACTGTACGGTACCATGCCGGCACACTCCTGGCCGCTGGGCACGGGAGAGCGTGAACAGTGCCAGGTGTCCGGGCGAAAAAAGAAAAAACATGGCGGCCGAGTATTCGAGTACGAGAAATCGTACTCGAGTAGTTGTCAACAGTGCGTGTACTTGAGTATTTCAGTACTCGTCGCAGCCTTAACACACATATTCATTGCACCAGCACACGGAGTTGTTTCACAATAGGCTTCTACATATGGCCATGCATGTTAGCGCATGTGCTAACAAAACCCGGAAGTGCAGAAAGTTGTGCGACACTGACCAATTTCAAGTTAAGTTGGAGATTTTTCCGGGGCACTACACCTGATTTAATTTTGAGAGTTAGGATAAGTTGTTCAGCTACTCGATTTGTGCAAGTTTCGTGGCTCATAAATTATTTTTTGAGTTTGTTACAGCTGTTGAAACTGCGTCTGATCGAATACTGGAAATTGACCAAAAACCGGGCGCGCTACCCTACATGATTTAGTAGTAGGGTCTAGATCTAGTACATGTGTGATGCCAAACTTATTTCAATACAAGATCTTCAGTTGTTCTAGACCTTGACTATATCCTCGAATTCAACATCGAAGAGAAAGTAATTACGTATGTAGACCTCTAGATCTATATTCATTATTCATAATCATACTGCGCATACGGACGCGGACCGTATCTATAAGTCTTAGTCTACTCTATATTTTTCCAAATACGCCCATTGCCGCGTATTTCTCTTCGCTATGTTGAATAAACATAGACTAGAGTCTATAGCCTAGGCCTACAAGTACAACATAGATGAATTGGTTTACGACAAGGAATCACCCGTCGAAGACACCTTCAAATTATAATTTCAAGTGGTTGACCGGATGCCAAGCTTAAGTCTAAATTTAACTGTTGGACCTGAGGTTCACTTTTAAACTTCAATTCAGTCTTCATTCAACTGCATAAATTATCGATATTTTGGGGGTTTCTCTCCCTCTGAAAGTGAAACTGAAACTGAAAGTGACTGATCCCAGGACCACATTTTTGCATTAATATTAGAACTTCACTTTGTCCTTGAATTGATCTAGATAAATGTAAATTTTTTCAACATTTATTTCAATATCACAAGAAGAGACTATTTTGAACTACAACAACGTTAAACTCCATGCAAATGGATGACTTGACAGCGAGTCTGGCTAGATCTAGTGAGTACAGAGTTAGTGCACAGACGCAGACAGATTGAGCTGAACGTGCATCAATGAATTGTCAATGCAATGGCAATGGTTTTTCACTACACGGTGACACAGACTGAATAAAAATGCGTCCTTGTTTAACAAATTTTACCTCTTTGGAAGGAAGATTCGATGGTATCAAGTTGTCATAGACTTCTAGAAATACATCAGCATTCTCCTGTTTGAGTGCCTTGGCTAAAAGAAGTACAACATTGTCCCAGTCCACCCCGAAATGTGTTTCACTATTTTGGTCACATCTTCCACTGTCTGCCATTTTAGGGTAGACAGTGTTGTTATGGCCTAACTGCGCATGCTCAGTACCATTACAAACGGGCTATCTCACTGTAAATGTACGTACGATATATGGCTACACCTTTACGATATGTCAGCTCTATCTAGCGAGGGACTACCAATTTTTTTTACCAGAACCCTTTAATACTATATTCCTACAAAATTAAAACAAAATATACAAAGTTTATCGTAGAAGACTCACCCATTAGCAACATGTATTATTCTCGACGATGGAAGATAAACGGAAATTAGATTTATTTGTCACGATTTAGAGTGGGTTTCCTCATAAGCCGTGACGATACAGCCAGATTTTGCCATTTATCGAGTGCAGTAGAGGAGGTGTGTATACACATTACTACACAGCTGCATTCACTATCTTTAGTACACGTACACCACTGATGCACGCGCCGAAACACTCCGCGAATGACTTCATGAAAAAAATGCTGTACCGGTCAAAGGTCTTTCTTCCACTCCAATAAATATCTACAACGAAACCAAATAAAAATGTATAAGTTGAAAAAGCTCTCGGTATGTGAAATTTGACCTTTCGGTTTCATGAAAAATTTAAATTCATACATAATGTATGAATTCAATGTGATGTATAATTTTTGTCTCTCTCAATGAATAAAGAGTTCGCAGTTGGGAGTGGAGAACCCCGGAAATGCACCAACCATCAACCATGGATGTACTTTCTCTCAGAATACAAAATTGTTTGAGTGGGCGGTTCTTGCTCAGTTCCTGATTTTTGTTATACCATAATCTGACCAATTGAATTAATATAATTACTTCCAGACGGGATAAAAATAGACGGATGGAGATAGAAAAAAGGAGGGGGAATAGGGTTGACTAACTTGACTATGCACGGCTTTTAACACTTCTATATTCTTTTGATACTGCATGCACGTGTAACTCGATCTGACTCGCTGCCACCTCAATAACTTACTTATAGACTAGGTTTAAATAACAAGGTGTAGCAGTATTTTTTTTTACAAGTTGTGAATATGCACCCGGTTTCATCTGTTTATTTGTGTTATCGATGGTCATGGAGGGGAGGGGGGGGGATCAGCTAGAGAATCGAAATTCAGTGTGTGCGCCGCTCCGCATGCCCGACGCCTGGAGCGCACTCGATGTCCCCGCACCCCCCTCCCCCACCCCACCACCACCATCCGCGGGATATAGTAGCCTACTGGTATCAGTTTCAAGCCCCTAAATCATTAGTTGCATGAACATCAGTGGTCCCCAATTGGCCGTCATACAGACGCGGGGCCAGTCGGTATTCGTCATGGGGGCCGCCCCTCCCGTCTCAAAAAGAGCTGACAAGCTAGGAAAGGAGGTGCTCAAAATCTCTGATGTTTTATTATAACCCCATGCTATATAAGGTTATCGAAAGTTTTGGGCTGCTTTCTGAGCGCTTATCAAGTTGCCACCCTGAGTGTTAGAAGTTCATGTTCCCCGTCATGTCCCCACAACCTCATCCATTCAAAATGGTCTAGCGACAGCGCAACCGGGGCTCTAAAAATATGATTTTTAATAGTCGAAACATGAAGCTCATCATTTAATAGCCAAATAACTTTCAAGTTTTGGTAAACCAGCCCGGCACGGTAAAAGGGAAATAAGTCAGATATGACCAAAAGCGTATAGCTTCTACATTCGAAATGGTTGCGGTGTTGAAAACAAATTTATGACAAGCTTGCTGAAAAAAAATTAGGTTTTTAAATTTGACTACAAAGTTCTAACAAGCAAAAAGAGGAGATTGTCATTTTCTTTTCTTTTTTGTTGTTGTTCTAAATGAGGGAGGGTTCCGGTTAAAAAGGGGAAAATGTGTCACATCTCAACGATACCCCGTATACTAATGCTGTGAACGCAACGGACAGCATGCAGGTAGATGAAAGATAATTTTGAATTCCATTATTAAAGATGTTGGAAGAATTGGCTATAGCATTTGAGATGATCTTTGCTGTATGTTTATTTTACGTTGTACCTAATTACTTGTATGTTAAGCGCTTAGAAACATTAAGCGCTTTATAAATGTAATGTATTATTATTATTATTATCTTTAAAACATGTCAAATCTTAATGACCGAGATTCTGAACAGTCGACATCATAAGACTAATGAAATCTAAATGTCATGCTTCCTTGGAGGATAAAAAGCTAAATCAGCTCAAAGTCGTCAGTTTAATTGCCCCTAGTGTGATTGTCTACAATTTTGAAGCCAAATTTGCTTTAAATGCACTGAATTAAAAGTCTGGTTGTTTGTATAATGCTAATTATTAATTATAACCCAAATCAGGAAGATGATGTTTAGATTTCCATATCTGATGTACGGTAATTGACATTTCTTTGAAAGTCGGATCACAGGAGGATCGTGTAATTTGCGATGGGCTTTAGGGTGGTGGATATGTAACCAACTTATCTAGTTTTTAACTGCATTCATAATATTGCAGAAAGTTATGAGTAGATGTCCCACAACCATCAATTCCTTAGTGATATCCCGATGAATAAAAATAGAAAATAAAATATGCGTTGTCGTGCATTACCTTCTTTGGGTCTGCCATGTTTTGTGTGTTTGTTAATTTTCTAAATGTTCGTTATTTTTAGACAGTGAGGTTAATTTTTCTTGTTCATCACTTCTTTTGCTAGAAGGGAGGAATAATACCCAACTATAACGACTTCCTGTCAGCAAATACAGGTTTGATTGCTGTCAACATATTTGTAACTGTAGATTCAATCATTTAAATCTTAAAGTGTTTGTAAACTTGAGAACGTACGTCCCCCCCCCCCCCCTCTCTGTTTAAGTTTGGCCAGTTATGCTCCCCATAATTTCATTGTTTTGTTATTGTAATGCTCCATCAGTTACTCAAACTGACTGCACGAAAAAGTAAAATTTAACAAGAAAGAAAAATTATAGACAAGTGCAAATGTTGTATTGATATACTTCTTTATTACCGTTTTCTTAGAAAATAACAATTCATGTACACATGTATTACATATTTACACAAAAAAAATACACATATAATGTTCAGGAATACTTGTCAAGTTTAAAAAGAGAAATGTTTGTGTAGCTTCATCATAAACCTTCACACAGGTAGGGAAATGTGCATGGAAAGATCTGGATATAGAAGTACCACAAGCAAAAATTGTCATAAAACAACTTGAATGTATTACTTTTATAGCTCATTAAAATAAAGTCATAATTTCCGTCCTTGAACAGTCACATATTCTTCATGAGGTTATATTTTTTTCCTGGTGTGTTTCAAGTGTTCATACCCAGTACCGGTACTTTAAATAGGTTACATATAGGTTACATAACTTCATATCATGAACATATTCACTTTAATTTATCTCACTTTAGATGTTGAATTATAGTTCAAATAATTTTTCAAGGCCAGCTTAAATCTAAAGAATGTGAAATACATGTATATTGAAATATTTAAACAATCAAACTAGCTCAAAAACTCTTTCAAGTTCCAACAATCACAAATATCTGGAAAATTGTGCCAAGTTAATTTGATAGTTTTATTTGCTTCACAATATTATCTTTTTTATAATGCTTAAATATGAGATTAATTGACATCATAAAGCGTTCTGCTCTCGGTGGTAATAATTAAAATTGATATGATGAACACTGCACTGAAATAAGTTCCAATGCTAGACTACTGTATAAAAATGGTGAATTTCACATTCCTTTCACAGTATTAATTCAGTTCAAATGTTGCCTATATATATCCATGGCGAAGTTTGTATCAATATTGTATGTATAACCTCAATCGCTGTCTGGTAGAAACATATCTTCTGCTTCTTGGAGGACACCAATAGGATCTGCAAGTTTGATCTGAAATTTTAAAAAGATGATAGATAGAGAGAGAGAAAATGTTACCGGTATACACAACACATGTAAGTGTTAAAAGGGAATTCCACCCTGGTATAAAGTAGGCTAAAAACAAAATTATGAGAGAAATTGATCAATTTAACAAAAACTGATAAAGGATAACATGTGTAGAGAGTTATTGAGTTTAAAGGACATGATACATGTATATCACATACATGTAGTAGCAACTCTGTGAAAATGAAATATGTTTGTAAGTCTTCCATGATTTCCAAGTGTATAATTCAATTTGAATTATACTAGAATAGGCAAATATCTATTTGTCCAAGTACATTACATTCAATACCAAAGGCAGGGTAGTTGAAATTGTCTAGAGCACTCAAACAGATCAAGATCAATTGCAAAAATATGCTTATTCAATCCTTCTCTAGATAATTTATCTCTTTCTTCTCGATAAGAAAGAAGAAATAAATATAAAGCAAGTTTTAAATGTTTAAAAAAAATTGTATTTCCATTAAAAAGTATATCTAGTCCTCAATAAAAACAAAGAAAGTTATCCTACCTCAGCGATCGGATATTGAGTTGGGTCTGGGGCGCCCTCTCTGCCGAAGTCTACCATGGTACCGCACTTGGCGATGTCATTGACCCAGACGCCCTCGTAGACTTGACCCTTGTCCAAGTAAAAGAACTTCCCTGGACCATTCTTCTTATGATCCTTCCACATGCCCTCGTAACGATTCTCTGATGCTGAAGGGAATAAACCAGGATAATTTTTATAACCTACAGTGCTCTTAAAGCAAACATAATTGCAAAGATTTTCAAAAAATCATTAATTCATGACCAAATTTAATACCCTAGTGTATTGGGGGCAGAACTCAGGTACAAACTATGTAATATGACACTGTAATGTTTGCAATAGCTCTTCAAACGGAGATGCACAAGGCAATGGAAATTGTCTTAGGTTGATTTTCTGAAGAAAATATGAAACTAATATAAATAATTCATTTAAACTTTTAAAAAATTATAAATCAGATACCTTCACAAGAAAATGACAAAGTGACATCAATATTCAGTATTTCCGATTAAATCTATGTGTAGCTTTGAATAAAATTAATCAGTTTCTTCACATCTTGCTGAATTCCAACCCCAAAATCATGTTAATTTAACATTTTACTGCATGTACAATGTAGACCTTGAAGATGGGATCAAACCTACTCCCTTTCAAAATCCATCAAAAATTTAAATACAGTAAATAAATCATCTATCTCTTTCTCTTGATTTGATTGTAAGCATTGACAATCTACTCATAAGTGAACACGTACCTACATTTTATGAGATTGACTTCATTTATATATTAATTGCATTTGAAGACCTCTTTTCTTAGCAATGATTCATAATATTCCCTCAAAAACAGAAAAACATACAGTGTATAATATTTATTTGCTTTTGTTGTTTGTTATTGCCATTTTACAAAAACTTTGATTATCCAATGTTCATTTTCATAATAGGAAATTCTATATGAATTCAATTCTGATGCAATGGTATGTTTTGGCTCTTCTCATATTTTGTTCTCATCACAAAAACAGTAGTGACAGAAATATCAAAGTGTGTAAACATTTTTTTCCCAAAGAATACATTTATTGCCACCCTATATCTATCCCTGACCCACACATCCTGCCTAAACCTACATGTACTTCCCACATCCTCCCAATCATTTAAAGGACATATATCAGGGTCTAAACCATGTACCGGTGCATTCATCTATCAAAATGATCCAGGATTTTCTTGTGGGAGCACAATTGTGTCTGAAAATTATGTGACAAGCAAAATAAAAAGGGTAATCCTTTTCTTCCTGCTTTCTTCCTTGTCTTGTATTTTTATTTTTTATGAGGGGGGGGGGGGGGGGCATGTCCCCTATGCCCCATGGATCCAGCACTGATTGCATCACCTGATGTTAACTTTCCAGCAAATGGGACATTGTAAAAATACCCTAATTCCTATTGTTATGTTATGAAAAAATCAAATGGGGTCTTTTTCCCCCTTTTTTTATCTGGACTATAAATGCATTTAAGCAGTGCATGAGTAAAAAAACATTTGTAAAAAATGAATGGAAGAAACCCCACCCCAAAAAATTGTAAAAAATGAATGCATGCAAGAACCCCACCCTCTACATCAAATTATTATCCTAGAACCATGTCCAAATAACTAAACAAGGATAACATACCTAATCTGAGCATGCCCTGTCCATTCCTCTCATCATTGTACCACTCTCCCTCATACGTGCTTCCGTCTGCAAAGTACATCCTACCCCATCCACTGCGCTTATCTGCATACCATTCTCCTTCATAGTATTCTTCTGCTGTGTAGAAATGTGTTCCATAACCCTGAAGAGGATGGAAGAAAAATTATCATTCAATTTAAATGTATTTAAAAAAAATTATGTTTGCATTAAATTCTTATTTTCTTTTTCTTACTTCTGAGGCAACATTACTCATCATCACCTGATTAAAAGTATAAAACAAACAAATATATATATTTTAGATTTATACAGTCCATATTTAATATATTTTGATACAAGACTTAATCTAAAAGCAATTTTTATAAAAGAGATTTATATTTGGTTTGTAAATGCCACAAAATGGCAATTTGTTTATTAGTTGTTTCACACTTCATAATATCCTTAAATGCACATTTGGTAACAATGCTTGAGTTGTCCTGACATACATGTCATTCCTGTAAATACATAAATACATGTAAATACAATATTACTACAAACTGCACTCATTATATTCTCACCAGAATGAGATTCACAATTTGTAAGTAATATACCAGAATCAAATTCAGATTATCATACATTTGTAAAACAATTACATGAAAGTATGAACTTATTAAACTCCAACGTGTATAGAAAAACCAACTGTCTATAAAGACCTCAGTGCCCCCCCCCCCCATCAATACTTTTCACTGAAACCTGTATATATATGGCAACCTGCTTTTATTTTTTTCTTCTTCCCCTTAGCAGTCTTTTCTCCCTTGAGGACTATTCTTCCTTTTTCCCTTGAGCAGTCTTTTATAAAGGTTTCTCACTTACATGTCTCTTGTCATTTTTCCAGCCACCAGAGTAGATCCTTTTGTATCCTCCTCCCTCCACAGGGGTGCTTAATGTTCCAAACCCGTTCCTCTTTCCAACCTTCCAATCCCCATCGTACAGATTACCTAACTTCTTCCACTTGTAAGTTCCTTTGCCTGTTGAGAGAGCAACAAAGTTTCATTGCAATTATTAGTCACAAATTGGTTGAAGTAGTGAATAGAATAGAGAAGGAGGGGTAATTTTTTTCTCATTTGATATGTGAGCCTACAATACAGTTTATTCAGCTTTAATCATAGTAGGGGTCATACAAATTAAATTTCATACACAAAACAGATATTCATTTCTTTCTAGTAGAATCTATTCAATGTAGAATAGTATGGCTTGTATGGATCCATCTTCAATTGATATTTCTGAAGACACTTTGATACTCAGTGGGCCGTCATGAATAATATTTCATGACCATGATCATGAATAATGCATAATGCTTTAACATAGTCTACATCAGTACTTCTTCAGTGTACATGTACACATCACCAAAACATCATCAAAACTTGTATTGCTAAATAACTTACATTTAATACATGTATATGTACATGTTTACAGACTGGAACTGTTTACCAACATCCATAGGTAACAATATTACAAGACCCAACATTTTATGTGAAACGGCATTTTCAATAGCATTATTTTATGTTACACACACACCCAGTCCGACTCATTTCACTCCATTAAGAGTGTTGAGCTGTATAATTTCAGATTCAGATTTAGAACTTTGTATCAAAATCATCTAAAAATAATTTTTAAAGAGATACATGTGTTTATCTAGTTGTACTTAGATTGGAAGCAAATCATTGTCATAAATTAAGAGAAAAGTCATCACAGTGCTTTACCTTCAGACTGATCAGCCACATAAACTGCTTGAAATTTCACCTTTAACTAGTCTAAAAGTAAAAGACTAGACTAGGTCTAGAGTAAGATGATAAACAATTTATTAATTTTATTTTTACTGACAGTCTCACCACAGTCGCAACAAAAAATCTTGAAAATCAGATGTAGTACGGTAGACTAGTAGTCTAGTTAGTAGTACACATTTCATTTCCTGCTTTTAATCTCACCATGTTTTTTGTTGTCCAGCCATTCTCCAGTGTACTCGTCACCATTAACAGAATAAACCGTACTCCTGACACCCTTTTTCTGTGCCTTGTAATCCGAGTCATGCCACAGAGGTTGTGTCTTCCTTGGAACTTTTTGATACGGCATCTTTCCTGAGCTAAGATTATCCTTTCTATTGATGACGTTGTCACTGCTAGCTTGTGGGTGAACAAGTTTTACCTAGCTAGAGGGCCTACTGCGGTATATCCACGCCAGTGAACCTGGCTGGCGATAGGCTCAGCAATCCGATGGTGGGCGGCGGAGCTGGAGTTTAGTTTTGGCTCCACGTAAATCCGTCAAATTCCGACAACAGAATACCATCTAATTTGATACGAATCCCACACAAATGATGAATAATATCAGGTTCTAATTGTATGGATTGCCAGCTAAAATAAATGAAGTAAAGAGCTATTCAATTGATCTTATATATTGTCGGATTGTCTTCTCGTCGGAGGATTGTAACTACAGTGCCGTGCATTGTTTAGGTCAAAGGTTACACAGCTATGGTAACGCGCACCTGTACTGTCTTGGGTTTTCGCCATAGACGTTTTCGCATATAAGTTTTGGTTGATAGGCCCATCTCGATGTATAAATGAATTAAAAGCGGGGAACTCCCTGAAGACGGTCGCTGATCATGAAGGAAATAAAACTTTGAAAACGTAACTTTACTTTTTATCACATCATTCTAAGGAGGATGTTGTTACAGGATACGCCTACAAAAAACAAATCACTGAAGAAACTCTTCAAAGGATTTTTTTTCCTTTTTTCTAGATCACCCCCACCCCTCACTTAAAGTAAGAGTGACACAGACTGAATTCACTATTTCACTGCTATGCTATGAAATTCCTTTTGAATTACACATTCAGCTGATATTCGAGGGAAATTTGTACATTAACATGAAATTCTTATTATTCTTATTGAAAAAATAAACAGTTTCCTATACACGTTTATCTCTCTGATGACATATAGTATTAAAACAAAATTGCAATCGCGTCAACTGATGAATTTTGATGGCGTCGGGGGGGGGGGGGGGGGGACATCCGAGCCAACGGTGATTTATGTGATATACAAATTCAGCAAGAAAATCACTTTGGGGAACGGGGGCGATGCATCAGGAGTTTTATTCTCATTTTAGTAAATTGTATAATTCCGGTTTCGATGACAGTTTTGTATAAGATAGGCCCTATACTAGTATCTGGCGTACGCAGGGGGGGGGGGGGGTGGAGGACCCCCCCCCTCATTTTTGTTAAATAAAACAAAAATAATTATGCTAATGGGTGACCTAAAAATTTGCAATCCATGCCCCCCCCCCCCCGCCCCCGGTCTCGGCCATGAATTCGTATCAAACAAATTCTAAAACTTTGTTGGCATATTAAATTTTGTACTGACAGCCGGTCAAGAATTCTCAAAGTTGCGCAAAATTAAAAGTATAGCATATCGTTATATAATATTTATTGTTATTTTTATCTTATTAATTTATTTTTTTGTGAACAGAATTTAGCGTACTTTTCACAAATTAATGATGGCGCCATTAAAACTAAAACATCAACAACAATAAAATCAGCTTGGTACAAGCCAGTCGAGACGGGTACATTTCGATCGGTCGATCTGCTCATCTCTGATCTTTTTAGTAGTTCAGCGCCATCTTTTGACGAGTAGATGCACCATCCACAATTTAAATGGTAGACGCGGTGGGTAGTATAATAGAGGCATATGCTTCTAAAAAAAAAAACTCAGCCCTAACACTAACCCTAACCCTGACCCCAACCCCAACCCTAACCTAACCATTAATCATAATCCTAACCGTACCTGATCCACTCGGATGTATACTGTATGAAAATGGATACAAATCAGCTTTAGAAAGCGTATTTGATTTGATTTGATTTGATTTATTGGTTTCTGCATCTTTTTCTTTTTTTCATCATACCTTTTTTCATGAACATAATATGGTTTGATACTATATGTTAAGTGTATATAATTTTGTACTGATAATAAACGAAATTAAACAAATATATTGAATGTATAATTAACATATATTAGATGCAGAAGGGCTACAGAAATAAGCAAAGAAGCTTGACGTCTGCGGCCCGCAGCCCTCAACTTTAATAGATACAACAATAAAGATAAAAATAAAAAAGAGTGACTTGCAGAGAAGAAAAGGGAAGGGGGAGAAGGAGCGTTGGTAATAATACAATAAATCTCATACATCTGCTGATTGAATGCAGGTTCATTCATGAATGGATAAAGATAGTCTCTGAGACATTTGGGTCCGGTTCTTTGGAATAATGTAAATTGTAACCCATACAATGTTTCATTTGATAATACATTCAAGAGGCAATATAAGAAACGTTTAATTTGTTCATATTGATTACTTTTAATTTGTTAGATATCTCTTTTTTAATTATCTTGTGGAAGATACCATGCTGGGAGTGCTCTTATATATGTTTGTTTATATTCATGTTCTCATGTTCTCATATTTTATGTTTTTATTTAATTATTGTTTGTTCTATAAATGTTATAATAATAATAATAATAATGTAAAAACACACATAATTATACATAAACTACAGGTATACACACTCTAACGAGCCACAAACATAGCTTTCATTGACATTGTGTTCACCATTTTCCATTTATCCACTTATGTTTTTTAATGTATAGTCTGTCATTACCGAATTATATATTACGGTCTACTTTTCCACTTTCTTCACCTTGAAATGTCATTGTTTAATAATGTTTTTTTTATTGCCTATTGACTCTTCATATATATATTGTTTTAATTGATGTTGGAATTTTGAAATAAATGATTTGAATTGAAATGATTTGAATTGAATTTGAACGCCCCCGGTGCGCGCATATTTTTTTTACACAACTGTTTAGCCATTTTCGCGAAAAAATTCCAAGAAGTGCTCTGGTGAAAGAGTCTAGGTCGTCAGCGCACTGTGTGCAAGCACATACACCCAGGGAAGGGAAGATGATAGAAAGGGGAAAACACGGATAGTGGAGAGGATATGGAGAAGGAAAAACAAGGAAATACGTAAGGAAAGAGAAGAGGATAAGTCAAAGGAAGAACATAGAAATACATAATTGAAGAGCTAAGAGGATCATAGATCTAGACTAAGGAAAAACAGGGAAATACATAAAGAAGGAGAAAGGGAATCTATCATATTAAAACAAAGAACTAGATGCATGACGAAGGAGAAAAGGATAGATTGAAGGAGATACAAAGAAATACATAAAACAAAAGAGAAGAGGTTAGAATAAAAGAGAACAAAAGAAATACATAACGAAAGAGAACTGGGGGATATAGATTGAAGGGAATTAAAACAAAGTAAATTAACGAAGGAGAAAAAGGATAGATTGAAGATTTAAAAAAAATACATGGCAAAAGAGAAGAGGATAGATTGAAGGAGAACACAAAAATGCATAATGAAAGAGAAGAGAGGATAGATAACCCGAAACAAATAACGAGTATGTACACAAGTCATGTACAACTCCAGCAATCCAACAAAACTGCTAAGGGTAATGCTAGACTCTGTCTCTAGTCGTTTGTACAGTATATTTGACTGAAGTGGCTAAACAGTTGTGTAAAAAAAATATGCGCCCCCGGTGCAGTGAATCCTGAGACTATTACGTTTTTCCCCAGTTTGTCATATAGGCCTAAATGGTTAAAAATCAACAACCCGAAGTATAAAAAAAGGTACATGTTCAAGTATATTTAGATACTTACAGAATACAATTTTTTTTTTAAACATGGTCTACTTTTTGTACAAAAATGTTCGTGACGCCCATATACATGTAGCTTGATCGACTGAGGCTTCCCCCAATCAGGGAGGTGTCTTCCCACCTCCCTGCCCCAATTGACAACACTCAAATAGGTTTAATCAGGGAACTCACATGCCCTGGTTAATGAATACATCCACGGTTTCCATGCTAAACAAAACAAGTGGATTTAATTTTGTTGGTGATCGGTTTGAAGCATTAAACACATGTATGTATTAAAAATAGTATGTGTGTGTAAGTTTTCGCTTAGTGGCATGGCAGTAGATACGCAACTAAGTCATTTGGTATGTGGATTTAGTATTAGACCCATTACTATATCCGCCTAATTATTGCCTCATTTACAATGAAGTACACTGCACTGACTGACCGTGCGTAATTGGTCAGCTGATATCGATATCGCGATCAATTTGCATTAAATTTTCAAAGCGACGAAATTGTTTACGGATGCTTAGGAACACACGGATTCGTATTTTGATTTGAATTTAGAAAGATGGTGCAGTTTTCATTGTCAAACCACCAAGAGAATTAGAAATCAAATGTAAGTGTTTACACGAAATAACTTGTTGAGTTTATTTTCTGTATTTTAGTCTTATTTTCGTTTGACATAAACCATACACGGAATTTGGGAGTGCGACGATGTCTTGACTCTCTTGTGCTCAGTCCGAGTCGTTTCTTTCAACGTGAGTACCGGTACGTGTTGCTGCGCGCTGCAGCCTGTCAATAATCTAAAAATCAAAGAATTGTCGGAGGACTGTCTCAAAAGACACAAAATAACACCGATATTTTCTTTTACTCTTCCTCGAGCATGTTATAAACAAACGTCTACCTTTTAAACCTGTATTCCAGTAGTTTAATACTATGTGAGCCGATGACTGTGATATGTCGTGATGTTGTGATGAGAAGTTAGAATAGAAGTGTCTGAGTGAGTGTAGATCTAGGTCTACATGTACTACTACTAGACCTATGTAGATAAGTAGATTGTCAAGATCAGTTCTAATCTAGATCTAGATCTAATGACCAATTTTTCTAGTGTATTATAAATAAACTTGTTTTAATATTAATCAGTAGAACAAGAACAAATTAAGACATATGAAGAAAGTTGGTGTTGAAATGTTTCCTGCTATAAATAATGTACACAGGACTCTAGTCTAGAAGAATGTAACTTTCATTCCAATAACTTGTAATAATTTACATCTTCTAGCCTACATACATTGTACAGTACATGTAAAGACAAATGTTTCTTGATTCTCTTGAGCCCTCTTATGCAATTTTAATTTTATATACTAGAATTTAACAAAAGATGAACTCTTATAGATGATCTAAGTTATAATGTATGGTTCTGAGTAGACCGAAAACTTCAGTCTCTCTAATCGTCGGTTGTTCCACTGAGACTACGTCTGGCTCCACTAGACCTCCGATTATAGAGACTGAAGATTGTCCTATCGGGACTGTACGGAACCAATAGTTCGGTTCGGCAGGACCGCGATGAATGAGATATGCTACGAGATTTTCACTCTTTACATCCTCACACATGCAACAATATGACAATAATTAGAGTCTAATTAAAAATAACATATAGACTACATGTATATAGCTTATTTGACTTACGATAGCTTGCTCATTTAGATCCTAAATTAATGATTAATCCGAGAAAGTCTCGTCGTCAACATTATCCGTCTTGGTTTTAGTTGATGAATATTAATTTTTTCTTTTCGAACGTCCAATAGCTACCGTAGTACATACGAGTTGGCCCGGCTTGACCAACGAACTCCCACGAAACGAGTGCTCTGATTGGCCATTGGCTATGTTTTGGTAGGTGGACCCGGAAATATATCGGCCGCCGGGTAATATTTCGAATGCATGAACGTAAGTGCTTCGCGGTTCTGAGGAACAAATTGGATAATTCATATAAGTAAGTCCGAAAATTTCACATTCTATAATAGGTTAGCAAATTTTGAAAACTGTAATTAGGAGATATATAGACTGACCTAATTTACATCTGATTTAGAAATCAGGAAATTAGATCTAAATAAAGAAAATCGGGGGAGAAATGTCGGTAACGAAAAGCTTCTTCTTCTTATCGAGTCACTACACAAGTCCCGTCCAGTGGTCCACACAGGCTTTGGCACGGAAATTAACGGCTTCCAGGTCATCTTGGGTGCATGGCTCTGGCAGGAGTGGGCAGACTAGCAGGTGTTCCATTGTCTGTTCCTGGCCGCATTCACATGCCGTTTGTTCGTCTCCTAGACCCCACCTCTGCATTAGGACTCTGCATCGACCGTAGCCAGTTCTTAGGCGGTTGAGGCTAAGCCAGGTAGGCCAAGTCTCACTGGAGCCGGTTGCGAGGGATTCCTTCGGGCTGAGGGAGAGTTTATGTGGAGTTGTCTGAAGGTGGTTAGACCACAAAGTCATCCTTTGGTTGTGAGGGCTAGTATTAAGAGGCTCTACCGAGTGCAGAAAGCTGTGTCTGGATTTGAGCCGCTTGCCCACTGGCTGTTGTTCGAAGAGTGGGTGGAGTGGATTGTTTTCTTGTTTGTCCTTTTCTTTCTGGGACAAGACCAACCTTCTGACGTGTGGAGGGGCAATACCGCAGAGCAGGTAGATGTCTTCTACTTTAGTTGGCCTTAGGCATCCAGTGATCGCTCTGCAAGATGAATTTAGAGCTGGGTCAATCTTGGGTGCATGGGCCGACCTACTCCATACTGGTGATGCATACTCCGCAGCAGAGAAGCAAAGCGCGAGGGCTGTCGTCCGGATTGTTCTGGCATCAGTCCCCCAGTTGGTGTTGGCTAGCTTCTTGAGGATGCTGTTGCGGGCTCCAACTTTTGCCTTTGTGTTGGCGATGTGGTTCTTGTAGGTAAGGGAACGAAAAGCTGTTACGCTGTGGCTCTAATTTACCCCCACGGTACGAGATCTCTGGGTTGCCATCTGTATTGGGGAATGACAACAAATGTCAGTTTTATTAAAGAAATGACCCAAATCAGATGGTTATTGCTGTCTAGGTTCTGAGGTGAGGGCATTATTTAGTGAAATTTTGAATAGGTCTAGTCTAGTGATTAGTGAACATTTCAGAGTTGCTAAAAACATTTTGTAATTTTATAGATTGTGAAATACAAGAGTATTGTTGCTACCTTAAAGCATTTAATCAAAAATGTGCAAATCGTTACCTATTTTGCACAACTACATTGCTGCCGCTACATTTGTCATACTGCATTTTTGCTGCTCTCTTCAGAAGGAAAAAAGTTATGTCTTTATTATTTCATGCATTCTGCACAGAGCAAAGCACAGAGTCAACTTTACACATGAAAATGAAAATTACAATTTGGACAGCAAAATATGGTAATACTTTTCTTAAGAAAAAACATAAACAACAAAGACATACAGTGTATGTAGAAGAGTAAGAACACACTTTCACACAGCACACAGTCACACACATACAAAGTAATTTTGGTAGTGTTTCATAGAGCTGTCATATCGTTTTATGAGATTTATTTATTTCTGGTATACCAAGTATTATTGAACAAGAGTGCCAACACAGCCTTATCATTTCCTGCATTTGCCTTTATGACATGATTAAGCAACAATTTAATTGCTATATTCTCAGATATTCACCTATTTCGCTAACCCCTTGTCTTTCTATCCATCCCCCCCCCCCCTCTCTCTCTCTCTCTCTCTCCCTCTCTCTCTCTCTCTCTCTCTCTCTCTCTGTGTTTCTCTCTCTGTCTCTCACCACCTGTTTTGTCATTCTTCCAGCCCTCTCTCGATGTACTGCAGTCTGACTAATTTGTCTTTCTCCCTCTCTCCCTCCCTTTCTACTTGGCTGCTTTATCTCTTCCTCTCTCACTACCTGATCGCTCTGTTAGTGTTTGTTATGTTTTCATGAAGATCGAGTCACTTATTACGCAAGTTCTGTCCATTGCTTTTTCCAGGTACATTACGACGGTGGTCTCTCCACAGCTGCACTAAACCATGTGAACCGTCCTGTCTACTGCAATACCTTGTGTTAGGATTAGTCCTCTATAATCCATCATGTTTGGCTGGAAGAAAAAGAAGAAGGAAAACAAAAAGGACACTTCGTCATCGTCCTCCGGAGGATTCTCATCACTTAACAACCTCCTCAAGGGTTCGCCCAAAGCAAAGAAGGGGAACAAGAATGGCAAAACTGATATCCTCAGCGACAGTCAGACATTGGGGAGTAACTCCCCACACTCAGTCACAGACCGAGCCCCTGTGGCAAACTCTCTCACCTCGCTCGTCTCTAACGGCTCAGCATCTCCATCCCCAAGCAACAACTCCAACCAGATTACGTCCCAGTTTGTGCAATCCTTGCCACCCCCAGAGTACTCGCTGCGTGTGCCTCCAGACCATAGCCGCCTGACATCACAGACCAGTAAGTCCGATCACCCCTCCTTGCGTGCCACCTACACCCCACCTCCTGGATACGGGGTCCCGAAGCAGGGTGGTCGTCCAGGATCCTCTGCGTCCGAAATATCTAATGTTTCCAGACTAACTGCCCCCAGTGCTGAAGGAATAGATGTGGACTTTGCTGGTGCAGCAGAATCAAATGATGTTTCAAGGAGAGCAGACAGGAGCAGTCATCCGTCCAAACCTCTTGAGGATTGGTCTGAAGGGGAGATTCTTCAATGGTTGAATGACAGTGACCTGGAGTACTTTGCTGATATCTTTCAAGGTATTCATACTTTTGTCTTTTTACAATGTACACAAATTATTAAGTTTTTGGTGTAGTACTTTGTGGTTCATATCATTTCTGTGTTCGGGGTCCTGTAGGGCTGGAACAAGTTGGCCGTCTGGTGTCATCTGCGTATGAAATATTCAATGCATAACCGATGTGTCCACGAATAGCACTAATGTCCTTTGGCAAGACATTTATCTACATTTGCCACTCTCCACCCAGGTGTTTAATGGGTACTGGCAGGAAGGAATTCCTCGAATGTTGCGAGCACTGATACAGAAACCTAGCAGAGCCGGGGTAATATTGTAGCGCCTTGAGCACCTTACGTGGTGGATATGTTTGAAATATCTTTACAACAAAAAGACCAACATACAGTCTTAATATTTGAGGAAACAATGAAGTTGCATTTATCATCGAATATGAACCTTGATAATGAACTTCTTGCAGGCAGTAGGGTATTAAAAGTAGATGATGTACATGTAGGGGTCATTCCAAGTTTCCAACGCACATGTATGTGCATGTTACTCATTTTCAATCATTTCAGGTTTAGCAACTTACATTTTGTACTTACCCTCTTAATTCTTAAATGAGGACACACTCTGAACAAAATCAACAGATTCTGATGCACAATTTAAAAACTGAAAACATCTTTTCTTTAACAAAACAATAAATAGTCACTTTAATATATACAGTACATGTTTGTTCATGTATTGGAATGTACCAACTATTTGTGTGTTATATTCACAAATTGCATGCATGTACATTGTATTTTGTCTGTCTCGTTGGCTTCCGTTTCCTAACCTAATACTAATACTTTAAGTCTCAGAAGCTCAGCTTTAGAGCATGTGTCATGGTGGAGATATTAAAAGAAAAAGATTTGTAATGGTTTATACGACAAATGATTTTTATCATCTGAAGGATTTTCAAGTGATAGTCAAAGTGATCAGATTATACATCGATCTATCCTGAAATACTTGTTACAAGCACATAAGAATGTTTTAAAGGGATCGTTTAACAATGTTAAATCTGAGATACACGGCCCTACATGTTATCAGTGTTTGTGATATGGTGTAATATTGAAGCCCTAAAAAAAATTCGCTTCAAAATGATCAAGAAGTGCCTCAAAAAAGTAAAAATCTTTGAGTGACCGGTTTTACCATACTCATTTTCCCCAATAGACTGTAGTGTTATGAAAACCGTCAGGCGAACGGTTTTCAAAATTTGTAATTCCAATCATAAATATCTTGATAATCAGACAGGCGATCGGCTTGTAAAAGTCATGGGTTTCCTGACTGACCTAAAGTTTTATATTTATCATTGCATCATGAGCTAAATCCAGAATTTTGTTTCAGAATCTGAGACAAAGTTACCGGATCCCTTTAAGATAATGATTATCAATGACATATATTGAAGTGAGAAATTTACTTTTATTTGTTATTATTATTATTTCTTCTTTTAAGTGTGTTAACAATGACTAACCATGCAGGGAGAATTGAAGTCACTGTGTTTTCTTAGTCATTTTGCTATTTATGCAAAATGTACCTTGATAATGTGTCATGCAATATGCATTGAATGTCGATATTAAAAGACTGTGCAATACATTGATTATATTGTAGCGGAAAGTAAGTAGAATATATTTGATTTCTTTAGTTAAATGTACTTGTCCCATGGGCAAGTATTTGAATGTTTTTTTTCTCTATGGTATGGCATAGGAGATAGATTGAAAAAAATTGTTTTCCAATGCAAAGATGTTGTAGATAATTAGTTGTAATCATATTATAAGATTCATTGACATACTGTACATGTATGTACATGTATATGCCTAGAGTCTGAAGATGGTTATTTGAAATCAGCTTTCATGTATATTGTATGCTGTAGTACTAAAGATTGTTCAGATACAATTTGAGTTACTTGACCTTGTAATTTTTGCAAAGTACCAGCAAATTTCAGTGAACCCTTCTTTTCCTCCTACATGTACTCTTGTATGCCCCCCCCCCCCTCCCCCTCCTCCCCACATTGAGCAGCTATGATTACAGTTACCTTTTTAAGTCAGTGCAAGTTATAATGACCTAAATCTTTTTGTACCCATGGGTTTACTGTAATTCAGGTCATTGAATTTTTCTGCCCAGGTTTACCCTATTTTTCAATTTCCAGGTCAGGTAATCCTTCACCTTTTGCATTGAAGCCTTACAGAAGTAAATGAGATACTTCCCAAATCAATTATTTCTTGTTGTAATTGCCATGCTCGTGAATTTTGCTGTATGGAAGTCATTTCTTAACTGGGTGTACAACAAAATTATTTGTTTGTACATAGTCTAGATTTAATTACATACTTTAGTTTTGGATTTTGATTATCAGTGTATGCCAGCCTTATACATGTATCTATAAATTCAGTAGAAGACTTCCCTCTCTCCACCTCCCTCCACCTCTCTTTTTCTCTTTGTGTATTCTGAGCACTCTCTTTCAGAATATTTTTAATGTTTCTAATACAATAAGTGTTCATGGTGTGTGTTGTTTTTTGTTTTTTTGGGGGGTGGTTTTTTTTAAATTTTTTTTAAGGGGGTGGTTTCTTTTTTTTTAATTTTAAGGGGGATTTTTTCTTGTTTACCTAATTTTCTTAGAATCTCATTCCGTATTTTGTTTCCCATTAATTCATGTTATAGGTTGTGATATTGATGGAGATTATATATCCCAAGTAACTGAAAATGATCTTGGTAAGTATTGAGATTACTTTTACATTGTGTTTTCCTTCATACTCTTATTAAAAAGTATGCTTTCTTCTACTTGATTTTAAGTATTTCCTAAATGTTTTCCTTTTTTGTTCTTTAAATATTTTTCTCTTTAAGACAGACCTCAATTGATTTTCTTCCGATTTCATAACAACTTTTGGCTGGCTGATGTAGTGAAATTCATCAAATATATATATTTGGGAAGAATTTAGAATTATAGGATTGGTAAATCGTGTAGATGAAGGTTATTCATACATGTATATTAACATTGTTTTTTTTTTTCTTAATTTATTTCATTGAATCATGAAAATTTGCATTAAGAAATAAATGAAAGTTCCTCAAAGTTCACTAATTGGGACAAACAAAGGCAAAGTCATGACTCAGAAGAAATATACATGTAAGTGATCTTGGTATTGACTATTTTTAAGAATTCTCATATGGGGTGTAAGAATGAATAATTGGAAAGGAAATGTTAAGGAGGAGCAGGAAACTATACTCTTATTAGAGTAAATCTAATTATTGTAAATATTGTTTGTTAAACATGGATTTATTAGTAATAAGGCCTTGATAAACAAAAACTCCAGAAACAAATTTTAATGAGAACAGCTTATTATCTGACAGGTCTGATAGATGCCTGTTTGATGATTGTTATTTATAGCAAAGTGCTGTTAATCTGTTTTCATACTTTATTTTAACTACTTATGGATTTTATTAATCTTTGATTTATTTAACCTTTGATTTATTTAACCTTTTTGTTCTTCAACTGTTTTTTTATTGTAAGCCTATCAAGTTATATGCACCCTGTTTCACACACTTTCCATTCCTCTTTTTTCATCTTTGAATATTTTTAGTTTTTAGATTATATATATAATCAGTTCATACAATGCAGTGATTTTGTTATTCTCTTGTAGATCAAGATTCAAAACAAGAATATTATAAATTTTGAATTCCGTCATAAAATGTTTTCAATGAGTGACTGATATAAAGTAGGAAAAATATACCCAAAATTTTGCTTTACTTTATATGAAGCATATTTATTGGTAAGTCAGCATTGACCATGTAGTGCATGTACATGTAAAGATATCTGCCAGTATTTTGTTCTTTTATTTTGCCAGCACTTTTACTTCTGCTTTACCCTTCAAATATGATAGGAAATATTGTACATACCAGTTGTAGATAATGTGAATTAAATATGAAGTACATGTATTCAGCATCCATTTATTATTTTGATTTGTTCATTCCCTATTTTTTCAGTTGACTTGGAAGTTGAGGAAGGTGACCTCAGAAAACAACTCTTGAGAGAAATCACAAACCTCAAGCAAGAGCTTTTGCAAGATTCAAATGCTCAGGTAACCTTTGTTGTGCAAATATGTGTAGTGGGATAAATAAGAACAAGAATAGTGTTTTGAGTCTTGACATAAATGTATGACGGATAAAACAAGGAAAGGGCCTGCTTCGTTACTTTGTAATATGTCATAAGATTTCAACATTTTGATCCAATTCTGGTTGCTCATTTGTTCTCTTCTTTTTTTCTTCTTTTTTTTCTTTTTCTTCCTCCTTCATCTTGCTCTTCATCTTCTTCTGTTTTGTCTGTTTAAAAAAAAAAAAAAATTGTTTATATGATATCAGATTCCTACTACTAGCCCTTGTTTATACGCTGACAGACTATCATAGTGATTCTAGTCATGGTTTACACATTTAAGCAGAGAATAGTGTACTTCCTTGTTCTAACAACAAGTCCTTCTAAAGAGTAGATGCAAAGAGCAAGATTGTAAGAGAAGATGTTGTGTGAAAGGAAGTATAAGAATTCAGAAGCTTTGTCCTTGATTTAACCAAATTCCTCTTGAAAGAAAGCCTTCCTCAATCATCACTGTTATCCTCATTCTCACACATGCTTGATGCAAGCTTTAATTAAAGGTGCAATTTTACATTAAGGCATACATTAAGCTGCATTTACACTGCAAGCAAAAATCATCAACATTTCTCACATTCTGTTGTTTTTTCGGCAAACACAACAAAAAACTGAAATTGAAAAATCCAGCTCTGGAGTGTGTATTTTTTTTAAACGCAGGCAGAAATTTTACTGATTTATGCAGAGTAAATAATTAATGCCTGCTCTCTAAAAATCTTCGGATGATTCTGTTCTTTGGTGACGTGACTCTCCTCGCTTTTGTGCAATTGCATGCTGAGCAGTGACAAGACGTGCATGCGCACTACTCACCAAAGAAGCAGAATATAAACATACAAATGTGTTTTTAACGGGTTTTCCCCAGTAGTGTAAATGGCAGTAAAAAAAAATTCAATAATTTTTCTAAATGGTGTTTTGGCTGTGTAAATGGGCCTTTTGCCGTGGAAGCAATATTGAAATTTGTATCTATTTTTGCCTTTTTGGGAGTATATTTTTTGTTAAGTACTGTTGCAAGGTTGAAGGAAACTTGTTCATTGTTTTGTAAGGTCAAATTTCATGTCAGTTACATTGACTTTTCTAGAAGAATAAGAACAAATCTATTCATACTGTGATTCAACTATCTCAAAATTATCATCACTGTTGAAGGAGTGATTTTGAAAGAAAGTCAGTGAGTTTATCCTTTTTCCCTTAGCTTTGTGGAAAGACCTATTATTATAATTCAAATTAAACTATACCCTTCATGTACTGGTAAATGGAAATGACTTTTAGAAAGAACTGGCTAAAGCTCATTCTCAAAAGTATATTGTAGAATAAATTGTGTTTTTTTTTTTACTAATAAATTGCAAACGTCTACAAAAGATTGCTTAAAAATCCCATCAACTGAAATGCTCCATCATACATTAAAGGATTGATCAGCCTGATTTAGATGTACTTTGTCTATCATATTCATGTGGCAAATATTGTTTAGTTGTAGTCCAGAAGATTCAATCTACATGTAGATTTGCTGTATTCATTTACAATAATGTTTCCTAATTTAAACCAGAACTGCATGCTCCTTTAAATAAGTCAATATCTAATGTCTCTTTACTAATCGGTTGACATTGGCAGACAGCGAATGAATCATGTATCATAGATTACTGGGATTGTCATCTTTAGGCCCGGCCTAAGCAGTCTCTATGACAGGGGTTCTTAAAAGCAAGGTATTTTTAGTCCACTGCCTTGTCATGAATGTCATATTCTTAGCCATATCTAATTAAAGGAAAGGGATTAGAGATGAGTGTACATGTGCATGCACTTGTGTTGATGGATAAGGGCTCTAAATGGATGGAGCTCCAAACTTCTTTTGAAGGGATCAGTGTGTGGCTCTTGATCTCTCAAATCTGTTTCATTTTGTAATGTCTTTCACTGTTTAAATGCCTCTATCTGTCTCTGACTCCTTCTGTATCTTTCTCTATCTCTCTACCTCTCTTATTCTGTTTGTCTATCTCTTACTTCTTTTTGCCCCCCCCCCAACCCCGTCTCTCTCTCTCTCTCCCTGTTTATGTCCCTCTCTCTCTCTCTCTTTCTCTGTTTATGTCCCTCTCTCCCATGATCTCTGTCTCTGTTTAGTTCTCTCACTAATTTGTGCATTTACTCTATCTTTCTTTTCTCTTTTCCTACTTATTTCATATCTTATTTTCATTCCTTGGTCTTAACACCCCCCCCCCCTTCTCTCAGTCTCTCATTTCTGCCCTGACATGTTTTTTTTTAACCTGTGTAAGGATTATATTCTAGTATGCACAGGTAGAAATGTCTACCAAAACTATGTTTTTTTTACCTCTTCTAGCTTCATGGGATATTGATAATCCCATCTTTAATAAACTTATCATGACGTTCTCACCTTTCAAACAAATGTATTTACCTCTATCTGTCTCTGACTCCTTCTGTATCTTTCTCTGTCTCTCTACCTCTCTTATTCTGTTTGTCTATCTCTTACATCTTTTTGCCCCCCCCCCCACCCCCCCCCCCCCCTCTCTCTCTCTCTCTCTCTCTCTCTCTCTCCCTGTTTATGTCCCTCTCTCTCTCTCTCTCAAGGATCATACCAAAAATGTAACATATATACTTTTTCACTATCATGTTGTAGATCATCTATAGATTTTATAACTTATGATGTGCATTTATTGTTTATAGGAAGCTGAACCAAGTGAAGAAGAAGATGAATCTAGCTCAGTACACTTCGGTGACACATCCGATGAGGATGATCTCTTCCCAGACCTTCCCAAATCACCTTCGCTGTCGGCCCTCAAGAGCGGCCCTAAACCCTCCATGACGTCGTCCGTCAAAGACAAAGCTCCTGATAGACAGAACGATGGGAAGGAGGAGGATGGAGAAAAGAAGGAGAAAGTGAAGGAGCAGAGGAAACGACAGGACAGTGACTTGTCGTCCATTTTGAGTGGAGGCTCTGTGAAGTCATCAGGGTCGGGCAGTGGACTGAGCCGAGGTCAACTCTCTGATGATAGAGGGAGCAAGACAAATTCATCTTTCGGTAAGTCCTTAAGTTTTATCCAGTCAAATTGCCGAACTAACTCTATACCGACTGATAATATTCAAAGTCTTGGCTACACAGAATAATGTACCGGTAATACTTTATTCTGGTGTCATCTCATCACTTTGACTTTATTGTGATTCTTTTCTTCGTATTCACTGTTTTGAGTTGATGATTGTCTTCATAAAAGTAACAATCTTTTTCAAAATAAAAAACATCCTTTTTAGATGAAAAACAAAATTATGTTACTCAAATCACTTTTTGTCTGCATCCCATAGTTCAATCACTTCTCAACCCTATTTCTAACAGATCAAATTTCACTAAATCAAAATGAATTGCAAAGCAATTCTATAAAAAAATCGTAGCAAACAAATTGAACATTACCTTTTTTATAACATAACTTAACGTTGGATTGTTGAGTTCACTTACTTAACAGTTTTCGTAACATTGCATTTTTCTTCTGAAAGTTCATTCTTCCATTTTCATTTATTTTTCTTTCTTATCCTTCCTTAAATTAATCTGTAACAGAAGCAAGCCCGGAGCATACGATTCCACTATCAAACCTGCCATTCAGCAAGAAGAAAGTGTCTAAATGGACTGAGAGAGATATCATACATTGGTTGGATTCCATACACCTGGGGCATCTAGCTCAAAACTTCATTGGTAAGTTAGTGCAATAAAGCCATGTTTACACATTAGGCCGACTTCATCAGCTCGAAATTGCCAAATAACCCGCTATTTTAACTATCCCGATCACAAATTATCCAGCACATTTGTGTTTTCATCAGCCCGCAGTTGCAATAAGCGGGAAATTTTTGTCCAATACAATAATCCCAAGATATCTTGGGCTAGTATGCAAAATATCCTGCTATTTGTCCGGTGCGTCCTTACCAGCACTAAGACTCACACTATGCACGAGCTGATGAAGATGCGATTTGTAACTTTGGGCAAATTTCCCAAATCAGAAATAGAGGGCTATTTGGCAATCTCAAGCTGGTGAAGACATACAAGTACCTATGGTGTGATGATATTATACCTCGGTCGAATTCCAACCGACCAGAAGATCAAAAGCTTTTATGGTATTAAGTTTCCACAGTGATAAGGTATGAATACATAAGTATAAGATTTGAAAACGGAATCACTTCTTAATTGTTGGCATACGATTTATTAACCTATGACAAGTAGTGCAAAATTTTGTTTCCACATCAATAGTGCAAAGCAAAACAAAGAGTAAGGTGTGAAAACTGGATAAGACACTTCTTTACCTCATTTAAACTAACTCCATCTATCTTTAAAGGAAACTAGCTTCAAACTTTCTTGGTAAGTTTCCACACTAATAGTGCATAGCAAAACAAATGTAAGACGTGGAATCGAAAGAAGACACTGTGAATATTTATAAGTTGGCTTCAATTCACCTTAGGTATCTAGTGCCAAATTTGTTAGTAAACGGCTTGCATCAGATTTTGTTGTTAGGTTGTCAAAATAGAAGTGCATGACAGGCAAAATTGGTATAATTGATTAATATGTGCTGGACAGTAGTTCTTGTAACCAGCAGAGAAACATACCTAAGGTGTATACAGAGAGAGAGAGAGGGAGGGGGAGGGATAGAAAATGGGGGAGGGGTTGAGACAGAAGGGGGATGCAATTTTCAAAAGAGAAAACATTAAAGTGTCATATTCAAACTACATGTAGACACTTTTTCATTGGATTCCATCCATCTGGGGTATCTTGGCCAAAATTGTCACATTTTAGTTGTCAAAGCAAGAAAGCTCAACATATGGCAAACATTTAAAAGAAACCTTTAGTTATATTTTATTTTGCAAGGGCATTTACCTCGGTCTCTGTTAGTGTTTTGATAAGTTGCCATAATAATAAGTAAGCTCAGTGTAGACTGGATTCTATCCAACTTTGTCATCAAGCTCAAAGTCATCTTGCAAAGTTACAGAGAAAATCTCACTCGTTCTCTGTTTTATCTCTCTGTGTCTATCTCTCTCCCTTGCTCTCCCTTCCCCCACTTTTCCCTCTCCCTCTTTCTCCCCTCCCCCACATTTCTCTCTCCCTCTTTCTCCCCCCCCCCTCTTTCTCCCCCCCCCCCCCCTCTTTCTCCCCATCCCCCTCTCTCTCTCTATCTCTCTCCCCCTCTCTCTCTCTTTTTCTCTCTTTCTCACTCTTTCTCACTGTCTCCTTTTCTGTCTTGACTTTTTAATTCCCACCCACACATCCTCTTTTATAGATCATGATATAACTGGCAAAGAGCTGATGGAAATTGATATGTCCTTGCTTGGTGAGTAATTCTAGTCTAAATTGGAACAATTAGTTTTTGGCATTTGTCCTATTAAAGTGAACTTTCTTTTAATTATTCGTGTTATGTGATCCTTCAAATAATATATCAAATCCTTCAAATATATCCCATTGTTTGTTATTCATCATTGATATAAATTACATTGAGGGCTTCCCAAGTTTTGATATCCTTACCTTCTCTCGAAAACGAATGGTGAAAAATAAGCAGACCTTGTCACCGTCTTATGAAGGTTTGATATTAATTGCATTATTTGTGATTGATATCAATTGGAACTGTGTTATAAGAGATAAAGGACTGCAATCTTGGGATTGTTAAGAGGATTTGTGATTCTCTTTAGTACAAGATTTTCTTTTAATTAACACCCCCCCCCCCATGTTAGTGTTTCTAAAATGTTCAGATCCTTCAGTTCTTTTCAGTACAAGAGTTGATTATTAATGTTATTTTTTTAATTCTCCCTACTTCTCTGCAGATGAGATGGATATAGATTCCTCACTGGAGAGAGAGAAAATCTTGTCAACCTTGTATGACTTGACCAACCCTTCTTCCACGACTGCTAGAGAAGATGTTCTGAGTAAGTTGAACATGATATCTTTGCTAGTGGGTGATATTTCACGCTGAACCATCCATCTCCCAAGATGCAACCCGCACTTGATGGCAGAGCCCTCACAACTGCTGCTCCAAAACTGCGGAATAACCTACCCATATCTCGTTTTAACCAACAACCTGTCAATACCTTCAAAAAATATCTAAAAACTCACCTCTTCTGTTAACAATATAACTGTAAAGTGCATTTGACCACGTATATGAAAAATGCGCTATATAAATACATTATTATTACTATTATATCATCATATTATACATGTAGCTAAAACAAGGATCGGGTCATAACCGTTCTTGACTCCTTGAATATTCTAATTGTAATTGTAAAAATTAAGAAAATTATTGGTTAATGGTTAACAACATTGAAGAGCTAATTGAAAAATCAAATAATCTTTAGCTTGTATTAGGCAAGCGAACAACTACTTTATGTAATAATCTTTTTACAAAAATACCATTTTGTCACAAAGTCAACGCAAGCAAGTCTGGACCTATTTGGAGTACCCTTTTGTTACAAAGAAGAAAAACATTCTCACAAATTAAAAATATTGTAGCAGTTGCAGCTCATACATTTGATAATGGGATGAAATTGTGAGTTTTGTTCAATTACATCCATGAATTATTCAATTTTTGAAAGATTATTGCATTACACATATATGTAGAACCACTGGCACTGAGGCTTAACCTTCACATTGATCCATTTAATGTATTGAAACTTATCTGGGAAAAAGAAGATCAAAATTAATAATAACAATTATTTTTTACTAAATGCCATTGATGGCTGATTTTACATTATATCACCACCAGGTGTGATCAGCCATACCAGTGGTTACGAGAAGCAGAAGTACATGGCAGCGGTCAGTGTGTTACAGTCCGATGACCCAGAGGACATCCAGCTCTTACCTCCAGAAGAACGGGACAGTCTCCTCTCGAGCCCGGAGAAGAATGATAGTAGAGAAGAGAACGAGCAACTGAAGGAGGAGGAGGGTGAGGAGGAGGAGGAAGAAGAAGAAGAGAAGGATGTGAAGATCGTTAAGAGGAAGGTCATGGGGAGAATGGATGCAGTCGATGAAGACACCGATGACACAGATGATTCTGATGATGATTGGGAGGACGAAGGTGGTGAGGAAGAGGAAGAGGAGGAGGAGGAGGAAGTAGTGGAACTTCTGGCAGAGATAAAAGAAACTGAAAGGAAAGCAAAACTTGTTACTAACCAAGCAAGTAAACAACCAGAGAAAGTTGTACCCTCTGGTAAAACTGCCGACACAGACAGCGAAGAATCGGATTTCAGTGACTTTGATGATGATGATGAAGAAGAAGTCGAAGTTATGATTAAAAAACAGAGTAATGAAGCTCTGAAATCGGCCATGATCGTCAATAATATCTCAAGAGATGTTAAGTCTGTAGATAATAATGCTTCCAAAAATGATACCAACAGTCCTAAGGTGGTTAAACAGGAATCTGTTGAAAAGAGCAATGTTCTGAAAGGCACGTCCAAAGAACCAGTTACGAGGAAAAGCTCTGTAGATAAAAAGGACCTGTCTAGAAAGGCTTCCAGTGATTCCATAGGCGAAGTGATCCCAGCAAATATTTCAAAAGATGGGACTGAACACGGGGCCATGAAGGATTCCACAAAAGGGAGGAAGGATCATGAAGCCGAGCTCCCAATAGAGAAGGAGAGTCCGAGACGAGATGTGAAACCAACAAGGAGTGAGAGCAGTAGGAGTTCTGGGAGTGAGAAAGAGGAGAAGAAGAAAAAAGGAGGGTAAGATATTATATCCAGGAAAGCCAGAATAAGTTCTTATGTTTTTCATCACATTTTGAAAGACAACAGTTGATCTTCAGGAGTCATTTAATTTTTTAATCAAAGTCCTTGAACTTCTGATTTTAATTAATTGTAAAAACTCTGATTATCATGTCTGCTTTTAAAAGCTTTTCCAAGTCAATAAACTTAAATTAGTATAGAGATATACTGCTGTATGATGAAGTTTTCTATGATAGTGTACCATGGCATGCTGTGATGAGAGCAATGTATTTTCAGAAATCAAAATTGCATACAGGTACATCCATTAAAATTAAGTCACTGATTAAAATGTTTTCACAATCTGTTGATATGCAAAGTTAAGTGCTATTTTTTTTTTGTAATGGTAAGAATCACTTTTATTCCTCCTTGTATTTTCAGTCTTTTTAAGCTGAAGGAAGCGATTTCTCCATCTAATTGGAAGAAGAGTCCCAGGGACAGCAACACCATTCATGTATGGACAGATGTCGGACAAACAGGTACACACTATAAATCTTTTAATCGTTAGGTTGAAATACTCCTTTTTGATCAATTTTGTTTACATTCATTCATTTATTCATTTATTTATGATTTTATAATTTATATTCTTTTGGACTTACAGTACAGTGCATTTATTCTTGTCCGCTACTTAGTTCAATACTTCCCTTGTTCAGCGCTTAAAAATTGCAGTTACGGATGCATTCATTTTTATGGCTATATACTGTTTAGTGTTACAGTAGTTATACAGTTTTTATGCTATCTTTCCCTCAACTTTCCCTCAATTATGGGCTCATGTTTTTATTGTGGTGTGCTTGAACTTGTAAATTGTATTGTATAATTATAAATGTACATGTAGTGATGTTTTCGAAATGGTTGTTGATACAGTCAATGTACCAAAATCAGGACAGACTACTCTTGGTCATTATGTTGCATCTACAGCCTGTATGTGTACAGACAAAAAATAAGTTTGACTGAAGTATCAAAATTTTGTAACAAAAAGAGAGTACCGGTATACCTACATGTATATATATATATATATATATATATATATATATATATATATATATATATATGATCATCATTGTCTTTATTCTTTTCTGCGTTACCAGGGAGTGGATCAAAGACACTGGTAGTGAAATTGACGGAGGAATCAACAACTCAAGACTTGATGGGTCTATGCCTGAATCAACTAGACCTCATTGAGGACCCAAGACTGTATCGGGTCCTACAAGCTACCATACATGGGAAAGACAAGGGTGAGATGACGCAGATGATGTTAAAAACAGATTTCTCTTTGATTAAATCATCGCAATGCTTTACATACCACAATCATCTCTGCGTATTATGACAGAGATAACGGCAGGTTCATTTTTTTTTTAACGGAAGTTAAAACATTTTCTGTGAAGTGATGCACCTCATTCGTTTTTGTTTTTTTCCTTTTCCCATTAGGTATTGATATAGAGCTTGAGTCCGAGGAATGTCCACTTGATATTCAGCATGGGTGGAGTGATCATTCTAGTCATCGGTTTGAGTTCAGACAGAAGACTGCACAGGGTGGTGCGATCAAGGTGGGTTTTCATCAGGGTTATTACTGTGATGATGGTGGTAGTGACGATGAAGATGATGACGATGAAGATGGTGATTTATTGTTCTTTTTAACCCACTTGTGATAATAAAGTTCAAGTTCAAATGTATGCATACTGGGTTATGTGATAGTGCAACGGTTTTCAGCAGCTTCTGACTTTTCACCCATTTATTGATATGCTCATGACTTAATCATTTTCCTTTTTTTCAGACTGTCCTAAGAATTCCTGGTCAGCCACCCAAGGGCAAGCTGATCAGTATCTCTCTGTCCACTCCGACCAGTGAAGTGGTCATTCTGGCTCTCAAGAAGTTTGAGATGAAGAACGTTGACCCAACCCTCTTCTGTCTCTTAGAAGTTGACAAGGATGGAGGTAGACAATTTTATCCCCTACTTTTTAAATTTACCCGACAGTAACTACATTGTATAATAACTGATTATATTATTCCAGGGGCTGCAGCCCTTTGCAGATTATATGTGTATACATATATTATATTTCTTTCAAGCAAATGCGTACAATACCACAGCACTGCAATTAATCAATACGCCTGTTCGCATGCTCAGCCCCCTCCCTTGCTTTCAAAAATGTCCAGCAGCTCCTGTATTCCATGGTGTAGGACTTGCTTATTAGATCTTGAAGGGTCTTGTTGAGTTCTAAGTGTCATTACCTTTCACATACAAAATCAAAGTTACGTGTAATCGAGAATGTGATAGTGATGCCTCAAGTCTTCTCGATTATTCCACATCATCTGTTTGGAGCAAGAGGGGCATTAAGCATATGTAAAGTGTGTTTGTTAACACCGTCCTGGCTCTCAGAATAAGATATGGTCTTCACATTAATTATACTAAAAACTATACTTGTTTTGTTATCAGGATATTCAGATGAATGTAAATTTTTTAAATTGCGTTCTGTTACATGTAAAGGAAATTACTTTTTAAAAAGCATGAAATCACACAAATTCATTGAAGTAAGGAAACTACATATTTCCTAACTAGAAAACTATTTGGATAAAACTATACACGTAGGTCTTTTGGATCTTGATAGATTTTGAAAAGTAGCAGATTTAGTTTCAATTTAAAAAAAAATGAATACAATAAATCAGTACATCATCGACTAATGCACATTTTCCCTTTTCATTGTTGCCCTTTCCAGATGTTTGTGATATGGATGACGAAGCACTCCCTCTCCAGCTAGACTCCCATGCCTTCGTGCTGTGTGACCGTAGCAACAGGGGCCTCCACTGGACGACCCAGGAGGAAGAAGAAGCCAATGCCGGAGAGCAGAAGGTCAAGCGTCGGGACTCTCTCACGTCCAGAGCTAGTTCCAAGATGTCCGCTGTAAGTACTTTGAGCTATCTTTTTTAATAGTACCTGTACTTGGCACTATGACACTCATCCAAACTCTCTCATTCTTTCTATTTCTCTTGTGCGCCTCTGAATAGAATTGTCTAGATAGACGGCGCTTTATAAATGCCTTTTATTATTATTATTATTATTATTATTACTATGTTTTCTCATGATAATTTGCACATTGTGACCATTCAATAAGCCAGTTTATGATTTAAGTACAAGTATATAAGGCAGATGTGGATAATTTTGACCAAATTGCAATACCACCGGTTAAATATTACATCTACAGGTATTACTTATCTGCTGTTGAGAACCAGACGGGCATAAACTCATATTGCTTTACTCTTGTTTAACCCATAACCTACTGGATCTTGGTAGGCCCTGTGTTAAAACTCTTGGAATGAGAAAAATCAGTAGTCAAAAGGTTAACAACCCTCTGCCTCTGATCAGATATTTTATTCATGAAAGTTTTGTAAAATCTGATAATCCTAAATGCACATGTGGAATTATTCAAAGGGGAAACAAAAAAATGAGTGATTGGAGCAACTTCATATTTCTTTAGAGTGAATGATATGAACTGCACACAGAATGGGATCTCCTTATGTTTCAAAACCCTTTTATTTTTGAGGGGTAATTTGAGAATTTTGAAATTTCAAACTGGTTTATTGAATGTCACTGAAAGCAATAAAGGATTGATAACTCAGTTGTTTGTCCTGTTGTCCCTTGTATTTCTTCCAGCTAACCGTAATCAAGATTACACCTGCTTTTCCTTTGAAAGCTGATTGTTATTTGTTCTCAAGATTGCAAGTGGTCATAGAAAACATAATTTGTTAGAATTTTGTGTCTGACCCTTTAAATAATACATATTTAAGAAATTATGATGAATAAGTCAGTTAGATGCAATGTTATCTTTCTAACTTATCTCTTTTCAAACTGAGTTTTATTTTCTTTGATTTGGAAGATTACATTTTCTCTCTTATCAACATTTGTGTCTTCAATGCAATGCTAATTTTCAGCACTGTTTCTTTCTGATGCAATGCCTTTTATTTTGCACAATTTTTTTTGTTTTTGTGAAATAACAGTTTGATGTTATGGCTACCTGTTGTAAGTGTACACTCTTGTATTAGATTTATTCCTTTGGGTAATCATACATGTATGATCTCATTCAAAATGTATTGACCTTCTATTATGGATATAATTTCTCCTTGAAGTTGAAGTTATATCGTCCTAAGGCAAGTTCTCATTATTTGTGTGTGATTTTGTGTTTTAAAATGCTTTCTTCCAACATTACATATACCGGTGTATATGTAATGTTATGACTGTGTGCATTTTATGCTGTGATAATGGAGTGATTGGGCAGGGGACAAATGTGTTTTTTCTGCATTTTCTTGTTTTTGTTTGTTCGCTTTCTTTCTTCTGAGACTTAAAGGGGACCGGTCACCAAACAAAGTACTTTGTACAATTAAAAGACTTGCTTGATCGTAAGGTTAATATTGAGCAAAAGTCTATGGCTCATCATGTATTGATCAAACTTAAGATCAATCATAACTCTTTACAATACGCAGCCCAGGAGTGTTATCAAGTTTTCTCTCAAGTTTTTTCTTTAATGGGGGCATTTATTTGGAGGGTATTTGGACCCCAAACATACAGAGCAAAGTATTATTTGGTGATAGGTCGTCTTTAAAGTGTAAAGTGTGATCAGGTGTTAGGTGTAGACACGAGACGCCTAAACACTGTGGTTTGATTCTAACAGATAAGCTTGGGGTCTTCTTACGGGTCTACTGAGCTTCTTTGTTCATCGCGTATCGACAACGAAAAACTGTCTAAACTTGAAAAAGAGGTATGCTCCATGAATATGTATCATCAGCTTCATCAATATTTATGAAAGAGCCAACTATTTAAATTTACTAACCATTAACCCATACATGTAATGTAGATAACACATTTGCATATTTCATATGGGACTTACATACATTTACGTGCTCTTTTTTAATCATGCATTGACTAACAAAAAAAAAATGTCCAAACTTGGAGGTATGTCATGAATATGTATAAGCTGATCATCTCCTTCATCAATATTCATGAAAGAGCCAACATTTACTAACCCAGTATGAAGTGTTAAGCACATGCATATCAAAAAGGTCTCGAGTATTTTTTTGTTTTTAGAGCATTGACGACCAAAAGCTGTCCAGGGGCCCGTTTCATAAAACTTGTTTTCAATAACAAATGCAAAATTTCTATGACAAATTTGCTCTCAGCCAATCAGATACCATGATTTCAGTAGCTTATAACAGTAGCTTGTAACTTGTTATTGATAACAAGTTTTATGAAACGGGGTCCAGATTTGAAAAGGAGGTGTGTTCATGAATATATGCAAATAATCAGCTTCATCCATATTCATGATAGTACCAACCATTTCCATGGGTCTTATGGGTCTTATGTGCTACTTTCATATTGCAATACCATATGACAGAAGTAATTTATTAACATTGCCACATTCTGGGAAACAGGATAATGATGCACAATCTGCTCGCAAGTACTAACACAGTTTGTTTTGTTTCTCAGCGTCCATTTCAAGGGGCTTCTATAAATCCTAACCTTTTTTTAAAACCTTTTTATTTTCACAGGTTGATTTATTTATTCATCAAAATAATTCTAAATTAGATATGCTGCCATGAATAATTGTCTGTATGTTCTTTATTCATGTGAATCTGTAGATAAAAGCCTCATTAGTAATATAATTCCTTTAGTTTTGTGTTGTTTATCACACTGTACTTGCTATTTATTATGAGAGCAGAGTATTATCATTCTATTGATACACCTCATCTTTCAATATGATACCCCCCCCCCTCCCTCCCTCCCATCCAAACATTTTCATGGTACAATATTTTCTTGCTTTATACATGTTGCTTTAACTGCTTTATTTTGTTGTGAACAACTTGTATGTATGTAAGTTATGTATTATTCGACCAGCATAGTTTTAGAGCTGACAAATAACCCAGAGTGACAACAATCTTCTTTTGCCGCATGTATCTGAAGAAAAAGATGTTTGCATGAGAATATATATTTCTGTATCTTATATGTCTATTTTTAGTATACTCTACTAAACAAGGTTTATTTATTAAATCATTTAATGCAAGTTTTACCTGTATACACATTTCTTTATTTTCCTTGCTCCTGTGTTAATACCCCACCCCCCTGACCCATTTCCAAGTATATATCCTGTCACTGAGTATATCATTATATTCAATCCATGCAATACCTATGTGTGAAACATAATATTTATACTATTATTACTTCCTTCATATCATTTGATTTCTATATAATTTGAAACATGGTTTCTTTTGTGAAATAATTCATAGATGTCTCCATTTACATATGGTATTTCACTGATACTTGTGGATGTTAAAAAAACATGTACATATTAACAAAATGTAAACTGCACATCATTTTTTATGGATTGTTCAATAAGTTTGGTACAATTAGAAGTTCACATACAAATACACAATGTTTAAATCAAGTGTATAATATCATAGATGTGATAATACCAAGAATGAAAATAGTTTATACAGTATGTAACATAATAACAAGAAAGACTTATTCTGTAGATAAAAATATTATGAGTGTTCTAAGCGCTATTTAAAGTAGGCAAATATTTGCATTTCAATGAAAATATCTCACCGTTTTTCTTCTTCAATTGAATGAATAGATGGCAAGTATTGCGGAGTCTTTAGTACCGGGGAAGGATACCTCAACACCAAGTGCAGCTGCAGCAGCCCCTACCAAGGCAGCCGACATCAGTCCTATTCCAGAATTACAAGTGAGTAGCCTTTTCAATGATTTTTATGCTCATCTAGTTTTCTCATTCTGCTTCCTCTTAAACCCCTTTTGTATTTTTTTGTGATGAAATAGGGAATGATACACTCGGTGTACATGTATTTTTATTTAATTCTGTATTAATTTATTTTCAGTAGTCAAGATTACCTTCAATAGATTACAGTAGGCAATTTTTGTAATGTATCCAAATGCAGTGCATACATGTAGCTCTTTGTGGAGTGCCTCATATGAATTATTTCATTCACCTTTTACCAATAATCATATCTCAATAGTCAGATTGCGAATTGCATACATAAGTGTTGCTAGAGAGGACACACATCATGGCTTGTCATACCAAACAACATGGAATGTATGCAGTTTGTATTCTGACTTTTGAAATACAATTATTGGTAACAGGTGAATGACATAAATTGTACAGAGGCTCTTTACAAAGACTTATGCAGTACATTTTTGTATCATTCCAAAAATGAACTATTTCATAATTCTTTGTGAGGATGATTCCATGCTATGGTGTCTGGTACAGCATATATGACATTTTTCCAAGGCATATATTTCATTCAGGAATGGAAAATATATAGATTTGACTATGGTTAATACTTAATGGTATAGTGATGCCAGAAATCACCATTATTCAATAGTCACTTCAAAAGATTTTTTTCATTCATGGATGAAGTATGTGCAGAAGGAACCTAGTCATACATACAGGATTCCTTGCACAGTCGTACAGGATTCCTTGCACAGCATTGCCCATGAGCGAAATCGACGGAATCTTTGTTTTCCCTTACTTTCATCAAGTCAAAGTATGCATACATGTGTATATCCCTTTATAATAATGCTTTCATAAACTTATAAGATTGAACAGTAGCTTTGAGTATAATTAAGACAGGAAATTAGTCTTCATTAATAGCTTTAAATAATGGTCTTAATGCAATTATAAATGTCTGCCTATTGTCTGTGCCAATTGCTGAACATGACACTCGCACTAATCTGCCAGTTGAGTAACATGATGCGTAGTTATCTAATTTCACAACAAGCAATCGAAGTTCAGATTTAAACCTGTCCTGAACTGTTATCAAATTTCACTGTTGGAATCATGTTGAGGCAAATGTTGATTCATTTCACAGCAACAACAAGAACAACAACAATAAGAACAAGAACCGTAAAAACTGCACATCAACAAAGCTTTTTGAAGTTAAGGTACAAAATTGAAATTGTGGTGTTCTTTTCTTGAATCACACTTGATCAGTATGATCAGCACATATTTATTCATTTCACACCAGCAACAACAACAATAAAGCAAAGTTTTTAAAGTTTGTTCTGGTACAGAATAAACTTGTGCTGTGCTGTTATGACATTTCATCATTTTAAACCATGAAGAAGCACATTCTTCACAAGCACATTACAGGTGAAATTGACTCAGGAGGAATTGCTTACAGGAAATACCAAGCAAATAGTAAATTTCAAACCTGCCCTAGATTTGAAATGTACTCTCCCAGTATGCAGTAATTGACTTGTGAAATTTACTTTCCAATTCATGTAGCACCTGCTTCACATTTTGCTGATGTTAATTTCATATATTGATTGACAGGTTATTGATTTTTCCACCTGTCAAACATTTTGTTGATGTTTATTTCATTTTTGTTATTACATTATCCTGTGCTTTCTTGTGAGTGTGTTGTGGGTGGGATGAACTTTGTTTGAACTTCAACTTTCTCTCTCTCTCTCTCTCTGTCAATTCATGTAAGATAATGTTAATTTTATCAGTAATGTTGTGGATGTTAATGGATAATTTGGTTTTATCCTCTCAGATTAATGATGAAGAAGAAGACATCACTTATGAGAAAGATCATTCTCAAGAACTAGAAGAAAAAAGTAGACAGGTAAGCTTACAATTGTTACAATTTGATTTTGATCTTACAAGAAATCTTGACGTAATCTTTAAAACAAACAAACATAGCAAGACACATCCTTTCAAACTAAATTTCTTCATCTATTTGATGACATTGTATTCTAGAAGTGCACATAGAAATATTAAAGTATTGATGTTCTGAAATGTACAATATAATTATTTGTAAAGATATTATAATCATTTTATTATTCTGAAGATAAATTTGAAAGAACACAAGTTTGTTGATTCATAGAACAACCAGGTCCTTATCCATGCATGTTTGAAGTAGTTTAAACTATTAAAGAAAGCAGCAATATTGTTTTATACACTTATGCTTTCACTAGAGTGCATTTATCTATCCTGGTTTTGTTGTAGTTGCATTGCAGACTGCAATTAAAATAGTTTCTGGAAGATATAGAGAGCTTGATCCAGGTCCATGTATTTTAAGTATTTTATTGCTGTATTTTTAAGTATTGTAAAGAAGATAGAAGCAGGTTTATTACCGTAAGTCTATATTTGTAATTAAATGTTTTCTTTTTTCATATTTGTTATTTGTTATTTGTTTTAATTGTTACATAGTTGACTGCATTACAAGAGGCTTTGGGTGATCTAGGTAGTTCATACAGTCAGATGAATGTGGACGCTAGACTGCAGGCACTGGAACAGAGATTAGCTTCTTGTCCTGAAACAGGTAAGAATACATATTGCTCATATCATAAACAATTGAAATATATCTTTAGATATGATTTGTACAAATATTTGAGATTTTTTATTTAATTTTTTTATTTTGTTACTGTTGCTTTGATACCTTGATAGAAATAGGTATAGTTGGAGGGAGAGAAAGAGAGACATAGATAGACATAGAGAGAAAGAGAGACAGAGAAAGAAAGAGAGAAAGAGAGACAGAGAAAGAAAGAGAGACAGACAGAGACAGAGAGAGAGACAGAGAAAGAAAGAGACAAAGAGAGACAGAAAGAAAGAGAGAGAATCAGAGACACAGAGAGGAAGATGAAGTAACAAAATGATGATAAGTACTGTCTCTTTTTTGTTAGAATCCCTTCCAGAGAGACTTCTTGAGCTGCTGGCAGAACTTGAGACAGCGAGCCAGGAGATGGAGGAGAGACAGAGAGATCTGGATGAGATCAAACAAGGCATTGAGGAGCTGGGAGGAGGACTGGATGACAGGTTGGTACAATCAAACCTGCTTTAGTGACCACCTGTATAGAAAGACCACTTGTCTACAAAGACCACATTTTTTGTTTCCCTTGAAAATGGTTTCTCATTGAAACATGTACTAAAGGAACCTGTACATACATTTTTAATTTTCAAATATCTTACTGGTGCCAATAGATGATTGTAGATGCCGAAATGGAGAGTTATGAATTTTTCGTTATCTTTTGATTTATCCAAATGAGATACATGTTATTGTCAGAGACTAATACTAAAAGTATTAATGATGATTACCGATGTCTAATTTTGATCTTTTTTATATCACCATAAATTAAAGCACCTCGTTGGCATATGAAGTGACCCTTGCGGAGGTGGCTCTCTTGAAGGCGCAGTATGACCACAGCACACTCCTGTCAACTATGGAGATCGCCATAGCAGACTACCAGCTACAAGCTGTCAAGGTATAATTGCTATTGCAAATTTGATGATGAAGTTGGATCTGCATTTGTATTTTTACAGTTTCATGTTCTTCACTGGAAACTTGAGTAACAAAAAACTGTCTGTTTTTCTCAATACTACTGTCTGCACGTCAACCTTTGATTACTATCTATTCTAAAATTTTACTTGTGTTTATCTCAAAAGAAAATCTGTTGAATGTACTGATTATTCCAAAATCAAACATGTTTCAACAAATGAAAAGTATAGACAAGCTGTTTTGATGTCTCAAATCAATGTTTTTCTTAAACTTTTAGTTTGTCACACTATTTTATTGATATCTAGGAAAACTTAAACAACAAGAGCTAAAATGTATGATGTACATTGGATTAATTCTGTCATATTTGTATATGGGAATAAAATTACTATAAAATGGACATCTCATTTGCATATCAATACTACAATGCATACACTATGGTTTTTGTATAATAATATTTCTGCTTTGCATTTTACATTGTCTCTATTTGAACTTTGACCTTCAGATTGAGGAAGCCAAGAAGAAGACCGTCTCACCCCGAGGTGCAGCAACCCTCTACCACACCTTGCCTCACAACCAGCAGTTTTCAGTGTTTGCCCTCCAGGCCAGTGCAGGCTCACAAGGCTTTCACTTTCAGGTGGCCGAACAAAACTCACAGAGCGGAGTCTACGTGCAGAGCTGTCTCCCTGCTGGGGTGTTGCGTGTCGGTGACAGGTCAGTCCCTTCTTTATGTTTTATTAGTGCATAGAGACATTATACCGATATATTAGATAGCTTTGGCTTGAAAATTTAGGGAGGGGTCCATTTTTTGTTGTCTGAAATTTTTTCCATTTTTCTTTCAAGGACAAACAAAATTTTCGGAATAAATTGAAAAAAATTAATATCTTTAACAACAACAAAATTCTTATTAAAAAATATCATTTTGGGGGGAAAAAAAGTGTGGAAAAAATAATTTCAAGGGAAAAAAAAAATTGACCTTCAGTGTTGTTGTAATCTGTGTAATTGGTGACATACAGTCCTCAAGAGGGCGACATGCATTGATTAAAGATATATTCATTTTACCAGCTGGTGAATTTAATACTGGAAAGTGACCGGCCAGGAAAATATAACAATTGCGATTCTCGCAATCGATATCACGTGAAGAGCTCTGGACCAATCACATCTCGGTATCTGTCTAAGCTTTTTCTAATATATTTTGATATGCACTATATCAGTATGGTATATTATTATTATCTCATTGTTTGTTCTTATTGGACTCTTTTATGTTGTGAGAAAATGTACAAGAGTCTGTTATATTGTTGTGTGGAGATGTGTTCAAATAATGCTAGAACCTAATCTATTATATATCCTCATTTGTCTGATTCTGTGACTTTTGTACAACAGGATCACAGAGGTGAACGGTCACAGCACCCTGGGGTCAAGTGTCCTGGAGGTCAACACCCTCTTGAACCGGTCCAAGAAGGCCCAGCTGGTATGCATGCGGGCTGGACGAGACCAGGCTGGCATCGAGGTGGACAGACTGACCAGGCAGCTAGCCACTGCATCAGAACACTACGAGGCCTGCTGGCAGGAGAATAAGAGGTTAACTGAAATAGTTCACAGGTAAGATGATGATGAGGAGGAGGAGGAGGAGGAGGGTGGTGGTGGTGGTGGTGGTGGTGGTGGTGGTGGTGGTGGTGGTGGTGGTGGTGGTGGTGGTGGTGGTGGTGGTGGTGGTGATGATGATGATGATGATGATGATGATGATGATGATGATGATGATGATGATGATGATGATGATGATGATGATGATGATGATGATGATGATGATGATGATGATGATGATGATGATGATGGTTATGACGGTAGTGAGGAGAAAGAGGATTATGATGATGATGATGATGATGATGGTGATTAAGACAATGATCATTATCAAGATGGGTTGATGGTGATGATGATGACAAGACTGATGGTGATAATAGTAGTAGTGGTGATGATGATGAAAATAATGATGGTAATGATGGTGATGATGGTAGTGGTGATGATGGTAGTGGTGATGATGGTGGTGATGATGATGGTGATGATGATGAGAATAATGATGATGGTGATGATGATGGCGATGATGGTAGTGGTAATGGTGATGATGGTAGTGGTAGTGATTATGATGATGATGATGGTGAGGATGATATTAAAGTGGATGATGATCATGAAATGATGGTTATGACGGTAGTGAGGAGAAAGAGGATTATGATGATGATGATGATGGTGATCCCTATTCCACAAGGAGTATTTTTGCTGCTTAATCAGCATAAGACTCATTACCAAATTCAGGTGGTGGCTTTAGCATTATTTCTAGATAGCAAATGTAGATGAATGCCCTGCTTTATTGTGGTATGGTGTCATAAATCTGTAATGCATATATTGTATACCATGAATAGTTGATTAATTATCAATGTCTCCATTTCTTGTTTTCCCCCTTTTAGATTAAGACCTCTAGAGCATAAAATCCTGGAACTGTCTCAGCAAAAAGGCACAGTACAACAACTACACCAAAAGGTAACAACATTTCAAATACATTTCTTAGATGATCAGCAGTGAAATCAAATAACCAAAATATAATTTGTTATTCATATATTGTCATACTCATCTGGTTAAATCATAGAGCACACTTCCACCCACACGTACATCTCAATTTAAAAGAAATGGCTGAAAACATAAATTGTGATGTCTTCCCAATAAAAGTCATAACTAACAAGATCTGTACAATGATAGTCAAGCAAAATCAGATAATATTGCTGGCAAAAAATTATATCGAACAATCCCATATGTCAACTAACACCATCAGATCAAACCAAGTACCACAAGTTTAATATCTACTTTTAGACAGGCTTGTGAATAATCTCCAAGTCCCAAACCATTGCTGAGGTATATTTCATAAGTCTTTTTGAACCTATCTATAGATTGACACCTTGGAGTCTAGGAACCAGGAGATATCCGAGGAGCTTCGTATGGCCCATGAAGGGAACATCAACCAGTCTAATCACGCCATCAGTCGACTACAAAAGGACAAGGAGAGACTGGAGGTTTGTTTTTGTGTCTTTGTTTAGTCCTGTTCCTCTCCTATTTTTGTATGTTTGTATCAGTATGTTTCAGAGTCATACATTTCATAGAAGACCGATACTGAAAGTACTGCAGATCTCTGATCTCAAATAATCTTCATTTATATTCAAGAATATTCTTGTGGTCCATTGATATTTTTATGGAGATGATTATTGTTCTTACAGTGATGATAGTTAAACATTAATTAATGATGATAACAAGAGTATTTATATTGAGGTACATGAAGAAGAATTAAAAAATGGTCTGTCATTCGATACAAGCTGTATTTTCATATTCCAAGTATGATACTCTTTGAGAAAATTATGACATTTCTGCACAGTTCTTTTGTAAGCACCCATCTGTTTTTCTTACAATAATTCTATGCCCTTTTATGTTTTCTTCAATCGCAGACCAAGGTTCGACAACAGGAGCAGAAGATGAAAAAGTTTGAAGCTGAGTTGGCACAAAAGGTAATTCAGCATCATATTGCTCCATGCCATCATCATCTCATATGCTTATAGAGCTGTGGTAATAAGAGTATTTAGCACAATGGATCCTCCTGAAAAAGTGCTTTATAAATCCAACTATTATTATGTTGTTGTCGCCTTCACACTCATGCTTGTTGAAAGCCGTGTCTCTTATGCATTACATTTGTGATGTACAGTATAAAACAATGCAAGATAGAAAGGGATCTACGATACAGTGTGTTTAGACAGGGAAGCTACTCATATATACATAAACATGTAGTTTCTTTTTCATCCTGATACAGCTTTAGTTGCAATCGCAGGGAGTTCATGTTGGTTCTGTGTAGTTATTATTATTATTATTATTTATTTGACCAATCATAAAACATGCAATGAGTATAACAATCAGATAATACATAGAAATTTCATAATACATGCAAACAGTTTCAGGAAAGTGGAGCGGAGAGAGAGAGAAGGATACAATCTGATGGTCAGGGGTGACAAAAGCAATTGAAGTAAAGCATGTCACCCCGTAGTATTGACCATTAGAACTAAAGTTTCTTTAATGTATGTTTTTGATCATAGAACTCTGAGACATCATCCATAGTGAAGGAGCGTGACGATGCCCTGAGCAGACTAAAGTCCGTTGACGTCAATCGGAATGGTGAGATCAAGGCAGATGACCTCATGGCCAACGCTGATAACGATGCTCCGCTCTGGGAGGTACTCAAACTAGCCAAGAAGGTATGTACTGCAGTACAACTTATATTAAAGGCATCGTTTAACAATATTAAATCTGGGATTCATGGCCCTACGTGTTACCAATGTCTGTGATATGGTGTAATATTAATGAAGCCCTAAAAAAAAGTGCGCTTCAAAATGATCATCAAATAAAAATCTTTGAGTGACCGGCTTTACCATACTCATTTTCCCCAATAGACTGTAGTGATATAAAAACCTTTGGGAAAACGGTTTTTCCAACCATAAATATCTTGATAATCAGACTGGCGAGCGGCTTGTAAACGTCATGGGATTCCTGACTGACCTAAATGTTTATAATTATGATTGCAACATGAGCTAAATCCAGGATTTTGTTTAGAATCTGAGACCAAGATACCCAATCCCGGTGATTTAATCTGCTACTTCTTTATGATTTGTTGACAGGATGAGATACTGCATGTGCTTCAGGATGAGTTAGAGGAGGCAGGAAGACAGAAGCAGTATTTAGATCAACTCTATACCCTCATGCTGGAGAGAGCTCCTGAGCTACTAGAACATCTGGAGCAGGACTTTGAAGGAAGGTACGTATCAGATTTAAAAGACATAATACTATCATTAAAGTTGCTCATGCGTGGGTATATACAGAGGGCAGCACATGGACGTACTCACGTCGCATAGGAGCGTAAGACCCATTAGCTCAGTGTTATATAGTGATCGCCGAGTTGCCTACTTCATGAACGACTATATACACACACGCATGAAAATTTTTAAGTTATTTTATTTTCCACAAAACCAAAAACCAAAAATGTTAATTTCCTTGAATCACGGAACTACATAAAATATCACTTCACTACTGGAAATTAATGGGTTAGTTTGCAATGGTGAAAGTCATATTTTTTAATTTTGTTAAACCAATAAAAATAAAAGTTGCACACCATGTACACCTGTATACAACAACAAAAAACATTTAGACAAAGACCAATCTGGGCCCCATTGCACCAAACTTACCATCGATGGTAACTTTACCATCAATGGTAACTATCACGGAAACCTTGACCATGGTAGGTGCCATTGATGGCAAAGTTACCATCAATGGTAAGTTTTATACAACGGCGCCTAGATGTGGCAAAGACATGCTGACACTGAGGTAGTTCAAGGGGAAAGTTTTTAAGACATCTATCACGGTGGCCATTCTGCTAGGGATGATGAAATTATGACAAAGTCTGCATTTGTACAGTGTAATTACTACTGAATACTGGTCGTTTGTAACCCATTTTTTAACTTCTAATTCTTCCTTGTCTTATGCAGTGAACTATCGGGCAGTGAAGAATTCTGCTAAATCTCACCTCAACTCCTGCAAGCGAGCAGCAAGTCCCAAACGCACAACTCAAATATATAAAAGCATAGCAAGTATTTAAACATCAGGAAGTAAACGCAAGTTGAAATGTATTTCCTCATTTTCGTTGTCAGTTGTCTTGAATATATGCCTTTTTATTATGGACTGATGGTGCCCATGTTATATTTATTCTTGTGTCAAATGGTATTTATAGAATATGTTCAAGAGAATTGTTTGAGTGGTATTCTTGTAATCATGGTAATATTTCATGCCATTTTCTTCGCGCAAAAGAAATGCCAAAACTTTATAATAGATAGATTGAGAGAGAAAAAGGAAAAGAGATTTCTTTTTTATATTTTTTTCAAATACATTTAAACTCAAATCATGACTATCTAAAGCTTAACTTTTAATTAAAATGGTATAATTGTTTTTTGTAGCTTGTATCATGTTATATTCCTGCATTGGAATATTCGTTATGGTTTTATGTAAAGTTTAGTTTTGAGGTGGATATTTCAAGGAAATCAGGAATTTCATCTCATCAGAATCAACAGCACAAACTGTATCAACTTATGCCGATTTCTTAGTTTATCCTATGGATTTAATTACATTTTCAGTAATATTTAGGCATTGTATGAATTGAATCATGTAACTCATTTTGCATTATGCAGGGTCGTACATATTTGATAGGGTCAGTATATGCTCTCAGCTTTACAGTTACTGAATTATTCAGAATATAAACCATATTTTAATCGTTGTGATTTGATTAAATATCATTTCATTCTACATTTAAATTTTCCGAATCTATGACAAAATTATTCAAATATGCCATACTTTTTGTATTCCATTTTTGTGTGCTTGGATCTTGATTTCATATGTATTCTGTCATGCACCTTGAATCGTATTACTTTCACTTGAGTCCATCCACTGCCTAATATTGCTCTCAAACACCAAAAATGATATCTAGATTTATATTTCTATGGGAGTTTATATGTTCATTTGTATATATGTCTTATCCAAATTGCAAAGTTTAGTTTCAGAAAATCTTATGATGGAATTCTGCTTGTATCTCATGATTATCTGTAAATTAACCACTTGTTTTAATTAGTGTTTCCTCACATAACTTGCAGAAACTGTGCATGGGCGTAAGCATGGTGCTACAAGCCATTTAAGAGCGACTAAAATATGCTTGAGTGTATTAACCAAATTGAAAGTTACCTTGTTAGGTATTTAAGTCTACATGTAATTCTTGTAAGTATTATCCAGTGAAATTGGTATCTAGGCGAGTGTTGTTAAGTACCTGGGCCGGTATTCAATTCAATACTCTGCATAAGTAAGAAATTTACTAAGTAAATGGCTAAGTTAAGTAATTTACTTATCTTGTATTCAAATCGCATTATAGACTTATACTTACGTTAGTAAAAATTTAAGTAAAATACTTACTGATAAGCATTGTGACGTCATACGGTCAATCAAAAGTAATGCGCAATTGATGCATTGCAATAAATGCGCGCTGATATAATTGTGCGCGGGATATAATACTGCGTAAGAAAACCATATGCCTGCCAATCAAGGCCACCAAATAATTGGCTTAAGTCTGGTATGCAGTTGGCTTAGATTGAAAGTAAAATACTTACACAAAAGTGTGAATTCAATTCAATTCAATTCAAAGTTTATTCAATACTCTTCATAAAAACATTTAAAACATACAAATACAGAATGGAGTTATAAATATAAAAAGACACAAGAAAGTGATAACAAATACAATGGCAATTTATAAGAGCATTTGGGATAGGCAGAAAGGAGGGAAGTTCCTTATATAAAAGCCTACCCCTAAAAACACACATACATGAAAACGAGAACAAAAGAACAGAACAAAAGAACAGAACAAAAAACAAAGAACAAACAAACAATTTGAATACCAAAATTGGCTAAGTATTTTATGTAAGCCAAATACTAAGTAAAAAGCTTAAATTTTGTACTTGAATTGAATACGGGCCCAGGACCGGTATTCAATGCCATACTTACGGTAAGTCAGAAATATGAGTATCTTACTCAGTTTTCAGCTTAGATAAAATACTTAGCCAACTTCAGTATTCAGTTGATATTTCAGGGCAGCTTTGTCTGGAATTTTTCCAAAAAACGATCTTCGCTACTTACATGTATCTTGCAGCAGAAATCCCTCATTAGGTTAAAATCACACATTCATTCAATAGATGCACGGTTGTTGAGCTTCTGGTGCTCTGATTGGATAAAGCTATACGTCCATTCGATGGCTGTATAGTTCTATAGTTTTTTTTTGTTTTTTTTTATTTTTGTTGTTGGTTCGAACCACTTCATATCTCTTTAATTTGTTTCTTTGTGTCAATAGCATTTTATTCATAATCTGAAGACTTTCATATCAAAATATCAAACAAAATCAGATCATACATTTAGAAGTCTAAACAAAGGTTTACCAGTACCAGTTGGTCCATCACCAAAGTTCTTTTTGTAGTCCCATGTTTCTTGCCTTGTCTTAAAATTGGCGCTTGAATACCTTCTGTCTTGTAGATGCCATGATATTGAGGTAAGCCTCGTCTGTTATATCCCTGAATTTAGGATTTTTGACTGTGCAGCAGATTCTATTGATAATAGCTCTAATCGTTGTAGCCATGTCGAATTGATCCACACTGGTCAACTTCAAGCGAGCGCTTGGCTTTCTTCATAGGGTTCTAATTGCTGGAGGCTCTTGTGATGATGTAAATGCCAACTGTGCATGCTCTTGGTCTTCCTGTCCAACAAGCATATTCCACACCTTGTCTCTTGTGTCGATATTTTGGTCAGTCTTGTATCTCGCTTTGTAGTACTGTTCGGCAGTACCAACCGAGTGGCATATAAATGTGGCTACTCGTTTTCTATCTTCAACTGACAACTTGTCACGTGCAGCAGCTGCTGCAGTCTTTCTGAGTGCCCGTGAAGAGATTGATCCAGGAAGGCCACATTCTTTCCAGGCCTCGTTGAGCACGCAGCTAATTGGCTTTGTATAGTTCTATAGTAAACAAATAACCATGCACTGAGAGGCTCTAGTAAGCATATATTAACCAACTACGAGGGTAATTGTACAAACTATCATCACCGAGGCGATGATAGTTTGTATCCATTGCCCGAGTAAAGGAGGTTAATATTTGTTTTATATCTCACATATGCAATAAGGTCTATTTAAAGTGAATTTTACATAATTAAAAGAACTAGGTTTTCACTCGCGGCGTTCTGATTCTGCAGACAGCTAGCTTCAACTAGTTTTTATTAGCGGCGACACAATGAAAAAATATGTCAACTTGCGCCGCACCGCAGCGCTATATAGATCTAGACTCTTTATGTAAGCAGCATAGTATAGCCATAAAAATCTAACAATTCATCCCTATTTTCGCGAAGTGACGGTAGTGAATGATAATCCCATACAATTTGCGTGCAGATTTTCCTCACTACCGTCACTTCGTGAAAACAGGAACAAATTAATTGATTGAAATGAATATTGTAGATCGATGAACTTACCTCACTTGTTATTATTTCCACAGTCTATGGTCCAACGCCAATACTTATAATTAGCTTCCAATAATGCCAAATTATTTCGGTGACAAACATTGCACATCGTTTCAATTCAGTTAATAAGTCAATAAAACTGGTAAAAATCTGAAAGAACGATGAACTTGTCAACACATAACATAACATATCATACATGTCTGTGTACACTAGATAACGAGCTGTTTAATTTGAATTGTAAATGTTAACAACACATCCATGAAATTGGAATGCTTGACTTCTGACCAATCAGATTGCAATATTCTTAGTATGCGGGATATAATTGAAATTATGGATTGATGTGTCAGGAATAGCACTATTTTCTGAGAATCTATAATTTCACTAGTGGCTTGAAATAGTTCATGATATATTTGTTTTATATTTTTCAAACCAACCTTCAAGCAGCCCTTTCAACTTCCTTTCAGTTTAACAATAGTACGTAGCCTTTTAGCACACGATTTGACAAAGGAAATTTATTACATTTGATGTCAAAAGTTTTATTTGACAAAAAGTTTACGTTGATCCAAACAGGACATAATGCCAAGGGTGCGATGATGTTGATCTCGTGCAGTGCAGACTACCGGTGCAAGCAGGAACAAAATAACAAGGAATAGAGGGTGCGGACGATGTAGCCCCTGTACAACTCAAAGGGTGCGCTGAACTTGTTCCACTTTTTCTTTACCTCTCCCACTGTCCTCCAGCCGTCCACCATTGCCTTTAGCTTTGCTGTAATGTTCTTCCAAGCCATATCTCTCTATCATGGAATGTTGAGCTTGATCCCAGCTTTGGCCTCGGAACATTCAAATTACTCCTATATTCATCAATTAAAATGCTCCTCTCTCGGCCAGAGAAATTTGGTTTTCTTTTGGTTGCAGAATCCATATTGATATGTAATGAATGGAGTACAATACATAAATATCTCCAGAACTTGTTCCACTTTTTCTTTACCTCTCCCACTGTCCTGAAGCCGTCCACCATTGCTTTTAGCTTTGATGTAATGTTCTTCCAAGCCATATCTCTCTATCATGGAATGTTCAGCTTGATCCCAGCTTCAGCCTCGGAACATTCAAATTACTCCTATATTCATCAATTAAAATGCTCCTCTCTCGGCCAGAGAAATTTGGTTTTCTTTTGGTTGCAGAATCCATATTGATATGTAATGAATGGAGTATAATACATACATGTAAATATCTCCAGATGCTCTTGAATCATACCGTAATATATTAATTTGTTTAACACGTAATTTCCCATAGATTTCATCGTCGCATAAAATCATTTAATCGCAGAGATTAATACACGCAATCAATCAACCACAGCTCTGAAACTGTTAACAAAATTATGACGTCATGAAACGTCACAAGTATTTTACTTAGATTTTGCGCAGCCAGGGTGTGGAGTGTTCCATCCCCTGAGAGAGATTATACTTGCATGTCCTGTCCCTGGGACTCATCATCTGTTGCACTTAGCCTTTCCCGGGTAGTTCTTGATCGTAAAGAAACCTCTGTACACGAAAACAATGCAGCCTGAGAGAGATTTTACTTGCGTGTCCTGTCCTTGGGACTCGTCATCTGTTGCACTTAGCCTTTCCCGGGTAGTTCTTGATCGTAAAGAAACCTCCGTACACGAAAAACAATGCAGCCTGAGGAGAAAGAAATTTGAGCACAAAATCTCCATCATGGATTTCAGGTGCCATAATTGTCTCTTCGCAAGATTGTTCAAACATTGCTTCCTGTTTGCTAAGCCATGAGCTTGAGTCAGTTGCCCCTTGTTTCTGGGACACTTTCTTAGTCTTGGAAAACTTTCCATGACTTGGGTTTTAATTCAGAACTGACTCCGCGAAGCCAGCAGGCTTTGCTTCCACAATGCTACCCCCTTCGAGCGGGGTTGTAGCCGACGACTTACGCTTCGTGGTTCTGCTGCAGCTGCTTTTCCCTGGCCCACGAGGTCGGGCTTACCAGATGCAGATACAGGCTTTCCTTGCGCCCCTTTTTATTGAATT